GAAATAAACAATTTAAAAAATCGGTGCTTAAATTGTGGCGTACGACGTATAGTACTTTAATACGTCGTACGCCAACTTTTTGCAGTGGCACTTCTATTGGCTGCTTATCCACTTCGTTGCTAATAGACTGGACAAAATCATCTGCTGATTTGGCCGAGTTGGTCTAAGGCGCCGCACTCAAGTTGCGGTCTCGCAAGAGGCGTGAGTTCGAATCTCACAGTCAGCATCTTTTTTGTAGATGATAGTGTTTTCTATATTTGCCGTCTTGTCATCCTCTGTATGCTTGACTGAACATTTTTTTTTTAACATAAAAATATGATATAATTTTTATTTAACATTGTTGTGTATATATTGATGTACACTAAGTGAACAAATTGTTCCATAAAACTCTTTATTAAGCAAATTTCCTGTTTGACCAAACCAATTTAATTGATTCTACTATTGATGAAAAGCTTGCCAAAAATAGTATTATTTAAGGTTTATTTCTGTGACTATGCATGATGTACTATAAAGAAAATTAGAAAAATCTAATTTTAATGTAATTGTTCGAATGCATTATTCATCAATATAGCAACAATGATTCATTAAAACGTTATTTTTACTTCCTCCTTTTTGCATAAACATGACGTAAATATTACTTAGACATCCAACAGTATATAAGTGTTCATAAATTTTCACTTCTTTCCCTCTTTTTTATTACAATTATTTTCTAGTTTATTTATCGTTCGATTATGCCATATACAATCCCAAAAGATATTATTAATGATGTCAAATCGCTTATAAATAAAGGTATATCCTTACGTAATATTGCTAAAGCTACTGGTGTCTCAAAAGCGACAGTACATCGTATTAAATCTGCATATTTCCCTACTGCCCCGCATACGTCACCAGGTCGACCCTCAAATATCAGTCAAACTACTAGTCATGCATTAAGATTTAAAGTACGTCAAGGATACTTAAAAACAGCAAGATAGGTACAGATATGGCTGTTGTGATTGTAGTAGCCTTTATAATTAAGTTAATAGAAATAAACCATCATTTATTGTATAATAAAGAGGTTATTCAAATAAAACTAATATATCGCGCTTCACAGCATAATATTCATTCTACTCTCAGTTTTGATAATAGTCATTGTTTGAGTATTCGAGCATTAAAAATAATTATATACATTATATTATGTAATAATAATAATAGTAGCATATAAATAATTGGTATTGCTATAGCTGACATATTCACTGTGAATTAATATTGACGCGTCGCTTACCCCAGAAATAATAATTTAATATTTTTAGTAACAGCGACAGCTCAGGCAGAAAAGAATAAAAATAGATTTTATTGTAGGCAGAATTATTCGGAGAAAATATTTATGACTAATGCTTTATTATAGCAATATTTGCTTATCCAAATCATAGTTCTATTAATATCACTTACCTTGCAAAAACATATAAATAACCCTTTACTTTTTCACATAATTTTTCCTTGTACAATTTTTGTATTATTTTTCTCAATAAAAAAACTACACGAAGTTTTCACAGACTTGTCTTTTGTCTTTTTCTCTTTCTTTAACTTTTTGCTATCAAAACAATGGCTCTTTGAAGTTGGTATATCTCTGAGTTACAGGGCAACTTTAAATTTGATGAAAAGGCTTGGATTGTATGCGCAGATAAAACAGAAAAGGGTATTCTTACGTAATAAGCATATACAAAAACGGTTAAAATGGGCCAAGCAATATCAAAACTGGACTGTGGAGGATTGGAAGAAGGTTATCTTCTCAGATGAAACAAAAATAAATCTGTAGGGGTTTGATGGTATAGTATATACTTGGAGACAAAAGGGTTATCCGGCACAACCACATAACTATAAGCAAGTTTTAAAGCATGGTGGAGGCTCTTTAATGACGTGGGGTTGTATAACATCATTTGGGCCAGGTTACGCGTCCAGAATACTCCAAAATACTATGGATTTAGAATTCTATATTGAGATACTAGAGACCTCTTATATGGATACTTTAGCATACTATGGTCTGAATAAGACAGAGTATATACTTCAACAAGATGGAGATACAAAGCATACGTCTCGCATGACTAAAAAATGGCTTGAACGAAATCATGTGAAGCATCTCTGTTCATGGCCACCAAATAGTCCGGATTTGAATCCAATCGAGAATCTCTGGTACAAGTTAAAGTCAAAATTAGGTGAATATCAAACACATGCAAAAAACATAAATGAATTATGGGAACGAGTTGAGGTAGAGTGGTATAAATTGACCAAAGAGGATATGGAGCCTTACTATAATAGTATGCCATCAAGAATTGAAGCAGTTATCAAAGCTAAAGGGGGCTATACAAAATACTAAATTTTAATACATTAATAAAAATTTATTATTAGCGTAACATTTTTCAGTTTCAGTCTGAGTTTAAATATACTTATAAAGCAATTTCCATTTGGATCCTTCCCCATATACCGCCGTCGGGCTTTGAAAAATGCAATTTTCTTTTATGGGAATGGCTCTCTAATATATTACTAGTGAAAAAAAAAACTGACTTTGTCGTTTCTTGACTTCTTGAGGTACGAAAGAGTAAAATTTCAGATAGTATTAAGCAAAAATAACAAAGAATATAATTACGTTTTTATAATATTTAATGGTTATCTTTATTCAAAATTAATAATTTTTCGATATTTATATTAAATTTGCTACAACAATAAAGTTTATGTGACAACAGGGAAAATCGTGATTATAGTAAAGATGCATAAGTGTTGTATTTTTGATTTTCTCATGTTGTCAACTAATTATGCCGACGTCTTCTATTTTCACAAATTATGCATAATTTTGACTTCTTTCTTCTCACGTCTGAATCCTTTACTATCGGCTTAAATCTTCTTTTATTTTGCCTATTAATTCTAAACGATAGATTGTACTCTACTTCTATTTGTTGGTTCTCTACTTTGTTCCTAATAAACTGGAAAACCCAATATATTTTAGCTATAGGATATCACTACTAGTGATATTACAATAAAAGGAAATTCTATCTGTCAAAGTCCGACGGCGGTATATGGGGAATCAACCAATCATAATAACGTATATTTCGCGGTTTGAATACACACACTACCAATTAAATTAAAAAAATTGAGGCTCAATCAAACGCAATCAAAGCCCTTATTGACTCAGTAAGAAAACTAAGATTTTTCCACCCTTTTCAAAGCTAATAATAAAATGAATTATTTGAAGAAAAGCATTAAAGAAAAAACGCTTACGATTAAAGATTTCTTCAAAGATTTAAACGCAGCATATAAAAATGATGATGATAAAGCATTCAGAAAGCTTATCAAAAAAATGCCACAGTTTTATAATGTTTCTAAGAATAAAGACCTGATAGCATTTGCCCAAAAAATGAAGGCATCAAATTTTGGTGTAAGCAAATTCTAATTTCTATTTAATAGTCGATTAAATTTATTCTAAAATTTTCATTAGATTCTTGGAAGCAGGGAAGCTTACGAACATTGGAATGAGACTATAAAGGAGAGAAATATTTTGAAAAGGGTATATGCCCATTTGAATGAGGAAGAGCAGATTACGGATGAAATTGTTCAAACCACCTCAAAAAAACAAAAAGAAATAGACAGTGCTTCACCAGCAAAAACAATTTCTAGATCTCCCAGTAATATATCTCAATCTTCTTCTGTAATTTTGGCAAATATTTGGTCTATTTGAGCTGACTTTCTGACAGTATTTTTAACAGAAGATTATGAGACAGACATAAACTGATATAGGTAATATGAAATTTATTGGATATGAAAATGTATGTTAATTTCTGTTTAGTTTGGAATATTTGGGTATATAATCCAAGATGGGGACAATATAGGAAATAATCAAACTAGAAGCAAGTACCCAAAAAAATTAGCTTCTGTCACGAATAAGATGCTGAAGAAAGAGGAGCAATGTGTTTCTTTAAAATTTAACTCGCTTTATAAGATTTTTTTTTAATGCATTAGTAAGTTGTCTAAATATTATATTTTTGGCTGACGACAAAGTTTACATCTTCATAATAGACCTTTTCTGTTGACAAATGCCATACGCTACTATTAAAAAACTCTTTACGTGTCAAAAACACGAATGATTCGACTTTGAGTTTCTGTAATAATTTTTTCTTAACTTTGTAAGTTAGCAAATATCATTCTTGTCTTGATTTTTTACAAAGTTAACTTATTTATTATTGTATTATTTTATAAAGTGTAACTCAAGTTTTTTACATCTGATGATATATGTAAACAAGAATCTATATATAACTCTAGAGTAATGTGTAGGTTTCTAAATACTGTTGTTATGGCCACACGTAGTTGTCGTTTTATTCCTGGTGAGACACGCCTCCAAGCAATTAAACTTGAGTTAAAGCGCCATGAACTATCCACCGGTAACTATTATAATGCCGATGGTATTATTGTTGATAAAGAGTCTGACTTGGAATTGGTGCTTTTGGAAATATCAGGTCCTTTTAACTTGAGTGATATTTCCAGAGAAACAACTGATCATATAAAAGATGCATATGGTCTATTAGCGATGCTACACACAATTGCTTATAAATAGATCTATGCGGATGTGGATACTGAGGGTAGAGCTCGCATTTGGTCTTTTAGTTTGGTTAAGAAAGAGTTATATGTACTCAACCGAGTACGAAGCGCAAAGTTACCAGCGAACCAGGTAGACTGCAAGGAAGAGCTTATCAATGTTACAAATACAATGTGGGAGCTAAAGGTTAGTAAACCATTCTTAAGATCAGTCGATTTATATTAAAATATGATACTTAGTACCTATTTTTTTCTAAAAAAAAGAACATTATTGAACATTCTTGTGAAACACTAAAGAAAATCAAGCAGTCCCATGAAGTAAACAATCAAGCAATAAAAGAGAACCTCCCTGGATCTGATAAAATTGTTATACACTAACTCAAAAAATGGTTTCAATGTTCTCTAAAAATTCCGTTTTTTCTTTTTTCTTCACATCATTAAACTGAAACGGCTAAAAATTGAACACAGTAATAGTACACATATATTTCCATTTTTGGTAGAAATTTCTTCATAGTCACGTGCTATATGGTCAACTTACTGGTTTTGAAAAATGATCACCCCATTGAAACCATTTTTTGAGTTTTCTATTTTTTTCTCATAAATTTACTAATTTCATGTATATGTGAATGCTATTGAGAAAATAAGTACTATGAGTATGAGGGACCCGGCAGGTATTTTATTGTTTGTTCATTTATTCATTTTTCTCCAATTAAGAATTCCAATCTATAAAAAAACTTGAAGCCCATTTCTGTTGAAATCAAGCAAAACATTGAATGTATTCTTCGTGATGGCGTTCAATATACTGACGTTAGTAAGCGTACAGGTGTCTCAGTTGCAACGATTAGTCACATTTCGAAAGAAATCGGCATTACTCGAAATGCCCATCATGGTCGTAATGGAACATTCAGCATTAATGAGGGTAGATTAATATTACGAAAGTTTGCAACTGGTCAGTTTACTACAGCAGCACAAGCAGCTAGGAGACTTCAAGGAGAAGGTAAGAAAGTAAGTGCGCAAACTATTCGTAATCTCTTGAAAGATGTAAATTTCGAATCTGATGTCAAACCGTCATCTGTGCCATTGACATCTGAGCGAAAAAAAGAACGACTTCAGTTTGCAAAAACGTATCGTAATTGGACTGTACATGACTGGAGAAGGGTTGTATTTAGTGATGAAACAAAAGTGAATCGTTTGGGGTCCGATGGCAAGATATGGGCCTGGGTCAACAAAGGAGAGCCTCTGCGGGACCATAATCTGAACTATAAATACAAGCATGGCGGAGGAAGTATATTTCTTTGGAGTTGTATTACTAGTCAAGGACCCGGCTTTATCACTAAAATTGAGGGTGGTATGGATTCCAAGTTATATTGTGAAATCCTTGAAGGCGATTTCCTCGAAACACTAAAAGATTATGGGCTTAAAGTTGAGAATGTTGTTTTTCAACATGATAATGATTCAAAGCATACATCTAAAATGACTACCAAATGGCTTCAAGATCATCATGTTGAAGTACTCAATTGGCCAGCATATTCGCCAGATTTAAATCCTATAGAAAATTTCTGGTATTTTTTAAAACGCGAATTATATAGTTTTGAAGAACCCCCTAAAAGTATGCATGAATTATGGGAACGTGTAGCCAATATTTGGTACAAAAAAGTAACAAAAGAGATGTGTCTTAAATACATTGATAGTATGCCGGATCGTATTGAAGCAGTCATAAAAGCTAAAGGAGGAAAAACAAAATATTCATAAAAATTATATTATACTCAAAAAAATGATTTCAATGGATCGCTCATTTAAAACTGCGATTACGCAAAATTAGCTCATGTGACTGTATTCCTTTTTTGTATATTATTGCCTTATTAGTTAAAGATTATTATCTACTAGCTTTACAGTCCTTGTCCGCTTTTTAAGTTATATAGACGTCATAAATGCCATAAAGTGAAAACATTGAAACCATTTTTTGAGTTAGTGTATGTTTGATACTTGATAGTACCACCTTTTGCTTTAATTATTGCTTCAACACGTCTTGGTATACTATCTATGTGTTTTAAGCATAGTTCAGCTGTAACTTTATGGTACCAAACATCAGCAACTCGCTCCCATAACTCATCCATGTTGTTATTATTGTAGTCGTATTTACAACTAAGTTAATAGAAATAAACTTGTCATGAGCTGACTTATAATGTCATGTTTCATGATTAAACATGCGGATCATAAATTCATTTAAGAAATTCTATCCTAACTCTCTCTTGATCCGCTCCATCTAATAATATTAAAATCACTAACACTTTGTTGTCAACAATATACCTAATTCGGTCGTAACTAATACTTTTCTGATTCACATCCTATCCTCAGACCTCTTTAACAATTCTTATAAATACCCCATCAGTTTAAATTCATAAATAAAATAATTGACTTTAGAACTATTGTTCGGTCTCGTTGACTCTTTTGTCTTATTATTATTTTTATTTTCTAATATTTTTATTTGATATTTTAAAAGAAATATCACAAAACTATCATTTATTTAAATAATAAAGAGTTTATTTGAATAAACTAGTGTATTGTACTTCACAGTATAATATTCATTCTACACTCAGTTTTGATAATAGTCACTGTTAGAGCATTCGAGCATTAAAAATAATTATATACAATGTATTATGTAATAATAATAAGAATTCAATAGGTTTATGACTGTTATCTTGAATTACATAATTACTTATACAAGTCATACATATTATATATACATCCATAATGTTAAATATTGTTATAGTGGGAATATTCACTGTAAATTAATATTAACGCGTTGCTCATCCCAAAGACAATAATCGTGTATATTTTTAATATCAGCAACAGCTCAGGCAGAAATCTGCATACTGCATGCAGAGTTATTCGGAGACAAAATTTGTGCATATTTGTGCATAAAGGCTTTATTATAGCAGTATTCACTTATCTAAATCACACTCCTATTAATATGACTTACTTTACAAAAACATATAAATAGCACTTGTCATTTTTCCATATTATTTTCTTCTTGTACAATTTTTTGTATTATTTTATCTTCAATAAACTATACATAGTTTTCACAGACTTGTCTTTTCTTCTTCCTTATCTTTATACTCAAAACACATGTTTTTTTAGTGGCCTATCATAGGCAGCAAGCCTGCACTTCAAATAAAACCAAAGGTTTTCAATTGGATTTAGATCAGGTGAGTATAATGGCCATTCAAGGACATTTATTTTATTTCTTTTGAACCAATTTCTTGTATATTTGGATGTATGCTTCGGATCATTGTCTTGTTGAAGGATTTCATCTTTCTTACAAAGGCCATAATCCTTGAGCATCTCCATAGAGTCACCTTTTAATCTTTCACAGTATAATTGCGAGTCTATCCTTCCCTCAATCTTGGCAATAAAACCAGGACCATGTTGCGTGAAACAACTCCATACCATTAAGCTTCCACCCCCACCTTTGTACTTAAAGTTGACATTATGGTCTTTTAGATGTTCACCCTTTTTAACCCATGTCCATTGCTTTCCATCTGAACCCAAACAATTGATTTTTGTTTCGTCACTAAAGATGACCTTTTTCCAATCCTCAACCGTCCAGTTTCTATGAGCTTTGGCCCATTTTAGACGATTTCGTCTACGTTCATTCGTCAATGGTAATGCAGATTTCTTAATCTTCGAATCAAAGTCGGACGATTTTAGGAATCTGCGAATGGTTTGCGCGGAAATATCATACCCTTGACCATGTAAGTTCCGGGCAGCATCCACTGCAGTGATAAAATGACCAGTATAAAAAGATCGCGCAATCAATCTTCCAAGTAATGGGCTAATCTTCTTTGGTCTACCTTCTTTTACGTTAATCTTAATTTGATTTTTTTTTGGCAATTCTTCCAATTGTCCTAATTGACACACCCATTGCCTTCGAAATATCCCTATAAGACTCCTTAGCATTAATTTTTGCTAAAATATCCGTCTTTTTATCTTAAGGAATTGGTCTCATTCTAATGTATGTAATGATCTATGTGTTAATGGAAAGGATGCACAAATGTTATTCAAATTAGTAATGAATTTGAGAGAAAAACGATATGAAATAGGAAGTAAACCTTTTTGTTAATTCAATAATAATATTAATATAATTTAAAATAAAAAAAATGGTGTATTTTGTAAAAAAAGAAAAAAAAATTATTATGCAGCAAATTGGCTAAATCGTATAAAATTACATGATCGTTATTGAAATAAACATTCATGCATGTAAATGAGACTAAGAAGCTATAAAAATAATGTAAATTTTGTCAACTTTCCATTAAAAATACTTTTATTAATGTATCTTTATTCATTTATGTTGTGCATTAAGGAAAGCCAAAAATCATAAAACATTGCCACACTTTTGTGAGTCACTGTATGGTTATCTCTGCATATTCAAAAGCTAAGCCCTAAATTATTAAGTCGACATCAATTTGTCCCATTCTATCTTCAAGGTATGAAATAAGCAATTTAATAATAAAAAAGTAAATAAGAGTATTTATATTTAACATTTAGAACATAACTATAGGATATATCATAATTGGTTATTACAATATTTATAGTTGTTATCATTTATAGAAGCATATGAGTTATAAAACATAAGTTATTAATGCATATTAAAAGAGAGGAAATATATCATCCGGATCTGATACTCGAGAAGATAACTTCACCTCAGCATTATTGGTTAGATAATTATTTAATGTTGTTGTGTATATAATGATGTATTACATAATATCTTATAATGTACAAATCAGAGTCATGAAGAACCGGATGATATTATAGTTATTAGTTATACACTTTATGCATACAATAGTATTTGATTTCAGTTTATAAGACATTCTTGTGATGAGAAAAAATAATGTTATAATAAATACTAACTCTACAAAATAATGATAAGAAAAACATAGTGTAAGGAGTTATTAATGATAAAGATATATGAATTATAGATTATACCTATTAATTATATATATGCATTATTATTTAATGTTGTCTAAAATACTAACTTATAAATATAATCATATACTATCTATGAGAACTCTATTCTAATTGAATACACTATATAATATAATGAAATTCATTTAAGTAGTACATTGAGGAATGAATATAACATAAAGAAGCTGGTTAGAATATAAATCTATATATCAAAAGTGTCTTTCCTATATCATTCACAAGTATGAACAAACGAGATTTTATTATTTTGTTTCAAGAAAAATAACCGGCTAAATCAAGCACCAATAATTTAATGTTTATTAGAGTTAACTGAGATTAATTCTCAGTCAGGGCAAAGACTAGAGCTCTAACACAATAATTTTAATTATTCTATGGGAAATATTCTTCTTTCAAGATATCTTCACTCTGTTCCTGTCTCGAAGTAACCCGTTCTCCACAAGATATAAATAAGGATCCATTTTGCACTCATCTTTTGAAAACTCAGTTTTTTCATTTTTTAATTTTTAATTTTCATTTTGATAATAAAAGTTTTATACAAAGTTTTCACAGATTTATTCTGTCTTATTCTTTTGTTATCTTTGTCTTATCAACAAATGTTGTTATTTTATCAGATCCAGGGAGGTTCTCTTTTATTGCTTGATTGTTTACTTCATGGGACTGCTTGATTTTCTTTAGTGTTTCACAAGAATGTTCAATAATGTTCTTTTTTTTTAGAAAAAAATAGGTACTAAGTATCATATTTTAATATAAATCGACTGATCTTAAGAATGGTTTACTAACCTTTAGCTCCCACATTGTATTTGTAACATTGATAAGCTCTTCCTTGCAGTCTACCTGGTTCGCTGGTAACTTTGCGCTTCGTACTCGGTTGAGTACATATAACTCTTTCTTAACCAAACTAAAAGACCAAATGCGAGCTCTACCCTCAGTATCCACATCCGCATAGATCTATTTATAAGCAATTGTGTGTAGCATCGCTAATAGACCATATGCATCTTTTATATGATCAGTTGTTTCTCTGGAAATATCACTCAAGTTAAAAGGACCTGATATTTCCAAAAGCACCAATTCCAAGTCAGACTCTTTATCAACAATAATACCATCGGCATTATAATAGTTACCGGTGGATAGTTCATGGCGCTTTAACTCAAGTTTAATTGCTTGGAGGCGTGTCTCACCAGGAATAAAACGACAACTACGTGTGGCCATAACAACAGTATTTAGAAACCTACACATTACTCTAGAGTTATATATAGATTCTTGTTTACATATATCATCAGATGTAAAAAACTTGAGTTACACTTTATAAAATAATACAATAATAAATAAGTTAACTTTGTAAAAAATCAAGACAAGAATGATATTTGCTAACTTACAAAGTTAAGAAAAAATTATTACAGAAACTCAAAGTCGAATCATTCGTGTTTTTGACACGTAAAGAGTTTTTTAATAGTAGCGTATGGCATTTGTCAACAGAAAAGGTCTATTATGAAGATGTAAACTTTGTCGTCAGCCAAAAATATAATATTTAGACAACTTACTAATGCATTAAAAAAAAATCTTATAAAGCGAGTTAAATTTTAAAGAAACACATTGCTCCTCTTTCTTCAGCATCTTATTCGTGACAGAAGCTAATTTTTTTGGGTACTTGCTTCTAGTTTGATTATTTCCTATATTGTCCCCATCTTGGATTATATACCCAAATATTCCAAACTAAACAGAAATTAACATACATTTTCATATCCAATAAATTTCATATTACCTATATCAGTTTATGTCTGTCTCATAATCTTCTGTTAAAAATACTGTCAGAAAGTCAGCTCAAATAGACCAAATATTTGCCAAAATTACAGAAGAAGATTGAGATATATTACTGGGAGATCTAGAAATTGTTTTTGCTGGTGAAGCACTGTCTATTTCTTTTTGTTTTTTTGAGGTGGTTTGAACAATTTCATCCGTAATCTGCTCTTCCTCATTCAAATGGGCATATACCCTTTTCAAAATATTTCTCTCCTTTATAGTCTCATTCCAATGTTCGTAAGCTTCCCTGCTTCCAAGAATCTAATGAAAATTTTAGAATAAATTTAATCGACTATTAAATAGAAATTAGAATTTGCTTACACCAAAATTTGATGCCTTCATTTTTTGGGCAAATGCTATCAGGTCTTTATTCTTAGAAACATTATAAAACTGTGGCATTTTTTTGATAAGCTTTCTGAATGCTTTATCATCATCATTTTTATATGCTGCGTTTAAATCTTTGAAGAAATCTTTAATCGTAAGCGTTTTTTCTTTAATGCTTTTCTTCAAATAATTCATTTTATTATTAGCTTTGAAAAGGGTGGAAAAATCTTAGTTTTCTTACTGAGTCAATAAGGGCTTTGATTGCGTTTGATTGAGCCTCAATTTTTTTAATTTAATTGGTAGTGTGTGTATTCAAACCACGAAATATACGTCATAATTTTTAGGGTACCTTTTTCCTTTTGATTATTGTTATTGCCAACGCATTACATTTTTAAAACGTTGTAAATACAATACATTTGGCAAAACAATTATAGTAGCCAGGAGATGATTTGTGCGGATATTCGCCTAAAAGAACACAAATTAAAATGCTAGAACTAGCTCTTAATAAAGTAAATTTACCTTCAGATTAACATGACTAAATTTTGCTTAGGACTTAAATGGACCAAATTCAAAAAGATTCACGCAAATTTGAACTTCTATGGGTCCAATAGGTGCTCTAAAATTGCCAGTAGATGATCCCACTTTTTGCAATGTGTGGAATTACTCAAATGAAACAAATTGGTGAGTGATAATAAGCTTATTTTAAATCTTTTACTTATAGTAGTCTAATAAAATTCTTATAGATGACTGTATACTGCAGCTGATTCCAGACGTCTGTTCTGGCTTTGGCTACATTGGGATACGTCCAGTATCACGCAATTTAAGGTGATTCTTATTTTTGCACCAGTAGCGGCAGTGCTCTAGGCTAGGACATCTTGGGGTTTTTTTTCCTGAGGTTTTGAAAGTAAGAGCAGCAGTATACTCTACCGAATCAATATATATCCTACGATTTTGATGCACCATACCTTCATTAGTAATTGTCAAAGAAACTGTAATATAAAAAAAAATCAAAGGAAATATAATGCTTGAAGAATCTCTTACCTCAAGTGGATATTCAAAAACACAACCATATCAACTATCAATTGTCTCTTTTATATCAAGTAAAGATTAGGTCGGCATATTTGGACCAAATAAAGCTATATTGTTTTTTATTGAACAGAACCTCTCTTCTTTTTATGACGCTTGTTAATAATAAAACGTTTGAGACGTGTATTTAGTATTGGTTCCTAAACATGAACTGATGTTTATTCTATGATGCATCAAAACAATATCTCTTGATGAATTATATTACTAAAACTATAAAAAAAGCTATTATTTACTTTGATCTTTATTTTTACCTTTAATAAGCTATATGGAATTCTCACAGATTTGTCTGTCTTGCTGTATTTCATTGAAATCTATTTCTAAATCGCTATATATTCAACAGGTTGGGATCGCTCTATTAATAAATAGTTAGGCCTTGAATGAAAAAAACATGTGTCCTATTCAACTTTACGTTTGTCTTTTGAAAAATGTTTAGTAATAATTTTGAGAAAGTTTAAAAAGAATATACATATAATATTTTTGTTTCATTTGAAAGTTTTCAACGATCTACAATAAAAATGAATTTGTCTAATAAGATTTTACAATCGTCTTGTTTTAGGTTAAAATCATGTAACTGAGCAAAGTTTTTCCAATTACTTTATTTCTGTCTAACTCGTTATATTTATTTTATCCTTTTACACATATACTTTTATCCTTTTCCCTTTTGTCTCAAAAGAGGGTTTTTCTTACTTATATACTATTAGAACTGACTAGGGCAATACAGCAGATGAAAAATGCTATGTGCTCATTTGGTCAAAAAAAAAAAAAAAATAATAATAATAATAAAAATTCAATTTTAAACGTAGCTGAGCAAAGTGCGCCTTAAGTAGTAATTTTTGAACATATACATATAAATGCTTTTTAATCATTAAATGAAAGGATAGTTGGTATTAGTTTTTAACTATCTTTGAATAGTCAATGTCTGAATAATGACTTGTTATCTTTTTATTCATTTTTTTTATTGTGTCTTTAACTTATTGCTGAAGATACAACAATTGGAATTTTATTTCTTATACAAAAATTTTGATCATAGGCAGAAAAATGAGCAGTACAGTCAAGCAATGAGGATTTTCTAATAGAATCATTAACAATAATAAGAAAAATAATATGAGTATTTGTATTTTTAAAGTCTTTAGTAATTATGTTATATTTTCTTTTTCAGATAGCTTACATTCTGAAAAACATACAATTAATATCTTCATGGGATGACATTAGCACCTTCAATAACATCATCATCATATACAGCATGTTTGAACATTATAGCCATATGGGATACCTTCATGTTGCTCATATTGTTTTTTATTTTATTTTTGTACTCCAAGAATTCGCTGCACTTATGACCTTTTACCCAAACACGACCACAATAATTACAGGGCTTAGCAAGTGCTTGTAATCTTGATGCTTTATTAGATTTTTTTTTCCTTTATTAGTATCCTTTTGTGAGAAAGAACTACGTTCGTGACGCTTATGTCCTTCTATAATTACAGAAGAAGAAGCAACCAAATCTGAATCATTTGTAGAGTCAATAACTCAATCAATCATAGATTTAATAATAATGTGGTGGTATGGATATTAATAAAAAAAAAGTAGCTATGAAAGAATATGAGTTATGAAACGATATTAGTATTTACATATACGTCTTATCAATTCAAGAGACTGATCTATGGATTATCTATTGGATGTTACAGTTATATAATGATCTGATTTAAGTTTTAAGTTATTTGATCTGAGTATAGGTTTTTGATGTCTTTTATATTTTTATTTTATTGAATGGAAGACGACCTGAGGAATCCTTTATCAAGGTTATAAAAATAATTATTTAGAAATGATACAATGTCTTATAGTTGACGCATTTAGATGATTGGATGTCCATCAGTTTTATATTATTTATGAGATGTTATATACAAGAAGATATGATGTTTTTTATTATATCTTCAGGCTTATAGTTTATCCTGTTTTATGTAATTCATCTACTATAATATTACTTATGCTTATATCCAGAGCTTGTTCTATAACAAATATATTCAAAATGCAAAAATAGTAAACAAATAACATTTGAGCAACTAATAGATCGAATAGATAATATGTCAGTAGTATTTCCTGCTATAAAGGATATAACTGACAAATATATAAATAACATGAAAGAAAAATACGATATATACAAAAATATTATTAAAGATTTTAAACCTGGTACACTAGCAATGATAAAAATACCAACTCCAAAAGGGCCCTTAGCACCAAGTTATGAAGGCCCCTACTCTGTTGTGCGCAAAACAAGAGGCGGCTCTTACATACTTCAAGACGAAACTGGAATGTTAATGTCCAGAAATTACTCACCTTCTGAATGAAAAGAAATTAGTCAAGATTGCATTGATAATAATAATAAAGATGAAGAAATATATAAAATAGAAGGTATATTAGATCATAAGGCTACCGGTAAAAACATAAAATATAAAGTACAATGGAAGGGTTATAGCAAGAATGACGATTCTTGGGTTACCCCTGATCAAATCGTACATGAATCTACTATCAAACATATTGGAGACGTAAATTAGGGAAAGGTTATAAACCCTACAAAAACAGTAGACCTTCGAATTTTACAGATACTCTAAAGACAACAAAGAAATTTTACATAAAATTGATAAATCTATAAAGAGCTCCAAAACTATAATGAATATTCCAAACAGGTACCTGAATCAAAACGAAAATTAAAGATCGACGATAAATCTTTAAGGGATACAACTATTAAATGATGTAGTAAAAGGTTATGTACAAGGAACAATCATAAATAAATGAACGGTTATCACAACCTGATGGAGGGTAGTGTTGTATTTGTACATAACATAAAGATATATAATTTTTTTTAGTAAAATTATTCCCGATTGTGCCAGTGTCTCACAACTTACTTTGTCTTCTTATATTATTAAAATATACAACAACAACCACTTATTTTGAGCCAATACAATGCAATGTATAATACATTAACCAAAAAGTTAACCTGAGCAAAAAAAAAAAGTTAACTAAAAAAGTACCCTGAAAAAAAAATAATACTGCTAAAAATATCCAAATATAACTTTTCTATTTGGTAAAGTTATGCACGCCTTAGATTTGTTTATAAAAATTTATTTTTTGTGATATTGTTTAGTAACTCCTTAAATTATCATAAACCTTTTTTAAGAAAATGAGCTAACTGTTCTTTATTATTTTGTTTCTTTGTTTGTTCATGGTCATTTAGAGTACTTGAATAACTGTACAAATTATCAAGAACTTTCTTCAAATTTTCATTCTAGTCTTTCGAAGATTAGTTTGAAAAACTGTTGTATAACCTTTGTGAAAAAAAATATGTACAACTTAAAAGTTAGAAACATGATCACTCTTTTTAACATTTTATACTCAAAGAGAATGATCAACGGAAAACTTTTGTTACGATTAAACGATAATTTTTATTTTAAAATACATGACCCCATTTGAGCACGAGATGTTATTAAATACATCAAATTTGTCCAGGCCTGATCAGTTTAAAGGGATAAGGAACGAAAAAATCTTTTTAGGAGCAAGAGGAAAAGCGTAAAGGAAAGGAAGGGTGTGATAGGTGTAATGTAAAAATTAGACAGGTAGTGTAGGAGAAGGAGGAAACCAATCTAAGAGACGTTGACCAGTATTGGGTGGGGTAGGAAGAATCGACTTATTATGTTGTAACTGGTCAAGTTCATGAAGGATAAGGCAAATGGAGGGCCATCAAATGTGCCAAGGGGTGATGGAATGAGATGAGGCAGGTTTCTTGGCAGGAAGTTGGTTTAAAAGGAAGGACAGGGGATCTTCTATAGTTTCAGGCATCTGTAACCGACGGTGCATTTGGTGACATATAATTGCATGTCGTCAAGTGAGGCATTAGTATGGGTGAGTGGGACAGTATGTGAAATAACCGTTTGGGAGCCATCCAAGTCACCAACGTATGCATCCACTGCGTTCAACAAAGGACATCAATAACCAGAAAGCTTTTGTTACCATGTTTTCCAAATTATTTGAAATATGAATTCGATTTTTTTGAAATACAAATTCAAGTTATTTGAAATGGAAATTCCATTCATTTTCAAAGATAAACGTAATTAATTGAAAAAAAAAAAAATAAAAAAAAATAAAGTTAAACAACTAGATATCCGTTTACTTTCTAAAAATACTACAATTACATACTTTCTTCACTCAAAGAATATAATACAGTTGAAAATGTTTTATGAATTCCGTATGTAATTATTCAGTATCAAAAGGGTTTGTTTTGGCCTTATATTTTAAAATAATTACAACAGATAACATTTAATATATCAAAGCCTGCTTATAAAAACTGTAAAACTTTTTCTTTTATCACCTTTTCTTTCTTTTTTCTCTACCTGTTATTGCTATCATAGTATAAAACGTGAAAGGAAGTCCCACCCTTACCCTAAGGAAGAGAGGGTCACTCTTAAAAAAAATCTATGTAATAGAATAGGGAAATCATTACTTAATAGTATGCACACTCATGATGTCTTTGTAATAGCGAGTAAAACTCTTCCCAAACCTGCTGCTGCTACTACCAACTATGATGAACTCCTAGAAGTCTCTGACGATTATTTTCAACCATAAATAAAACTTCGCAAGAGAACAAGTAAGTTTCATTATATTGAATTAATAAAGTAAAAACTGATAAATGTAAATTAAGGTCAAGAATATTTATCATTCAAGAAATATAAAGGATATGAAGAAACAGAGCGTACTACCATCCAAGAAAAATAATCCACCGAACAAGATAATCATTTATAATTTTTTTTGACAGCAACACTCACAGTTTTACTAGTTAAAACTACTCCTGTTAAAAAAAACAAAGGCAAAGGAAAGGCAATCGACACAGTTCCTACTACCAAAGAAAAAAAAAGGTAAGGTCTACTCCCACTATACGATTGCAAAGCCAAGTCTGTTCAAATAGATCAACAAACATTTTGGAAACTTGCGAGGAAAGTAGTAAAGGATGACAAAGAAAAATAGAAGGAGAATATTCTAACGAAACAGATCTTAAAATTAATACTTAACTCTTTTTGATTTTTCTAGAATAGGTATTAAACGAAACAAGAACACTGATAATGATAACAGATTATTATGGTAAGTTTTTTTTTCTTATTACAACTTCCAACTACTAAAAAGTATATCAACATAGTAATTTAATTCAGACAAACGGTTATTCTCTTGAATTTCACTTAAAAAAGAAATCCAAAAAGTCAGAGAAGAATACTACCGCTGATGATGTCAAAAACAACAATGCACTTATTTGGGGAATAGATCCTGGACAAACTGATATTTTTACTGCTGTTGACTCTGGTACTTCGGACAAGAAAGAAAGAATTCGAAAGTCATCAACCAAAGAATACTATCATATGTTTGGATACAACCTTGCAACTCAAAAGTGCATGAACCAACAACAGAAACACCAAGCATATTTCAATATTATCAGTAAATTACCCTCATTTAAAACTTTTGATTTAACTGATTTTTCAAAAGCGGCATCTGATAGATTCAAAAATTATCAAATGCTATTTGATTATTACAACAAAGACAGCTAGTAAGAAGCATAATAACTTGCTATTCTACACTACATATCAATTTTATACTCATATGTTATGTTGTAAACAGGTTAATTAAACTTAACTTTAAAACTTATATCAAAAAGCAAAAAGCTACTCATAAAATTGCCAAAAGAATATTTTATGATAGTCTAAAATACAGCCAAGATAATGTTATCGGAGAAAAAGGCAAAACTCTAAAAAGAAGAAAAGGATCCCTACTGCTCTTAAAGATAACCAGACCACCAGCTTATCAAAGAAAAGAATTATTGCCTTTGGTGATGCTAAATTTGGTAACTCTACAAAAGGAAGACTTCCTGCTCCTACTAGATGGATAACTGATGCAATTAAGAAAATGTCTAAAGAATTAAAAGGAAACACTTTTATCTATGTTGATGAATATTTGACTAGTCAAACATGTAGTCATTGTAAAAATCGAAACTAAACAAATAATACTACAAACAAATCGAAACGTAAACTTCATTCTGTACTCAAGTGTAACTCTTGCAGTATGGTATGGAATTGTAATGTGATGGCTGCTAAAAACATAAATAACATTTTTACATACATATCACAACATAAAAATAAAAAACCTCCTGAATTTCAAAGATCTTCTTAAATGTATGCGGTCTCTATAACGATTTCGCATCCTTTACTTAATAGGTACGTAGTATTTATTATATTATTATCTATCACTCTCGCTAACCTTTTTATTTTACTTTTTTTTTTTTTTCAAATAACTCTAATTAATATTTCAATTGATTTTTATTTATATTTCAAACTTTAACTTATACCCCTTAAAACTTAATCAGCCGCCCAGTTATAGCAATTCCTTAATTGTTTACTTATTCATGATAGCTATTTTTTTTTTTTTTTTTTTTTTTTTTTTTTTTTTTTTTTTTTTTTTTGCTGCAATGTTATAAATAAGGCAAATGTAATTTACAATTTGAAACAAGAAAGTCTATTCTGACGTCACTAAAAATACATTTGGTTGGAGACGCGCCTAACTTTATTCTTAATATTAGCTGATAACTTTTTATTTTATTTCAAGTGCTTTTTTACTCTTTACATTTTGTAGTGAGATGTTAGCTAAACCATCCAACATTTATTTAGTTTGCAATGTTTGTAAAAATGATAAAACATTCAGTACAAAACAAAAACTTAGACAGCATCTAAAAACTCATTCACTCAGTTTAGAAACAGATTTTAAGGGTAGACCTTGTAAGCAACAAATAAAACAATCAGATCAACCAGTAGGTTGTGATGTATATGGATGTCCATGCTGTAATTCATTTTTTATAAGTCTTGATGAACTTGATAATCACATATCTATCCATATAATCGAGACTGACAAGTAAGTAGCAAATAAAAATGAGTTTGCCGATTAGATATGATGTGACATAAGCTCTAAATCTCACTCTCTTCTTTTTTTTTGTAAAACTTTTTATAGTGATAATAGCGAAGAAAAGCGATCGGAAATAAATCCAAGTGATGAGCATGATAATCCTCAACACGAACCTATTACAATATCTACCACTTTGTCAATTGAAGATTGTAAATCCGAGAGCATCATTCAAACTAGACATAACAATAAGCGTTCTTATGAAGAATCTATCTTGTTTGCATGTCAAAAAATGAAAAGTGAAGAAGACGATAAGAAACAAACACTTTATATTGTAGATACATTGCATTTAAAGCCATATAAATTAACTAATGAACGTGGTGAAGAAGCCAATGTTTTAGCTCACCTTACCGCTGTAGATAAATTTATATCAACATCTTCACTTATTAGTCCTACAGTACCTTCTAAAAAACGATATTTTGATGTCGATTCTACCTTTAATACATGTGGTCGTTGCTTAACTAATCATCCTCATGAATTAGAAACTGTAATCTCTCAATCACCATATAAAAAATTGCTGAATACACGAAATTTTATGGAAATATCTGACAGTCTTTGTAATTTATTGAATACTGACTGGTTAATGTATAGCAATATGAAGCAGGTAGCTTCACAACTTTTAGCGGGCTGCATACTTTTAAACCATGCCAATAAAAAGCTATTATGATCAACACTTCTGAGCCCTCCGGCCGTACAAAAAGTACTGATATACATAGGGAACTTTTTGGAGCGAAGAAGCAAAGTTCAGTGAAGACCTCTCTTCCACCTCCGATCATTACTAAATACAACAACATATGGCCAACAACTATGCACAGTAATGATGGGGAAAAGTTGGTAATTGGAACCCTCTCTTGTAATATACTTGTTACCTCGTCCATTCGCATAGATAAAGCAGAAAAGCCGGTAGTAGGAGCAACTATGCATATGGATCTAAATCAGCGATATGACTCATTATCTATAAGTATATATCTTGACAAGCAATCAGTGGACCGAGCGTTAGCCTTAGCTAAAGACAAAAAATGTATATCAATTTACAACAGTTACTTCTTAGGGCAATTACGACAACTAAACACACATTTTGACGACGCATCCACTTACTATCTTTGTCGCGCTTCAGGCTCTATCACCCAAAGCCACCAATGCCAACCATATTCAATATTTACATTAGCAGATTTCGATAAGGGCATGAATCCTGCTGCAAGAATTTTTAGTACTATCGGAATTAACGTTCTTCAAAAAGGTCGAAAAGCTTGCTTAAATAGGGATATAGTTGTTGAATCTTTAGAGGCCAGCAATAATGAGAACATAAATAAAGTCCTCCTTGAACTGTTAGCTTTGTTTAATACTGATGAATCTATTCAAATTCTCTCAAATAATACCTTGAACAAGCATTTAGAAAAACTTGCCATTTTAATGCACCCATACCTCATCACAGCTAACAAATCCATTGAAAGTACAATCTTACAAACTTTTGAATACCTTGATTAGTGCTTATAATTTTTATTAACTTAACGATTTTATTCAGCTAACAAATGTGGGTTAACATTCCCTTTTATTCTAAATAATAAAAATCCATACTTTATTAATTTTCAGAAATAATAAATAGTCCATAACATAAAATTACCTGTTTTCTTGCTACTACAATTAATAAGTTGACCTTTATAGATTGCTAAATAATTTAAAAAAAGATACATTTAGAATAGGAGTCAATGGGTAGAATAGATTATTATAAAAAATTAAATAACTGATTACTATATGTGTTCTCATTAATAATAGACTTTAAATAAACATATCTCCTAATATTATTTGAAATAGATTTATGATTAGATTAATTGAATTATTGGTTTATATCTAATACGTGTAAAATAAATATAATAGATTATCAAACAAAACTTTATTAGAATATTTTATCTTTTAAAAAAGGTATCATTTCAAGTTAATTTTCAATAAAAGTGTTATTATTTATTGAAAAAGAAAGGCCAACATCAAAGCTAAAATATCGAGATTTTTAGACAGGTTCGACTATTTCAGACATAGATAGTAAATAGCAAATAAGAATTTGGGCACGGCATGGCTATTATCTATATTTTAGTTCAATTAGATAATAATAATAAATTATCTACATATAAATCATCGTCTCTAATTCTATATACATACTATAGCTATTCTTGTAAAAATAAATAAAACATTACATTTAAAAATATACTATCTTGTTCTAGAAAGGATAAACATTATGTTAATTCTATGAACAGTCCATGATACATTTGATCTACAAAATATAAATTTAATACAATGAAATTCTTTAAAAAAAAAACAATTTGAATATTAAGCTGAGGATAAGCTAACTGAAATGTCTAAGTTTCAAATTAAACCTGTCCTGATCTTCTTATAATCCGATCTGAACATATCAGATATGTTAAACATAAGATATGTATATGATTATTCTTGTGTATAAACTAATATCAGGTCATATTTTAAAATTATCTTTTATTGTTCTATTTTATATCTTTGTTTACTTCTTATCTTGATTCTTAAAAATATAAATACTCGATATGTCGTAATAAATAATTTGGTACTTAACTCATAACATCCTACTTAATAAATATTGTACTACATGTCTAAAAGTGTTATCTCTTTTGTCTTTATTTTGTCTTTATTTCGCTTTATTCTTATTCTTATTCTTATTTAGTTTAATTTACCTAAGCTCCAACATTATTGTTGACAATATCATGAAGAGGTCAATATATAATACAACACCAATGAAATAAAGTATCTATAAATTTAATATATAGCCACAAGAAAAGTATATCTATCCAGATAGTTTTTGCCATACAGTGTTAACGGTACCAAATGGCGGCTTTGCCAAACTTAAATGACAGCTTTACCAAACTCAAATGATGGTTCTGCAAGCTTCAATTGGCGGTTCTACTTATTTCATTTGGCGCTTTATTGTTTGGATGAATGAAAACAATTTATTTATAAAGCTACTTTAGATGGGCTGTCTTTCTAAACATTTGCCAAAGACACTGACAGAGTGTTGAATGATATTTCGAAGATGGTGGATGGGGACATTGTTACTGGCTTCCTTTATTCTAGTCCGTAAATCTTCCTTATCCTCGAACTGGCTACGTCTTATTTTGGATGATTATTAACTCAAAACCGAATCAAAAAGCCAAATTCAACTTAGCACTCACGCCAAAATCAGTATATGAGTGCATCTTATAAAATCATTTTATTATGCATCATGATATAAGTAATATCATTAAGTAACAGTTTTGGTTCCCGGATTCATACTATTATTATCAATAGCTGCCTTTAATGATTTATTTGATTGTATTGTACAAGTGGTTATAGACATATAGTTTGAATTTCAATTTGTAGCAATTGAGTGATTTTTGTTTTGTTTTTGAATATGTGCATGTAGTTTTGCAGAGATATATACAACTTTGTTAGCTATAATCAACTCCAGCGGATTCTTGTTCCTTTTCTTTACTTTACACATGTATTTTGCTAGAGCTATCAAATCTTTGCTTCCTTTGTTTGCGACCAATCTTTCTTTGATTGAGGCGAAACTCTTAATTCGATCACGGTATAGCCAGTTCTTTAATATTTGTGAAGCTTTGAGAAGCTTCAAAATCACTTCGTACTGTTCATTCTTGAATATTTTTGATGAGAATTGTGATTCAGAATAATCGATATCAGCGATATCAATGGGGTACTATTCCTTATATTTAGTGGGTTTACAGCGGCAAAGTCTTTTTTGTGAAATCGACTACTGATGTAGATTCATTCCAATGATGATGACAGTTTTGTCCAGTCTCTTAGATTCCTTACTTGAAAGTGTGCTTTCACGCCATCATCATGGCAATTTACATATATGTTCTCGCTTGAAAAGAATCTCAATGAACTAGTTCCTTCAGCGGCAAAGTTGATCCCAAAAAGGGCACAACATCATTCGACACCTTGCTGCCACATAGCCCACCAGTCAACAGCATCTAAAACCTACCCCAAAATATTAATAATTCGAATCATGATTTTCCTTTCTCCGTCTTGTTTTTCACCTTAACGACAAGATTGCTTGGATACTTGTCCATTAAAGTTGTCATGGTAGATTCGTCAATGTATGAATTATTTCGGTTATAGGCTTCAAACTGTGTTGCAAATATCCAGTTTTTCTGAAAAACAATAACTGCTTCCAGTAACTTGTGTGATATGATGTTTTTGATATTATCTTCTGCGTCTTATTTACTTTGTACTTCTTTCAATAGTATATCACTATTAATATTGCTTAATTGGTACATCTTCTTCTCTATTATATCGGTCAGGGGGGTAAGGATAACTTCATTTTCAGTACGGCCCTTTTTTTTCTTCTTGTTGTTCAAAATACAGTGTTTTCAATTTCTTTACATTTTCTATCGCTTCTCTGATATGCGAAGGGGTCCTTCTTTTTTCTCTGCTGTATGTATTGCGGCTGCTAAACCTTTTTACAACAATGGGCTTTTCTGCTATGAGAGCTGACTACTTGATCCATGATTATATGGTTATGTTCGTCTTCAACAAGCAAATCAAAAGATGAATTGTACAGCTTTGGAATACTAGATAGAAAAGAATAGGCGATCTTTAATGTAATTGGATCTAAAAACTTTACTGTCAAACTTGTCAGATAGTAAAAATGGTTTAGTTGTGTATATAATGCACTGTAATCAATACAGTAAATGTTCAGATGGATGCTGACATTAATTATTGTAGTGTGAAAAAAAAAGCTTCCCAGTTGTTCCGTAAATACTAAATCAAGCACGTCGTCATTCTTAATATGTCTACACTTTTTACACACTGATTTTGGCGTGAGTGCTAAGTTGAATTTGGCTTTTTGATTCGGTTTTGAGTTAATAATCATCCAAAATAAGACGTAGCCAGTTCGAGGATAAGGAAGATTTACGGACTAGAATAAAGGAAGCCAGTAACAATGTCCCCATCCACCATCTTCGAAATATCATTCAACACTCTGTCAGTGTCTTTGGCAAATGTTTAGAAAGACAGCCCATCTAAAGTAGCTTTATAAATAAATTGTTTTCATTCATCCAAACAATAAAGCGCCAAATGAAATAAGTAGAACCGCCAATTGAAGCTTGCAGAACCATCATTTGAGTTTGGTAAAGCTGTCATTTAAGTTTGGCAAAGCCGCCATTTGGTACCGTTAGCACTGTATATAATTTTTTCTTTCTAATAAAAAGTTTAACCCATGACTAAGTCTCACAAATCACTTTTGTCTCTTTTGAATAAAAATAATATTCTATATATTTGATTGAATAAACATCTCATTTTATTTACATATAAACCTGATATAATGCTTTTATAGCATATACTTATATTAGAAAAGAAAGTTTATTCGATCAAGTATGCAGAATATTACTTCTATTCAACAGCTACTATATATGGCCACTATTTAGAAACTAAGGCTTAATATTGGACGGTTACAATATAGGGATATGGTTTTGAAGATAGACGATTTAGGGTTAAGTATTCGCATCTATGTAAGAGCTCTCAAGGAAGCTCAAATCAAATCAATTATTTTTAAGTCAAAATAAAGATGAGGATATATATCCAATAAGAATAATATTTGAATTTATCAAAAGCACTACGTCAATTCGACAAGATTTACTGGAATATTATATTTTATTCCTAACATATCTAGGTTCTTGAAACCAATTTACATCGAACAGACCAGCAACTATATAAAATCAGACCAAATGGGTAATGGAAGGTGCAGAAATTGATACAAATAGCTCTCAAGCTTAATCTTTATAAGCAACATCAAGTACAAATATCGTTAAACGAAGACACTCTGTAGGAGATGTCAAGAAACATGCTAATCAGAGCCTAAATCCAAATATTTTTAAAAATTCTATCACAAGACCTCATCACAATCATCGTCAAGTACAATAAGAAGTAAATTAATTTATTCTTCTGCGAAAAAATGTATCATATTGAAAGTCAAAGTAGAGGCAAATGGGATTGTGTTAGGAACGATAAGCAATATCGTTGTTGGCGGAACAAAGACTTCCGATGTGATACATACCCACTCATGGTACAAGCACATCTTTTGTTGATCCTATCAGGTTATTTTATAATTATCTCATTATTATCATCATAGTTAAACTTTCCCTAAAAAAAAAAGTTAAATATATGGTTAGCCGGAAAGATATAGGATAGTAAAGAAAGATTTTTATTTTATTATATTTAAAAGAAAATAAAGTATGGCTCAAAAAGCACGTATCACCTCTTCAGTCTTCGTTTCGACAACATTGGTATTTTGAAATGTAAAGCACTGTAAACAATAAAAAAAAAATGACGCATCAATATGAATCAAATTTATAGAGTAAATTGCTATAAATGACAATTTTAAAAATTAAAACTCAAAATTTATTTTCCTTCTTTAAAGCAAAAAAAAAAAAAAAAAAAAAAAAAAAAAAAAAAAAAAAAGAAAATGGTTTTACTCATTAATAACAGTTTACGGTCTAAGAGCCGTGTATTGATTTTATTTTTAATAACTTTTCTTATTTATTGTATATATATTATTTCAACTAATTTTCCTACAATAACAAATCAAATTGAGCAGAAAGAAGGAATTTCAGTAATTTCAGAAAAAAAAACACTAAAACATCCAACATCTGACATATGTAAAACTAATATAGTACTACGAAATACAGATCCAAATCATACGAATGCACATGTTGAGCTCTGGGAACATCTAAGCGATGCTACAATAGAGGTTTATAAAAAACGATGGCAAAAATTTATATCAAATGTCAAAGAATCCCAAATGACAGAAGGCAATTTTAGCGGCAAAGGCATTGTATTTGTTGCAGGCAATAAAGATACTTTTCAACGAACATTAGCAAGTATCAGATTATTAAAAAATATGCATCACTGTAAATTGAATATTGAAGTGTGGCATTTGGGAGACGAAAACCCTTCAGCTGTTATAAGAAATGAATTAGAAAATTTGGGAGTTATTTTAAGAAATTTATCTGACTCTAAGTTGATTAGACCAATAAATCAAAGGCGAGATGCAGATAAACAGTAAGTTAATTATATGACGTATAATATGTATACAAATAATATCTTGACATAAAAATTGTTTAGATTCCAAATTAAAGCATCAGTAATTATCAATTCTAGATTTAAAGAAGTCTTATATCTTGATTCAGATAACATTCCTGCTAATGATCCAACATTTTTATTTGATATGCCAGTATATAAAAGTACAGGTGCGCTATTTTGGCCAGATTTTTGGTAATAGTTTTTGTTTCTTTCAAGAAATCTTCTAGTCAATCGTATTGACACATGAATTAATAATAGGAAAACGCATGGCGAAAATAAAATTTTTGATATTTTGGATATTGCTTGTGAAGATGAATGGGAACAAGAGGTAAACATTGTATCGCATATCATTATAAAAGGAAGCTAAACTTTGTTTTTTTCTCTCTCTCTCTCTCTTATAGTCTGGGCAAATAGTTATTGATAAAGAAAAATCATGGTTACCTCTTCAACTTGTATGGTATATGCAAAAAAACCATGATGTCTATTTTCAATTTTTAAATGGAGATAAAGATACATTTAAATATGCATGGAAGGCTTTAAATGCTCCTTATCATATGGTAGAAGCCTTTGTAGGAATGGCGGGTACAATGACTGAAAATAGATTTTGCGGTCATACTATGCTCCAATATGCTCCTAATTTGAATAATTCGGATAAAGATCATGTATTGTTTGTTCACGCTAATCTACTTAAAATCACAGATAAAAATCATTTTATCCCTGGACATCCCTGGGATTTAGCTAAACATTCAACATTAAGTTATGCTAATACATGGATAAAACCTGAATTCTATATTTCACCAAAAGGACAGGCTTGTATGGACTTTACACATCTCCAAGGTGAACCGGATGCAATTACAGAAGACTTTGATAGTGTAGTGCCGAATCTGCAAACAAATTATTTCAAGTTTGGAGGTATTGGTGGAGAAACAAGATATTAAAAATATATCAACTTTTTTTTTTTATATATTATAATATGTACATAATATTTACTGACACAGTTAAAATAATCAAATATTAAGTTTAATAAATTCTTTATTGTCATTCTCTTATATCTTTTAATAACAATTTTTACATCGCTATACTTTCACGAATATTCCAACCATTAGCTGTGGCAACTAATTCAGCTTCTTGTTCATATGACTGAAGTATTTGATCAAGAAGTTTCACTGCTGCTACGAGAGCCATAGCATCACCTAAAATTAAATTGAGTAAATAAATATATTTACGTACTCAGACTATATGTAGATATACACATGTAAAATTATATACCTTGTTGCTGAATAAAACTTATTCGATAGATTCGCTTTCGTAGTGTTGTTTGGAGCTGATGTATTTCTAGCTTAAATCGCAATAAAATTGGCTTGATGTCTAATGTCGGATAATAAGCATATATGAAATTAGATTATACAAGAAATTAATATTTTGCAAACTTACGGTGAGATAATTTCATTTCTCCTTTTCTTCTAATTCTTCCATCAGGGTCCTGTTTTTCAATAATTGAACCCTCTAAACACTAAAAATAACAAATAATAAAAATTGTAAATTAGTTAAACTATAATACTTGCAATTATTGACATCTCCTATTATTACATCTTTTAATATCTGAGTGATCTTTCCAATAGCTTCTCTTTCATCTTTGGCCTCGCATTCTAATGAACAAACCTTAGGTTGCTTAAAATGGAAAAGTCCAGGCAACCAAGAAGATAACTTTGGACTCTCCATTAAAGACGGTTCAATTACTGATGGCAAGAATTTTTGAGCATAGTTCTGTGTAGAAGGAGATGATAGTTGCTGTTGTTGATCATAATTTTGAGGATAAGGCAATATCAATGAATTTCGTGTGGTGGTATCTTTCCAGACAGATGAGCTGGATTCTAATGTTTTCCTACCAAATGGCGTCTGCCTTGGTTGCTGAGGAAGAGACAATCTAAAAGGATGTGGTCCATTTTGAAACGAAATGTTAGGCTCTACTCGATGATTTCTTTGCCACATGTTCATAAATCTGTTTAATTTTGAATCTTGTTGTTGAAGTGAAGGGAATTGATAGATCTGCTTGCGTTGCTGTGAAAGTTTATCTAATGTTGATTGAGGATTATTTGTGTTTGTAATCTGAGATTGAGGCATAGCATAATGATTATTAACGGACATATACGAATTACGATTTAGGGAAGCAGTATCAAATGCTCCTGAAAAAATTTTATTTGTAGTTGGTCGAGCCAATATAGGTGAGCGCCTGCAATATATTTCATACGTGTAAGTCTACAATTAAATTAAAAAAAAAATAAAAAATATTAAAGAAACCTTACCATATGTTTCGACGACGTTGTATAACGGGTGAAAAAGTCCATTGATTTTGTGTATTAGGTACTTTTTCAGTACGAATTGTGACAGATTTAGGTCTTACAGGCAAAGGGATATCATCAATATCCATTGGAGAAGCAGCAGAATTTAAAGCTCTGCTGTTAGAATCTTGAGATAATGCAAGTGGAGGTGATACTTTATGATGAATGTTAAATGCCATTTGATTGGATTTTGGCGTCTTATCCTGTTCACCTAAGTTTGACATTATATGATCTAAACCTAAGAATATTTCTTTTCCATTTGGTACTGCACATATTGTAGCTGGACGACGTCGTTTTGCTGGTGAGGATACTTTTGTTATATAGAAAATATATAAATTTAGTTAATATCATTTTTGATCTTTTTTTAAATACATGTAGATATATATATATATACCTGATCGAATATCATCATCCCTTTCTTGTTGCCAATAAGAAGTAGCATGTCTCTGAAGTAATACATATGTCACTTTTTGCATATTGTACCTTTGTGTAAACTATTATTAAAAAATATATACAAATGTATTTTATCAAATTTTTAAACCTACTCAGAATTTAATAAAGCTTTAATGACATTTTCAGTTGATAAGTCTGTCCATAAAACTTTAAGTGTTTCTAAAATTCGATCATCGATTTCAGATGAACTTGCTATTGGTCGTCCAATTTCTTCAGCAGTTGGTGGGTCAGGTAAAGTAGTTATATTAGGAGGAGGATCAACAGTAAACCAAGGATGAGATTGTACTTGACTCATCTATAATTTTTTTTATTAGTAAGTAATCACATATAATAATTGTATTTATTACTGTAAGCCTTTTTTCAGGATTGATAACCAAGATCTTTGTAATTAAATCTTTCGCCTCATTTGAAATATGATCCGGTATTTTGTACTTTCCAATTTTTACTTTGTTCAATAGTTGACGTATATTATCATCATCAAATGGTAAATGTCCACATAATAAAGCAAATAATATAACCCCACAAGACCAAATATCAGAAGCTGAACCATTATAAGGAATGCCCTAACAATGCAAAAAAAAAAAAAATAAAATAAAATAAAAAAAAATAAAATAAAAAAAATAAAATAAATACTGTTAAATCGCACGGATTTTAAAAAATATATTTATTTTACATTCACAATTTCTGGACTTGCATAATGTGGCGATCTGAAATATAATATTAATTAGTCCGTATTTTGCATTAAAAAAAATAGGTTTTACCCGCAACTAGTCTCTAACATTTGGCCAGTAGGTTGTAAGGAAGCCATCCCAAAATCTGCAATTTTGATATTTTTATTCCGGTCAAGTAGTAAATTTTCTGGCTTCAGATCTCTATGACTATTTTTTTTTATAATTAATTCAAAAAAAAAAGGCAATCATAAACAAAAGAAGTATACCAGATTAAATGACGGTGACAATAATCTAAACCAATAATAATCTGTTGAAAATGCTTTCTAGTCTCTGATTCTGATAATTTTCCTTTAGAAACTAAATGTTCAAATAATTCTCCTCCTTCAACAAATTCTAAGACCAAATATCTAATCAAATCATATTATTAGCTAATCAAGTAATTATTTATACTACTTACAAATTTGGTGAATCAGACAAGTCAATAACATCTAATAGGCTCATGATATTTGGATGATTTATTAGTTTCATAACTGCAATTTCTCTTTTTACCGCCCTTTCAACTGACGCGTTGGTAGCTAAATGAGCTTTAGGTATAATTTTGATAGCCACTTTTTCTCCTGTAATTTTATGGATACCAATTTTAACACGACCTATAGATTATATGTAAATAAATAATAGTCATATTATTATTTTGTGATTTGTGGCACCTGATGAACCTCTGCCCAATGTTTTTCCCAACCAATAATCACCAACCTCTTTTCGGCGTCGATTTCCAGGAGACAACATGGGTGACTTCTGCTTTTTATTTGAAAAATTTCCAAATACCTTCTTCTGTGGAGTAGGTGATGCAATAATATCGGCCATAACCACTAACTTGTATTATTATGATAATTTAATTCAAAAATAGTTAAATGGATTTATATAAAAAAGAAAAAAAAAAGATAATTAATGATGATGAAAAATGATAATTAAAATAAAAATCAGGGGGAAATGTACGTTTAACGGTTGAAATGAAGATATTCATATTATTTTTATTTTTTTTTTGTTTTAAACTTTTATTGTTTAAAGAAAAAAGCAGTTTATGTTAATAAAGGAATGTAACTTTATAAGTATTTTCGAAACAATTTTAACATTCTTTAGGACAAAATTAAATCAAACCGAACTTTGTTTTAAATAAAGAAAATTTAGCATTGAATAAATAGATAAAGCATACCTTACTATATCAGAATTTAAATTCTCAAAAAGAAGTTCACTTTAATATTAGCTATAAAACTAAAACAGAGATTGATTATTTCTGTTTACGTTAATATATCCTATATATTACATATTATCATTATTGTTCAGCATTATTTAAAGTTAATAACTTCAAGCATTTTAATATGATTTTAAATGATAATAAAAATAAATCTTTGTCCTGAAATTCCTTTTTAATGACTTCTTTGTTTAATATGCCATATTTATCATCAAAATCAAGTAGATATATGAATATTTGGCTTAGTCATATAATTTGAACGACTACTTAGACATATGTAACATCATCTTTTATATTTCAATCCTATTTACATCTGAACTTTCTCTTTATCTCTTGTTTTTATTCAACCACTCACTCTCTTAGAAAAAAAAATTATCTAAACAAATACACTACGATGCTAAGAGAGTCTTTTTTTTTTCGACTATTTGCAACTCTACCAAAGGATTCTTTCCATTGGATATTTGCAAATATCAGTAAGATCGTGCTGCCTGTATTTGTCAAAGAGAGCCTAGTACAAGAACATAATAATCAAGTGTATATGATCTACAGAAGCTTCAACTTCAAGGTTCTTGGAGTGTAAAGACAAAAGTAGTTTTTTTTTTCGATAACACAAAAATATTAGCCTTATTTGCTTATTTATTATAATTACATCGAAGGTTACTCCAGAATGAGATTAGTAATATTTTATTTAGCTTTACTATAAAGTAATATAACTTATCAATTATATTTATAATTGACAAAAGAAGAAAAAAGAAAAAGGTGTAGCAATATTGTAAGCCTTTCTCTATTGATCCTAAAGCATATTTTCACCAAAGTTTTTGGCATATATTCATAAATTAAAAAAAAAAATTGGTGCTACTCAACAAAGAAATACTAATGTCTTAATGGATCCATCATGTATTCAATCAATTTCCCAAACAAAAATAATACTATTCGTATCATGAAAATAAGGATTTATCCTTTTTATGCTAACTACATATACTCTCGCTTGAATAACACTTTTTTTTCTATTTTACTGTTATAATATCTCATAAAGTAAATTCTGTCTTTGTCCAAGTCACTAATAAGCACACAAGAGCACAGATTATTATTTAACTATTTTAAAGATACATTTAACAAAAAAAAAAAAAAAAGGATTCTAGTGAATTAAAAAGTAGAAAAAGATAGTAAAAGGTGGAGAAATAGTCACCAAAAGCAAACAGGTTTTTTCTAGATTTATGTTGCCCAATTAACATGTTACTTACCTGATAGAAAATAAAAGTTAACAAAGCCATAAAGTAAGAAACTAAGTGTATCGGGAAGTATGTTTAGGGTAGAAGTATTTAAAAAAAATATATAATTAAGTACAGAGGAAAGAAGTATGGCGTAATACATACAGATATCTGTATGTGTATGCGTGTGTGCTGGGATACTCTGAAAAAAGACCAAACTCCTGGTAATCTTTCCATATAGACAAAAGATTAACATAAGTCATCTTGAAGTTATAGTTAATAGGGAGTCATCTTTATGAAAAGCAGTTACTACATTGAAGACAATGATGTTTTTTGATTGAGTCTATATGTGGTATGCTGTATTTATATTTGTCTTCAAATAACTTAAAGCTGAGATGAAGTCACTGTAAGCACATAATTCTCTGTTCCAAGTATGATTCCCTTTAAGAAAATTCCCCAGCCTCCTCAATGATATCTTCTGTATTCAATTTCTTTTTCCTATCGTTATCTAAAAGCTTTTTATCCATTGTTTGCTTTTCTAACCGTATCCAAACTGAAATTGATGTAATAAGCTTCAGAAGAACATCCAACTTTGTGGCATAAATTGATATAATTCCTGTACATTAATTGGGTATAAATTTAAAATGGAGAATAAAATCCTTATTGCTGCTATACTAAAAAGCTAAGCTTATTGAAACGCGTAAAATATAAAATAGAAAATAATGCTTTTCTATTCTTTTTGTTCAAGTGAAAATTTAGCTAATGGGTCAATCAAATACAAAACAAGCAGCAACAAAAAACCAAATAGGAATAAATTCATCATCATCAATAAATACAATAGCATCAGTAAATGATAATTCGACTCATTTCAAAGCAAAGAATTATCTTTCAAAAGTTGAATATGTTTCAATGAAACTAATTTTTAATGAATTAAAATCATCGTTCATAGATCATTTTGAATGTATTGAACTCAAACAGTTTTTGGTAAAAAAAAAAGAAAAAAAAAAAGGGAGTGTGTGTGTGTGTGTGTGTGTGTGTGTGTGTGAAAACTAAACATCATTGATAATATGCTGTTCACAATAAAATAAAATAAAAAATAAAAATAAAAAAAAGATAAATTAATAATAAACAGCGAAATTAATAGGAATTTTTAAATTTACCGCCTGAAATCGAACCATCATCTATCCTCTTATTTAAATCTCTTTCATATTTAGGATCGTATCCAGCACATAAAATTTCTGGACCCGTTCCCCTATCTTTTGATTCATTTATAACCGCTTTTGTTGTACTCGCTGGTCGACTAGATAAACCTGATAATCCCATTTCCGAAAATCTATTTTTTCAATCTTTATCAGTTTTACCAGCTCCAGACGAAAATGAAAGTGATGAAGTAACTAGTATAGAACAAGAACAAGAAGAGGAAGGGTCAACTAATGTTGAAGATGAATCAGTGCCTAATCGACATTCACGAGGATTATCATTAGCTGAACTTGGTATTGATTTCGATGATCTTGATTTGGATACAAAGAAGGATACAGAGAAATTAACTAATCAAGGTCCAGAGATTTTATGCCGTGATTTAATTGAAATATTTGTATTGCTTTTATGGCTTGGTGAAGCTGATAAAGATATAAAACATGATTTTAAGAAAATTATTGATATGGCTAAATACATCGTTTACAATATTAAATCTGTAAAGACATTAACGAATAATAACACCTTTGAAGCTAATAGTAGCGTTATGGATGATGAATATCCTTGTATATCATATGAATTATTTTGTCGTTGGAAAAATAGGTTTTCAACTCATCTTTTCAAATCTTTACAATCATTCATTACAAGATCATTTACGTATTATGATGGTGATACCACTAGTACTGTACCAAGATCAGCTAGATTCAAACTACTTCCTGAAGATAAAGTACCTGAACCTATTCAAAGTGACATTCTTATACCTCTTTACACTACTTTATTATCCTGGTTAATACCCGAAAATATACTTGTTACTAAACAATGGTTAAGACTATATTCTGCGGATCAAAATGGCTTTTCAATGAATCGCTTTGAAAGTCATGTATTTAAATATCCTGGACCCACTCTTTTTATTCTCGAGGTAGATGCTGTTTCATCATCCTGCAATGCAATAGTAAGACAGTCATCAGAAGATTGTAGTAAATGGTCAGAGACAGTCAACAATAATAGGGGTGAGAAGAAGCAAATCCGTCAAACTATTATTTTAGGCGCTTATGTTGCGCAACCTTGGAAACATTCCAAACAATTTTGGGGAACTAATGAATGCTTTTTATTTGAATTGTATCCTTCGTTTGATGTATTTCGGCCTGTTATAAAAAATCATACTAAGGATGATAGTAAAAATGACCATTACATTTATTATCATCATGATTTTGGCATTGGGTTTGGAGCAATGAATAAGCAGCCTCCTTTAGCTCGTTCAGTTACTGCCACAACTCAACAAAACGATTTTATTATATTTTTACAAAATTCTCTTCAAGAAGGAATTTATCAAGTTGAAGCATACCCACCTCAACCAAGCTTTGAAAGTATGACAGAATCAAGAAAGAATTCATCCTTTTTCTATAAATTCAACACAGTTAATATTGAAGTATTTGGGTTAGGGAATGAGAAAGATAGAGAAAAACAATTAAAAGAATGGAAGTTTGAAAAACAGGAAGCAGCAAGAAGGTCAGGTGTAAATATTAGGCATTTAGACGGACAATTGGATAAAGAGTTGCTGAAGATGGCTGGTATCATTAATGAGGATATGAGGCAAGATCGTTAAACCAAAAAAAAAAAAAAGTGATGATACTTATTATTTATATATTTGTATGCCCTTTTATTATTATTAATTGTATGTATTTGTATATATACCTTTTCATTTAAATAATAAATCAGCTTTGAATTTAAAGTTTTTTTTTTTCTTTGCCATTATCAAAGCTTTATTAAATTCACAAATTGAAATTGAAACCTTTGAGTTAAAACGCTAATAATAATCAGTAACTTAAATCAATCTCACATCATCTTAAGCCATACTTCCTCATTTGACGTTAAAAAGGATATTGAATCGTAATAATTCTCCTTACGATTATATCAAAAGTATCAAATATTAATTGGATAATTTGAGTTTTACAGGTTTATATTACTATACAGGAAACAGCTTCCTGTTAGTGAAACAAAACATACCTCATATATTTATCAAAAAATGTAGTTGTTAAGGGTTGTTGCGATTACTAATAATAAAAATTATAATAAAATTGTACATTGCATATTTATGTTTACATATAATTTAAAATATTACCAAGGCAGTATTAAATAATAGAATAAAAACAAGGTACATATAGGCCAATTTACTTTTTTTTTCCCCTTTCTTACATTTCATCTTAACATGAGATTATCATTGCTGGCAGTTACACTTATCTCTGCTATCGCTTTATGTGAAGGTTCCACAAAATTAGTAATTGGGTAATGTGTTAGTCTTTATTGTAGGCAAATATTTGTATTTTTATATTAATGCCTTTTCATACGAACTCAATAGTTATCTTCCTAATTGGTTATACACAACTTATCCTATCGAAAATGTTCCATATAAAGAATATACTCATCTTAATTATGGTATGCATATATTTTATCAATCTGTTTTCTTTTTTTTTTTTTTTTTTTTTTTTGTTTTGTTTTGCTTACTTGACAATAATAGCATTCGCCCTTCTGAATAATCAGGATAACCTTCCTTCCTTTTCAGATGATTGGATAGTGGAAACATCTTTACCTAGCATTATTAATATGGCACACTCAAACGAAACTAAAGTCTTATTGTCTATTGGTGGCTGGACAGGATCAAAAAAGTTTAGTTCTATGGTTAAAACTACTAAAAATCGTCAAAATTTTATTAATTGGAATTTGGATTTTATTGAAAAATACAAAACAGACGGTGTTGACTTGGATTGGGAATATCCTGGTAAACAAGCTGCTGGATGCAATGAATTTGCTGATAATGATTCAGATAACTTTTTGCTCTTGTTAAAGGAGATGCGTGAAGCATTAGACAAGAGATTTCCAATGGAACATAAGGAGATTTCTTTAGCTGTTCATGTCCAACCGTTTGTTAAATCAGGTGTTCCAATGACTAATCTTGAGACCTTTGTACCTTATTTTGATCGTGTTAATATAATGACTTATGGTAATATATGCAGTTTTTTTTTCTTTCATAATTTAATCTATTTTTATTAATTTTTTTTGTCAAATATGTAGATATAAATGGTGCTTGGGCTTCCGAAACTGGACCTAATGCCCCCTTTCAATATGAAGAGGGCAAAGGTGCAGCATTTTCTTTTGTAAAAAGTAAATCGGATCATATTCTTATGTGTATGGTTCTTTAGTTTAACGGTTTATATCATTTTTTTTTCCTTCTTTATAGGCATTCAAGACTGGAAAGCAGCTGGTGTACCTGCAAATAAGATCACTGCTGGGCTTCCATTCTACGGCCGTGCTATAAAGGCTAAAAATGATATGACAAGAGAAATTTCTCAATTCCAAGATGCAGAGTTGGGAGCACCTAAAGGTGATTCTGATGATAGTTACTGGAGCGACCCCTATTGTACTACAGAGCCTGAAGGTTATTCTGGTAGGTTGACATTTCACTATGATTGATACCATCTTTAGAATAGACTGTTTATTTGTGTGTGTGTGTGTGTGTTTTGTTATAGGCATATGGAAATGGGTAAATATTCGTGAGGAAGGACTTTTAGAAGATGATATGATTACACCTGGTAAAGGATGGCTACGTAATTGGGATAAAACTTCACAAACTCCTTGGTTATTCAATCCTACAACCAAAGATTTTATTTCATATGATGATCCTCAATCTTTAAAAGTGAAGATTCACCATGTTCTATGCGAGGACTTGGCTGGAGTCATGGTTTGGTAATAACATCATAAGATATATGTATAGTTGCTTGATAAAATAATTAATTTATTTTATATAGGGATATTCATCAGGATAATGGAGAACTCCTAAATGCAGTAAATACTATACATACTACAGTTCCTTTAGGATGCCCTACCGACTTGAAAACTTATCGTGATATTAACAATGAAGGAATAAACGACATAGATGAGGTTGTAACTATTAGTGAAGAAAATGCTTCTTGGACTTCATCATACATATCAGCTGAAACATCAAATAGTTTTTCCAACTCTTTCGAACTAGATGATGACATCTTCTCAGAGAATAATGAATTTGATAATATTAATAATCAAAGAGAAAATGAATTAACATCAGCAATTTCAAAGACATTATATTCATTGGATGAGGATAGTCTTAATGGAAAAAGCTGCTCAAGTTCTGGCCAACAAATGTGTATTAAACCAGGGGAATCTGAAAAATGGCTAACGTGTAACATTGATACTTGGTTAATCCGAGAATGTTCTATAGGACTTGTTTGCAAAGAAATAGATGATGGTATAATTAACGCTGTGAATAACTAATCTACTCTAATATCTAACTTCACTATATATATATATATATACAGTTGTAGGAGGCATCTATTGTGACAGACCTACTGAAGAAACAGATGCTGAATTTAATGCGGCAGTTTTAGATTATAATCCTTATGAAGAGGATAATTCTAGTCTCTCTTTTTACATGGATGAAAATTTTTCTTCTAGTGTAGACGAGGATGAATCCATTTTTGTTGAAAATGATACAGGATATAGCTATCATGACGAGGCTTCTTTAATGATAGGCGATATAAGAAATCATGTCTCGTTAGCAGTCGAAGATCCAATTATGAATGTGCAAATGATCTAAAATAATTTATTATTATATACCATTAAAGAATTATATCAATAAAATAAACAAGTATTATTATTTATTGTAAAGTATATAAAGAAGGAATGCATGCACATTATATTAATCTTGTCGTATAAGAGGCCAGTAGTATGAATCTATTTTGAAAGAGAATTAAGTATTTTATGTATGCAAATTGTCTAATAATTACCCAATGTACCAGGTGCAACCAAATATTTTATAAGCAATGGATTTTCTCTTTTATCAAGCTATAAAAAGAATCAGTTAAACTCAAAAGAAGTTGAATTTCGTTTTTTATTTATATATTTTACCCCAAAATAGGATTCAGTACGAGTTAAATCGTCTTTACTTGTGGGTTGATCAGTTATGATTACTAAATCTACACTATCAAGACATAGTGAAGGCTCTTTTAACTTCATATCAAAAAGTACAACTTGTACTGCATGACTCTTATTATAGCTTTGTGCTTTTTCTTCAATATTTTCTGAATCATTTATTGTAATATATTTGACCTATATTTTAGAAAAGATAAGAAATGATTTTTTTTTCTATTTCTTCTTGTTACAACTAAGTTTACTACCTTTCTTTTTTTCATAATGTCTTCAATACTCTTCGATGTACTATCATCATAATAAGTAATCGCTATTTTTGGTCGTTTATATGTATTAAAAACATGTTCAATATATTCACAAACTGCATTCTTCTTTGCAATACTGGTTTTTTTTAACTTGTATATAATAAATGGTTAGTTAGCTATTTTTTCTTTTTCCTTCTTTTTTGAATGTCATTAAGCAGCTAAGTTACCAAATCCTTTTCTTGAATATATTCTTCTGCAATCTCCTCTCCATTTTCTATACTCGTTAAATAAGGCTGAAACTCTTTTTTAATTTTTTTTCTATTGGTAGAGTAATTTTATCGCGTACAGGTCTTTTATATTCTGATTTCATGTCAGCCAATTTTGGACAGTACCAAATATGTGTATCTAATACAAAATTTAATTCTTCCATGTTTGATCTACCATTTACAAAGACACCAAATACAGAAGTTTTTGGATTACAATAACGCGTAATATAAGTGTCTGCATCTGGATAGAAACTTGGATTAATCACGTTTATTTGATTGTAAAGATCAATGGGTAAAGAATAAATTGCTGTGTCAGAAAGCAATATTGCTCTGGGATGGTCTTGAAGCATTTTAGAAATATTTTTTACTTGATTTTGCTATGAAAAATAATTAATAATTAGTAAATTACACAAAGCTGTATATATAAAATCGTATTTACATCTCTTGACTTCAAATAATGACTAGCATCAATTATCATCACTTTAAATTTCTGTTCATATATTTTAGTCTTATTTTTGGATACTTTCTTATGACTTGCAATATAAAATTTAATAGGTGATGAGCAAGTCATTTTATATATTTCTGCTTCATCACTATCATTATCAATATCATATTCTTCATCTTCTTCATCGCTAGAAAATAGACCATATTCTTCAGTTTGTTTGGAATTAAATGAAGCGCTTCCCTTTATTCTCTTATTAAATATATTCTTTTTTGTTCTATTTTCTTTCTTTCTTTTCTTTAAAGAAATAGATGTTTCCTTAAATAATCCTCCTACTACATTATCCAATATACAAATTTCATCTTCCTCTAAATCGAAAAAATTTTGAACAGTTTCCTTCCAAGTCTCGCATAAAATGGCTGGACACATTAAAAGTACAGGCCATTCATCTTTGTAGACATTTGCCAAAGCTAAGGCCTGTTCTATAAGTCCAATGCCATTTTCATTTCCCAATAAAATTCTACCCTTTTTTTCAATCCCCAGTCGAACTGCTTCTTGTTGAAACGGCTTTAGAAGTTTTCGCATAGGAGATTCAACAAATTCGGTCCATTTCAACTCGACTTCGCTCATAAAATCTGGATTATTAACTAAAATATCATTACGCATCAAAATAGTATCTATCAATGTAGTTGGTATAGGATCAATATCAACTTGGATATTAGGAATATCCGTTGGTAAAGCTGCTATTGTATTGTTATAAACTCGAAGAGAGGCTGGAATTGTCCACATTGATAATTTTTCGTTCCAAGCAATATGTTCAATTTTAGCAATGACAGGATCAATAGTCAAGTTTTTTTGTGCCTTCATGCCAATCAATGTTTTTGAAAGAAGAAGAAATACAATTTTAACAGTCGTTTTGGTAAGTACTGTTTCTTTTGCCTTTTGCTGCATATACGAAAGCGTAACTGGACGTCTTGAGTTACCTCTCACATTCCCAGCTGCTGCATACGCTTCTGTTGGATGACGAATAAATGGTAATGCTGAATCATCCCATTTAAAGAAACGACAGGAACCTGATGCACACTTGTTAAATAACATTAGGTTTTCAAATTTTTAGAATATTTGTTTACAAAGGTATATTTACTGTCCAATACCAACGTCCTCTATTTGGTCCTGATGTCTTTACTTCATGAGATATTGCAGTTATTCCACAGAAACAATTAGACATTGTAAAAAAAAAAAAAAAAAAAAAAATAGGCGTATAAAAAGGGGAAGAGAAAGAAAAAATCTTGTCAATTTTTAATTTCTTATGTCAGCAATCCATTTTTTCTTTTTTTTTTTCAAATAATTTTTAAAGGAGTCTTTGTGCCCTTTTTTTTTTTTTTTTTTTTCTGTTTAGAGAATGAGAAATAGTTCATATCACTAATTTAGGCTGAATTTATAAACACTGAATATTCCCGTTTCCTATTGAAAGTCTTATATTCAAACCTGGTATAAGCCTGCCTGCCAACATGAAATAACAAAAAAGGCTTGGAATGAATAAATGCGAGTCATTTTTGTAAATGCCTTATTAGGAAATATGATCCTTTTTTTTAAATTTTTAAATCCAAAGAAAAAAAAAAAAAAGAAAAGAAAAGAAAAGCAAGTATAACATATACTAATTAATTTCAATTTTACTTTAAACATGCATGATGCACAATTAAAAAATTTAGGTAAATAAAAAAAAAAAAAAGATAATCTACCGAAATGAGTACGAATCATAATTGTTTGATTGTACATTTATCTTTTATTAGTGGAAGAAGATGATCACTGTTATTTCATTACCAATTTGGCATCTTCTGTAAATCGTGCTATGTTATGGAAGATTTTTGGGCAGTTTGGAACTATAAAGCTAATAGAAGTATCTGGTACAGATACAATATCATCAGCTATTATTGTCTATAATTTACAACCATCTGATCAACTATGCACTCAACCTATTTACATAAAAGAGATGCTCGTTTCGGTACAAGAAGTTCCAATTTCTGATTATATTAAGAAGATTAGCTGTCCTGTTCCTGTGAACAAGCTTTCTTTCGGAGGCTTAGATTCGCCTCGTGTGTTTATTGAAGAATGGTTTACAGATGAATATGTTACATTTGATCTTAATGTAGCCGAGAAATACATGGAGATATTTTTCGCTCATATTGATGGCTATTATCGTCTCAGAGTACCTTATGATCATACACTTAAAAATACTGTTGTTTTACAGAGACATAATAATATTTCATCACTTACTATTAGTAGCAAATACCCAGCTTATTTTTGGAAATCCAGAGTTCCAATGCAAAAGATTACAGATACATATGATTTAAAAAATTGGGAAAGAGTGTTAGAGATTCCACGAGATGATCTTTCGCGTGAAATGATACGAAATGAAAAGGCATCCAATATTAATATTGATAAAGAACCTATTTCACCCTCTGGACAATTTCCAGATTATCTTATAAAATTGAATATGTGGACTGTTTATCGTCTTGAGTTTCATATCCCTTATAGATCGTTAAAGAATGTAGGAAATATGGGCCTTAACTTACACAATTTAACACATGAATCATTAGAACGAAAGCTTGCGTTAGCAATGAATAAATCTGTTTCATCCAGAGAAGAAAGCACTGAGCAAATTATTGTTCAGCCTCCTATAAGATCAAGCGATATTAAAGCACATTTAGCAAATATGCCTTTTGAGGTGCAATACATGATGGAACATGCATTTAATCTTAAAATTTTACGAGAATATAATGTTGATTCTGATTTCTTCGAAACAATGCAATTATTGCCTCCTCAAGTAAGTTGTACATTTTTAACTATCTTGTCTGGACCACAAAAGCGTGTTTATAATCCCGACACAGTAATCAAAGAGATCTTCAAGCTTTGTAAAGAACAGATTGGAGTTCAGCAATCTATACCGAAAAACCATACAATGATAAGAAGGGTATTGATTACACCAACATCTATCTATCCTCTACAACCAGTTATCGAACCCATGAACAATTTGCAATATCACTTTCAAGAGTATGCAGATCGGTTCTTATACGTTCAGTTTACTGATGAGCATTTGGAGCCCATTGGTCCTATTGAAGATGAGAATCAAGCGCCACCCAATAATAAAATTTACAGTCGCATTTTTTCTATATTAAGACGTGGATTGAGGATTGCAGGTCGAACTTATGAATTTTTAGGATCATCTATCGATAATTTACGGGAACATGGCTGTTGGTTCTTTTCTCCTACACATAAAATGAACCGTACAAAGATCTTGCATTGGATGGGCGATTTTCAAGAAATAAAGACAGTTTCTACTTTTGTCAATAGTGTGGGACAGGTAAAAAAAAAAAAAAAAAAAAAAAAAAGAAAAAGAGGGAGGAGATATTACATGATATGATCTAATATTTTATGATATTATTTTACTAGGAGTTTACGCCTAGATTATTGACTATAGAAATAAAGCCTAATGAAATAGAAGAGATTGATGATTATTATTACAATGACTGTAATTTTACATTGGACTGTGGTAAAATGTCACCTCAAATAGCTCGAGATCTTGCAAATCAGCTTGATATGGATTATACGCCCAGTGTTGTTCGATTTAACCTCTGCGGATCAAGAGGAATTTTAATGCTATCAAATTTTTTAACAAAACGAAAGATCCAACTTCGTTCAAGCCAAATCAGATTTGAAAGCAGAAACTTACAGTTAGAAATCATTAAGGTTTCCAAACCTAATCCAGTTTATTTAGATAAACGATCTATCACTCTATTATCATCTTTAGGGGTTAAAGACTACATATTTCAAGATATTTTAGAAGATAATTTAACAAGTTGGGGGAAAGATGCGCATAAAAAGACATCAATCTATCTTGAATTACTTGTTAAACATTACAAGAATAATTGTATGGACGATTTCCAACGTATTTTAAATTGTGATTTTCTTGATCAACGTGATCCTTTTATTTTCAATCTTGTTGCAGCTTTCCAAAACAGTTTAGTAAGAGGAATAAAAGAAGATTGTAAATTGTATGTCAAGAATGGTATCAGAGTATTTGCTATTATGGATGAAACAGGATCTTTAAAACCAGGAGAAATATTCCTTCAAGTTACTTATTCAGCTGGTTTATCTTCAGACAAAATTTTAGTGGAAGGCCCCTGCGTTGTTTACAGAGATTCTTCTTGTTTTCCAGAAGATGTGAAAGTAGTTAATGCCATTAAACATCCTCGTTTAAGACATTATACTAATGTGTTAGTGTACTGTTCACATGATATGCGGGATCTTCCAAGCTCTTGTTCCAATGATGATAATGATGAAGACAATTTTACGTAAGTAATTATTATTATTATTCTTATTTTGCCCAAGACAAGACTTATTGTATATACACATATTTATAGTATCATTTGGGACCATCGTTTAATACCAACTAATACAAGTACTGGTATTCGAAGTTATAAAACAACAGTAACGTCTAACAGTTTGGAAAATATCACATTTAAAGAGGCTGCAAAGTTTTTTACCACCTACATTTCTAGAGATATATTACATTCATTAAATGATGCCTATATTGCACTTGCTGATAGACATAAAGAAGGTATCTTTAATGGTGGCTGTGTTTATCTTTCACAACATATGAGTCGTGCGTTAGGTAAATTCAATAAAATAATAATACAGAAAGCATGATCTGATTGTAATTATTTAGATTTTGCAAAAACTGGTGTATATGCAACATTGAATCATGGACTCTCTCGTTATCCATACCCCGACTTTATGAATCGAAATTCACTTCAAACATATTATTCTAACAAGTCATTGGGAAGCCTTTTTAGAACTGCAAATCAACTCAAATACAGCGCCTACATTACTAATCATTGTACTTATGATCCAAGACTTTATGTAGAGGATATGTACAAATATGTAGTTGAAGCAAGAAAAATGAAAGCAAAATATGATCATAGTCTTCGTATTTTGCTTGGACAATATTCTGTTCAAACAGAAATCGAATTCATTTCGGGTCATATCATATCTTGGCCGAAATATCTTAACCCACAACGCCGACCCATCTATTGTGAGCATATTAGAGCTGCTTATGGTCGTCTAAAATATTTTTGGAAACAACAATTTGATTCATTTTTGATTTATAAAAATATAGATGGAAGTCCAAAAGAGGAATCGGAGATCCTTGAACAGATTGAGGCAAGGGTAGCAGCATGGTATTATGTGACTTATCATCCATCTGAACATAAAAGTGATGTTATTTATAATTCGACTCTTCTACGCTATATGAGTTTTCCCTGGGTAGTTGATGATTATTTATGTTACGTTGCAAGCAAAAATTCTGATAGACCCATTCTACCAGAGTATTTGCAGCCTATACCGCCAGAGAAGATTTCCAATTATCATAAGTTGAATATGGGATTAAACATAGATATTATGGTTAGTAGTGAATCAGAAGATGATGAAGATGAGAATTCAGAGAGTGAAGATGCAGATGAAGCTGCATTTATGATAGAAAATGCAACTGAAAATCCACAATTATCAAATAATGGTGAACAAACTGACGATGATGATGATGATGATAATGCTGATGATGAAATGCCCATTTTAGCTGTCAAGATTACAGATTTATTAAAACTACAATGATAATAATAAAAAAGAAAAAAAAAAATAAAAAAAAATAAATAAATATCAATATAAAATTTATTTATTTAAGCAAATAATACATATTAGAGTTCTCTTTTTTTTTTTTTTTTTTTTTTTGTCTAGATATATTTCAACATGAGTGTGGATTCTGATGTACAAGAAACCTATTATCATTCTAATAAGAGTCTGAATGGTTGGATTATACAAGGCATGTATCCAGATGTACCAAGCCTGTCACCACTTATTGGAAAGAGATTCACTAGTGAAACTCAACAGTCAACACCAGTTACAGAGACAACCTCAATACCAACAAAGCGAAAGTCATCACATTTATATCCATTTTCAAGAGAAAATCAACCAGTATTAAATTTACAAACAGAAAAGCGACTGACATCTAAGAATTTAAGTTCTACTTTGACTACAGAAGTTAATCTAGAATCATCTAATTACACCAAGATTAGAAGAACATTGTCACCGACGATGGAAATCAATAACACAGTTATAAATAAACCAGAAAATAGCAATTTATATGATCAACTATCTAATGAACAAAAGCGTATACATGATTGCATAGTTAATGACAAAGAAAACGTATTTTTCACTGGTTCAGCAGGTAAATTTGAATTAATTATCAATCTTCTTATTGATCTAAAAATTTTATTTAGGCACAGGAAAATCGGTTTTATTAAAAGGTATAACAATTTTCTTTGGAAAAAAAAAAATTAACTAGATAATTCAGCAATTATAAGTACTTTAAAAAGTATATATCCTGAAGAAGAGATTGCTATTACTGCATCTACTGGTATTGCAGCTCTTAATATTGGAGGGATTACAATCCATAGGTAAAAAAAAAAAAAAAAAAAAAAAAAAAAAAAAAAAAAAAAAAAAAAAACTACTTGTCATCTTGTACAGAAATAATCTCAAAATTTATAAAGTTTTGCGCATGTAAAACTAGGTGATGAGCATGTTGACACATATATAAAAAATATTAAAAAATCTGAATTGAAAAAGCGTATATGGAAACGAGTTAAAATATTAATAATTGATGAAATATCAATGATTGATGGAGCTCTTTTGGATAAATTAGAGGAAATTGCTAGACGTATTCGTGGATCAAATCAACCTTTTGGTGGCATACAAGTATAATAACAAATATAGTCATATCTAAAGGAAAATTTTTTATATTTATATACATATTTTTTTATAGCTTATATTTTCGGGGGATTTTTTTCAATTGCCTCCTGTTAATCGACATCAAATAACAGTACTTGCTTTTGAAGCAAAGTGTTGGAAAAGGATCATAAATAAAAATATGGTTTTAACGACTTGTTTTAGACAGAAGGATCAAAGTAAGCAAAGCTGATTTATACATACTTTACAAGTGAAAACTAAATACGTACATATAAATATATACACATATATTGTTAGAATTTATACGTATACTTAATGAGTTAAGAATAGGAAAAATATCTCAGGAAACAGAAAGAATATTTCATTCTTTAAGCAGACCTCCTAAAGTTAATATTGATATTATTCCGACGGAATTGTACAGTTCATAGAAAATCGAGAAAACAAGTTAAACTGACTTTAATTCTTATCTCTTTATAGATATCCAATTAGAGCAAAAGTGGATGCGGCAAATAACGGGAGACTAAAATTATTGGACGGAGAATCTTACATGTTCCTATCAACAGATCAAGGAAACAAAACAGTGCTAAATCGTTGTGTTGCACCTGAAGAGTTGATATTAAAAATAGGTGCACAAGTTATGTTGATTAAAAATCTTACATCCACACTTGTTAATGGCTCCATTGGTATTGTTATCGGATTTACAACTGCAAAGGGATCTAAAAGGTATCCTGTTGTTAAGTTTACCAATGGAACAGAAAAAGTGATTTATGAAGAAACTTGGGATTATCATTTACCAGGTAAAGATAGACAATTGTGTATAAAAAAAAAAAAAAAAAAAAAAAAAAAAAAAAATTCTTAGTTTAAATTGATTTAAATAATAGGACTGCCATTAATAAGCAGAAAACAAATACCATTGGTATTGGCTTGGGCTATTTCGATTCATAAAGCACAAGGCCAAACAATAGAGTATGTAAAAGTAGATCTTGAAAAGGCTTTTGAAGAAGGTCAAGTGTATGTGGCTCTTTCTCGAGCTACATGTTTAGATAATTTGCAGATCTTGAATTTTAAAAAAAGTCTGGTTAAAGTAAATGAAAAGGTTATTCAGTTTTACAATAAAATTTCAAATAACGCTTAAAATAATGAGAAACTGGCACAAATAATATTCAAGAGAAGGATATTTAGGGGCTTCTTTACTTGAGAGCCCGAAATATATATCCGTCATAGATATTTATAAATAGGCCTATAATTGTCAACGTTTTAGTTTTTATTTATTTCTCTTTATTTTCCTCTTTTGTTCATATAAATGTCTATTAAAGAAAAAGATCTAAAAGAACAAATTTCTATACAAGAAAATGATAAATTGCAAGAATTCGAAGTAGATGAAAACGGTGAAAGACGTATAGAACCTACAGAAGAAGATTACAAAAATCTCAGAGAAGTTGCTGATAATATCCCTAAGGCAGCTTATCTCGTTATTCTTGTAGAGTTTTGTGAAAGGTTTACCTACTATGGTTTGACAGGGCCATTTCAAAATTATATTCAAAACCCTAACCCGCCTAGTTGTAAATAATAATAATAATATTAAGCATTGTTTTTCCCACGATTATTTATTAAAACTCATACCATTTATATTATGTAATCATAGACCCTGCTGAATTTCCTGGTGCAATGGGTAAAGGTCAACAAACAGCTACTGCCTTAACTACATTTCTTCAATTCTGGTGTTATGTGACTCCTATTATTGGTGCTATCATTGCTGATCAATACTGGGGCAAATATAAAACAATTCTTATCTTTGCCTGTATTTATTTTGTTGGTTTAGTTATTTTAACTTTAACTTCTATTCCTGCTGCAATTGCTTCTGGTGCTACTTTCCCAGGTTTTATTGTTGCGATCATCATTATTGGTTTTGCAACGGGTGGTATTAAATCGAATGTATCTCCACTTGTTGCTGAACAATATAGGAATTTAAAACCATTTATAAAGACAATCAAGCGAAAGTCATCCTCTAAAGATACTTATGATGAAGAAATACGTGTCATCGTATCACCTCAAGCTACCTATCAAAAGCTTTTTAATATGTTCTATTGGGGTATTAATGTTGGTTCTCTAGCTTCAATTACTACTGTTGTCCTTGAAAAGAATTGTGGTTTTTGGCCAGCCTTCCTTTTACCAACACTTGTTTTTATACCAGGCATTTTAGTTGTATGGGCTGGTAAAAAACATTACGTTCGTAATCCTCCTCGTGGTTCCATCTTTATTGAAGCAATTAAAGTCATCAGCTTTTCATTTAAATATGGACTCGAAGGCTGTAAGCCATCAGTTTTATGTACTACGCACCCAGAAGTCGCTGAAAGAATAACTTGGGATGATATCTTTATTGATGAACTTCGTCGTACTTTCAGGGCTTGTATTGTATTTTGTTGGTATCCTATTTACTGGCTTTGTTACTCTCAAATGACAAATAATATGGTCTCTATGACTGCTACTATGCAAACTGGCAATGTTCCTAACGATATTATGCAAAACATTAATCCTTTGACGCTTGTTATTGTTATCCCTATTATGGATCGTGTCATCTATCCTGGACTTCGACGTATTGGTATCAATTTTCGACCTATGGCACGTATTACATGTGGCTTTGTTTTTGCTGCTCTTGCTATGGCTTATGCTGCTGGTATACAATCCTATATTTATAGTAAAGGTCCATATTATGATCATCCTAATGGACATGGTAAAAATGATGTCTCTGCTGCCTTAATTATTCCTGCTTACATCTTGGTTGGTATTTCAGAAATCTTTGCCTCCATTACTGGTCTTGAATATGCTTACAGAAAGGCACCCGAGAAGATGAAATCATTAGTTATGGCCACCTTTTTATTAACGAATTGTTTTGGTTCTATTCTTGGTTTTGCTCTTGTTACAGTTGCTGTAGATCCAAAGCTTAAATGGATGTATGCCGGTATTTCAATTGCCATGGGTATTTGTGCTCCTCTTTTCTATTTCTGTCATGGAAAGAACGATAAGCTTGATGTAATAGAAGATAATATTGGTATTAGAAATAACTCTGATCAAGAAGAAGTTAAAACTGAAATGAGTTCTAACTATGAATTAGAACTTAAATCTACTGTCTAAAAAAGAAAGAAAGAAAGAAAAAAAAGAATGTATATACAAACGTAATATAAATTTATTTTCATGTGTCATTTTATACCAATTATCATTTTTACTTCTACTAGAGAAGATAGATTTTTTTCATACACATTACATAATAAATCATAATATTATAACTAGAAAATATTAGATTAAATAAGTCAAAAAAAAAAAAAAAAAAAGAGTTGATGTACATAATATATTCAAATATATTAAACAATACTCATATATACAAAATGTATTACTGATAATTTAAAGTTAGAAAATAACCAAAAAAAGATATTTGTCGTAAAACAAAATAGCTTCTTTTTTTGAATAAAATCGAAAAAAAAAAAAAAGTTTAATGTGACCCGTAAACACATGCAAATTATTGTACAGTCCGGCTGATAAAAAAAAGAAAAGAGAAAAAATATTAATTGTAGAAATATATCTGTCGTTTTTATTTTTGTTGATTGCTGTTCATAGAAAAAGGATTGCTAAAATGAAAACTAAACTAAACCTTCGGAAAAACACAAATGAACTTCATTAAATGTTACTCTTGCCCTGATAGGATTTTTTTAATACTTGTTGGCTTTATAAACTCTTATATTCTTTTTCCTTTTCATTTGAGATTTACAAAATTTATAAAATACATAAGATTGCTAGTATAGCTACATATAAGCTCCTAATTGTCGAACTTATCGGCTTGTAATCATCTTTGATAAAACAGAATTTTGTATTTCTGTCTATTTGGAGTTGGTTGCCTTTGCAGACAAGCCAACTGGTCTGCAAGAAAATGCTCAACTGTTTCTGGAGAGGCGAGCATGTAGTGCCCTTTTTTTTTTCCATTTTCTAATGATATTAGTATTGGTTTCAATTTCTCAATCTTGCTGAACATAATTTTCTTTTATCAGATTTTGATTGATCTAGTGCATCAAAGGCAATTATTACATTGTAATGACGATAGAGTAAGCGATTTTGAGTTGAATTATGTGATTGTTGAACGTCCTAAAAGTAGAAGGTTTACTGTGACAATCGAGGCAATTGAATCTACCACTTATTCTTTTAACTACACTCATTTATTTTTTAAAAAAAAAGGATAAACATATTATCTTTTTAAACCTGAAATGGCTCATTTTCTACTACTTTTGTTTACAGTCACTTGTAACGTATTTACATGAATATCATAGTTATGGTTATACAATTTTGATGATGTAGGAAATTAGGTTTACCAAAAAAGAAAAATCATGTTTTCATTTTCTCTGAATAAATGAATGTGAGAGAATGAGAGGAAATGTGACAAGCGAGAGAGTGAAAGAGTGAGAGGAAATGCGATTGATGTCTATCACGACAATATCTCTTCCTATAAACGACGATCAACAAAAGTAAAAACGACAGATATTTTTTCAAATTCCGACAATTACTATTCATTTTTTTTTAAGACTGTATTTAGTAATTTTAAACAAATCTTATCACAAGCATGAAAAAAAAGTTTGATTTCAGTTTAAAACACAGCTTCTTTTTTTTTCTTTTTAATTGTTTAAAAAGGAAAAAATAGTTTAGTGGTCTTTTCAATAGAAAAAAAAGATTGTTATAATTATTATAATTGGTTATCAATAAATATTAAAGTATGAAGTTTAATCGAATCAATGATACTTTACTTAATCTCTTGATTTGTGTACCTTTTCGTTATTTAATTACATGTTAAATAAAATAAAAAAAAAATCTTTAAATGATCGTGCAATAAAATTAAGTTTATCTTCTACGTAAATCTACTAGTATAGAGCGTACAACAATATATAAAGTTCCCAGGATTAATATTAGTACGTACACAATTATTATGTGTACGTGTTTATGTGTTTAATAAGATAGAATTTCTAATTTTTTTTTTAAAATAGAAAGAAAAGAAAGTAAAGGTTGGACAATAGAAAACATTTATTTATTCTTTAAAACTCCGTATTTCGATTTTTTTATTGATTTAATGAGCATATATATAGAGTCTACTTTTTTATTATATTTCTTTTTCATTAGTTCACTTTTTATTATTATTATTATTATTATTATTTTAAAATAATATGAGCGAAAAAGAAAAGCAAGATGTTGTAGTCGAAAAATATGAAAATGGGTTTGAAACCTCTGACAATGGAGAATTATATATTGAACCTACTGAAGAGGATTACAAAAACCTTAGAGAAGTAGCAGATCGTATTCCTAAAGCTGCCTATTTGGTTATTCTTATTGAATTCTGTGAAAGATTTACTTACTATGGTTTAACGGGTCCATTTCAAAATTATATTGAAAACCCTGATCCTGGAAGTTGTAAGTTCTTACAAACTCTTTTATCTTTTTTTTTTTTAATTTTTTATTTTTTTCATTATTATTTTATAAACTAATCTTCTTTTTTATATTTATATAGATCCCGCTGATTTACCAGGTGCAATGGGTAAAGGTCAACAAACAGCTACTGCTTTAAATACTTTCTTTCAATTCTGGTGTTATGTGACTCCTATTATTGGTGCTATCATTGCTGATCAATACTGGGGCAAATATAAAACAATTCTTGTCTTTGCCTGTATTTATTTTGTTGGTCTAGTTATTTTAACTTTAACTTCTATTCCTGCTGCAATTGCTTCTGGTGCTACTTTCCCAGGTTTTATTGTTGCAATCATCATTATCGGTCTTGCTGCTGGTGGTATTAAATCGAATGTGTCCCCACTTGTTGCTGAACAATATGGTGCAACTAAACCATACATTAAAACAATTAAATCGAAAGCTTCTTCAAAATATGCTTCTGATGAGGGTGATCTTCCTGCTAATGGTGATATCTCTTCTGCTGGTGTCACTCGTGTCATCGTATCACCTCAAGCTACCTATCAAAAGCTTTTTAACATGTTCTATTGGGGTATTAACGTTGGTTCACTTGCTGCTATTTCTACTGTCGTTATCGAAAAGAATTGTGGTTTCTGGCCTGCCTTCCTTTTGCCTACATTAGTATTCATTCCTTGTATCTTGATTGTGTTAGCTGGTAAAAATATTTATGTCAAGAATCCTCCTCGTGGATCAATTTTCATTGAAGTATTTAAGATTATCAAAATTTCCTTTAAACAAGGTTTAGAAGGTTGTAAACCTTCTAACTTGGCTGTTTCAAATCCAGAACTTGCTGCTAAAGCTACCTGGGATGATGTCTTTATTGATGAACTTCGTCGTACTTTAAAGGCTTGTATTGTATTTTGTTGGTATCCTATTTACTGGCTTTGTTACTCTCAAATGACAAGTAATATGGTTTCTATGACTGCTACTATGCAAACTGGCAATGTTCCTAACGATATTATGCAAAATATTAATCCTTTGACGCTTGTTCTCTTTATTCCCATTATGGATAGCGTTATCTATCCTGGTATTCGTAAAATGGGTTTCCACTTTGGTCCTATTGCTCGTATCACAAGTGGTTTTGTTTTCGCTGCCTTCGCTATGGCTTATGCTGCTGGTGTTCAAACTATTATTTATAACTCTGGTCCTTATTATGATAACCCCAGTGGTAGCAATAAGAATGATGTCTCTGCTGCCTTAATTATTCCTGCTTACATCTTGATCGGTATTTCAGAAATCTTTGCCTCCATTACTGGTCTTGAATATGCTTACAGAAAGGCACCTGAGAAGATGAAATCATTAGTTATGGCTATCTTTTTATTAACAAATTGTTTCGGTTCTATTCTTGGTTTCGCCCTTGTTTCTGTCGCATATAACCCTAAGCTTAAATGGATGTATGCCGGTATTTCAATTGCCATGGGTATTTGTGCTCCTCTTTTCTATTTCTGTCACAGAAAGAATGACGTTACAGATGTCCAAGAAGATGCTATTGCTCGTGAAAAGAATGCTACTGCTGAAATTGATGATATTGATTATGATGCTGACCATAAATCAGCTGTATAAATTAGTTTAACTTTGTATTTTATTTTATTTTATTTTTTTTTAATTGTATAATATGTATACATTTAATTATATTATCCTTCTCCCTCTTTTTTTTTTTTTCACCATCGTTGGCATATCTCCTAAATCATATTTATATATAGAAGATATATACATATTTATATATCTAATTTTATAGTAGCTATTATTTTATTAATCTAATAAACAGTTTTTATATCCCATTTAATCAATGAAAAATAAGCTTCATGTACTTGTATACTGATTTAATTTGTTATAAAAAAAGATATTAAAAACATGCTGTATATATAAATTTAATCTTCGTGTAATAGCAAATCATATCTGTCCCTTTTTTTTTTTTTTTTTTTATGCCTCATGTCATTAAAAGTATTTTCGCCTATAAAAATAGGGCGTAACCAGCTTCAGCATTGTATTGAGTTTTCTCCTTTAGCTTGATTTAGAGCCACTTTAGAATCCGTTCTTACACAACTTTTAGTAGATTATTATTCACAGCGAACTAGCCCTGGAGGTTTACTTGTTTCTGAAGCAACTTTTATTAGTAGACTAGTAGATAGATATCACCATATACCCGGTTATATACTAAAGAACAAATAAAGGAATAAGAAAAAATAACGTCCGTTGTTCATAAAAAGGGCGTCTTTCTATTTTTACAATTGTAGCACCTTGGCCGAGCTGATTCATCTAGCTTAACTCCTAATTATGAACCTATTGTTTCCTCTTCCTAAGAGACTCCAATCCCAGGTAGAAAAAGTCAATGATTGAAGGGAATATGAAACGACTCGTGCACTTGAGAGGCATGAAGTTAAAGAATGAGTGAGGATTTACCGATAGGCTGTTCTCAATGCTATTGAGGCCGAATTTAATGGTGTTGAGATTCATAATGCTAATGGGTACCTTCTAGATTAATTTGTTAGCTCGGTTGTCAATAAAAGAACAGACAAATATAGTGGTAGTATCGAAAATAGAGCAAGATTATCTTTAGAAACTTTAGATGCTATTGTAGATGCTATTGGCACTGATTGTACTGCTATCCGCTTTTCCCCTAATGGCAGACTCCAAGGAATGAAAGACGATACACTACTTGAAACATGAAGTTACTTAACTTGTCAAATTTAAAAGATTCATCCAAGCTTGGCATATCTTCATTTTATTGAAGCACTGTCTGATTTTACTGTAGAAAAAGTAAATACGATAGATACATTAGAAACATATCGAAAAATTCGGAAGGGACCCTTTATTTCAGCAAGTGAGTTTTCAAACGCTATTGGCCACGCTGTTGCGCTAGCAGAAAATACGAATGATTTGATCGCATTTATTGCTAATTTTGATCTCTCCGAAAGAATTAAACTTAAACATAAACAAAACACATACAACATCAAGACATTTTATACACACAATGATGCTGACTATACAGATTATCTCTTTTATACTGGAAGGAATAGTCATTTTTAATATTTATAAGAATTTTTTTTTTTTTTTTTTTTTGGAAAAGTAGTAGATTGCAGACACTAATTATATAACATATTATTTAGCAGAGACTATTTTTATAAAATATATTTTCCAGATTTAATAAGATATAGAAGGAAAACTGAAATATATTTGCATATCTCTATATGTGTAAAATAGTATAGTAACATATTCTTCTTAAAAAGATATAGTCATACATATTGTATCCAATTTTCTACTTTTTTATGTTGACTCATTTTCTTTTCTTTTCGATATATATTATATACAAAGCAATAGAGTAGTATATACCTTACTTGGCTCTTTTTCTCTCATTTTTTTATTATTATTAAAAAAGGGATCATTCTATTTTATCTCATGATGTTGTTTTACCCATATAAATGATAGAATTACGTTTTCTTATAGAGTCATAAGTAATATAGTATAGCCTTTTAGTGAGCAGCATATACTATATAGCTATACCGTTCTTTCTTTTATATATATAATAAGTTTTGTTATTGCAAATAAAAAAAAAGGTGACTTTTAATAACCAACTAACAGCATGTATTCTAATGACTCTGTTGTATAATTGAAGCATTTTGACCGCAAAAAGGTAAAAAACAAAAGACAAATCCGTGAAAAATCCTGTATAGTTTATTGAAGATTATATAATATAAAATTATACCAAAGGAAAATAGTATGGAAAAATAAGGAAGATTTTCTATATATTTTTACAAGGGGAGTAATATTAATAGAAATAGGATCTTGGCAAGCAAAGACTAGTAATGTAATAAAGAATCACGTAAAATTGTTATCTCCGAATTGTTCTACATTTATACATTTATTCGTTGCGCTATTATTATTACTCAAAATAGAATAAAGTGTTATTTTTGGAGTAAGCAATAACTTATCAATATTAATTCATAGTGAGTATTTCAGCTATAGTAACAGTACTAATTACTCGTATATTACTAGCATCATAATTATATGAGATATTATTATATAACAGTATTCATCATCATTGAAGTATATATAATATGTGTGTTTATAAATGGTTATTTAATTGAATATAACAGTCATTTTATCTTATTAAATTCTTCTTATTATCATAATGTACGAACACTTTAACAATGACTAATACTAAAACTGAGTGTAGAATAAATAGTATGCTACGAAGTGTAATATGCTGGCCTTATTTCAATAACCTCTTTATTATATAAAAAAATGATGGTTTATTTCTATTAACTTGGTTGTAAAAAACAACTACAATAATAACAATCTGGTCCAATCAGTTCTACAGTTATTTTATTTATTATATGCTGATGGTATAGTTTTGATATCTGAAACCTCCTTCACCTGGCAAGCTTCACTAAATCTTTGTAAGGATCAGAGCTATAGATTAGAATACAGATAGAATCCACAAAAATGTATTATCGTTGTTCCTAAGCCATTAGCATAATCCTACATACTCTACAACACTCCTATACCCCCCAAAAAAAAACACTTTACTTTTCCTTGAGTACACCTATTCAACTTGATGGTTTCCTAAGCACCTGCTCTTCGGTTCAAAACAATGTTAATAAAGCTTCATCCACTATGAATCAGATGGCTTCTATTGATATCAACCAATCTAGCTTTAATAAATTAGTTTACTCTCTGCTTTATCTACAAATAGTTTGTTAATAGCTCGAATACGATTTGGCAATAAACTGTTCCAACTCAAAAACCATCAAGACCCAAAAAAAAATAATAATATCAAACACTTGTCTCCTCTGCAAATTGAATGGTCATTCGACCTCTTTCATAAAAATAGTACTACTACATCCCACTAAGCTCCCTTGTGTGCATAAAGATATAAATATACTTCAAATTCAATACATCTTCTGCTCTTTATACTTTCCAGTAGATACTTTGTTTCCCGCATCATCTTCAATTCTCTACCAATCATTCACAATGGTACTGCTTGTCCAAAGCTCCTCTTTGGAAAAGATATATTCCTTTGATTGATAATTTTGATCAGCACCTCGTCAAGTCAACTTGATTTTTCCTTCCTTCTAAGCAGTTTGAACGAAATACGATCAGATCGTTTCCACCACCCCCAAATACCTTTCAACTTGTCATAATACCTTAACAATTCATCTTGTACTATATTAACTAGCGATGAGCTGTCGTATCTGTTGACGTTTTCTTGCATGATTACCGCATAGTCGTCTATCATCTTGTTTTTTTGTTTTTTCATCCTAATCCATTATTCAATAAGTCGTCTTATTCTATTCATTGCTCCATATACACTGCCAATTGCAAATACCTTGAACAATTAATGATCCCTTTCCTCTCTCCAACACTGGTTCTTTCTTTGATTGGCTGATTATCCGAACCCATTATCTCCCCTCGAAACAATTCCTCTAACTCTAGCATTTACTCTTCCACCTCTGTCTTAAAAGGGGTTTAAGTCTCTATTAGCTTTTTTTTTTTTTTTTTTTTTTTGAACTACTGATAAGGCAAATTAGTTTTTATAGCTACGTGCCCATTGGTTGTATAAAAAAAAAATTAATAATAAAATATGATTTTAATTAAATATATAGCCATATTTTCTTTTTCTTTTTTGTAATTTTTATTTTAATTCTTTATAAAAATAAATAAATAATGTTAAAGCCAAAAGTTATATCCCAGGTTTTGCGACAATCATTAAATAATGGTGTTAAAGCTGCAATGTAATGAATCATACAAGAAAGAAAAAAAAAAAAGTATCCATTTAACCTAGATCATTCACGTCACTTATTAGGATAATGACTAACGAAGGATCATTAATATCATTTGCAGCAAATAATGACAGAGATGTTGCAATATATTCTGCTACTTCTGCTATCTCAACTAATATATGGAATACCTATAAAAAGAGAAATGTAGAGTTATATAATAATCTTCAATTTCAAATACTGCAGTGTGAAGTAAAATATATACATATAAACATATATAAATTTTGTAATTCGCTTGTCAATTGAAAACTTATATGTACAATGTATATATTTATATAGGAGGGAATCGTGTTTGTTACAGGGATAAGTGCTATGATATTATGTCTAGTTGGAGATGTTAATGTAGATCTAGGGATTATAAAGACAAAAGCGGAAGTTTTAAAAAGACATCTCGAAGAACCCTTACAGCAAGTTGCACCTTATGAAGATTACCAAATATAAGATTTAAACGGAAATTGAAAAAAAAACATAAATAAAAATTACCAATCAACACCGAACAAACATTTTTCTATTATTTTTTCGTGTATTTTTTTTTTTTTTTTTTTAAACTTTCTTTTTCTCTATAATAATTTGTAATGGTAAAAATTACTTCATTTTGGGCACTTGGTTTAACATTGGTTGCAGGTCTTGGTAAAGTATCATATCAAACGCGAAATTACATTTCCTAGTTTTCAGTGATTAATTTAGGTTGTATTCAATAGTTTCTGCTCAAACATCCAATGTGGCTACTGACGTTGAAGTTACTGCTCAATTCCCAGATAACCCCTTTGGCTGTAAGTATAAATGGACGAGAGATTATTAATCAGCATCATATAATCATCATGATATAATCGTCATCTAATCATCATCATCATCATCACATTTTAAATAGTGATTGTTAATGGTCAACGTAATAAGGTTATTTTGGACGTTGTCAATAAAGAAAAGACACCCTATACTGTATTTGCTGTTAGTGGACATATAACAAAGGCAGATGATTATTCTAAGATTATTAGAAATGTAAGTACACCATTTAGGAATATTTATTTTTTCTTTCTTTTTGTTTTGACTTTATATAATGTATAGTTGACTGCAACTCGTTATGGTAAAGTTATTGAAGCAGGTTCAACTCTTCAAATTCCTTATAACTTTTATTCGGAATATGTTCCTGGAGAACATGGTTTAACTGTTTTCGTTGATTTATTGAATGAAGTAAGTTATATATGTTGTAAGGATGGAGGAGTAGTTTAGATATTTATAGTACTTATTAAATAGCAAACTGTCAGCCGTATTGTTGGTTTCAACGGCACAATTACTGTGACTGATCCTGAAGGTTCTTGGTTTGATATTCAACTGTAAGTAAAGCAATAAATAGATCATAGATGATGTACATGTGTTAAATTAATTTTGTAAATCAGTATTGTTCTTTATGGTGTTCTTCTTGCAGGTGCTGCCGGTGTTGCATATATTATTCGTGAAGCTTTCTTTGCTGATTCAAAGAAATCTAAAAAGGTAAAAGTTAAACTTACTAAGTTTGAGGATATGTTTATAATTTTTTTTTATCTTACACCCTTCTCTACTTCTTTTAGAGAACAAAGAAGGTTGAAGAAACAATTGAACGACCTACTCATCGTGATGAAAAGGGTGAAATGGTTTTGGATCAATCTTGGATTCCCGAACATAATCTTAACTTGAATAGTCCCAAAAAATCTTCTCCAAAGATGAAGAAGAGAACTACCACTTCTCGCAAGTAAAATAAAATAAATGCGTATCATATGCATATGTATTATATGAGTACATAGTGAGAAAAATAAAAAAAAATAAAAGGTAATTTAATAATAAAACTTATACTCTAAAAAAGCTATGTTGCGTTCCCTTTTTTTTGTTATTATTTACAAAGTTAATTTTTTCTTTTAAAAATAACTTTCTGCATTCATTATAAAGTCCAAATCCAGTTCTTCTTCTGAATCACTTTGACAATCTTTTGCAAAGTTTTCTTTTAGTTTTTTATAAGAAGAAGTGGGTGTTAATTCAACTGAAAGCAGCTCTTGCTGACTTTGGTTATCGTTGGCTGTGCTTTCATTATGATGATCATCAACTAGATTCATGTTATGTGTATCATTTGTAGTTTTAATCTTTTTCAATACTGCACTGTCAGAATCAGATATATCGCATAACCTTTTTTCATTTACATTTACTGTATTCTTAGGCACTTTATATTGATTTATATCATGAACTGACGTATCAGATATATTTTCTTCAGACGATAAAGACGAAATGGAACTTATAGCTAATTGTGATGATGAACTCATCAATTCCTTTTCCTCCGTCGTCTTCTCTTGAGCTGAGGGCTTCGTTAAAGCCAAGTTTTTATTATTATTACTGATTGCTTCAGTTTTATCAGCTATTTGTGACAAAATATCTTCATTCCAAAAATCGTCTTCTTGTTTAATTTCTATGTTCTTCATTTCTTCCCAAGTTGATTCAATTTTATCATTCAATTCTTCCTGTATTTTATTTTCTAACTTTGGTATTTCAACCTCATCTTCTTCTGGATCAACTATACCTTCTGACTATTATTAAAATAGATGCATTAAGTATTAGACTTCCTATATATATATATATATATGTATACAAGGTTACATTTTACCTTGATGCAGAATTGTGCTGGCTGACTTCCAGCATTTTCTACAGATTTATACAAATAGCCATAACGAAATTCACGCTTACGAAATAAAAATAAACGTTTAGCACACCAATACCCCCATGAAGAACCTAATGAAGGTGTCCATGTAATATCTGTTCCATCTGTGGTAACATGATTTGAAGCAACTACCTGATGAGTCCATTATTAGTGATCGTATATTAGATGATATGATAAACTTACAGCTAAAGTATGAATATGAGCTATTTCAATCAATGATTGTGCTATATAATCCAATATAGAAATACGTGTTCGAGAATCCAATGTATTTAGCCTAAAATGATACGCAATTGAATCGATTATAATCAGTCTTATATTCGGATATTCCTTTAAAATATCTGGTAATTGTCGTATCAAAGCAATTAACTCTGCATGATTATGAACTCGAAATAAATGAATACCCTTTAATATATTTTCGATATCGTATTTATTGCTAGCCATACTAACAATCCGTGAAGATTGAAATGACCCTTCAGTATCAATATAAATACATTCACCGTGAACACCGCCTTCACTTTGGGATAACTGTACATTTATAGCAAGTTGCATACTAATGAATGTAAATAAATTGATTTTTTTTTTTTTTTTTTTTTTTTTTTTTTTACCAGAGTTGTGTTTTCCCTGAGCCTGATTCACCACAAATTTCAGTTATTTTAAAAGGCGGTATACCATCTCCTAATAATTTATCAAAGTTTTTTGAAGCTGTTGATATACTATATTTCTTTTCCGCAGTAAGCAATTCAGCAAAGGTTCTCTTCAGCTTGGTTTCTATATAAAATATTATGCACATAGTATATATCAGCATAATTACGATTATTATTATTATATAGACAATTAGGTTTCATGTTGTTTACCTTTATCACTAATCTTTATTAATATTTTCACTTCTTCTCTGTTTAGCTGAAGTTCTAAGTGCGATCAGTAAAAAAAAAATAATAATTAGATCTAAATAGTTATATATATATATATATAAATAGAAATGTACTTCGTGTTAGATTATAAACGCTTTCTCTTTTTATTTCTTCTAAATTGTCGTAACCTGCATCTCTTAATTTTTGCTGTAATGAGGGTAATGGTATTATTTCGTTTAAAGACATGATTACTCGAAAAAAAAAAAAAAAAAGGAATATTGGCATACAAATTTTTATATGCGCTTTAAATGCGGAGTTATATATAGCAGATCATCATAACATTAGAATACAATTTTACTTTTGATATAAATAATGGGAATAGTTCATCATTGAAATAATATTATACAAGTTATAACAATAAGGACAACGTAATGATTCTTAATTGTCATATAAGCAGTAATGAGATACAGTTTAACCGATATTACCTACTGAAATTTTAATAGAGAATAATGACCTCTTATTAATACGAGTGATATTTATTTCATTTACTATATCTCATTCCATATTTTTTTCTTCTTCTATGCTTTGCTCTTTTTATTTTGTTTCTTAAAAAGTAAAACATATACATGCATGAATACTAAAAAAAAAGAAAACGAAGACTGTAACAAAGGCAACCAAGTAACTACGCATTTTCGTTGTTTGCTGTCATAACAACGTATGATCTTTTTTTTTTTTTTTTTTTTTTTTTTGCAAATATCTGTATAACGTTAATGAGTATAATGCTCTAATTGTTTTCATTTCTATCACGGAAGAGAACTCTCTGCTAGGAGGTTCTTGATTTCTGTATATGGGTGATTTTAGCTCTTAGTGATCAGTTTTGTTTTTACATTATAATTATTTATAGTTATTATTTATTGAGATTTACTTTTTTTTTCTTTATGAGCCTCAATTAATTATAGATCTCGATTTACAAAAAAAAAAAAAAAAAAAAAAAAAAAAAAAAAAAAAAAATAGCTTATAACGATCATACCAAACCAAAGTATAGAAAAAAGTTACTGAACTTATCTTCTATAGAAAAGCTGTCATAATCTTTCATTCTATTTTTTTTTTTTTTTTAATTCCTATGAATAAATTTAGACATTGATTATTATTATTATTATTATTATTATTATTATCTTCTTCTTAGACTCTGTAAAGATGATTTATCAATGTGATTCCCTTTTAAACTAATTGTAATTAACTCGTCTTTAATATATTATTTTAACAGAAATTACTTGACAGTATATCTCTAATTTTTGTCCTCCATAGTAGACCAAGATTTTGATAACAGCTATGCTTGTTGTAGATTCTGGAAGAAGGTATTTGCTATATTGTCTTTAAAAATAAAACTCTTCTACCTTAAAGTAAGTCCAAGAAGTGTTGATTTATTAAACAGTAACAAGACAAGCCAAAAAAAATCAATTACAAGTCTTTTAAAATAACTTCAAAGTTCATATGAACGTACTCTGAACCCATTATCATTAGCAATCTTGCCTATTCTTCGCTTATATCCAAAAGTATCTCGATTGTTATTAATTTATGCAAAAGTTGTAGACAGATCATTACATTTGTAATAGTTTAGGGAATCGGGTCTATATTTGAAATCATATACTTATCTGTGGCCTTTTTTTTTTTTTTTTTTTTTGGCTAAACAAAATATGGATTTAGAGTTTTTACTATTACTGGTAAGTAGAGAGCTAATGAATATGATTCAGTATCATGCAATAATAGAGTGTCTTTAAATATTCCGCAAAATCCTCTTAATTTATTGATGCATATGCATATGCATCTGCTTGTGTTTTATTTTTATTTTTATTTTATTTTTCTTGTATATTCATGCGCCAATAAACAACGCATCTACTGCCAATGCAATATTTATAATAGAAAAATGACATACGAATAAAGCATTACATCCCTTTCTTTCTTTCTTTCTTTTTTTTCTTTTCTTTTTTTTTTTTTTTTTTTTTTTTTTTTTTTTTTGTTAAATCATATTATACAATTACGTGTATTTTTCTTTTTCCTTTATTAGCAGTAAATATAGCTATTATTTTATTTTGTTTTATTTTGTTTTATTTTATTTCGTTTTTTATTTTTTTTTTTTTTTTCATTTCATTTCATTTCATTTCAATTCCTTTTTTTTTTTTTTTTTCCATCTACATTTTTACACATTAGAAGAAAACTTATTTTATATTCCTTGTACAAATAGTAATAATAAGATAGAAGGAAAAAAAAATGATAGCTTCATCAACACTGCCATTATTTCCTCAATTGGCAGAAATGAATGACCAAGAAAAGTATGCCATCATTGCACGTTTTATACCTTGCGATCTTTGTCCTCAATGTAAAGGCTGGCATCCCTATGATAATGACACTATTAACTGTCAATGTGGACACGATACTGTTCATCACATTGATAATGGACAAGATCTCGAACGTCGTTTGAAAGTTGCTTTACGGCTTAATGAACTACTTGAAGTAAGTTTATATATATCATTCATACATATCCAACTCGTTGTCTAATGTATATATATATAGGAAAAAGGAAAAATAGAAGATTATGATTATGAAGACGACGATATTAACTCACTAAAAAAGTAACTATATACGCCTTATAATATATAATATGTATGTATGTATGTAGATATATAAAATACCTTTTTTTTTTTTTTTTTGTTATTACATACTTGTAGACAAATTTTGTATAACGCATATAAAACATCAGATAAAGAAATAGGTTTATCTTCTACTACTAAAGGTAAGTATAATAACTACAGTATTTGCAAGAAAATAAAAAAAAAAAAAGGTGTAATTAAATAATTATATATTTAGATCTAAAAAGGAACAGGGAAGAATCCATAAGTCATGATGAAGAAATAGAAAGTTTGATAAGCCATGATCCAAAGAGAAGCAGAATAGATGAGCATCCTATAATAGATAGTGCGAATGAGCAATTAGGGAAACAAACAGCAAATGAAAATATAGACCTTGGAAAGGAGAATGAAGATCAAATAAAACGAAGAGAAGAGGATAATAGGAAAAAAAATAAATTACAGCAAGATTTAGTTCATGAGGTTCAAAAGGATGAAAATAAACAATTCAATACAGTAAACGGTACAGAACCGGAAGTAGTTAAAATAAATTGTAATACGATTATAGATGGTGAATTAAATGAGAAAATAAAGGACTACACGGTGGATGCCGACAATGGCAAATTATTCAAAGAAGAAGAGACTGAAATGATTGATATTTTTAAAAAAGAAAATGAATCAAGTGAAAAAGCTGAGGATTACATGGTAAATAGGAATGAATAAATGTAAGAAGATGGTATGATTGCCAACTGTCTCTATTACTTTATATATATATATATAGCCAGAAATAAATAAAGAAACACCTGCTATGAGAGAAGAAAGAGAAGGTAGTATAAGGACCGAAATCGTATTAAATGATGGAGAACGAGAAAGTATGATCCTTTTGACTGGTTTAAAGAATATATTTCAAAAGCAGTTACCGAAAATGCCAAAGGAATATATAGCTAGATTAGTTTATGACAGGTACTTATTTTTTTTTTGTATACCTATTATAAGATACGTTAATATTATATACATATATAGAAAACATCGTAGCATAGCACTTATTCGTAATCCACATAAAGTGATTGGAGGTATTTGTTATAGACCCTTTGATGCCCAAGAATTCGCAGAAATTGTATTCTGTGCAGTAGCTTCAACAGAACAAGTAAAAGGATATGGATCGTTTATTATGAATCATTTAAAAGATTATGTATCAAGCCATTCAAACGTGAAACATTTCTTGACATACGCGGATAATTTTGCAATAGGATACTTTAAAAAACAGGGATTTACGACAGAGATTAGTCTAGATAAACGAAAATGGGTGGGCTATATCAAGGATTATGAAGGTGGTACTATTATGCAATGTACAATGGTTCCTCGGGTGAGATATCTTCAAGTGTTTGATATTTTAGGAATTCAGCGTAATGCTATATTAAAGAAAATAAAAGAAAAATCAACAGAGCATGTTGTTTATCCTGGATTAAGGATGCCAATAGGTAAAAATGGTAAAAGATCCATTGATCCGTATAAGGTGCCTGGCATTGCTGAGTCTGGTTGGACACCAGAAATGGATATACTGTAAGTTGATCACTCTTTTGTATCTAGAGTAATAATATAGAATATACAAATTAAACCTTTTCATCTATTATTGTCTTTTAATAAATATACTAACTATAGATCTAATCGGCCAAGACATTCACCGCATTATAAACAAATGTTAAAACTCGTTGAAGAAATGCAGAATTATACACATGCTTGGCCATTTTTAGAACCTGTCAACATAGAAGAAGTAGCAGATTATTATGATATTATTAAAGATCCTATGGGTAAACAAATGGTTATATTTGTATATGCATGTATTTCTTTTTTTTTTTTTTTTTTACTTATACATCATTAGATCTTGCAACTTTAGAAGAAAATGTAAAAGCAGATGCCTATTTAACTATAGAAGATTTTATAAATGATACGCAAAAAATCTTTGATAATTGTAGAATATACAACTCTGAAGATACGGAATATGCAAAATGTGGTGCAAAACTTGAAAGATTCTTCAACGAAAAACTGCGTGCTATTAATAGAACTAAAAACGACCCAAGTTAAAAGAAGCAAGGAAAAAAAAAAAAGAATGAATATACCACCTTTGTAAATAATAATTAATTTTTTTAATATTATAAATACATATATCTTTTATAGGTAACATTTGTTATCATTGTAACTTATTACTTTCTTTCTTTACAACTTTTTATTAATAAAGAAAAAAAAAAGTCGTAGTAACCAAGTGAAAATATAGATAAATTGTCTAGTCAGTTAAATAGATAAAGGAGACGATAAAGAAAAAAAAAAAAAAAAAGAAATGAACTAGAAAAATACTAGCACAACTATAAATTTCAATTGAGGAGCTAATCATAAAGTAAATAATTCATTTCATGAAGAATAGTATAGACAAGTCAAGTCAAGTCAGAGCTTGTACATTTTTTGCTAGTAAAGCAGCTTGTTCCAAGTAAATAAGAGAGCCGAGAAATGTACCTATCATGATTTTTAAACAAAATATAGCCAAGTGAATGCCTGTATTTGAATAATAATAGAGGCAGAGCTTAGACTTTTTTTTTTTTTTTTTTACTACTATGAGACAACCAATCCTAGTGTTAATGATAAAAGTATGAGCCTATTCTCATTCTCTAGAAGATCATATAGATAACCCAAACATAGAATACGATGACCTTAGTCTGTTATAGGCCAATAAGTAGAGAAGAGTTTAGAGTTGAAGCCTAAATGATGCTTTCTTTATAATTATTATTATTAAATAACTAGCAACAGAGCTGTTCAAAACATCATAATAAAATTAAAGACATTAAGCAAATACAGAACAGTTGCTTTTTCTTCAGCCTCAAATAAGAGAATAGAAGAAAAAAAATTATTTTAATGGGTTTATATCTTTCCCTTTTTTTTATAAAAAAAACGTATTATGGATATAGATTGTATACATGTTCAGAAACGTTTGAAAATTCATATACATCATGCTGATTAAGAATATTTTTAATATCCGTAAGTAGCTTAGCAACGTGTAAGACTATACTTCATTCTTTAAGAATTTTTTGTTTATTTTCAGCACTACTCATATCAAGTTCGTTTAAAAAAAAAAAAAAAAAAAAAAAAAAAAAAAAAAAAACTTGCAGACAGCTCCTTGTGAAATTATTTACGTTTGAGTTATTTGTATCGCTCATTTACAGAAATGATCCACATTTCTATAATAATCGCTTCTAGACTCTCTCTCTCTTTTTCTCTCTCTCTCTCTTCTCTCCTTTTTGATTTTATGTACAGATACTGGGTTAAAATTAATTTCTTCAATTTTTATTTCTCTTCGTAATCCACATTAGATTTATAAGGAATGTTAAAAAAAATCAAAAAATGTTTTTTTTTTTTCTGCTAACATAAAATTAATTATTTTCAATCTCAGATCGTTTCAAAATTTTTTTTTTTTTTTTTTTAATAGCACATTAAACATTGTGTATTCACATATTTATTTTATTTTTTTATTTTTATTTTACACGTATAAAAGTAAAGATGGGAGAATCTCGTACTGAATTGTTGGCGTGGCTTAATGAATTGTTACAAATGAGATATACCAAGGTTGAGCAAGCAGGAACAGGTAATACGTTAATTATTTCATCGTTTTTTTTAGATCAGACTTTGTTAAAAAAAAAAGGGGTACGGGGATTACGATAGGTGCTGCTTATTGCCAGATTTTTGATTCCATCTACGGTAAAATGAGTTTAACATGTTCAGTAACAAAGCAATCCACTAATTATTACTCGCGTATTAGGGGATGTGCCCATGAGCAAAGTAAAATTCGAAGCTAAACTTGAATATGAGTTTATTAATAATTTCAAGATTTTGCAAAACACTTTTAAAAAACACAAGTAAGATGTGGACTGATTATTTTATATTGGAAACAAATTTATTTATACGCGTTTTTTTTTTCTTTATTCATTTAGAATTGAAAAGGTAATAGAATGATAGTTATTAGTTACTTTTAATAATAACAAAAGATTGTTATTATTATTATTATTTCGAAAATAGAATGTTCCAGTCGATCGTTTAATAAAATGTAAGCTTCAAGATAATTTGGAATTTATGCAATGGGTTAAAAGATTCTGGGAACAAAATTACCCAGGAGGAGAATATGATCCTTTGGCTCGTCGTAAAGGATTGGGAAGTACACCTAGTGTAGGTGCAACTAGATCATCATCTACTGCCAGTACTGGTAGAGTTAGTTCTGCTGGTAGAAGACCCACTAAAACTCCAGGTAAGAAAGAAAAGGAAAGAAAGATAGATAGATAGAAAACACAGTTTAATATATATATATATATATATATATAAATTAGCTACACGTAGTATGAGTCGAGGAGGACGTACTAGTGTCTTGGATAATCATTCAGCGTCAATGATTATTGAATTAAATAAACAGATTGCAGAACTCAAGTTAACAGTGGATGGACTTGAAAAGGAACGTGATTTCTATTTTGGAAAGTTACGAGAAATTGAAATTGTTGTTCAAGAAAATCTAGAACAAATTGAAATGGAAAATCCAGAAGTAGTAGAAGAAGAGCATGAGGCACTTCCTATCTTACAAGGCATTCAATCTATTTTGTATAGTACAGAAGAAGGCTTTGAAGTGCCTCCTGAAGAAGAAGAAGAAGGAAAAGTTTTAGACTATGATGATGAAACCTTTTAGATGTTTTTTTTAAAAAAAAAAAAGATTTCTAAATAAAATAAAATGAAATGAAAAAAAAAAAAAAAAAAAAAAAAAAAAAAAAAAAAACGTTATACTATTTTTATTTATATATGTATACATGAAACAAAAGGTATCTACATATTTAATCAGAATCACTAGCAGAATCATCAGATTCAGAACCAGAAGAACTATCAGAATCACTTTCACTAGAAGATTCCTCATTATCTAAAAACACACGCACACACACACAGACAAAGGATAATAATCAATATTTAAAAAAAAAATGCTATTCAATGCCATTATTTCATTCATACCTGAATTAAATTTTTGTAAGGTTTCTTCAAGTTGACGAATCTTACGATCAGTTGCTCTTTCTGAGTAATGAGTTCTTGGTCTCTTTGGTGTTGGTGAAGATCTCTTATTTTTATGAATCAAACTTTCACCAGTAACAAACTCATGCAACCTGTGCAGAGTACGTCTATCAAGTGAATCGATGTCTAATACAATTTCATCTTGTCCTTGCTAATAATACACATGTAGGGCATGTATAAATTAGACACATACATACATACAAATATCAACAATAACAACAACTTACCCCGTTTAAATTTGGCATCGAGCTTTGAATAATGTTCACAACCGTACTTAAACGTTCACCTGTCAAATTATTTATTTGTTCACTCAAATCTTTCTTTTGATCAAAAGTAAATTCAGGGAATTCTTCTCCTGATTTAGTTGTTTGTTGTCTTTCTTTCTTCTTTGTCACCCTTCTCTTCCTTTCCTTTACTGGTTTCTTTTCCTTTAATGTTGGCTTACTCTGACGACGTCCTATCGTCTTTTCTGATCTCCTTCTCTTTTGTGACTTTATAGATGCAATCTGTTGAGAGATTGTGGCGATATGACGTTCTAGTTCTGCAATCTTTTGATCTCGTTCTACAATATCATAAATAGTAGTACATATGGATTTAATATATGTATATATAATATACTCAAATCATAAATGACGACTTACCAAAATCTGAATCCCCTCCCATCTCTTCATCCTCCTCTTCTTCTTCTTCTTCTACGACTACTCCTCCTCCTCCTCCTCCTGTTCTTCTTCTTCTTCCTTCTTCTTCCTCTTCTTCTTGTATATCTTCAAATGCTTCTTCAGTCATGGGTGTAGGTACAGGAGTTGAAGGTCTTTGAGTCCATTTCTCGTCAAATACCTTTTCTAATTCACGACCCATTTTATAAACAGGTAAATTAGGTGGATTATAAGTATAACAATTGTTAAACATGAGACGAATATCTTGTTCAAATTGTTTAGGGTCTTCATAATCTCCTTCATTCAACTTTCTTTCGATGGTAGACAAATCCATTGGGTGTTTAATGATGTCAACATAGTCAGGAATGTTAAGTGCAACAACATCCACAGGAGCCAAGAATGGGTAATTGATATCTCTATATTTGTTCTTTTTTAATTCCTTTAATGTCTGAGCACAGAATTTCATTTGCAAGTCATTCTTTCGAGGATTATTATTATTATTACGTCGCTTTAGGATGGGCTCAGGATAATCTTTAGAGGGAGGTGGATGAACCTCTCTTTTAGGTCGACTCTCTTCAGAGGCACGACGTAGCATATGAGTTGATAAAGAAGATTTGTTTTCGTTTGTTTTTATATTATTTTTTCTTCTCTTTATCTTGTCATGATCATCATCAAAAAAGGGTGACATAGATCTAGGAGTTGCAGACTGAATAAATAAAATAAATAGATAGGTTAAAAGAAGAGAGAAGAAATCATAGACACTAACACGAATACTTACATCCTTTGAAGGTGGCATCTGTCTTAAACTCTTTTCAAATGCAGATTCTACATTTTGACAAAGCATAGAGATCATGGCTTCGGGACCATTAAATTTATAACAGTTATTAAAAATCAAACGAATATCGTTAATGAATTCTTCTACAGCATCGTATTGAGCAGACATTAATTTTTGGTCTACCGTCATTAGATCCATGGGGTATTTAATGATTTTTGGATAATCGGGCACATTTAATTTAACGTAATCAACAGGGTGTAAGAAGGGAGCAGCATCTCTATGCTTTTTTAAATTTCTCATAATAGCACCACAATACTTTATCTGATCGCGTGTCATATTTGATTTGCTAGTCGTAGAAGGTGAAAGTGAATTGGTTCTTGACTATATAAAAATTATAATCAGATAATAAATATGTGTATATGTATATATATATATATATATGCTTTGTTGTTTTTTTTTATGTTATTATTATTATTATTACCTGCTTTTTATTACTCTTACCACGATCTAACAAAGATACATTTTCCTTTAATTCTATTTTGGGTCTGTTTAATGTCGTATCAATTTCTTCAAATTCTTCTTGGTGTCTGTATACATATAATATACATATAAAAATATGTGTGTGTGTGTGTGTGTGTGTATGTATGTATATGTATATAAAGGAAGAAAGAAAGAATTAGTTTCTAGGATACATATTTTTTTTTAACGCGTAAAATTTTTAAACTATTTACATTTGTTTTGGTGAAAGCTTAATATCTACATCCATTTCTTTATTTCAAAAAGCCAAAATATATATGTGTATTTTAGATAAATGTATACTTTTATATGTATAAATAATTTATCTATAAAAAAAAAAAAAGAAAAAGAAAAAAGAGAAAAGAAAAAAAGAGAGAGCCAGGGTATATAATAAATGTTATATAATACACAGAAATAAAAAAAAAAAAAAAAAAGGAATAATGATATGTAGAATGTTAGTGTAGGATGGTAAACGTAAAAAGATTATAAATATAAAAAGAAAAAGAAAAAAAAATTTAGAGTCAGAAGTAAGGAAGCATTCCTCTTTCCTTTATTTTTTTTTTTTTTTTTTTTTTTACCTTTTAAGTTCTATTGAATTATTTTATATATAGGAGAGAGAAAAAAAATTTTTTTTTTTTTTTTTGGAAAAAAAAATATAAAAAATAAAAAAAAATAAGAACAGGGCTTATATATCTAATGACTATTTTGTATGTGTGACTGTGATTAAACTGTAACCACCAATTAGATTCGTTATATTTTTTGCCATGATAGAAAGTAGAAGACAATTTCATTAATGAAGAATTCGTAATTAGAATAATCGGTATAATTACATTTGGAAAACAAAATAGTAAATAAAAGAGATACAAGTAAGGGAAACAAACAAACAAAAAACAAAAAAAATAGATAAATACGTAATAAATGTATGTACTATTTCATATAAAAAGTAAAAGAGCAATTAAATGACAAGGGGTTGAGCTAAAATACGTTTTAGTAGGCGAAAATTCAGCAATAAAGATTCAACTACGTATTAAAAAAACACACGCACACAGAATTTAGCATCAGAATTCACACACAAATGAAAATATTTTAAAAAAGTAAATTTTTATTTATTTAAACACAAAAGAAAAAAAAACAAAAAACAAAAGCAAAAAAGATGAATTTACAAGAAAATTTGCTTCTTAAATTTGTTACTGCAAGATTGTCTTTTTTTTAAAAAAAAAGGCAATCCTACATACAAATCTGAAAGCTTAATTCACGCTAAATAAATCTAATGAAACAACAAAAAAAAATTAGTTGACAAATATTATTATAAAAAATAAAATGCAAGTGCAAGCCTCATAGATCTTGGTGATATTTTTTAACTTCATTATCTCTCAGAAGTAGCAAATATGTCTATAATCCTTGGCCAGCATATTTTTTTCGTGTACTGCATACATTAAAGTGTTATATTTATACGCGATATACGTTTTCTTAAGGAAAACAGATGCACAGAAACAAATATAAAACACTTTATAGCATATACATACATTATGTTCATGTAATATGTATGTATGCACGTATACACGTATACATATAAGTAATTAAATTTATATTTACCTTTTTTTTTTTTGCTTTTGTCTCGAATTAGATAAGCTTGTCGTGAGTATGTTGAGAAAGAAATAAATAAATAAAAAAAAAGGAGCACTCTATTTATCGAAAAAGAAAATAATGGCTTTTTATATTTTTTTGTAATGTCTGACACTTTTTAATTTCAAAAATAAAAAAAAAAAATAAAAAATAAAAAAAAATTTTTTTTAATAAAAAATTATTAATTGATCTCCGTAATTATTTATCCAATGAAAACCGTTTAATGGGACTGTTCACATCTTTCTTTTTCATTGTAAATATTCATTTTGCATATGATTATGATGTAAAACAACAACAGCAGTAAAGCTATTATTTTGATCTAAGGGAACCACACTCTTTTTTTTTTTTTAAACAACTATCATTGCTATGTTATATGTATTTATTTAATTTTTAATTCTAAATAAAGAAAGAAAAAAAAAGAAAGACAGACGCATGCATGTGTTTTAATTTTGTGTTTCAATAAAACTCAACTTGAAACGTAATGGTTAAACTGATTAGATATTTTACATCTGAAGAAATAAATAAAAAAAAAAAAAAATACGCCAAAGTTCACCTGAGATGCCGATCAAAAGGAATACGACTATAGAATAAACTAGTATATCAAATTGCTTTATTTAATTCTCAAGAAAATAAAAAGGGGAGGACATTATTATACAGACATTGTTTTTTTCCTACTAATATCATTTTTATCCTAATATCATTCTGCCTTTAGTAATCTCGGTAATATTTATAATCTGTAGAAAGTAATCTTATAAAGACTTGAGAAATGATCATGTTCTAAACAGCCATTTATCAGATTATTTTGGCTAGATAGGCTTGATAAAGATGTATTACTATTGTTAATAGTTGAGTATCGAAAGAAATAAAATTAGAAAATGAATACACAACCACATCTATACTGTCAACAAACATTATATTAAAAGCTTGTTAAAAGGCTACGACCACTAGTAGCATAAACAGGATGGGCTTTTTTGTTTTCTCTTTTATAGCCTTATGTTATTTCTGCTTTCCTTTGAATAAGTTTAAATATAGAGTTGTAGTACAATAGCAAGGGTGGTTCAATGTCGTCTTTTATCTTCTCTTACAAAGCACACTAACCAAAATAAGTTGAAGATCAAATACAATACTAGAAACACGTGTGAAACCAAGACCTATCCCTCTGTACTTTACTTCCATATTGTCTTTTGCTTTTTCATTCTGACTAGTTTTGTCGTTTCATTATGACAAAAAAAAATTGTCTAGTAATGAAAGATAAATAAATTACGCGTATTAAGAAACATCTCTTTTACTACAATAGTTGTTACTTGTGTTTTATGCAAGTATAGTATTATCGTTGAATTAGTGTTCCAAGATGATAAAGGAAAAAAAAAAAAAGTATCTAATTCCAGGTTTAAAACCTATTATTTATGCAGCTTTATAGTCATTTACTCCTGAAAAGTATATCTTGCATAAAAATAAATACACATATTTTTGGCAAGAGATAATGATTGTTTATCAGATTCATATGTATTTAATCCTAATCGCTAATTTGGTGGGAGGAACAAAAAGGGAATATAATAGAGGTAACTAAAGGAAAGGAAAAGAAAATCGTATATGATCCCAGGATGTAAAGAAAGAAAGAAAGAAGGGAATTTGAATTCATCTCTTTCTATTATCCATTTTGGTTTGTACAAAAGCTAATTGTGAATAGAGTTAAAAGATATTCCAGCTATGTTTTATTTCTATTACTAACAATAATGATAGACTATTGTAGCATGTGTGTGTTAAAATAGTATCTTTGTTGATTTCCCTAAAGCAAAAAAAAAAAAAAAAAAAATCTTTATGGGTCAATATAGAACTGTCTTTACTTGTAATCAATGCGATTTTTTTTTTGTTTTCCCCAGTCACCTTTTATATGCTTAGTATAACTTTATATCAAAAGAGTTCAAAACCTCTTCTTTCAAATCAATCATCAACAGCATAAAGGAAAAATGTGTCAAGAAAGAAGAACGGTTGAATTAATTACCTTACTCTCCGATTTTTTTATTGTTATCAATTCATTAGTTTACATTTAAAAATGTAATACGATTATTGTGTTTATTACAGACAACACACGCACAAAAAAAAAATATGTATACAAATACATATACATATAATACAATACAATACAATAAAAAATAGAGTACAGGCTATCTAATATGGATTGATGGCAAGACATCATCATAGAGACCTTGTTTCATGAATTATTATTAGAGATAGGAGAGTGTTTTATAAACGACTTTTATATAAATCATGATCAAATATACTATAAGATAGCCTTATGGTGTTTGTAATAAGTACAGTGTCGTTGTTGTGGTGTTACATTTAAATGAGAATGAATTAGTCAGGATACAGATTGAGTTCAAATAATAATAAATAGACACAACTGTTGTTATCTTTATACAAACATGAACTTGAGTAAGCATAGTTTCATAGCTCACTCTTTATTTATATCTTTACGTTTATCTGGAATTAGTACTTTATTTTATCTGATTTAGCTCAAAAGAGTTACTTTCTTATCTGAAGATTTTTTTTATTTTTTTTTTTAATTCACTGAATTAATTAAGAAAATCTGAAATTTAAAAGAAAAATTATGTAGTTTAAAAATGCCAAACCAATTTTATACTATCTTTTAACAAGAATTAAGATATTCTAAATTATATACTTTATAAATTCTTTTAATCCCTTTATTTATTTATTTTTCTTTTCTATTTATTTTTCTATTTATTTTTTCTTTTTTTGGTTTTTTTTTTAAAAAAAAAGAAAGAGAAAAAATGGAAAAAATAAATAAATAACTGTTAATTAGAATAATACAGTCACATATAAGCATTATGAGGTTTGAATAAGCCTTTTTCCATGATTGGTTAATCTTTGCCTCTTTTTTTTTTGCCTTTTTTTTTTTTCTTTCTTCTTTTTTTTTCATTTTTTTTCTTAAAAAAAAGAACGCATATTTGCTTTAATTATATTGTAAATATCTTTTGTTGATTGTATTTGTTTTCCCTTTTTTTTTTCCTTTATAAAAAAAGCATAAAAGTAAGATACAGATTTATATACGCACACATTTGTTTATATGTATTCAAATTAGAATATAATTTATAATTATTGCTTTTTATACATAGAAAAAAAAATTTTTTTTTATACTTTTATTTACTATGAACATTCAAGATTACATTCCACCTAAAGAAGAACAGCCTGTTCATCATTACGTAGAAGTTTCATCAGATCGATTAAGTATGCCTTCAAGTTCTGATTATAAACCTACATCTTCAATTCCTACCATCTTGCCAACAGTAGTCGAAGAAGAATATAATTCAATAACTGGAGCAGCTATTGGGTCACCCATTATTACCCCGGCTAAAGATGAATCAATGGCATCTTCTTCTTCACAAGAACAACAAGAAATAAATGAAAATAGCTTAAATCCTGCTTTATTATTAAATAGATATGATAAACGTAAAAGTAGTCCTGCTATTTTAGGTTTACCCTTTGGCTTAAATCATGAAGCTCAACTGAGTTTACATCTATCACAGCAAAGAAATTCTATTGAAGCAGCTATGTTACTAGCTAATTTCAATAAATTAATGGCCTTTCCAAAAAATAATGAAGTTGATCATAAAGGTAATTTTTTTTTTAAGCATGAAATAAGGAGTCAAATTATGCGCATAAAAAATTTTTTTTTTTTTTTTATTTAACTGATTATAAAAAAAAAAATTTTTTTTTCTCCTCCCCCCCCTCCCCTTAAAAAAAAAAAATTATAGTTCATTCACAGCAACAACAATGGCAGGATGATATGTCAATTCCTTCACAAAATAAAACACCTTGGGATGATGCTTTAGAAAGTGTAGCAGCAGAATCAAATCGACGTTATTCTTATGATGTAAATATGAGTTGGCAAACAATGCCTGACACCTTTTTAGAAAGACATGATCTTTTACATAATATGTCTTCTACATCAAATTATAAAATGAATGGTGATGATGATACTCATCGTATAACACCCTCTTCTTCTTCTTCAAGTTCCAAGTCTAATTCACTTTTATTTAAACAAGATAATTTATTAAATCCTACAACGACAAAGTTAAGTTGGAGTCATGATGATTTACAATCTCAGCCACAACAGCCTCATTATCACCATCCTCATCTTACTTCTCAGCATCCTTATAATACAGCAGGAACATTAGAACAACCACCACAACCACCACCCCATAGACTTTATCATCCTACTATGAGTTCTTCTTTAGGTCCACATACTACTACATATCATTCTCGTTATCCTCCTTTACAACAAGATCATCCTTCATCTAATATTCCTATGTTACACCCACTTGCTCGTCAATCTGATGTTACCAATAATAGTGCTATGAAACGTGACTTTGATATTCATCCTTATTATTCATATACTTTCCCTCCTCAACATCCTATACAACAACAACAGCAGCAACAACGTTATTATTATTCTAACCATGGTAAATTACCATTACCAACCCATCAGCCCTCTATGGACCCTCATCATCACCCTCATCATCTACAACAACAACAGCAACAACAACAACAACAACAACAACAACCACATCCATTGCAGTCACAAATACATCATCCACCTCCAATTATGGCTAAACCTAAACGTAAAAAGCAAAAAACAAATATGAATAATACAGATGAATATGGTGAAGAAATTGAACAAGCAGCAAATGAAGAGGATTATCCAGATATGTCTACACGTGATATTGAAGCAGCACGGAAAGATCCTGAAGCAAGACCACGTAAACAAAAACTTCGTTTTATAGGAGATAAATATACTCCTCAATGGGTTAGATACAATGGCCAATTAAAAGAGGGATTATGCGACACTTGTAAACCTGGCAAATGGTTACAGCTCAAAAATAGTGCTTACTGGTAATAAAACGAAGGAGAGAGAGAGAGAGAGAAGGATGATTAATATGTGTTTGTATTTTTAGGTATCATAAACAATTCTTTCATGGTATTTCATCTGTTTCTGGTAAAGAGTTTGTACAACCTATTGAAACACGTTGGATTGATCAAGATTTAGTGGAAGGTTTATGTCATCAATGTCATACGTGGGTAGCTGTAAGTAATATTAAAAGAAAGAATAGTGTTCTTTGGTACCGACATGCACATAAGGTATATATAATATTCATAAAAAAAAAAGTTGAATTTTTTATTCATACTTATTTTTATATTTACAGTGTCATGTTTATCATAAACCAAAACCAAATGTACCAAAGAAGCGATAAAATGTATATAGAATTTATTAAGGGGGGGAGGGGAAAAAATTATTATTATTATTATTATTATTATTATAATTATTACAAACAGGTTTAGTTATCCTGATTATATAATACACAACTTTATTTATTTTTAACCCCCCCTTTTTTTTATCTCTTCCATACAACAAAAAGAACTATATACGATCATTTTTACTTTTATTTCGTTATGTAAATATATTTTATATATATTTTATTGTATTTTAGTGTATATATATGTGTGTATGTATGTGTGTGTGTGTATGTATGTGTGTGTGTATGTGTGGTGTATACATGTGTATATACGAAAAAAAAAAGGTTTGTAATTAGCTTTCTTAAAGTTAAAAACGATCCAAGAAAAGTACAACAGTGCTGTAAAGGAATAATAGAGGGACAAATAGACAAGGAATTACGCCGTCCAGGATCAACTTGACCTGAGTGGTCTATTTTTTTTTTTTTTTTTTTTTTTGAATTCATGGGGGCTCACCACGATCTGTCACAGTAAAGAAAAAAACAATTGTATTATACTACGAATATTACGTATCGGGATTAATACATATACGAGCCAAGTATGGTATATATATAAAAAAAAGGGGGCCTAAAAGCGTTCCACTATGTGCTTGGGGTTTTTGTTTTTTCTCCTTCCCCCCAAGTCATAATAGATGCTATCTTAATGACGGGAAACTAATAATAATAATAAAAAAGAGAAAAGAATAATAATATCTATCATCACATGGATTGAATCGGCAATATATACATATATATTTTTTTTTATCTTTTTTCATATTCTTCATTCATGTTTAACGAATATTACGTCTTGGCTATTGATAATCGTAGGTATCTTTTTTTAGTAAAATCTACATCTTTCCCAAGTTACGGAAGGTGGGAGGTGCTAATTCAACTCTCTCTCTCTCTCCAATATAGAGTAGCATGAACAAGTAAAGTCACTATACTACCATTTTACCGAGGCTTCTTTCTATTGACAAATATATATATATATATATGTATGTATATATATGTATGTATGTATACATTGTATGGAAAAAACAAAACAAAAAAAATAAAATGCAAAAAAAAAAAAAAAAAAAAACTTGTATTTTTTTATTGGACGAATAAGGATGTGTTATTTACAACATTATATAATAATTGAGGTCGGAATATAGACTTCCAATATAGAATATCATTCATTCATTGAGCATTTTACTGTTGTGAAAATCCGATCATCGGGTGTTAAAGTACTGCTGCTCATCATGAAGTTGGCGCGGAGAGTACCAGGATTAACATCCCCAAGCATTTTAATGTATAAAAAAAAAAAAAAAAAAAAAAAAAAGGAAAAAGGAAAAAAAGTGGTTATAAGATACATGCATAGTCATTTAAATAAAAATAAAAAAAAAGACTTGACAACAACAGAAAAGTGACAAGTTGTATAGTAGTAGTTGTAGGTATAATATATTATTGCAAACAAAGGTAGGTAAAGAGATAAAAGCATTTTTTTTTGGGGATTATCGTTTATTAAAATTTTATTATTATTATTATTTTCATTATTTATGAGATTACACTCATATTAAAATACAACAATTATTATTAATTATTTTGTGAGTGAAAATTACATAAGGAGGCTATAACAAACAGTAATAAGCTCAAAAAAAAAGGAGTTTTATGTATTATATTCAATTAATAAGATTTATAATGATATGAAATCAGTTGGATCAGAACAGATGGCTTTGGATAATAAAATTGAATATATAAAACTTACTGTCATTTCACAAGTCAAACAACCTGCGAGGAAATGATTCAAAATATCAAAGGCAGAGCATGTATTATAATTTATTATACCTAAAAAAAAATTTTTTTTCTTTTCCTTTCTAAATAAAGTGATACAATGAAAAAAAAAAGATACTACACTATTTTAAGCTTTTTCATATTGCGACATAATTTTAATATAAATTATACAGTCTATATTAATTGTAATTCAGTTTTCCTAAACAGGTATTTTCGTTATCTTTCAAAATTATACCAGTGAAATTAATTAATTTTTTTTTTCACCACAAAAAAAGGGGGGGAAGGAGGAAGGAAATGAAAGACATAGCTGACACCATAAACTACAAATTAAAATAGTAAACCGACTTGTATATCTTTTTTTTTTTCTTCTTTCCTCTGATCCTTGACGTTTAACAATTAGATTAAAATTATCGGATTCTATAAAAGAAATAGCAACTCAAAATAATATAGACCTGTCTGTGATATCATCTATCTTTTTTATATTATTAGAATGAGCTATTACCACTTCACTGTTATTTCCACATGTTTTTATTATCCTTTTTTTGTTTATTTTCCTATTCTCAAGTTTCTTTTGTGCGTGTGTTTAAATTACCTGTTGTAGATATTTAAATGACCGCTGTTTTTAATTACGCTGCGCAGTAGTCATAATAGTAGTAACAGTAGTAATAATAACATTAAAGTTGTGTGAAATTAGAATTCAACTTTGTTTTACATAGTATTTCATTTTAACTCCGTCATATAACTGCTATGATTAAAAAAAGAACAAAAAAAAAATTTTTTTTTTCCTTCAGGGTCTAAGATTCACATGATGAAAATATTTGCTATTTTAAAATTATAATAAAAATAATTCTATATTTGAAGTCTTAATTTTTTTTTTGTGATGAATTCATAATTATTAAAAGAATACAGTAAAATGTAAAAAAAGAAAAAAAAAATAGTTATAATTAAAATTCCATGTTGTTCCTAAAAAAAAAAAAAAAATAATAAAATATACAGATATGATACATTTACACAATTTTTACGTGTGATTTTTATTGATTATAATTATCTTAAACATGTTTATTATACCAGCTATATCTCACAATATATTATGTATTTCTGAGAAGCATTTTTTTTTTTTGGTTGTTGTTTTTAGGTCTTTGAAAACTTACGTAATAAATTTACATGTATAGTAGTTGAATAGTCAACTATGATTCTGACTGTAACAAAACTTTTATAACAAGTTTTATGAAACCCTTAAATTGCTATTTGTTTGTATTACAAATATTGCCCCAATAGTCACATCTGCCTTTTTTTTTTTTTTTTTTTTTACTTTTTTAAATTAAAACAATGTAAATAAAAAAAAAGAAAGAATTATATTTTATATTTTTTACTTTATAATGCATTAATGTGTATATATACAAATAAAAGATAGAGAAAAAGAAACATATAAAAAATAAAAAGAGAGGGAAATGAGGAATAAGAGGAGTTTATTTTTCTTCCTTTTTTGTCTTGTTTTTGTTTTTGTTATAGAAAGAAAAAGAAAAAAAAAAAGGGGGATATCATCTGGGGTTAAAAAGGAATTTACTTATTCAGATAAGATTGAATTTTCTCGACTGATAGAAGAAGTAGAAGAAGAGCAGTTATTTCGTTCTCTTGCACGAATTGCTTGACGTCTGTTCTGAAACCATATTTGAACTGTCCTTGGACTCATTCCTAATTGACGACCCAACTCAGCTCTTAATTGAGTAGAAGGGAAAAATGTTCTTTCAAAGACTTTATTCAATACATCTAATTGTTTAGAAGAGGCTCTTCGTCTCTTTGCCTTTAAAGGTAAAGCATCTTCACTTTCATCACTTGAATTTCTACTACTTGAAGAACATGAGTAAACAGAAGAAGAAGAGGGTCGTCGATGAGTATGTAAAAGCTCTTGTTCTATCTTTTTTGATTCAAGTTGATTTTGCCTTGAAGATCTTCTTTGTCGTTTATCTAGTAAACTATAAGGAGATACTACTTGTCGTGTTTTCTTATTATCGTATGATCGTTTTGTCCAATACAAGTTCATATAACCTTCTTCTTCTTCTTCCTCATTGCTTAATTTAGAATAATCATTAGGGTATGGATAGTCTTGTTGAAGGTATGAATGATTCTTTTGTGTTGGAACAGTATTTGAACATAATAAGAATGAGATATCCAAAACAGACGGTCTACTATATACTTTTGCTTCTTGTTGCACACTATTTTCTGTGAGCATATTACGAACAGAGAGCATCTTTTTTATATGTAAAATGTAATTAATAAATAAATAAATAAATGTAAAAAAAAAAAGAAAGGAAAGCTAGTTGAAATAAAATAAAATAGATAATAAACAAATAAAAATTAAAAAAAATAAAAAAATAAAAAAAAAGTTACGGTTTATATAAGTTTGATAAGAATAAGGTTTTATATTATATTTCTCTTATGATTCTATTTTTAAAAGGAAGACAGGCCAAAAAAAAAAAAAAATAAAAGAGAGATACGAATGAAAGAAACGGAAGGTAAAAAAAAAATATGTTTCTGTTTTCTTTGGAGAAATAATAATGAAAAGATTTTTTTTTTTGTAGGCATTTAATAATAAATAAGAAAGATGCTCAATTTTAATATTAAAAAAAAAAAGCACACCACTTTATTAAAATGTGAAATCCTAAAATTTGGAAAACAGGCATTTATAGATTCTATATTGATCAGGAAATGTTATTACATGGTATTTTTGTTCTGCTTTTTTTAACTTCCGATTCGGAATTGAAACCGAAAAAAAAAGAGAGAAAGAGAGAGAGAGAGAATGACAATAGGGGAATTTACAATATTTTAATTCCGTTTTTTTTTTTTTTTTTTTTTTTGAAAATTTTGTTATAATTATTGATGAATGAAATTTCCCTCTTCCCGTTGTGGTAAAAAACGGTTGATTACTGTAGTTTAAATGGGGTTTTTTTTTTAAAAAAAAAAGAAAATTTAGTGTGTATTTTTGATGTCATAAATGTATAATAAACATTAAAAGACATCTCTCTTTTTTTTTTTTTTTTTTTTTTTTTTTTTTTGCTGTTTAGAAAAAATAGAAATAAAATAAAATTAAGTCGAAAATCTATTATTAAATGTCTATCAATTAATATCATCTGTTTATTATTGAGTAGAATAGATAGAGTTAAAGTTTTAATAAACAGAAAATTTTTTTTCTCCTTAATTTATAATGTTTGCATAAAAAAAAAAGTAACATGATAATGTTGATTATAGAAGATATGGTATAATATAATAAAAAGGAGGAGAGATGTATGCATGTATAAGCCTCTTTCATTTAAAGACGTTTAGTGGTGGACTGTAATGATAGATATTTATTTTAAAGGAACTACATTCAATAGTAGTAAACAATACTACAAAGTTTTCTAGAAGGACATGTTATCTAAACTTATAATGTAGATTCTTTTTTTTATATCTTATTGTTATGCAATAATAATAATAATAATAATGCAGAATCATTACTGCTATCCTTTGTCAAAATGATAGTTTAAAAAGGAAAAAAAAAAAAAGGCGATATACTTTTAGCTTATCCACGGACAAGTTTTACGGAATAGCTCCGAGCATGGATCTCTTTCACAAGTGATATGCACAAAAAAAAAAAAAAAAAAAAAAAAAAAAAAAAAAAAAAGACCAAAGATAAAGTATGAATGTTTACTGTTATTGCTATTCAAAATGTATTTTAATTTCCACAGTCTTTTTTTTTATTTTTTCTTTTTTATTTTTATTTTTTATTTTTATTTTTTTAAAAAAATGTATGATGAATAATGCCAAGTATTATTTTCAAGATAGTAAAAATGGGTAGAACTTTCTTTAAAGAGTTGTTTTATAAAGTGACAAAATACAATATGTATTGCTGTGGACATTAGAAGTGTGTTTTTTTATTTTTTATTTTTAATAGAATCCAAATTCTGAGCTGGTAATAATGAAAGATCGTTGTTTTATCGTCAAGATAGAATTCTATTCCTTGATTTTCTTACCATTTTTATTTTGGAGATATACACAAAAAAGGGAAGAGATAATAATGCATTTAACAAGTATATATACAGAAAAAAAAAGTGACTACTTCTCAAAAGTATCATAAAATGCCCATTGATAAAAAAAAATACATATTCCTGTTACTATAACTACTGTCACCATGCATACATTGCAATCAAATAATTCTCTTTCAAGTGAAAACTTGTAACTCGTCTTCATCTATCAAAGTCTTTTTATTGTCCTTATAATTAACTACTCTTTTTTCTTTTAAAATAAGATAATCATCTATTCTATCATTTATGCCCTATTATTATTTATTACTGTTATCTTCTTTTGCAATAAAATAAATAAAATTAAAAAAAGAGAGAAATATACATTTGATATTATTCGCTGTCCTCATAACCACTAGTAGGAGTGCGAGCACGATTAGGGACTTTTTCGAAAAAATATATATATGCATATACATATATAAATATAAGCAAATTAGTCTTTTTTCTTCTTCTTCTTTTTTTTAATGTAATTATAAAAAACTACGTACGAGGATATGTGATAGGAAGAGGTTCGTAACCTTTAAATCCAAAATATTCACGTCTAACTTTTGGAACAGTCCACACCATGATGGGACCTAGAATGGAGACAAAATTTGCGGGGTAATAATAATACATGGTGAGTAACATTGTTTATTCATTCAATCTATTAAATAAATTATTCTACCAATGGATCCAAACACTAATGACCAAAATACAGAAGGTCTATCAAGAGCAAGGCGATGTAATTTAGCAAACATTTTGTATTATTTATAGAATGAGGGGAAAAAAAAAGAGTAATGAGGGAAAAAAAAAACCAAAAATAAAGGAACTTTTGTTTATTTTACACCCCAAAAGAAAATGGCGCAAAATATTTTTTTTTTTTTCATTACAACGTCACCAACAAATTCATCTCTGGCATCAAAAGGTATAGTACAGCATAAAACATCATTTTTAGCAGTAAGAAAGAGCAGCAAAAAAAAAAAAAAAAAAAAAAAAAAAAAAAAAAAAAAAAAAAAGAATTATAATCGAATCAATATTTTATGCTTCATTAGAATAGTATCAATTCTATTACTTTGTACAAAGAATGGTAATAAAAATTCATCTTCCTTATTGTAAAATGTTATTTTTTATTTTATGTTAATATCTTTCATTTAAAGCGAATATATAGATTTAATATTAAAGTATGATATTACCAAATATTCTAATAGAATCGTTACTATCATTACTACTCCTCATATCCTTCCTTCTTCCTATTCTCTCTCTCTCTCTCTTTTTTTTTTCTTTTTTTTTTTTTTGCTGATTATATTATATGAAAAAAAAAGTCAATTTGAATTTATAGCGGGACATTAACTTAAATTTTAACAAAGTTTTACTTCATCATCTTCCTTTTTCAATCATCATGTCCATCGTAACATTATTTGTTGATACATCTGACGAAAAAGTCAGTGCAGAAAGACGATTTGACAAAGCTTTGACTATCTCTCAACTCAAGGTAAAGTTTCTTTTTTTCTTTCTTTTGTTTTTTTTTTAAGAAAAAAAAATATTAATAATACAAGTTCATATTTATTTATTTATTTATAAAAGTATAAACTTGAACCTATTACAGGCATTCCTTATTCAACACAAAAAATCGAATTGTATCAGGGAAATATTTTACAGGGAACATTAGATGATGAAAATAGAATGTTGGGTTCTTATCCAGTGGAGGATTACATGAGAATTCATGTTATCGACACTAATCCTCATCGTGTCAAAAATCAATATACCGATGTCTCTCTTGTTGAAAAATTTGAATTAACAGAAGAAGAATATAAAAAAAGATCAGGTAAGAAAAAAAAAAGTTAAATATACAATCTTCTTTTCTTGATACAATAAATTCTATTGTACTGATAGATACTGTGAGAGCTTTTAAGGAACGTAATAAACTGGGTCGATTTTCAGATGAAGCTGCTGCAAGAGAAGAAGCAATAGAAAAAGCATATAAAGAAGCAGCAAGTAAAATCAAAGTTGGAGATCGATGTGAAGTAGAAGGTGATGATCAGACTACTTCAAGACGTGGTACTGTTCGATTTGTTGGTGAAACAAAATTCCAATCTGGTTTTTGGGTTGGTATTCAATATGATGAACCCTTAGGTAAAAACGATGGTAGTGTTCAAGGTGAAAGATATTTTACATGTCCTCAAAAATATGGTGGTTTTGTTCGTCCTACAAAGGTAACTGTAGGTGATTTCCCAGAAGAGGATTTCTCTTTAACTGATGATGAACTAGAAGAGATGTAGATTACTGTGTACAATTAATGTTATTTGTGAAATTTTATGCCATGTTCTTTTTTTTTTTTTCTCTTACTGAGCAGTCACGATTGCTCCTTAATTCTAGAAAGCCAAATAAAAAAAAAACTTTTTTTTTTTTTTTTTGACATTTTCGAAACAATTACTTTTATAAGAATGTCAAGTGAAGAAAAGGTATATAACATAATGACTTTCTTTTTTTTTTGTAATTTTATGCTTATATTTCAGAATAGTCTATTGATAAAAGGGAGAGTGTTACTAAAGAGGAAAACGAACAACCAAAACTCACAAAAGAGAGAGAGAGGTAGATAAGATAAAAGAAGTTTGTCTGATATGCATTTAAATAATAATAAAAAACTTTGTTGTAGATCGCCCTTTTCAGAAGATGAGGACGAGGAATTGGACGAATTTGGAAGAGTTAAACGTCGTAGACAGAAATTTAAAAGTGAAAGATCTGAAGAATTAGATTATGACGATCGATCAGACAGCGATCGAGATAGAAAAGAAGATAGATATTATCATAGACGCCATCGTCGTAGATCATCATCGGGTTCCCGTTCTCCAAGACGTTATTATCGACGACGATATTCTGATTCAGATAGTGATTATGAGCGCCATCATAGCAGTAGTAAACATAGACATTATCGTAGTAGTCACAGACATCATAGTGACCGTAGTTATAGTAGTCGTAGTAATAAAGGAGGAGATGTAATGGATTAATTTATTAATTAATTAAAAAAAAAAAGAAAAAAGAAAAAAGAGTACATGGATATTAATATGCTTTTAATCTATAATATATACAAATAGGTTTATACAGAGGCAGCTCAATATATTGATACAGAATTTTATCCAACAAAAATTTATATTGGAGACATTGAAAATGTCACAGAATCTCAAATTGAATCAATTTTCTCTCGTTTTGGACCACTTGAGAGCGTTAAGCTTGTTGAAGGAAAAGAGTAAGTAATAAAAGAAGGATAAGCATTTATTAGGTTTCTTGGTGAGTACTAAATTTTACCTTTTTTTTTAAAAAAAAAAAAAAGCTATGGATTTGTCACTTATGAAAAGAAAGAATCAGCATTAGCCGCAATTCAAAATATGAACGGCGCATTACTAGGATCAAAGCATATTAAAGGTATTACATAAAAAAAAGCTTTATTTCTATTATTTTTTTTTGAAGTGGAACACATATTTATGCATCCATTATAGTGAATCGTGCTAAAATACCGGAAAGAAATAAGATTGGTTTCGGTAATATACCTTGGCAAGATGAGGATGGCCTTATGGCAAAGGAGGCAGCATCCTATCATAGTTATAATCGAAGACGATCTTCTACACTTATGATTTTAGATAATTTAAAGGATGAAAACCAAACCTCACTAGAACTTCCTATACCTCGAAGAGCCTTAACTAGCTATGATGATCTTTAGATATATTACATGCTTATTTTTTTTTTATTTTTTTTAATTATCTATTTGAAAGGTTGTATTTTAAATTTGTGAACCTTAAAATTTCATTTTAATTCTTGTAAATTCCATTGCATAATAAACATAACGAGAAATAATGTGTTCTCTCAATTTTAAATAGCGCAATTTTTATACAATTCAATAGTTTATTATAATTAAATTTTTGATCTTTATGAGCACATAGTGTCTAAATAATACTGGATTGCCCAGGTCAGTTCAAAAAGGAGAAAAGGAACTAATATCTCTCTTAAGAGATAAGAAGTAACAAAATGAAAAAAAAAGAGTAAACTCAAACGTGGATGAGGAAGAACAGAGACTATTATGTCTGTATAGGAAGAGGTGGAGGGAAAGTAGAATTACCTTTATTAAAGACACGGGTTTTATATAAACTTTCTTTTTTTCAAGATTAGAGCGGAATACCTCTGTTCTAAAAGAAAGACCTTGCGACTGCATTTTCGATGTGAGATCGAAGTTTGAAAAGAACTTTCGACGAGCGGTCATGTTGGATTCTAAATGGCTTTATTATTATCTTTATCCCGCTTTGGATAAATTGGAAAATTTGAGCCCTCGAAGGTAATTACCGTTGTAGGGATTGAAATCTGTATCTTGGGCAATATTGATTTTAGTTGATTGATTCAAGTACATAGTCAAAATGTATTAGAAGAGCGACTACATTGGCGGTGTTGACATATTGAGAAGGCAAATGGGAAAAAAAAAAGTAGTTGATCATGATTGCTATCAGTAGTTAGAGGGAGGTATAGAGTTCAGTAATAGAACAGAAAGGTAGGTAGGTAATCAGTATCTATTGTATTGAATAGAGTGGTGTGTAGTTTGTAAGCGTGTATTTACTTAGTGTAAGAGGAACGTTTGAATAGAGGTTGAGGAGGAGTCTGTTTTGTAGACCCATGCCTGTAAAGGGAAGTTATTTTATTGTAGCGAGAACAGCTAATTTGATTTTTGTTTGTTGTGAAAGCTGTTAAGAGATCTTTCATTTGAAAGAGTGAAGGTAGCATTGTTGTTGTTGGTTCTTTAGAAGAACTTTGATCAGATAGCATTTCAAATCTAATTCGAAATAAATATTTTAAATTGAAGGGTTAATAGAGACTATAGTATGAAAATTGAATCTTTTTCGCTTATTCAATGTATCCCTTCCCTCTTTATTAGACATATCATTATGCTTATGTTATTTATTTATTAATTTTTTTAAATTAGTTGGTTCTAAAAGAACGAAAATAGGCGAATTAGAAACAAGCATATTGAGACAGCAAAAGAAAAGAGCTAAAATAGAGAATAGTAGTAATATTACTGAAGAACAAGTTTGCGATTTTAAAAAAAAATTGCTTAGAGATCATGTAACAGTAACAAAAAAAGCTAAAACTGGAAACCATTTTACGGCCAAAATACAAGAATATCATTATAAGCAAAATCTTGAAGGTGTCAGAGGATATCTATCAAGTCTTTATCTGTTCTCAAATATTTGTAAATTACTATATAATTAAGATATCAAACAAATCAATAAATAATAAAACCTACAAGAGAGGTTTCACACAGAATTTTTGGTATTTTGTTTCTCTTTTGGTGCTTGGATCAAAACCAAAAAATTTCAACGCTATTCCTAACGACTTACTGGAAGAATGGAACAATTTCCTCAAAGATAACAAAGCATCCCTCTATATAAAAAAAAAAGCAGGGATTTCAGACGATATAAAAGAGACAAGGTAAAATAAATGCAGGCATTTTCTAAGTGATAATATACTTATTGTGTAGTGGACACCAAAGGAGTATATATTGGACACCAAAAAAAAGTTTAAAATAAGAAGAAAATTCTAGTTATAGCATTTTTAATGGAATATTCAATAGATATTGTCAAGTTTAAAAGTGTTCGAATAGGAGTCACCAAGTATATTGTGGAAAGAATTATTGAATATACAAAGACGTGCTGATTTGACTGTACCTTTTATAGATGAATTTAGAACTTCCAAAGTGAAAAAAATTATTACTGCTCTGTTAACACCAGCTTAACATATCCACTTTTATATAAAATAGACTTGCCATTTATGCTTTGAAAAAAAATTACGTCTACAATAATGGGCTGTCATAGTGTCTTAGCTTGCAATCACGTTGCTACAACATTCTACAACTTTTGCAATGCTTGCAAAAAATATTTATCGAACTCTAAGGAGATACTAACTGATCAAGATCGTTTTTCTGCATTCTCTTGCCAGAAACAATAATATTGCCGTCTCAAACACAGAGGAGTTTTTTTTTTTTCTTAACATACTGTGCTTCCACTCTCAATTTACTGACTTTTTGAAAATACTGCCTACTTTTTTGAGAAAAATTGCACATTGTGCGAGGCTAATTTGCCCAACTTTTTGGATATAGATTGACCAGCTTTCACGAATTAGTTGACCAATTACTGGTCAAAAGTCAAAATGGTTATAAAGTTGTTTATTGAAATATTCAAGGAATATCTGCAGAATACTGGGAAAAAGTGACAAAGGTTCCATTACGGTGTCTTTGCTTCCAACAACTCTTGAAGTAAGAGTTTCCACACAAAAAATCGGAGAACAAAAGAATACAACTCCTTTATTCAGCACATAGTATGAGGCATTCAAAAAATCACAACCCAGCAATACTACCGCTTAAAAGGACTACCATAATGAAGTGGCATTCAGTCAGAATCACCTTACTGAAGCCAAAAGCAGTATATAAATACATCTTCATTACAATCTACAGCAAGAAGCTATGAATTCCCAAGCACTATGTTGGAAGTAGGTGTTTGTATCTTCTTTGCCTATTAATCAAGAGTCTAATCAAAGAGATGTCTAAAATACAGTATAAGAAAGCAATCCTTAGAAAGAACACATTAACTTTTAGTGACATGTAACTAACCTTCAGTATGTTACAAAAATCCAGAGAACAAAAGAATACTATCGCTGCGTACGACGTATAAAAGTACTATACGTCGTACGCCACAATTTAAGCTGCGGTTTTTTTTAATTGTTTATTTCTACTAATTTTTAATATAAAACTTCCAAATAAAAAATACATTATGTTTAATATACTATCATAGAATAAATATATCCAAAAAAAAGACATTTCTATTGCTAATATTCATTATTTTTTTAATGTTTAAATTTACAGCTATTTTGGCTGTGTTTTTTTTTACAGGGAGAGAAAAAAAAAGGGGGGGTAATCACACTATTTGCATTGTGAAATTACAAAAATGGATCTATAGAAAATCATATGATCATAGAGAAAGTTGAGAAAATTATTAGCTTTCCACATTCATTGTTATTTCTTTTTATTCTTTTAGATTAATACTTATTTACTTACAATTGTTTTATTTTCTATAGATATTTATTATATTCAAGGTAGTATAAAGATTTAGAATATCCTTATTAACGAATTTAAACTGACCAGTTTTATTTCTTTCTTAGCAAAAGAGTCTTGTTTATGTTGGCAGTAGCTTTTTCTACTTTTTATACAGAGCATTTTTCAATGATATGTTAAAGGTAAGATAATAACTATTGTCTATAACTCTTGTTCTTTATATTAACACATATATTAACTTGTCTATTATCTTTAATCAAACGCTTTTTAAACAGATAAACAAATGTATATAAAAAGGTAAATTAAAACATAACATTTATCTAATCTGTTGATTACAAAAGTATACTTTCTTTGTCTAATATAAAATATACCAACCTTGCCTTTTATTCTCTTCTTTTAGGACTTTTTACTTTTTTTTTTTTTTTTTTTTTTTTTTGTTTTCGGTAAGCATTTTATTCTTTTGAATAACAATACTCTTTTATTTTTTTATTTTTTACTAACTAATCAATTTTGTTTATTATAGATTGTTTATTTTGCTTCTGTTTAACTGCTATAATTTAACCTCTTAGACCCCTATCATCATTATCTCTGTCTTTTTCTCTTATTTATTTGTATCTATTTGCTGCGTAATAGTACTATTTCTTTTTAAAGATGCAAAGGTAAGTGAGTGCAATCCTATTTTCTATTATTAATTATTGTAAGAAATATTCTTTTTTTTTATTATTATTATTATTTCAAAAGCAATTTATTTTTTGTAATAATTCATTTGCTATATATGCCATTATTATTATTATTACTATTCTAAATGTAAATAAAGTCACATTTTATGTAAGCAAACTATATGTTTATTTATAAATAATGTCTAATAAACAAGGCAATAATAAAAGCCTAATATGTATTAAATATATTTTATAAGCCAGTAAGTAATAAAGATCAAACGTAAATAAACATTATTTATTCTGCAAAATACCAATGATGGTTCATGTTTTTCAAAAAAAAAAATAGCCAATCAAATGTAAAAAGTTATGTGTTGTATGTATGGAGTACTATACGGCGTACGCACGTACGACGTACCGTACACCATATATGCAGTACGTGAGTACGATGTATAGTACACCGTATAGTACTCCATACGTACGACGAATAAATTTTTTGCAGTGTATGTATATTCCCCCTAGTTAAAAGGCATTTGGAATTGAGAAATTGCTTACGTAGTCAATTTTCAAAAAAAAAAAAAAAAAGACAGACCATTCTCTTTTCTGCATATAGATATACTACCAATGAATTTAAGAGCTGTGGAATACATCGAAAAACACTATTTCAACTTTAGTGTTCTTCAATTTTCTCGTGTGTTAAAGTTAAAAAGTTTACAAGATGCTAAAAGAGAATTTTATGATGCAATCAAGTCAATTTCAAACCGTTCTCTAAAAGCAAAAAAAAAAAAAATGACAAGGATTTGATTCTATGGACAAGGCGCGTGAAAAAGCACAAATTGGATGTAGGTATGAAGCTTTCAATCATTTGAATGTGATACTAAGTTATTTTTTTTAAAGTTCTTTGATGATCAAGCTGTCAAAATTCATTTTTATTCAATCCGCCGTCGATCTTTATTTTATTCCGAGAAACTTTTTGATGTTCAAAACGCGGTAGAATTTACTAACGAACAACTTGCTGAAAATCAAAAAACACAAGAAGAAGCTCTTGAAGAAAACCATGAAAAAACTGATGATGGTACCAATGAAACCGACGAACAAAACGAGCAAAAAGATACTGAACAAACTAAAAATCTTTTGAATATACCAAGTGACGATCCCAAAATGAAATTTGAAAGAAGCTTCAATAAAATGAAAGCCGAAGAAAAATGGTATCTGTCTAATGGTAAATGTATGGAGGATGAACTTTTCGTTTTTGGGATGCAATGCAATGAAGAGCACCCTTGTCACTCCTTCATCGTAGATCCGACTGATGCCAACTATCAGAAATATCGAGTGTTCAGTGATGATGAATTGCAGGAAATCGGGTCGTTTGGAGAGAAGAAGCTGCCAACCATGCCTACTAAATTACGTGACTATTTCAATAAATACAATCTCACTATCACAACTGCTTTACGTCAGAAAATTTTTACACCAGAGCAATTGGATGAAAATTATTCTCAAGACATGGATTGGATTAGATTTACCGTTTATTCTTTCGTAAGAGAGTACGAATCCGAAAGTTTTAAACGACCACATAGTGAAGAATGGTATAAAGCACACGTATGGCATTTTCTAGATACAGTATTCAACAACGTAAGTGAGATAGAAATACTAAGGTAAGCTACATTGAATTTCTTTTATTCAATTTTATAAAGGGTTAACTCTGCTTATTTTAGAGGTGAAAAAACAAGTTTTTCCTCTAGTAAGAGAAAGAACAAGGATAGGTCTATTGGAGCCATTGACTCACTTGTAACAAAGAAAATTGGTTCCAAATGTGACATAATATTCCGCAAGTTAGTATGCAACCACGATAATGTCCTCGAATCCGGAGCCACAGAAACTGGCAAAGATTACGATGGTGACGATGCAATCAAAAAACTCATTAAAGGATATATCAAGCTGCCAAAATGTCTAAAAGATATGCTGGACAATCTAGCAATGAACATTCAAGCAATAGCTGACATTGAAGTTGTTGGTTTTATACACTCGGGATTACAATCTCGCTTTATCAGAGCTGATCGTCCTACCCCGTATGTAAAAAGAATAACAAGAGTCCGTTCCGTTCATATTAGCAGCGACATATCCAACTTCGGTCCTACTGTATTACCATCCATGAACTCCGCTTGGCTTGCTAGAGAAATTGTGAAGAGAGTCTTACTGTTGTTACCTACCTCACCTACTGCTGTCAGCAATGCTGATTCAAGTTGGCTAGAAACATATTGGACGTCTTCTAAACCATCTGTTATGCCTGAGACTAGCACTAGCTCTGTGACTTCAAATAGGAGCAACAAAAAAATTAAAAACATGCGTTAAATAGTTGTACATGTAAGCAAAACAATACTTATATGGATAACGAGGAAAAGTAAATTATAGGTAGTAAAATTATATTTTCTCAAATGTTAAAAAAAACAATGCTTTTCTACTATTATGCATTTTCGTGTTTTCTAAAAGAGTTATTTTTCCATCTTCATAAGAGATGCTCATTTTTGTGTATAATCCTTTGTTACTATAAGAATTCAAAATATTGGCCAACTTATTCGTGAAAGCTGATCAATCTATATTCAAAAAGTTGGGCAAATTAGCCTCGCACAATGTGCAATTTTTCTCAAAAAAGTAGGCAGTATTTTCAAAAAGTCAGTAAATTGAGAGTGGAAGCACAGTATCTAAAAACTAGTTTTATTTTGTCTAAATCTATTTTTGCTTCTTCTCAAATTTTTATTGATTGATTTAAAAAAATTATGGAACTAGTCTACATTTCATCCGAAAATATTTAGTACTATTGTTATTGTAAGTCTTGTTTTCATTATCAGACTTAATCATTTTTTTTTCCCCTAACACTTTGACAAATAAATAATGTACTTTGATAGACACCTCAAATAAAATACATCTTTTATTTTGTTACCTTGAATACAGTTTCCCTCATCTGAAAATTAACTTAATTCTAACAACAAATGTCCTCATTTCTTCAAAATAAAAATAATAATAGAAATAATAGTGTGACTGTTTCTTAACGTCACCTAATTTGTAGTCTTTTTTTCCCTACTTTTCCTTCTTCTTCTTTTGTAGAAGTCGAGCATTTAATACTTAAATTTACAATGTAAGAAAATAATTCTTTATCAATTCATTCTATTTTTCTTTATTCAAAGATTTATGAATAAAAAAAAGAGAGAGAGAGAAAAAGAAAAAGAAAAAGCATTCTACTCTATTTTTTATATTTAATACTTTTTTTTTGTTCAATTTTAATTATATAAAACAGGGCTTCCCCAAGATCTCAACATTCCAGATCACCTTCTCCTCGCCGCCGTTCTACTTCAAGAGGCCGTTCACACTCACCACGCTCCAAATCTCCTACTCGCCGTAGCCGTTCACGATCTGCTAGTCCAGAGCATCTGCATTCGATTCTTGTCACCAATTTGACGCGCAATGTAAAAGAAGAACATATAAGAGAGATTTTTAGTCAGTTTGGTAAAATTACTCACCTTGAATTCCCTTTCAACAAAACCTGTAAGTAATTAACAGTTAAAGATGAATGAATAAAGAGTGCAAAAAATAAAAATAGAATAACTATATATGTATATAATAACAAATAGTAAATACCAACAAGGGAAAAGCATATATTGATTTTGAAACACAAGAAGACGCTGATAAAGCTTTAAGTTATATGGATAATGTAATTATATATATTATTTATTTGGAAAAATGATTAACAATTGATGTATATGTTTAGGCGCAATTAGATGGTAAAAGACTTGATTGTGTTGTAGCTCCTAAATATCGTAAAAGATCACCTTCACCTCGTAGAGGTAAGTTCTTATTAGATAAAAAATGATTAATTTACTAAAATAAATATTTTAGGACGCTATTCTCCACCTCCTTATAGAAGACTTAGTAATCGTGGTCCTCTAGCAATGAGTCAACGTGGAGATCGTTTTGGTAGTGGTAGAGATAGAGTTAGACGTTATTCTCGTTCACCTATTCGCTCACCTATTCGCTCACCTATTCGCCGCGGAAGACGTTATTCTTACTCTCGCTCAAGATCCCCTAGCCCCAGCTATTCTAGAGGAAGAAAGAGATCTTATTCTCGTGATAGACGCAGTTATTCTCGTGATAGACGCAGCTATTCTCGTGATAGACGTAGCTATTCCCGTGGAAGACGTAGCTATTCTCGTGGAAGACGTAGTTATTCACGTAGAAGACGTAGTAGTTATTCACGAGGCCGAAGTTATTCTAGAAGCTTAACTCCCAGTCGTAGTAGATCACTTTCTAGTCGTAGTAGATCTCCTTTAAGTCGCAGTAGATCCCCTTTGAGTCGCAGTAGATCCCCTTTGAGTCGTAGTAGATCTCCTATTAGACGTAGTAGATCACCCTTGAGACGTAGAAGATCATCTTTAAGACGTAGTCGTTCACCTATCAGACGCAGCCGTTCACCCATCAGACGTAACAGATCTCCAATTCGACGAAGCAGCTCTCGATCTTATGGTGGACGCAGAAATTCAAGTGTCAAGCGTAATGACATATAAAACGAAAAAAAAAATCTATGAAAAAAAAAAGCAAGTAAAGGATTATTTCGATTTTAAAGCTACATTTATAACCATGCAAACACAAGATATTAACCATAATAGCAATAAATATACTTTTTTTTTCTTGATTCATATTTGAAGTAAATAGGCAGGCAATTTATCAACAGACTATACTTTTAACAGTAAGTCAAAATAAAGGTGGAATATTTATGGTGAAAATTCATTTTTTTTCAAATTCCTATAATTAAAACTAAAAAGTTTTGTAAATAAGATTAATGATCCTTGACATTGGAGAACGAATATCATGACTCTTTACGTCAGCATATAATGGTAGTTCTGCCAAATCTTAGATAGTGAAGGAGGAGGGAGGATTATAAGCATACTGAGTGAAAATCACATGCACATATATTATTACTCTGATAAAAATATCCATTTGAGAATTTCCTAGAAAATTAAATCACAGGCATGTATGATATTAATCCAAATAACAATATTCATATTAGAACTGTAAAAAAGCGCCTTTTTTTTTCTTCCTATTTAAATAAGTTATACTTTATACAGATGAAAGTTTGGTCTACGTTGTTGCTGATATTCCCTGATACAAAGTCAGATCCAACAACAACATTTGAATTTGTCCATAGGAATTAATCTCTTTCCTTTTTCTTGTCTTTTCCCCTACTTTTTCTTTTTTTTTTAGCAGTGTTTTTATGAATAATTGTAGCGTTTATCAAATTCATTCCTTGTCTAGGATTATCTCGACTTTTAAAATATGTGTACAATTTTTTTTTTTTTTTTTTTTTTTTTTTTTTTTTTTTTTTTTTTTTTTTTTTTTTTTTTTTTTTTTTTTTTTTTTTTTTTTTTTTTTTTTTTTTTTTGTTTATTAAAGGAGTTTGATCCAATTATATATGCATATATATTCCTCCAATAATTAACATTCCTATGTTTTGATCTAGAGGTACTCATATAATTAATAATGAAAAGAAGTTTTGTTTGCTTTAAATAGTGTTTAAAGAAAGCCAATATAATTAGTAACAATATTAAAATTTAAAAGGTAATGAATTATTTGCTGATTGTTTGAATCTAAATTTCCCAACTTTTCGAAAATAAATTGTCTACTTTTTCAACCAACCAAAACAGTAAAGCAATCACAAAGATGTCTTTATTCAAGCATTTAGGGATTACATTGATCGAGTGCTGAATGAAGTTTTGTATATATTCAACAGGAATATCTTCACTGACTTCAATTATTCTTGAAGAAATTGATTCTGTATCTTTCCATTTCTCTCTTCTAACTCGATCCTTCAGCACTTTCTAAAACATCTCAATAGGATTGGGTTTAGGCAAATATGGAGGGATGTATACTGGTATATAAAAAACCTTTCTAAAATGATAAGGTCAACGATATTACAAGAATGGATCGGTGCATTATCCATAATCATATGAAATCCTTTCATGTTGGAAAATTCATCCATAATGTCTAAAGTATCCCTAATGAATTTGCACAAAGTGGCCAACTGTAGTTCCTTTTGGTATAGCAGCAACAGCATCCTTAGGTGTTTTTCTCTTTTTAGCACTAACAACGCTTCTTTTCTTGACATTGCCCGGCCCTCTCATGTTTACATTCACAACACCAAATGCTGAAACTGCACCAATAACTGTATGTGATATACCCCTCGCAGAAGTTGTTTCCTCAATTGCTGGTTTACCATGCTGTGCCCAACCTCTTGAACGACGCATATTTACATCGAATCTTGCTTTATCAAGGAAAACACAATTCTTTATAAAAAGCAAACCTTTGTTTTGCCATTTTTCTTCAATCCAGTTTGCGCGAGCCTCAAGAGTCGTCTGACTATTTCTCTCCTTGGAATGGCGGGTGACAACTTTTATACTGAAATTGCAATCCTCTTTCACCAATTCAACAACCTTACTCTTTTTTTATTTCCATTTCCAAACCTTCAAAGCTTTTGGTTAAATTTTCGACTGCATCCTGGATTGGATAACAGTTGAGGGATTCTCATCGAAAAAGTTGATCAAGTGCATTTTGTGGTTCTCATTTAGTTGACTTGGTGCTCTGATTGATGTACGAATCGTTTTTTTTTAAAAGGGTATCTTCTTCTCAGGGTCTTTCGTGATTTCTCTCTTCCACTTTCTCGCAGTCTCAGGATTAACGTTGGCTACTTTAACTGTCTCAGTGTGTTTCATCAACTTTTCATGCAGGAAAAAAGATATATCGTAGTCGATCTTTGTTTGTATAGATGTTATAAGTTGAGCTTCTTTCCTTCTTGACGGTTGCTTCCTACATATCCGTGTCTTTTTGGCTCTTCGTTTTCTACGATGACTTTTTATTTTTATTTTTAATGAACTTGTGTAGATTCGTCAAATTAGCTAATTGAAAGGACAAATCTACAACGAAAGCAGCCGCTTCGTTACCAGAATCATCCACAATCCCGCCTCTGTCATCTTCATAAAAGAAATTCATCTCAAAACACAATGGATACAATAATAAAATAAGAAAAGTAGTCTGTTATGATTGTAGTCGTCTTTACAACCAAGTTAATAGAAATAAACCATCATTTATTTAAATAGCGAAGAGGTTATTCAGATAAAACTAGTGTATTGTACTTCACAGCATAATATTTATTCTACATCCGGTTTTAATAACAGTCATTGTTAGAGTATTCGAGCATTAAACAAAATAATTATATACATCATAATATGTAATTATAAGAATTCAATAGGGTTATGAATGTTATATGCAATTACAAAATTATCTATACAAGTCATACATATTATATATATGCATCTATAATGTTGAATATTGTTATGTAATAACATCTTAGAGAATGATAATAATAATAATAGTAGCATATAAATAATTTGTATTGTTATAGCGGGAATATTCACTGTGAATTAATATTAACACTTATCTCAGAAATAATAGTCGGGTATATTTTTAGTAACAACGACAGCTCAGAGAGAATAAAGATAAAAATATATCTTATTACAAGCAGGATTGTTCGGAGACAATATCCACACTGACAACATTTACATTGACAACATTTACATATAATGCTTTATTATAGCAGTATTCACTTATCCAAATCATGCTTTGCAAAAACATATAAATAACCCTTGTCATTTTTCCATGTTATTTTCCTTGGCACAATTTTTGTATTTTTTTTTTTCCCTCTTCTAATGAACTATACAGAGTTTTCACGGACTTGTCTTTTCTGTTTACTCTTTCCTTATCTTTTGTATTTAAAACAGACACATTGTGCTTCAATTGATTTACTAAACCAAATTATTAGACGACCTTTAATAAGCAATATGCTTGCCTTTGCTGTAATGTTTACAAGGAAGATTTAGATGAACTAGGCGAACGCTTACTCAGTACCCACGGCAAGTCATTACGTTAAGCTTATTATACTCATGAAACACCCACTAACGTAAGATATTTTATTCAGTGTCTTGCAAACATCCAGAGATTGAAGCAGTTTTTAGTAAACTTGAAAAAGAAAAGAAATGGAAACTCTCGACCGGTAAAATCGTTGAAGACGCTTTGTACGAATTTGGGAAGCAATATCTTGCGGACCACCCAGCTTGCTCCATGATTTTAGATTTGGAAGATAAAAATTATTTGAAGGAATGTGTGTTTACAGGAGTAGAGATCGAGAAGATGAAGATAAAGAACCCTATTCAATTCATCAACTCTATACCAGAAAAACTTGCAACTTATATCAATGCATTCAATCTTAGAAATGTTGAAGATCTACGAGCTGAGCTCTTGAAGGCGTAGGATTGGGAAATAAATTATAGTATTGATAAGGATCATGATTTGGATTCGGCCAAACACACCATCCATTCCTTTGTAAGACTGTATGAATTAGGAAATTTGAAAACTGTTCATAAGGAATCATGGTACATTGCGCGTGTGTGGTCCTTGATCGATACTATATTCGATGATCTTGAAAATTGTTGATAAGGTAGATATAAAAAAAAAACAAAAAAAAGACAGAATAAATCTGTGAAAACTTTGTATAAAATTTTTATTATAAATTGAATAAAATAAAAAATTGAATTAAAATTGAATTTCTCAAAAATGAGTGCAAAATGGATCTTGTGGAGAACAGGGTTACTTTGTGACAGGAACAGAATGAAGATATCTTGAAAGAGGAATATTTTCCCACAGAATAATTAAAGTTATTGTGTTTGAGCTCTAGTCTTTGCCCTGACTGAGAATTAATCTCAGTTAACTCTAATAAATATTAAATTATTGGTGCTTGATCTAGCCGGTCATTTTTCTTGAAACCAAATAATGAAATCTCGTTTGTTCATACTTGTGAATGATATAGGGAAGATACTTATAATGTATATATTCATTTCTCAATATACTACTTGAATGAATATCATTATATTGTATAGTGTATAGATAGTATATGATTGTATTCATAAATTAGTATATTAGATAATATTATAATAATGTGTATATATATAACTAATAGGTACAGTCTATAATTCATATATGTCTTTATCATTAATAACTCTTTACACTACTGTCTGGCTTATCATTATCTCGTAATGTTAGTATTTATTATAATATTATTATTTTTCTCATTACAAGAATGTCTTATATCAACTGAAATCAAATAATATTGTATGCATAAAGTGTACAACTAATAACTACAATATCATTCGGCCCATCATGACTCTGATCTATATATTATAAGATATTATGTAATATATCATTATATACACAACATCTATTGAGATGTTTTAGAAAGTGCTGAAGGATCGAGTTAGAAGAGAGAAATGGAAAGATACAGAATCAATTTCTTCAAGAATAATTGAAGTCAGTGAAGATATTCCTGTTGAATATATACAAAACTTCATTCAGCACTCGATCAATGTAATCCCTAAATGCTTGAATAAAGACATCTTTGTGATTGCTTTACTGTTTTGGTTGGTTGAAAAAGTAGACAATTTATTTTCGAAAAGTTGGGCAATTTAAATCCAAAAAAAATTCAAAAAAGTGAGCAAAGTTTTCAAACATCTGGTAAACTGAGAGTGGAAGCACAGTATATAATTTTTGTTATATAAAGAGACAAGAATAAAGATTTAACAGGCTACCAGTTAAAAAAAAAAGAAAAAAGGAAAGTTAAAAGGAAAGTTAAAATTGAAAAGATGTATACATTGTTCAATATAGACATCATTATGTAATTGTGTCAATAACCCCGATAAGTAAAGATAAAACTATAATTCTAGATATAAAAATGTCAGTTACATATCAAATGCAGATTTTATAACCAAAAGAAAAAAACATACACGATAATAGGCTATTTATTTATAAAATAAATATTTGTCTCATCCGGCATGGTTCATAAAAATATTGAGTTTGTTAAAGGAAGCTTCTTTAGTCCCCTAGATTATATCCAAATTAAAAGTTATGATGTTGCAGTATTCAAAGACTTTTATTAAAAGACAAATGATAGACTAACGTATCTGTAATTATTAATAGGGCCTTTGTGTGTGTGTGTGTGTGTGTGTGTGTTATATAGATATAATTAGGGCAACCCTCCTGTAGAGCAGGATATAAGAAAATATAATAGTATTATAGGCGTTCAACACAAGAATTTAAATCTACGCAAATTTATTCTTCGGAAAGAAATGTTAGTCTGGAAGCATTTAGACTTGCCTTTATATAATGTATATATTTATATATATACACATATACATATTTATATTCAAGCTCATTTACATCGGATTTTCTTTTATGATAACGTTTTTCTAAAATTAAACAAAACCTTTAAGAATTTTGGGAATAGCTCTCATAATAATAATAAAAATCATAATTGAGAACATATTTTTACTATTATTTTATTTTTAAATGTAAAGGTATTAAAGATAAAAGAAAAGAAAAGGTAAAATAATAATATGCTATATAACAAATATGTGTGATAATAAGATACAAGACGATATAAAGAAATGTACAGTTGTTGTTTTTTTCTTTTTTAGAACAAAAAAAAAATAATTAAAATTATGCAAGATATAGATATGATTTAAAGTTATGGAAGATTGTTTGAGATTATTGTTCGGTCAACAAAGCGGTGCCCATTTGTTTGAAATTAAATGCATTACTAGTAACAGCCATATTTTCCTTATTAGGTTTGATAAAAAGAGGATTTTTAGAAAATGAAAGTCGAATACCGCCTTTAATAGAATTAGAGAGGATATGACCTTGATGTTGATTTATAGCTTGAGTAGCGTAGGCAATATCCTCAAATTCTACAAAGCACATGGGTCCCTGAGGCTTTTGACGGAAGCACATACGCTTATAACCTTCACAGCTAGAAAATAAAGAACGCAACTCATCTTCACTCGTAGTTGGAGGTAAATTACCAACATAGAGTGTATTACATGGAGGATTCTGGTCCGCTGAATTGTTACGAAATAATGATGTTGGCAAAATACTGTTTGTATTAGATGACGGCTGTAATGAATTCTTACGTCCTAATAAACTAAATTCATCTCCATTAAGGAGCCCATTATTTAAAGAAGGAAAGGCAAAATCGTAATTATTATAAAATGCAGGTGTTGATTTAGAAAGATAACCTAATGAACTGGTAGCATCTAATGTTTCAGGTGATCTTGAGGAAGCAGAAAACAAACTATATGGATGAACTGTGTTATTATGATTACTTTGAGTTGCTATTGTTGTGTTTCTGTTACTTTGAATATCAAATGGTTGTGAACGAGAACCAAACAGGGATTCATTAAAAGAAGGTGTATTAGGTTCTGTTAAAAGTGGATCAGACAAAAATGGGTCATTTTCATAATCTCCGGGAGATAATAGATCGCTAGGAAGAGGAGAAAATGATTTTAGATAGGTAGAAGTGTCAGTTTTAGGAAAGGAAGATAATATATCAGGCTGTTGAATTTGAGGTTGACTAAATCTTCGTAAAAAGTGGGTTGTTATTGGGGGACTTGTAGTAGTAGTAGTCTGATCAGGCAAAAATAATAAATTATTGCTACTAATATTTGCATTTGTAGAGGATGTAGTAGAATTATGCTTAATATGTAAATTCTTTTTGGCCATTTCAGCTTTTAAGATAGACCCCTTCTCTATATCTACTTTTCTACCATTCATTTCATTTGCTGCATCAATTGCTTCCTGACGAGTATGAAATTTAGCAAATCCTATCTATAGAAATATATCTATTAATACCAGCGTCCCTTTATTTATAACAATAACAACAACAACAAAAAGACAGTAGCATATTTGTTAACATTCATTTTTACCATTTGTTTCTTGTTATTAAAATTATTAAATGGATTATAGAAGAGTTCTTGATCATCAGTTTGCTCTTTACAATGCCATTTTAACGAAGCTGCTTCGAAGCCCTTTGAAAAAATAAACATGTTTTGAAATTCTCTTTCTTGCATATCATCAGGAAATCCGACTACAAATATAGTAGTAACATCTTCTGTTGTTGAAGAAGATAACACTGGTGAAGACTGCATTGAGGAGTCGGGAGAATTTGATGAGTTACTATTATTATTATCATTGTCAGTAGACGTAGCTAAAGGGTGAACTGATGTCCTTGTATCACAAGATGTATCATCACTACTTGTCATTTTTTTTTAAAAATAAAAATAAAGGTAAAAATAATATAAAGAGAAACAAAAAGAGAAACAAGGGGTTCAGTGGGTAATTTGTTTATTATTATATGGATATGAATGTTGCGGGGGAAATGGTAAAGTCTTGCTTACAAATTTATTGACAAAAAAAAAAAAAAAAAAAAACAAATTAAAGTTTCTCTTTTTTTAAAAAGCAGAAATTTTCCAAATACTAGAAAAAAAAAACACAGACCATTTTTCTTCAAACTATGCATGTCAATATATTATGCAAAAAAAAAAAAAAAATAAAAAAAAAAAGTAACAAAGCAAAAGAAAACACCTTCTATTTTCTATTGGTCGTTAATAAAAAAAAAAGCTATCTTTTATAAGATTTTTTTTTCTTTTTTACGTAATCCTTTTCATTTCCTCGGACTACCTATTATTAAAAAGATTTTCCAGTTTAAAAAAAGAAACAGCCGTTAAAAATAGCATCATCATAAATATGGTTGCTGATAAAACTATGGATATTTAAAATAACCTTTAAGTTAAATGATTTATCGTCAGGGGCTTGCAAAAAAAAAAAAAAAAAAAAAAAAAAAAAAAAAAAAAAAAGATAAACTTGAAAATAGATATTCAAAAAAATACATAGACTAAGTAAATAACTTATTGAAAGCTGTTTGTCTTTTATTCTAACACACAGATACAAAAAGAAAAGAAGAAGTAAATGCAAAAAGCTAGCTTTATATATATAAATATATGTGTATTATAATAACCTCATTATAAAAATGAAACTTAAGCTAATTAAACTAATAATGGATTGGCCAATAGTAAGTGCTTTGATAGTATTCGAAATCAAGATTATGATCATATATTCAGCAGAATATCTGATATAACTATCTCATCTATAATAAACGCATATTGTTCGGTGAATGATGATGCTGATATACTTATCAAAAATTGTATCGAGAATAATATAGCTTTAATTTCAATTTACTTTTAGTTTTCATTAATTCTTTAATCCTAAATTGATCATGCTATATCTCTGATTTTTGGATAACTCGTTGGACTTTCAATAAAGAAGAAGAAGCAAATTTCCAAAATGCTCCCTTATGAAAGCGCTTGCTTCAGTTTCTAATAATTCTATTGTTTTTGTTTCTCTGAAGTTTCTGTCCGAGCATATGAAGTTGTTACTTTGAAATCCTACAAAAAGTATTATCTGCCTCTTCTTCATCTCGTTACAACTATATATTAGATTACTTATCTTCTTCAACAAGATGAAAATCGGGGATTTAGATAGTTTCTTCTATAGCTTATGCGTGCTATATATATATTAAGAGCCACTAGTATGTTGATATAAGTTGCTAATTGAACTATATATTACTAGTTCTTAATTGACTCATTTTATGTTTTAAATAAAGATACCTGTGCTAGAAGAAGACATGAGTATTAATTATATAATTAATATGGTAAGTAAAGGAAGTAATATGTTAGTAGAATGTACTGAATATAATCTAATGAATAAACCCTTTTTGCTAATACTTTAAAGAAATCCTACAATTCATAATAATAAATTACATAATTGTCTATTATTATTATTTGAAGGGGAGGATAATCTAACTATAAGCATGAAAAAGTGATGGACTCAAACAAATTTTATAAATTAAAATTAGTGTTCTATAATTCTCTTTATTAATAATATTTCTGATAATACTTCAAAACAATGCAACTTCTTACAAAAGTTAGTCCATAAAATGTAGTGTTTTATCCCTTAAAGAGAACTTATTGATAACAGATATTTATATTATCGTGGCTAGTCCTAAGAAATATAATGCTAGTAGAATTTTATTGGTTGTGAATTAGAAAATAACAAAGATATTATGTAGTAATGTATTTTGTAATATGTAATATGTAATAAAGTTATCTTGCTTGTATTCTATCTTCTATAATTAGAAGTTGACACATCATACCATTATAGACTATGCGGTTTCAATAATCTATTATTATTCTGTCTATAGAGAAAATACTATTTGAGTTCAAGGAAGAGAAAGCAAATTATATGCAACTATTATATTAACTAGTAAACAAAGGGAACAATAAAATATTAACTTCTTGCTTCTTCTACTCATAATGGGCATACTTTAATTTCAAATGTGTTATAGGTTGGATATACTTTATTTGCATATAGTTTTTTTTATTATTATTATTTCAGGTACGGAGAAACAGGCAATTTGATAAAGTTGCAAACTTTTTATGCGTCCAAAGATACGCCTATAAAAATCTTACTGGGAATCACAAAGTATTTGATAAACAATTTAGTTAACACTGATTTAAAAAAGGCATAGTTTAAAAAAAAAAAAAAAAAAAAAAAAAAAAAAAAAAAGATATCCATATATTTTAAAGCCAAAGATGTAATATCTTCGATGCATTTAACCGATAATATAAAAAGACTTGGTATTATTCTGAATTAAAAGAAAAAAAAAAAGACGGAGAAAGATAATGAACAGATTAATAAATATACTCGTGAATATATGTTCTCTACAAGTAAACAAATATGTATTTGTTTGATATTTAATGAACAGTCAATAATTCAGTTAATTATTGATAAAGGCTCTTAGTTGAACAAGAAAAGTCTTCGAAAGAATAACAACCGATAAGAAAGCTGATCAAAGAGTTTTGTTGAGCAAAAATTTCTTTATTTAATTAACGATATTTGTTGATAACAACAATAATATTGTCCTAGTTAAGAAACAAATGAATAGCTATTTTTATAGATTGTTTACTTGCAAAGTAAAGAATGTTGGGATCTATTAATTTAACTTGGCATTCAGGCATTTTATAAGACAATTCCCCTGTGTCCTCTTTTGCTTCTCTCAACAAAGCCTAAATAAAGTTATATCCTCGATTCTTTAAATAACTGCAAATAATAATAAACATTAAGCTTGTTTTTTTTTCTTTGGAACATTTTTAAGAATAATTTAAATGCATGGTATATGTTATAAAGGTAGTTTAGTACCTTAATTTATGTAATAAAAGAAATTCGATATTTTGTTACTTAGGATACACTTTTTGTTGTTGTTGTTGTTGGTATGACGAAGAAATCAAGGGTTTAATAACACTTCGGAGACAGAAAACTTTCTTGTATGCACGATGGTTACGTCCTGAATCGACCTCTACGTTATATAAATACATATTTATATTTATATTTTAAAAGCCAACACGATTATGAAAAGTAACTCGTTATTAGTTCAGCTTTGTATTTATTTTATTTTTATCGTATAATATTAAATTAAACCGCAAAAGAAAGTACAGCCACAATATTTCATATTCCTTAGCTCTTCTGTAAAGAAAAAAACTCTTCTTGCTTTAATTTATGTCTCCGCTTTATTCTAATAAGGATTATTCGGTAGTAGTAGTAGTAGATGATTCAGTTTTCTGTTGGCGTTGTTTTTTACCAGCAATTCCTACTCTTTCTTGTTTCTTAGATACTGTTTTTCCCAATCCCTTGTGTTTATGCGGATCCTAAATAGTAAAATGTTATTATTTGGTTTTTTTTTAAAAAAAAAAATTGTTTATTTACCTTTCGACTCATTGTTACTTTATTTCTTACACCTTTACCGCCTTCCCAGAATGCACCTTTTTGAGGTGCTTTTTCGAATTCATGGCCACATATACAGGGTTTTCCGCTAACAATGTTTTGCTCTCTTGAACATAATCCACAAACATGTCTTTTAGCCATATCTGAAATATGATCTTCTTTGCTGTCATGACAAATATCACAAGGATATAATTTATTACAGCATGAAAATCGGAACCAACGTTTTGATTTCCGATAGTGAGGACAGGTGCCTTGATCAGGTAAAGATTCACCAATCGTAAGATGTTCTTCCCTTGACTTTTTCTTCTTCTTCAACTTCATCACTTGTTGCTCACTAGCTTTTAACCTTTCTCCACCTTCACTTCCAATTTTAATAAATCGATAATCGCCTAAACTACATGTCATTTTTGCATGACAGGAAAAACACCTTATAGTACGAGGTGGATCGTGAGGGGATAATCGAATAGCTGTTGACATATCTGCCATACAAGAACCACATGTACCGATATAAGCTGAAGGTAAAATATCATAAGCTGTACATCCTGCAAGCTGAACTAACCCAATAGATAAGGCACCTTGATGTACAAGTTCTAAATTATTCAAAAAACAGTGGAATGTTAGTTTTAAAAAAAAAACTATTATACATACAAGTATATGTTAATAACCTCCATGAAATTTAATTCCTAAAATAGATGAACACGTTGGACAAGGCATCCATCTTTCTGTTTTAGAAGCTGAAGTATTTGAAGAAGAAGAAGAAGAAGAGCTTACTCTTTCATTTTCTTCGGGTTTAATATTTTCCACTTCTACCGTTTCTTTACAACGAGCGCATTTAACCATCATGTGAAGTAAAGCACAACGAAATAATGAAATATTTTCCAATTTTGGATCAATCAAACGAATCTCTGTTCCTCTACGAACAACAGGTTGAGAAAGTCCAACTAAAGTCTTTGTTTTCTCATCTTCACTTTCGGTATCATTTTGATGATCTACAAAGGGTGATATGTCTTCATCCCCTTCAGCTAATTCAACTTCAACATCTTCTTCATCAGCTTGTCCGTAAGCTAAACTGGGATCATTCACGATAATAACCCTATTATTTTTAAAACTAGTATCCTCTTCAAATAACGAAGATATTTTCTTTGCCTCAAATGGTTTTTGTTGGCTTATTATATGCTCTTGAGACGATGACTTTGTCAAAATATCCTTCTTTGAAGGAGGTTTTAAATGTTTTTGCTGTTCACTAGAGATAGTTTCTGCTTCTATTTGTTCTTCGGTTTTTTGCAGAGGTGGAGAGCTTAACAGTAATTCCAAATTACGATTTAACCAATTAAGGTTCTCAAATAATGTATAATCTCCATTTGTAACATGCTCACTAAAGCCTAAAGAAACCCAACTAATATAAAGGTAAATATCAAAGATCCTAACTTGCTATACATTATTCTTTACTTACTTTGCTCTTGTTTTATCTAATTGCTTATTTTCGATATCAACATAACAGGGTTCAAGAGGATATAATATAGGTATATGATATTTAATATGGAGCTCTTTGCCTCCTATTAAATGTTCTTGAGTAAACTCAGGATCGTTAATGATTAATATAAGTGTAATGAGTGTTTCTTTTGAATTCGTTCTTAAAAAGAAAAGAAAAAAAAATTATTATTAAAAAAATATTGTTAATTTTTTTTTTTTCTTTTTCTTAATTACGGTACCTTATTGTCTTAAAGCTATCACAAAAACGCGTCTCAAGTTGTCGATATTCTTGTTTGCGTCTTTTATCTGCATTAGCAATTTCTTCTTTTGAATATTTATGCTGTGGGATTACTTCCTTTTTTTCAGAGGATTCGATTTTTTTAGCTTGAACTATGATTGGTTTTGATAAATCAACCGCAGTATCGTGATTACTAACGTGAAGGTCTTTTAATGACTTGGATGAACTGCTTTCAGAATTTTGAGATTTGGCCGCAGTAACATTGGCAGGTTGTGACTGTTGCGTTTCGGATACTGCGGTAGTATTAGCATGAACATCATCATTTTTTTTATTTGCTGAAGAAGCTCGACTACTATTGGAAACAAAGCGAACAGTAGGAGCAGGCGCTTGTTGCAATAAAGTCTCCATATTACGATCGAGCCAATTCATCTGTCGAACAAGTGTTTGATGGATTTTTGAGTTTGAAGGATCTACATGAGAGGCAAATCCTTTTTCGAGGTTACTATTATACGATGAATTGAATTAATTAAAATAGAGTACAACGATAAAAAAAAAAGAGTGCTATCTCTTACAATGCAAATCCTTTAGGTATATCTGAATTAAGAACCTGAACAGAGCACGGGCTTTTAGGATATTCTATAGGGATATATAGTTGAAGCTTAAGCGAATCTAGTTCATATGGGAAATCAGGGTCTGACGGTTTAATAGAAAGTCTAATTATAGTTTCTCTATCATTATCGCTAAAAGAAATAATAATATTTAACATTCAAATAATAATCTGTTTTATTTGGTAGTACCTAACAAGTCGATAGGTTGACTTATAACGAGTTTCAAGTTGAATCAACTCGAGTTTTCTTTTTTCGGGATTACTTGTGTTCTATTTATGAATAATTTAAACAAGAGTAAAAAGATCAGATAATAGAATTAAAATAAAAATAAATACTTACTGTGACAGGTTGAGGCCTTGTAGCTACTTTATTTGTTTTCTCGACCATTGAATATTATTTTAAAAATGAAAAAATAAAATAAAATAAAATAAAATAAAAAAATAAAGGAATCAAGATTTTTGAATTTATATCCGGAAATTGAAATTCCGTGACTATCGTTAAAGCATAACTTCAACACTTAATTCTTTCAATGGAAAAAAAACGTAACAATGTAATTCAAACTACTATTTCTTATTTGCTTATTTTTTTTCTTCTTATTTCTTCTTCTCTTCCATTTATAATATCAATATAACTTTCTTTAATTAAATGAATAGTATTAAAGCTGATCAAATTATTGAGTTGGATCCATCACTCATTAAGGTAATAAGAAACCTTCATAATTCTTTATGATGGAATTAATCTTTGTATTTTATATTATCAGGCCCCTTGTGAACAACTTCGAAAGTCATTCCGATATCAATATAAATATATCGAAAAAGAACTAACCATCATTCAAGACCAAATCGACATTTGTCTTAAAGATAATAGTTTATCTCCTGAAAAGGCATCTCAGACTATCGATGAGTTATTAAAACATGTAGATAAATTAACTCGCAAAGTAAAGTATTTGTTACTCTTTTTTTTTCTATTTTCCATTTGTTTATATTTGTTTTTCTTTCAAACACACATACACATACATACATACATATTTGTATAGTTAGAAAAACTAAAGGATGACGAATTGGAACATTCCAAAAGGATGGAAAAAAGAATTCAATATTTAAGTGAAATTGAAAATGTGACAACACCAAAATCACCAGAATTTATATCATGGAGTAAAACAAGACTAGATAGAATAGTTGTTGATTATTTACTAAGACAAAATATGCCAAATACTGCAAAAAGCGTTGCAAAGGAAAGTGGAATAGAGGTATTTGCATACATTATAAATACAGCAAGCGTATATAGGCTGAAATATAATTTTTGCAGGATTTAGTGGACATTCAACTATTCACTCAGTCAGAAAAAATTGAAAAAGCGTTAAGAAATCGCAGTTGTAAAGAATGTTTATCTTGGTGCAATGAGAATAAATCCACCTTAAGGAAGATAAAAGTAAATGAACTACAGTTGACTATGGAATAATTTTTAAATGAATATTCTTTTTATACTTATAGAGTAAACTGGAATTTAATTTAAGATTGCAAGAACATATTGAGTTAGCAAGATCAAATAAGGGCTTAGAGGCGATTACTTATGCTCAAAAATATTTAGCACCATGGAAGACAACTGAATATAAAAGGATTGGACAAGCAATGGGATTATTAGCTTATAAAAGCGATACTGAATGCCAGCCATATAAGGTATATATTTATATATCCAGACTATACCTATTAACAAATTATCATTTATATAGGATCTTTATGATCCCAATCGTTGGCAAGAATTAATTGAACAATTTAGAACAGATTATTATGCTTTATGTTTACTTACTCATCATCCTCTACTATCAATTACTTTACAAGCTGGATTATCAGCCTTAAAGACACCTCAATGTTATGAGCATGAGAATCAAAATGTGAACTGTCCCATTTGTGATAACCAGACTTTAGGTAGTTTAGCAGAGAAACTACCTTTGAGTCATCATGTAAATTCGACAATTGTCTGTCGTATTAGTGGCAAAATAATGAACGAAGATAACCCACCTATGCTCTTACCAAACGGAAGAGTCTATAGTTTTGATGTAAAAGCTAATAATGAATGTGAATATCTTATATGGTATTAAATATATATTTATATCTATTTTTTTTTAGGCATTACAAGATATGGCAATGAAATTTGATGGTAAAATTATATGTCCTAGAACTGGCGATGTATATACAATGCAAGATCTTAAAAAGGTCTTTATTTCGTAGAAAAAAAAAATAATAATAATATAATATATTATAAATATGATATTTCTTATATAAATATCTATCAAGTCTACATTCATTTTTATAATTCTCTTTTACACTAAGAAATAAGAATACACACACACACATATATATATACATTAATGTGTTTATTCATACACATTAGAAGAATATTATATGAATGATTAAATGCTTTAGGCACAATGTTAGCGTATATGATTTCTTATATAATCGACTTCTTTTCTATTCAAAAACATTGTATTTAATAAATGAATACATCTAACGGTGCTCACTCTGCTATCTAATGTTTGATGGTTTTCTTGGAAGATGATTGAGTTCAACCCTTAGATATGCATACGCCGGAAATATTTAAAGATACATCTAGTTATCATAATAAACTATACTGATATATTTCTTTACATACTTATAATTAAAAAGACATTAAAAAGGTTAATAGAGTGATTCTTAAAGACTGTACTGCATAGCTAAAATAATATTGTTGAATTACTACTGAGAGGTTTTCTTTTTATTATATGACCTTTAAAACAAAATTTATGTCTTTAGGCGTTAGGATTTGCGACTTTTAGCCAGTATTTACAAGATTAAATAAGTAGTAATTTTACATGCACTCTCTTCTCCTAGGTTTAGAAAAGATAATATACTAGTAAAAAAAAAATGCTTTCTCGCTTCTCTTTTCCTTTATAGCTTTATTTTCAATTAAAAGCCTTTCAGCAGCAAATTTTAATAGAAGGCAATCTATTGATATGTTATTTTCCTATAAAAAGAACTAACCTTTATATATATATCAGCCTAAACAGTTTTATAGACATATTGCTTTTTAAACTTCTAACAATCCAAGGTTTTCAAGAATTGACTTTTTGATAACTGTCATTTGCTCTTGGATATTCTTCTATGAATAAACTTCTCATATATGATACAAATATAACCTACATAAAGAAAATATAGAGACATTTAAAGCTTTGGTCATTTCATTTATTTGCTTAAAAGATAAGATTACTATGAACTGTTTGTGTTCTAAAGCTATCTATTGTTTTGACTGAATACCTGCTCAAAGTTTCTCTATTCTGTATTTGATAAAATGAACAAATATCCACTTTTCTGTATTGTATTTAAAGAGGGATCTTGGTATTCTGAAAACATTCATTGTAAGGTATCAGTACTATTTTTGATGTTTTTTTTTCTTTTTAACAGTTATCTAGAGCATATAGACTGACTATTCATTATATCTTCACATTCAAAAGGATTTTATTAACAAGAAGCTACTGGTATTATATAACCGTCAGAGTTCAAGCCTTTTATTATGTCTTACGCTTTTTTTTTTTTTTTTGTATGTGTGTATGTTTATTTTCTATAAAAATATAGACATGTATATAACTCAAATGCACTTGTCAGATGTTTGGTTACATTTTAATTGTTCATTTTATTGGCCTAAATAACAAATGTAAAGACTATTAGAATAAATTACTTTGGATCGACATTCATTTTTGTAATAATGCATCAGTCGGAGATTATAAAATTTGCAAATTTATGCTGTAATCTATAAACTGCAACCACACAAAATATGTATATGATGGCTAATAACGTAATAATAGACAAAAGTTAATTAAGATATGTCTTCCTTTCTTTTGTATTCATTGCCCCTTTTTTTTTTTAAGAAAAAAAAACAAAGGTAGTGCTATTTCTTTAAGTGAATGAAAAAATGATGCTGTTTTATGTATGTGTGATTTTGAAGTTATTTTTATTTTTTACCCGTTTTTCCATTAAGCTTTAATTATTTTTTTTTCTTTTTTTCTTTTCTTTTTTCTTTTTTTTTTTTCCTTTTTCTCTCTTTCACTTATAGTAAAAAAAAAAGATAGTAATCATGCCTCCCATCGTGTTAAAGATTAAAGGAAATGATTCATTTCTTCCATTCTCAAATCTCAATGAAGATGAATTATCGAAAACATGGAGAGTTTGTACTAAAGTAAAAGACTCTCTTGAAAATGGTTCTAGACTTGAAAATTTATCTTGGAGATTATGGTTTATACAGAATGTTATTTTGGGCAACGATATCAAGTCCAATTCAAAATTTAAAAAATGGTCAATAAAGACAACGGAAAATATGGGAAAAGCGAGTGAAGTTGCTACTGCTTCAACTTTAAAAAGAGATACTATTATGCTACAAAATGAAACGCCAGAATCAGTATTAAATTATAGTTTAGACGAAATTAAACCAGCAATTGGAACTGAAAACTTTATATTGAACCAATTCACTTCTGACCAAGAAGGAAACCAAATGATCGAATTGAAAGATATATTCCCTCTTAGTATGCAAGAAGATTTTATGTATTCTAATGATCAAGTCAATTTTTCTTTTAATAATGCATCTTCATGGGAACAACAGCGTTCACCTATTTATACCTCAATCTATCCCGAAACAACACTACAGGAAACGTCATATACTCCAATGATATCATCAACTCCAGTAGTGAATCCTATTTCAGGGATTAATTCACTATTCTCTACTGATCAAACAAATATACCTTCAATGACAATACCCGCAGATAATAATATCCAGCAACAACAAAGCTTTGTAGTAGATTATAACAATGCAGTCTATGTAGCTGCTGCTGCTGCAACTACCGCCGCTGCTCTAACAACTATTCCAAATGCTACACTTCATAATAAACTTTTAGCTACTTTACCGCCACAAACATTAGCTTCTGCTGAACGTCTTTTATCTCCAGCTAAAAGAGCCCCAACCAATTTACAGCAGAAAAATTTAATGAATTCATCTTCTCAACAGCTCAACTTTATACCTGAAAATGATTCACATCATAAACTTGTAAAGAAAGAAACAGAGCTAAAAGACAAACCTATGTTGTTAAAACAGCAGCAGCGGCTGCAGCAACAGCACCAGCAACAGCAACAGCACCAGCAACAGCACCATTATTATAGCACTTTTCAATTGGATCCTTACAGTAATACTTTATCAAAAACAAAACATAATGACAGTAATTTCTCTTCGACTATTTCAAACTCTACTAATAATGAAAAGCCGTCTATTTGTAGCAATTGTAATACAACATCAACACCTTTATGGAGAAGATCTACTGATGATAAAATCTTATGTAATGCTTGTGGATTATAGTAAGTAAATAGAGACTTTTGTTTTAATTAGCATGCATTAATATGTATAAATATTTATATGTCTGTCAATTTAGTTATAAATTACATAATACGCCAAGACCAAAGCACTTCAAGTCATCCCCTGGGAAGAATAAAGATAACTGTCCTTCACAATGTGTAACCGAAATAGATAAAAAAAAAAAATCAGAAACATCATTAGCTGAACAAACACAACATCATCAACAGAAAATAATCTGCTCTAATTGTGGTACAACAAAAACACCTTTATGGAGACGCGATATTGAAGGTTCACCTCTTTGTAATGCATGTGGATTATAGTAAGTACTCTTTTTTTTTTTAATCTGTATGCTGATAAAATACTAACTTTATATGTATATAGTTTAAAATTACATAATGAACAACGACCACTTTCAATGAAAACAGACGTAATAAAAAAACGGCAACGAACAGAAACATTAATTGCTTCAACTGTTGCAGATGAACAAATTAAGAAGCCACGTTATTTTGATCAACAATCACTTTATTCAAAAGAACAGGGTACAGCATTAGGTTATCGAAATATAGCGTCTTCTTTACCCGGCACTGGTATATTAATGATGACTACTACTGTTGCCAATAGTAATCATAGTAGCAGTACACGGTCATAAAATAACTAGTGTAAAATTATAAATTATAGATGAAAAAAATAAAAATAAAAAAAAAAGGGCTGTTTGTTAAAATTGTACAAACGTATTTCTAAATAAAAAAATATTACATAATTAAAAATTTAGTAATACTATTGTTCCACGATTATTTTTTCTATATAAATTAAACTATAGATATATTTTTTCTCATTTTCTTTTATTTTATTTTATTTTTTTATTTATTTTTTGTAAGTATGAATACTTCAGAAGCCTTACAGCAAGCAGTTATCTCATCTTTTGATCAGGTTACAAATACTTCATTTTTGGGAAAGACAGATAAGAACGCTTACATTTACAGAGGTTTTGCCAGCGATGTAAGTAATCTATTGTATATATATAAATGTATGTATGTATATGTCCGAAGTATTTTAACTGTTATCATCAAAAAGAAATGGTGTATTGGTGATGTTCCTCATGTAAGTTGTCGTTTAACTGAAAACTAATATAAACTCTAACCATTCCTGTATAGGGAGGTAGAAAATAATAATAATCATTAAAGTATACTAATAAATATACGCTAATAAATTGTATATGAATGTTAGGATATGTAATGGGTATCATGATCGATAGTGTACTTCAACACTTTTCTAATAAATATCAAACAGACCCTGTTGCCCTCAATTGCTTCTTCTTTAGCAAGACTATACCTGGTGATCTAATTTTAGAAATACATGAACTTAAAATGAGTAACAAAGGGTACTGTGTTGGACGATGCACTCTTAAACAAAGAAAAGACCTAAAGCCTTTAGTTGAATTAATAAACTATAACCCTTCTGACTGGATTGATAAGGTTCAGTGTATTTTTACAATGGGTAATATGGATAACGAGCAAGGACCTACTTTTTATCATAAAAACCCGACGCCACCTCCTACAATGAATCACCTTCAACCTTATAGTTATCTATTTATGGGCGAATATCTAACAGCGTATTTTGATATGAGCTCCTTTCCGATAAACGATACAGAACCCGGTGTTCCTGAAGTCACGCAAACCATGGCATTTTCTGATGGCAGACCTATCGATTTCAAGAGTATTCCTTATTGGTGTGATATGTTCATCACTCCACCCTCACTTCTTGGTCCTGCGATCTTAAAGGAACCTGTGTGGTGTCCAACTATGCAATTAGAAATACAATTCAAAAGGAAGCCCTCTGGTAAACAAATTATGGCTCATTTTATCACTCCACACATAATAAATGGACGATTTGATCTTGACGGCGAAATTTGGAACGAAAAAGGAGAGATTTTAGCTATAACAAGGTAACTAATATTTATATATATGTATATATCGGCCCTATCTAAAGTAGTTATACTGACTAAACCATTAGACATCAATGTCTGGTTGTACCATGGAGTCGTAATAGCAAAGATGACTTTAAAACTAAACAGAGAATAGGAATAACCACACACAAACCAAAAATGTAGAAATGCATAGAGGTCTTTTATATACATATATATATATAATTAGTTAGTATAGAAAAGATAGATTTACTGTTAATCTATTGTTATTTATTTTTCAGTTTTATATGAATTTATATTGAACATAAACATAAAAACTGATGCAGTTTTATACCATCGCATTCTATTTTAATATTGTATTAATATCAGTAACCGTATATATATATACATGTATATTATGAAAGTATGCATATCAGAGCCTATCACTTTTCTTATTTATGCATATTAAAATATACTTTGACTGTTTGATGCATGTTAGAAAAAGTATAATAAATTATCATTATGATAAATCAAAGAAGAAATATGCTAGTGTCAAAGAATGGCATACATAGTCAATAATAAGAATAACAATTATCTTCATTAGAATTTGATATCAAAATGTCTGCAAATTCAAAAATAGTACGTAGATGCTTACTGGGAAAAAAAAATCAATCCTTTTTGTTTATATTTTCTACTTTTTTTACCGCTTAATAAGTAAATCTTAAAAAAAAATATTTTATACATGTATACTTTTACACCTCACTATCGCAAATATATTATATTACTTCTTTTTTCCTATTTATAGCGAGTTTAAAATCAGGAAAAATGTGAAGAATATAGTGCAAGCTTGTTAGATACAAACAAACATTTACAAAATGAGGAAAGTGTCAAAATTTAAGAGTGTCTCTAATGAGAATTCTTTAATATTACTTCATATTTTTGAAAATCAATATTCTATTTCGTTTTTTTTTTTTTTTTTTTTTTTTTTTTTGGCTCACAAGTTTCTTTGTATCCTTTTTTATATACTATTAGTTTTAATTATAGCAAGAAAAAAAAAATTCATATTCATGTGATTTAAGATCCATGTTTAGGCATATTGTTACTTCGAGTTAATAGAGCAAAAATGCTTTCTTATTTTATTTAGTACTGAATTAATTTAAAGATAAAGGTTTTATCATAATACCAACAAATAATAATAATAGAACTTGCTAATGTTGTCACATCATAAAAGTAAAAGAGGCACTCTACATAATTTGTTGAATAAACGATATAAAGATAAAATACGATATAAAAAATGTAAAAAAAGATGATTTCTGCCAGACTCGAACTGGCGACCGCCTGCGTGTTAAGCAGGCGTGATAACCAACTACACCAAGAAACCATCTGATGATTAAAAAATCGTCAAAAATATCATAAATTTGTACCTTCTTAATTAGGAAAGTATCACGTGATCCTTCCGTTCTTGTCCAGTAGTATTGTGTTTAATTTAATTTCCGATATATTTTGTTTTTTTTTTTTTTTTTTTTTTTTTTTTGTTGTGCTTCCTTGTAGTAATTGCAATTGCCAACTTCTATTGCTGTAGTATATTATTATATATTAAATTATAACAGAATAGGTTTGTTTTTCTTTCATTTGTATAATAGTATTACTTAAATCGTATACAATCTGTATATGCTACGTATCAAGCTTAACTACAATGACAGTAGTAGTAACAGTTGCTGTTCGGTCTTTTCTTAATTTATAAATAACATTAGACTTTAAAAGAAACTGTTAGGCATACAGTGCTAAAATATTAATAATGTGTACACTTATATCCTTTTTGTTTATTTTATTTTGTTTTATTCCCTTTATACCAAATTATTACAAGAAGGGAAGAAATCAGCCCTAATATACATATTATTATGCAAATTCCTCTTAGTGCTTACTTTTATATAAAAAGAATATATTCAGTCTTGTATGTATACAAATATATATATAGAGAGAGGAGAGAGAGAGAGAGTATGGGTTAAAATCTATAATTACTGTACATCTTTTTATTTAATAACGACACCTTCAAGAATAATACTCTGGAATAATCTTACGAAATACACCTAAAAGAAGAAGAAGAAAAAAAGATACTCATGATTAACATTCATGTATACATTTTACTCTAACAATATACTACCATCTAAAATAAAGCTTGTTAACCCCCATATTTCATTTTCTCCTTCCATAGGCTCAGGTACTTTAAATACAGTATATTTATGCTTGCTATCACGGAATTGCTTTATTTGTCTTATACTTGGGTCGATTAAATAATCAATCGGTAAAGTAAATACGCTAGATACTTCATCAGGATTAAACTTCTTTAAATCGACTTGATCCTTAATAAACCCCACATACGGATACACTTTTAATGATCCTGTTTTATTTGGTAAAGGTGAAAAACATCCCAAAATATCAACAGATGAAGGATTTAATCCAATTTCTTCTTGTGCTTCTCTTAAAGCCGTGGACTCTATCGATATATCGCTATCATCTAACATTAAAAAAAATATAAATTATCAATGAAATATATAGAGACTGTATATTACCTTTTTTTCCACCAGGAAAACTATGCGACATAAATAAGAAATAAATTATATGTAGACATGTATAAAACTATTGCCTTCTACCTTATCTCTCCACGATGAGTCCTCATATTTAAATTTCTAACAGTAAATAATATACTTGGTTTTTCTTGAACAATGCATAATGGTACAAGAACAGCGGCATCTTTAACATCTGGTTTGTAATTCAACTTAAATTTAGGACAATTAAGTAATCGTTTACGAAATAAAGCAAGTGTATTAGCATTAAATACAAGAGGAAACGAGTGGGATGACATTTTCTTTTTCTTTTTCTTTTTTTTTTTTTAAAAAAAAAAGATGCTAAATGGTATACATTTTCTAATGAGAATAAATCATTTGTTGTATATGTACAACAACAATATCAGGTTGTCGTAGTTTGAAATTGTGTTTGTCGCTTTAGCCTAACTGATAAACCATAAAAACTGGAATGCTATAGCAATTTTTATCCATGTCTACTTTGTTTGATAACGTATATCAGATAGTAGAAACCTATCACTTGAAGTACTGCTATAATACACTTATACTTGCTACCTGATTTGTTCCTTTTTTTTTAACAATCGATGATTTTATAATTTCCCTAAATTTACACAAATGCAATAAAAAAGACAATTAAAAGAAAAGCAAGCCATTATAGATAGACATAAATAAAACAAGATATATCGCGTTTCAAAAGAGCATCACCAACAGGTCTTTTTTCCTGTTGATTTCATATTTCGTAAAGCCATACATAGCCCAGACAATTCTCCCATTAGAAGAAAGAAAAAGAAAAGAGAAAAATATAGCTCATAAGAAAAAAAAACTAGCAACTTGTAAAGACTCGAAAGACTTTAACCTTAATAGGTTGAATGTAAAACAAAGAACAGAGAGAGTACTCTGATGGTCTTCTTTATTCAGAATTTGATTATGCTGCTTTTTGGCATGTGTCATAGGAAGTCATTCAAACTTTTTCTTATAGCTAGCAACTCTTTTATTTTTGTTGAGTATTCATTCTTGGGCTTACGTCTCTTGAAGTTAGATACATTCAAGCCTATGAACTTGAAAGGTTTATGCTTTGTGCTTAAATATTATTTAATAACAGCGTGGACCTAAAGTGCAAGAATTCTTCTCATCATGATAGAACATGGTGTATAGCTAAAAAATAGTTAATAACGGATTAAACATCGATAGACAAGATAATCTTTACTGCAAACCCTTTTACTTTTAGTTTCTTGCTTCTTACGAAGGAACAGAGAGCAAACGTGATTTGCGATATGCAATCCCTTTTCGTATAGCATAAATATGTGATCTTAATTCTATATAGAAGCTGCATTAGGGAATAATTCAAGAAGGATTGTAACGTATGGTTTTCAACCTACATAATTATCGTCAGTTAACGTAAGTAAAGATGTGTCAAACTATCAACTTAAAAGATACTTAGCTTAACTAAAAAAAAAAAAAAGACTTTTCCTTTTCTTCTTGTTGATGAAGGATAGTACCATGCTGTAGCTGCTACCTAGTACAAGCAAAAGGCATAGAAAAAAAATTATGCCACCAATCTTGTAGAAGGAATTGGCCGTCTCCTCAGGAAGAAGAGCAAGCAGTACAAGCATGTTCGTAGCAAGCAAAGATATACCTCGCAATGCCCTGTCTTGGTATACGATTACTTTTTTTCATCCTGTACGAGATAGCTACGTTGGTCAATGTTTTAATGTTACATAGAAGATGCGCCACAAAAGAAAAAGTCTGCACAAAGAAAAAAAAATAACATCACCATTAAAAGTGACACGGACAACGCCTGACTTTTTCTGAAAATATATTTGGTTAGTGTGAAACGCGAAAAAAAAAAAAAAACTTCGATCAAGTACCAACTAAATGAAGACGATACTTTTTTTTTATTACTTTATATCACTAATGACTGGTCAAAAGAAGTTCCTTAATACTGTATTTTCCAAATAAATGAGAAAATAATTCGATAAAATGAGAATTTTAAAGTTCTAAAATGAGAAAAATTATATTGGTTGATAACTAGTTTGGAAAATTTTATGTGATAATTGATAGCCAACTTTTTTTAAACATTAGCAATTTAAACATGACAAAAGATATTTACAAGGAAGATCTGTCATTAAAAGATTCTGAAAACTTTGATGATCAAACAGTCGTGGTATATTCCGGTTTGATGTCAATGATGCGTCTTACATTTGATCGAGATGAGGCTGCTATGGAAATCGATGAGGAAGTTATAAACGATTTTGAAGTAGCAAATGGAGATACAAAACAAAGTGAAGAAAAAGATAGCGAGTATGAAGAAGAAGACAATGAGAAGGTGAAGCTGGAGAAATTCGCTGAAAACCTTGCAGGTGCTATAAAAATTAAGGGTAAGAAGTCTGCAACGTCTTACAGATCATATACGGTTTCTCAAATTGTCGATTTCATTGGTTTAATCGTTGAACAGGTACCGGTAAAAGATGCTGCAACAAGAAAAGGCATTATTCTTTTAACTGCTTATCGATATCGAAAGTTATGGCATGAAACTCAAGATGTTCCTGAGAAAAAAACAAAGGGGTCGAGTTCGATTTAAGGTTTTAACGGAAGAACACACGTTGTTTGTCATAAAACTTATCGATAATTTTGCACCAATGACCTTAGAGCAGTTGAAGGAAAAGCTTATCGAACAATATCCTGATAATTCTATTTCGAAAAGCCAGTTTTATCGCCATGTTAAAGAACAACGCGCATTAAGCATAAAGAAACTAGAAAAACTTACTGAATATCGAAATTCGGATGGGAACCTCTTGAAAAGAAAAAACTACTGTTGAATCATGGTTATCTAATAATGAAATGGATTTTGAAAAGAATTGTGTTTTCATAGATGAGGCCGGTTTTAATTTACATATCAGTCGTACAAGAGGTTGGTCAAAAGCGGGCGAGCCAGCAAAAACTGTAATTCCAAAGAGCAAGGAAACTACAATCACTATTCTTGGCGCTATTTCGAACCAAGGTGTTATTGATATTTCTCGGAGAAAACCTGTTATTGTCGCTGGAACTAAAAAGAGAAACGCAGATGGGAAAATAATAGCTACAACAGCAAAAATAGGCACAAGAACCGAACATTCTTTGAACTATTTGAGTAATGCGATGGATATTCTTGACAAAAATGAGATGAAAAGTTACTACGTTATCATGGATAATGCTCCTATACATAAGCCTGTCATTGTGAGAGGGTTCATTGAGAAAAGAAGTTACAAATGTGCTTATCTTCCACCATACTCACCATTTCTTAATCCTATTGAAGAGTTTTGGTCGAAAGAAAAATATAATGTCAAAAGACGACCTTTCGATGGCAGTGATGCATTGACTCCTCAAATTATAGAAGCATGTTCTGAAGTTACTCTAGCAGACTGTAAAGGATGGACAAGGCATTCAGTTTCATTTTTCGATCGTTGTCTTCGCTGAAATGTAACAAGTAAAAAATCATAAGACAATATCTATTTGAAAAAAAAAAAAGAACGAGATCAATTCTAGACAATCTTATCTCACTTCAGCTTGGACGATCCCTTAGATGAAAAAAAAAAAGTATAATCCTACTAAGCACAAACAAACAAGTCAAAATAGAGTAAAACAAAAGAAAAAATAGAAAAGAAAACATAATAGTCCAAAAAAGAAAGCGATAAACATAAGAAGAAATAGCGATGGCCAAAGATATCCTTTAAAAGATGAGAGTTAGCACAGTTGATTGTATTTGATGATGGTATGAAAAAAAAAACAAGAGTACAGTACCAATAAGAAGAATAATTTCTGAAACTACTGGTATATTCTACAAATAATTTAAATAGAGATCAAAATTGTTCAAGTCTTTGGCGATCAATGTTAATGAATCTAGAGTATCTGAAGTGTTGTATTGTATGAAACTTAATTATTTGTACCATCTTCAAGGTATAGATATTAAATAGGCAATAACTATAAGAAAAAAAAAGACCTGAAACCAGCAAGACTTCCTCAATAGTAAATATTCTTACAATATACTCAAATGTAAAAGCTGCAGCACACGATGGAACAGAGAGATCAATGATAGTAAAAATAGGGTTGTTATCCCATTTTCTATTTGGAAGGAAAGTGAAAGTCTCATCATTTTTACCAGAGACATTGTCCTTTGATGACTAAGATATTTACATACAAACCACTTTTTATTTGTCCATTAATTTTCCTTATTTTATTTTCGCTTTTTCTCGACCCAAACTCTTATTGATAAACAAGAAAAAAAAAAAGATTCATCTCAATCATAAGCTGAAATACTGTATTCTATATCTGTTCATAATTAACGGACGCAGCAGTCTTTAATAGCTAATGAATTCTGTTAATTTTAATTTCATTATAAAATATAGAGTTCTAATTTTGTTATTATGCACTATTATTCGTATAAAAGCAATCTTTTTTTTTTTTTTTTTTTTTTTTTTTTTTTTTTTTTTTTTTTTAAATAATAAATACTTTATTCCGCCAATATTTAATACAAATAAGGTTATATTCTAGTAGAACATTCTTAACTTTTATTGATAATCTGGATTAATAGGCTTTGATATTGTCCAAGATCCTAAAAGTATCCAATAAAATGGAAGTAATTTATTACTATTTTTTTCCCTTCCTTTTATCATATAATTAACTTAAGTATGGTAAGCTTAATAAAGAGGAAAGTTAACAGGGGAAGCATGTTGAGCTACAATAGCTCCTCTTAAATACATGGAAACTCTCTATTACTTAACGTGCCATGTAATAATATTAAACTGAGTTAAAATATCAAATAAAGGAAAAAGATCTTCAATAAATAATTAGATTAAGTAAGTTGTGGAACAATTTGAAGAATAAAAAGGTAAATGTTTACAATTTATTACAGAAGAAGAAGACCATAATAACAATGAGAAAATAACCAAATATCTACCTTCCTCTTTCTTTATTTTCTTCTTCTTCCTTATTGATCTTTTAACCAAAAATAAATAAATGATACGGCCTTTTATAATTCATAATCAGATTATACATTCAAGGAATCCTTATATTCATAAATGTTGTGGCTGCATACATTTAAGAATAGGAGCCTTCTTTTCTTGTTTAATATGGATGGTATTATATAATAAAATAGGATAATTAAATACTAACTACTAATATTTTTTTTTTTTTTTTTTTTTTTTAAAAAAAGGGACTTTCTTTATATTTTACAATATTATCATTTCAGGCTAAAAGTCGTAAGTTTATTCTATTTAATATGATATACATGTACTAGACTCATCCTTTATTATTAGCTTTTTATACTCAAATGAGCGATAATAACACTGGAGTTTATCTATTTGGTTTAATCAATCTTATTTTTTTTACTATTTGTTTAGGGTCATTAATTCCTATTTATTTGGTTTGTATTATAATTCTATTATTTACAGAGTTAAAAAGTTGTTCCTTATTCTAATTTATCATAGAGATCTGCAAATGGTATGCGAATAGCCTCATTAACCATATTTATTCTAGTCTTTATTTTGTTATTGGATACATTTATAAACACAGTTTTATTCATCGTTCAAAAGGACAATTATATTCAACATTGCAGTGATATAGATTTAAACCCCTATAATCTCGATTTCACTATTCTTGATGAAAACCGATTTATAGGGAAAGAAGAGTTTTTCAACTGTAACAAAACTTGGGAAAATGAATTAAAGTTTACGATTTTATCAACTATAATAATGATAATAACTTATGTAATATATATCTTTATGTTGATATAGATGAATGCCTGTACTAATTTTACCATACATTATAGTCATATTGGACAATTACTATTTATTCCTTTACTCGAAAACTTAACCTAGAATTAAAAACAATTATTTATAGACAAATGTCACATATGCCGTCTGCAGCCATAATGGGAAATATTATACCTCCACAAAGGCCAATTGTAACCGGAGCAGATATCATGTTGTAATTGGAACAGTGGGTCGGTACAACAATCCAAAATTGGATGATTATAATACACTGTTTATTTTATATTTCATATATTTTTTTTTCTTTTTCTTTTCTTTTTTTTTCATTTTTCTCTTCCCTTTCCTCTCTATCATATATACATACATATTTTTATATATATTTTTTTTTCTTTCATTCTTCTTCCTTAATTTTTACTTTTTATTGTAATTTTATTAAAGAAAAGAAGATATCATGTCTTCCTTTCATATTTTAAATCAATATTCAAACAAAAACAAAAAAATAAAAAAATCAAATTCAACCAATAACAATAAGAAGACAAAATCTTCTTTATTTGATCGACCTCTTCCGAGAACACTTCCCCCTGGCAATTTTAATATTAACTATGAAACATATGAGTTTAACATACCAAATTATACATTTGGTAAAGCAATAGAACTTGCCGGCGCTGGTGGATTAATTGCTGTCAGTGTTGGAAAGAGGTAATAATGAATATTTAAAAGAATTTTAACAATAATAATAAAATTTGTCTTTTTTTTTTTCTTTTTCTTTTCTCTTTTTTCTCTTTTTTCGCTTTTCGCTTTTCCCCTTCCATTTTTTTATTCATTCACTCATTCTTATTCAAGAAATAAAGATAATAAGCCTATATTGGCTAAAATTTCACCACATTCTGTTCGACTTGAACGAGAATATTATGTAACAAAAAGATTATACTCATTACCAGATGGATATAAATATATACCACATGTTACCGAATATGTCTCTCTCGTTCAGGATGGCTTAGCTGCTATACTTTATCAAGATATTCAACCAAATGACTACATTTATTTCGAATATCAACAAAGGAGACATTATTTTACTCTTTTCTCTCTCAGTCAGACCACAAATAATTTTGAGATCTGGAATGATCAACTACCAATTCGAGATTGTAACGAGATTACTCTAGACACCTTTCTTGAATTTGCTATTGAATGCTGTTCGGCTCTTCAATTCCTTCATGTAAATGGTGTAGTACACGGTGAGCTGCGTCCTTCTGCCTTTCAATGTACTTATGATCAAGATCAAAAATTACGCACAAAGGTATGGAACTTTGGCGGAGGCTTAAATTCTTATGAAGAACTACTATTGACTACTTCTAGATGGAGATCTTTTATGTCTGATAATAATTATACAAACTCATCATCATCCTCTTCTCCATCTCCTCCTCCTCCTCCACCACCTCCACCACCTCCACCACCACCACCACCAATAGCAACACTATCTCAACCTACTAGTTATCATTCAAAGCGTCTCTCTAATTCTGTTTATTTCTCTCAAGTCAGTGACTATTATACGAATGCCTCTTCATCAGTTCGATTTTATTCTCCAAAAGAATTTCAATCATCTCTAGTTTATGTTAGTCCAGAACAGACAGGAAGAACATCAGATGCTTTAGATCATCGAACTGATCTATATTCACTTGGTATTATGTTTTTTATCATTTTAACTAACAACGATCCTTTTAAAGGAACAGCTATGGATATTATACATGCTATTTTATCAAAAACTGTACCTTTGGTTCATACTATTCGAAACGACATACCTCCTACCATTAGCTATATTATTAACAAATTGACCCAGAAAGTAAGATAGAATATTAATTTCTATAGATAGATGGACTACTAATTATACATGAGGTTAGACTGTAGAAGAACGTTATGATAGTGCCTATGGCTTAAGGGAGGATTTATTAGAATGTCAAAGAAGACTTTCTGAATCAAATTTTGATCAAGTAATTATTATTCATAATAATGAATTGTACCATATTTATCTTATTTATTGTCATATATATATATATATACGTATATATAATAGCTTGTTCATTTTCAATTAGGTTTACGTGATATAAATCCTGTTTTTAAAGTATCAGATAGTTTATACGGACGAAATAAAGAATCAGAACTCATGAGCTCTATCATTGAAAATACATATAATCTTCATCAACAGGAAAAGAATAGAGTAAAAATGCTACAGGCAGCGTCAATTTCTAATAAGAATAATTTAGCTACAACGACTTCTAATTCAAAAGATGCAACACCACTAAATCATATGACTATTGCAACAGAAGAAGCAACTGATGATAATAACAGTACAGAAAAAATGCCAGTTCTTTCAACGACAACAGAACAAGTATTATGTTGTGAGAATGAAAAGGAGGAGAACAATTTAATCAAAGAAGCAGACAGTTTACTACGTATTAATACATCTATATCACTTGACCATACTGCTTGCGAAGTGATCGTTCTGAAGGGGCCAGGGGGTATAGGCAAATCAACTCTGATCTCGACCCTAAGTATACAAGCTCGTCATTGTGGTTATACAGCAACAGCCAAATTTGATAAGAATCAAAAGAGGCCCTACAATGGTCTATTAAGGTGCCTTTCTTCTATTCTAAGACAACTTTTAACTGAATCAGAACAGGTTATTCGTGAGTTTTATAAGGACTTGAAGCATAATCTAGGTCCTCAATTCAGCAATGTTCGTTTAATGGTCAATATGGTACCTGAATTAAAACCTATTTTGTACGATTGTCGAGAAAGAATAAACTCACCAGATGATGATGATGCTCTTTCTAACATTTTAAATACTGAAGCTAGATTTCATTCTGTAAGTTTGGTTCCCTCTTCTTTTTTTTTTTCTTTTTAATAGAATCTAACTATACCTTATTAGGTATTTTTGAACATTATTAGAACAATTGCTAGAAGAAAATTGCTAACTTTGGTAAGTAAAAAAAAAAAAAAAAAAGACATGACATTGCATTATCTTATTATTTTTTTTTGTACAACCAGTGTCTAGATGATCTACAAGAAGCAGGTTAGTAATGAATAATACTCATATAATCTGTCTTTAATAGACCAAACTCTTGCCTATTTTTTTTTTAAATATATATAACAATTTTTTTTATTAATTATTTGTTTCCTTTCTTTTTCTTTTCATAGATGATCCATCTATTCATTTAATTAATGCACTTTTACATTCACATACAATCATGTTAATTATTTTAACTTTTCGAGATGGCGATGAAACACCTTCAAAAGTAATCAAAATTCTAGAAAAATTCGAAACAATTCATCCTATCACAACAATTGAACTTGGAACATTTAATAAAGATGTCCTTTATGAACTTGTCTTTGACACCCTCTACAGCAATAGTAGCAACAAGCAACAACAATCTCCATGGGGTATACAAGAAGAACAACAACGTATGGAGACAATAGCTCCTCTTGTAGACATCATCTATTGTTGGACCCGAGGAAATCCATTTTATGTCAAACAGTTTTTAAAGACGATGAAACGAAAAGAGGATATTTGGTTTGATTGGAATGCTAAACATTGGAAATTTAGATTAGACAATATCAAAAAATTATTTGATACAGAGCAAAAGCCTAGTATCATGAAAATTGCATCAACGTCATCGTCTACTATCAATCATAGTAATGATCTACTTCGACGAGATATGGAATATAAAAGATCTTATCATCACGTACAACAACCTCAACATGATGAACATCATATCTTTGATATCCAAAACCTTGTCTCTCATTTACGTTCTCTAGAACCAAGTGTTCAATGTTTTCTAATGTGGGCTAGCCTTATTGGTCATGTATTCAACTTTAGACGAATTAAATGGCTCATGATAGCTTCTTCAACTACAAACGGTGACCTAATCGACGATAACAGTAGTATTGGAAGTAGCCATAGTGCGGGTTATCACAACAACAGGTCAACAGTACCCATAGCTGAAGAAAACTATCCATTATCATCTGATCCTCCTCCTCCTCTCACTACTACAGCAACAGTCACTCTATTATCTGAAGATGAAGAAAGACGTTCAAGCCAAGCTATGATCGGACTTCAAGTAGCACTCAGTGAGGGCATTATTCAATACAAGTCAGGGAATGAATTTCAATTCATTCATGATCGTTATTATCAGGCTGCTTCCATGTTAATTGTTGACCCACAACAAAGAGACAGTATGCATCTTAAAATTGGCGAAATGCTGATGATGGAAGAAGAAATGGAAGAGGAGGATAATATATTCTTGACGGCATACCATCTTATGAAGAGCGAAAGACTGATTCAAATGATGGATAAAAGAAAGTGTTATCGTAGTATTTTAATTAAAGCAGGTAATGAAGCAGCATTATCAGGTGCAATACAACTCTCTTCAGCCTATTACAAATCTGCTTTATCTTTGTTGGATGAGGATATTGTAAAACGATGGCAAGATGGTCCAGACAATTCAAGTTCAGAGACTTTGAATGTTTATATGAAGATATTAGAACACGAGTTATTAAGTAATAATAGAACTGTTTATAAAGACAAACTGATTACGACAGAGAACAGCAGGAATAAAGTCACAGAGAACCTAGCCCCAGCTCGTTCTCTCATGAGTGATGAGGAACGAAGCAGCATGATAAAGCAAATTATGGACCATACTCATCACCTTCCACTTGAAAGAGCTCAAGTGTGGCGTATCAAGGCCCGTATTTACTTTGAACAATCTCAATATCGAAATGGTGTACATAATATTTTGGAAGGTTTAGAAGAATTGGGTATCCTTGTCGATACAAACATCACAGAGGAGCAAGTCCTTGACTATTATCACATTATGAAACCTAGTATTGTCAAACCTGGTTTTGAAATCTTACTGAAGGGCGGTCCCTGTCAAAACCCGAAACAGATGGCAATCATGGCTTTGTTAAATGAGGCATGTGCGGGAGCTTATTGGGTAAATCCTCTTCTGGTTGATTTCTTTGCTCTCAAATTATGTGAACATTCATTAAAATATGGCTATACAGCTGCTAGCGGTGGTGGTTTTATCTGGGCAGGTTGTACGGCAACACGTGTATCTGAATTCCACTTTGCCGCTCAATTAGGCCGATTTGGAATGACTATCAGTGAAAAATACGCAGGGAATTCAGAGATTGCAAGAGCTATTATTGTTCATCATTCCATGTTGGCTCAATGGACTGGCGCTCATGTACGAGAATATATTTATCAGTATCAAAGAGCTTATAAATTTGCTATTGCTGGTGGAGATCAGGTAAGAAAAAGAGGAATTAAATAACTCCAAGATTTTATTCTTATTTGGAGTATAAATGGTTATAGCATTAAGATAATAATATATATATATGCATATACATATATGCATATACATATATATACATATTTATATTTATATTTATATTTATATTTATATAATTTGCATAAAAAAAAACTATCATAGCTGTTTTCCTCTATGGCCTTATTTCATGTAGCATGTACATTATATTGGACAAGCTGTAACCTATCCGAACTTCATTGGCATCTCAATCATTCAATGGAAGAATGTAGCAAAGGCAATTCTAAGGACGTGCTTATACTAAACATTTCACTTTGGAGATCTATATTGGTTTTTCAAGGAAAGACCGATATCACTATGGATCCTGACACAATGATGAATGATCCGGATAGGAGTTTTGATGAACCTTCATTTGTGGAAGATATCAAGAGCCAAAGTGTTAATTCTGGGAACCCATTAAACTGGTAAATTATACATATAATAGCTAGATTTTCCTTTTCTTTTTTTTTTTTTTTTTTTTTTTTTTTTTTTTTTTTAATTTACTTATTACTTTTATATATCCAGGCATTATAGTTTTAAAATGATCCTTTTATTTCACTTTGGATTTACTCAAGAAGCTTCTGATTTAGGTTTCAAAATTTTCGATAGCTCAATTAACGAAGCATTGTAAGTATACGAAACAATGATCCTACTAAGCTATTGCTCTTCTAATCTTAACGTTTATCTTTTTTTTTTTTTTTTTTTTTTTTTTTTTTTTTTTCATAGACATCGTCATGTCGGTATAGCCATGTATTATCATTCAATGGCAATAGTTGAAAGTTTACGTGATCCAAATATAGACTCTTTAAAACATGAAAAATATAAAAGGCAGCTTAAAAAGAATGAGGCCAGACTGAATGAACTTGCATCCTATTCTGAAATCAATTACCGCATGTATCATAAAATTGTCGTAAGTATTCCTGAAATAACTGTATTTTATGCATTCAACTAAAACAGTTTTTTTTTTTTTTTTTTTTTTTTTTTTTTTTTTTTTTTTCTTGAATTCAACTAGCAAGCACAAATTTCAACTCTCGATAATATTAACATGCAGCATACTTTGGCATTATACAATGAAGTGATTGACTTATGTCTAAAAGGAAGATGGTATTCATTTTTGGGTCTTACATATGAGCTTTTATCTGAATATTATATGCGCTGTGGCTTAACTATGCTTGCTATTCCAACATTATGTAGATCATTAAAATTTTATTCCCATTGGGGTGCCTTTGGCAAAGTACAGTATCTTAAGAAAAAATACAGTAAAGAATTAAGCAGCCAAAAAATTACAGATAAAGAAGATGCAGCTATTCAAACAGAAGACGTTATTATTAGTTTGACAACAACAGTTACAGAGAAGGAAGTTAGTATTTGGGATAATAATAGTAGTGATGAGATTACACCAGATTCTTCTTTAAAAGAATTGTATGGGAACGAAGATTTTTCTGAGCATAGTGTCTTGGCAAGTAATTCCAGTATGAATAATCCTATCACCATTTTAGATGATGTTGGTTTTGATCGAGAAGACACATTATTTTCTTTAGATATGGTTGATTTAACTTCAATCATTAAAAGCTCTCAAGGTAAAGTATATGAAGCAATATGCATAAAGAATATACAAATCTCATATATATATATATATTTTGGTTATTTGTAGTTATATCTAATGAAGTAAATTCCTTTGATGAGCTGTTAAAAAAGATGATTGGTATTATTATGGCTAATTCAGGAGCAGAATCTGGTGCTATTATAATTAAAGAAGGAATTTTTGGTATTGCTGCCCATTCAGTACGTTCTACAGATATATGTGAAACCTTCGAACCTCCCCTTCCACTTTGTGATGATGATGATAAAGTATTCACTTCTATTGTCCATTACGTTATTCATACGCATGCCAGCCTTTTCATTTCAAATGTTGAAGCTGATCACAGGTTTTCTACAGGCGATAATAATATAAAGAAAGGAGCTGTCATATGCATGCCTATTATGCATAAAAATACACTAGTAGGAGTCCTTTATCTTCAAGCCAATTTGAATACTTTTACACATAAACACGCTAATGTTCTTGCTATTTTGTGTGACCAAATCGGTATCTCGATCACTAATGCGCTCTTATTTAAATCAGTTCAAAAGGCAACTATGGCAAATGCGTTAATGATTGAAAGACAATTGAAAGCACTAGAAGAAGCTCGAGCAAGTAAAGAACAAGCGCTTCATGCCACAAGAATGAAATCTAACTTCTTGGCAAATATGTCACATGAGTTACGCACGCCATTTTCCGGCTTTTATGGCATGATTTGTCTTTTGAGTGAAACACGGCTTGACGTTGAACAACGAGAGCTTATTTTAATCGCAAAACAAAGTTGTGAAATGCTCTTGCATATCATTGATGATTTATTGGATTTTTCTAAATTAGAAGCACACAAAGTTAAATTACTTTATGGTCTATTTTACATAGAGGACTTGATTGCTGATCGTATAGAACTGTTGATTACACTCGCTACAAATAAGAATGTTGAACTATATTATTTTATTGATGAAGACGTGCCTTCCATCGTATATGGTGATGGAAATCGTATTGGTCAGATTTTAATGAACTTGATTGGAAATGCTATCAAGTTTACACATCATGGAGAAGTGATTATTCGATGTGGAATAGATAAGGAAAGCATAGCAGTTGAAGAAGATAATATTATCCTTAAAATCTCTGTTCAAGACACTGGTATAGGTATGTCTAAAGATGAAATTAAGGGACTATTCTTGCCATTTAGTCAAGTAGACGGATCAACAACTAGGTAACTAGATATGATATGATATGATATATAAATATATACTATTCATAGTACATAATTATTTTATATTGACATTATATATATTTTCTATTATAAGAAATTTTGGTGGAACAGGCCTTGGTCTTTCAATTTGTTTACAACTTGTCAAATTGATGCATGGCGATATTCAGGTTAATTCTGCTGTAAATCAGGGTTCTACATTTACGTTTACAATTCAAGTAAAAAATGGGAATACTATAGCTGAGCCTGATATTAGTTATGATTTACAATCCAATACTATTAAGGAACTTCGAGACCAGTTGGGACAACCTCGCATTTTGATTATTAGTGAGGAAAAGACTAAGTTGATGATCCAGGCCTTTATTCCTTGGATACAATATTTAGAACAAAAAGATAACGTTGTAGAAGGTATTCAACTTGCTATTGAGAACTCAAAAAAAAATATACCCTTTGATTGTGTTATTATGAACTCTTCCCGTTCAGACACTCTATTAGAGGTTATCAAGTATATTGAAAATACGCCTAGTCTAAAGAATATAAGTATATTACTTTTGATTGCGCCTACAGTTGATAATATTCGTCGCCATTTTACACATAATACACATGATGATACAGAGAATGATTATACAACACCCTTTCCTTATCAGCACATATTTCACCCTTTAGTTACTCGATTATTAAAACCTATCAGGACAGTAAAATTATTAAATGCCTTAATTCGAGTTGTTTCAAAATCAGATACAACAACAACAACTACTACTACTACTACTACCATCCTAGAGTCAAATCATACTACTGTTAACAATTTAGGATTAGATGATCAAACTTTAATTTCAAGTTCATATTCTGTAGCACCAGCTATTAGTAGCACGAATGTGACAAATGACAATAATAGTAATATGATGAAGAGGCAGCACAAAATAGACCAATTACCTAATGAGAAAACAGCAATCACAACCCAACTTGAACCAGAGCCGGCTATTATCGTTACATCTTCTTATTCAAGAAAAAATCATGGAACCTTCTCACCCGAAGAACTAGCTATCTTCAAAGGACAAAAAATTTTAATTGCGGAAGATAATATTATTGCACAAAAATTGATTATTAAACAGCTGAAAAGATTAGGATTTATTGTTGAAAAATGTAATAATGGATTTGAATGTTTTGATACATGGAAAGCGAGAGGACCAGGATATTTTGTATTAGCTTGGATTGACCATCATATGCCAGGTTGTGATGGATTAGAAGCTACAAAAAAGATTCGTGAATATGAGAAAAGAATGAATTATAGTCCTCTTTTACCCATTATAGCGTTGACAGGTAGGAAGAATGAAAACAGACCATATATGTATATATCAATAAATAACATGTATATAATTATATAGCTGATATACAACTAACTTCTCAAACAAACTGTCTAAATGCTGGAATGAATGATTATGTGACTAAACCTTTAATGCAAAAGGATCTTGCAATAATCTTACGGAAATATTGTTTAGGTTCTAATAATTTATAATAATAATAATAATAATAATAATGTATACATGTATATGGATATATATTTATAGACTTGACCAAACTAAAATAGTAAAAATAAATAAATAATTATATCAAAAACAAAAGATGTTAAATAAATGAGTCTTCATTTCATTTTTTTTTTTTTTCATTAAACACATAATTAAGATTTATCTATCTCAACATTACGTTTTAAATGATAACTTTATTTACATGAACAGAAATATGTGGTATATAAGTGTTTAGAGCCTATCATTATCACTCTTTCATACGCCTTTTCTTAGTGTTATTATCTACAAAGGAAAGAACTTAATACTTGAGACACTATACTATCTTTATCATTATTATTTTACCTGATTCAAAATTTGATGTAATTCTTTTCTCCTAACAAATGATATTAATCCATGTTTTGAAGATAATAATTTTTGATATCTAATAAACTTACTGTATTAAGCCAGGCAGTATCCTCTATTACTGATTTTGTATCCTCCGTACGCTTTAAAATAGATAACCAAAGATTCAATAAATTATCCGTTTGATCTACAGTTTTTGAAAATCGCTGTAACTTATCTTGAGTCTCTTCAAAGTTTTCTAATACTGTTTCCAAGACTTTATTTATTGATTGAACCGTTTCGTATTCTTGTTTTAGTTGATCATTAACTTGACTAGACTTGTTTGGATTTCCAGTTGGTGGTTCCGTTTGATTTTGAGGTCTAGTAAGAATAGTTGATCTTCGATTACTTTTATTCAATAATAAACTTTGTCTAGACGTTGTTGACTGCAAGCCTACTGGTGCTTCAATTACTTGTTCATCATAATCTTCCATTTATAATTTGAGGCCTTTTAACTGGTGTACTTTTTTTTCTTTCTTTTCTTTTTTTTTTAAGAAAAAAAAAACGAAATCAACGTCACAACTTGTACATGAATATGTAATTTTTTTGTTTTTCTTTTAAACACTATAAGGAAAATATAAGAACATTGTATATGATCGATTATTGTCCTTATTTCCTAGCAATAGATATATATTTACTGAATCAAGCAAAGTTATGATAGAAGCTTACATTCTAAAAATGGACATAGTAAATATATAAAGGTAGTGATAAAAACAAAGAAAAGAAAAAAAAATCATAGTCGCTGAGCTTAAATTAGAAATATTTTTTCTTATTATTCTATTTATGACATCCATTATTATAGACTACATATTTAGTTTCTATGGTAACTATACCTAACAATTAGTATCATTAATAAATGCTGTTTTGTATTTTTTTATTTTTATTTATTTTTATTTATTTTACATTTTTAACTTCACATGCATAGCAACAATAAAATGTACCTTATTTTCTAGAAAATTTAATTTGTTCAAATTTTTCTTGATTTAGGTTAAACAGTGGGGGAGAAAGTTGAGTGAACAAAATTGACTCATACGCTTTAAACATACTTCCAGCCAATCATTTTTAAGGAATGTATTTTAATGCTACTCTAAATAATTTGGTATAACCTTACAATAGCATCTGCATATTATTATTTAATATTAAATCATTTGAAATGTTTCTAGTCTTTTTTGTATCAACAGCCCTTTGTCTACTTGGTACTTTTCATTTATATATCCAAATAGTTAAGGCTATCTACAGATGAAATACATGTCCAATAATAGACTCTTTATTTTTTTTTTTTGTGGAAAACAGTGCTATATTGAATAGGTAATACAGTAAATCTGTGCTGTGTAAAATAAAAAAAAAAATAGCTCGACATGTTTCAAAAAAAAAAAAAAAAGGTGATTTGATGCCTGTAGTAGACCCTTATTTTTATTTTTATTTTTTTTATTTTTATTTTTTTTATTTTTATTTTTTTTTTTTCAATAGTTTAGCGTACATACTTATTATTCATAATAGTAAAATAAAATAGTTTGTTTGTTTTTCTGATTCTGATATTCAGTCAATAAATTTTGATTTAATAGTTGTTATCTGTTTTTTTTTTTGGGAAAAAATAAAATAAAAGAAAATTTATTATCAAGGAATCATAATTAAAGAAAATCGAAATAATAGTTTAATTTTATTCAGAACTACTATTAACGGAATCAAAGCTGAATATCGTAATTCAAAAAAAAAAAAAAAAAAAAAAATTTTCTACAAAAAAAAAAAAATGTCTCATTTTTCTTTATACATATAAATGACAATCGAAAATCATTTATTTATTCATATTTATTCATTCAATTTTTTTTTTCTTATTTATTAAATAACTCGTCAGTTACATTCTAATAAAGCATAAATAATTAGACACACATACATATAGATGACAGTACATCATAGCGCCAGTCTCGGCTCTGATGCCCCTACTGGATGTTCAAACGTTTCAGTACCTCCCTATAGTAGTAATGGTGAAATAAACAAGGAAAACTCTATTACTTCTATTGAAGCAGGCTTAAATGCATCAGATAGTCAGTCTATTGGATCAGATGAAGGACCCGCTGTTGTGCCTCATATGGGTCTTATCAGTAGTTGTAATATGGTAAGCGGGGGAGTTAAGAAAAAAAAAAAAGAAAGATCTATTTTGAAACAATTTTATTGATCTATCTATATTTAGATTGTAGGTCTTATTATTGGTAGTGGTATTTTTGCTACTCCTGGCCCTGTTACCTTAAAGGTTCAAGCTGTTGGCCCTTCTTTGATTGTTTGGACGATTGGTGGTCTATTGAGTATGATAGGTGCTCTTTGCTATGCAGAATTAGGTACGATGATTACAAAATCAGGTGGCGAATATCAATACTTGAAATCAGCTTATGGCCTTTGTCTTGGTTTAACTTTTAGCTGGTCTAATCTTTTATTATCTAATCCTATCGGTACTGCCTCTATTGCTACTGTGTTTGCTCAATACATTATGGAAATGGCCTATTTCGACCCTTCAAATACAGAGGGTATAAGTACAGATATGCCTGATTATGCAGTTAAACTTGTTGCTATTGCCTGTATTTGGGTAGTTGTACTTTTCAATGCATTCGGTAGAAAAGCAGGTGCAATGGTAGCTAATGTCTTTACAGCAGCTAAATTATTAGCTCTTGCTATGATTATTATCATTGGTTGGATTTGGCTTGGCAGAGGACATACTGAAAACTTCAAGAATGCATTCCATAATAGTTCTACAAATGCACTTGATTATGGTACCGCTATGTACATGGCTTTATTCGCTTACAACGGTTGGAATAATTTAAATTACGGTGTCGCTGAAGTAAAGAACCCTCAACGTAATTTACCCTTGGCTATTACTATTTCTTGTATCCTAGTAACATTAGTATATGTCTTGGGTAATATCGCTTATTTTGCTACCCTTCCTATCTCCACTGTCGCTAATTCTTCCACTGTTGCTATGCAGGTTGGTATGGTTGCATGGGGTAAAGGCGGCGCTTATTTCTTTGCCCTGATGGTCGTCTTATCGACCTTTGGTGCTGTCAATGGTAACATCTGGGCCGCCTCTCGTGTTGTTTTAACGGCTGCTAATGAAGATGGTGTTTATATGCCATCCTTTTTCGGTAAATTAAATGAAAAGCGTCAATCACCTATCTGGGCCCTTATACTTGTGGGTATCATTGCAACTATCTGGTGTATTCCCGGTAACTTTACTTATCTTGCCAAAATGTACAGTTTCATCTACTGGTTGTTCTATGGTATCGCTGTCTTTGGTTTGATTATTATGCGTTTTAAAAAGTCAACCAAGAATTTACACAGACCCTTCAAGATCTGGCTCCCCTTTGCTATCTTCTTTTGTATTATTGATATTTATTTGGTCATTGCCCCCTTAGTTGATGCTGGTTCTGCAGGTGTCTACCAATATATTATTTGTATCGTTATTGGTCTTTTGGCTATCCCTATTTGGTTTGTTCGTGTGAAAAAACCACATATCGGTCGTATGTTATTTGGTTGGATTCCTAATTATCAAGAGGCCTATATCGTTCAGGATAAAAGAAGGAGAAATCTTCGTAAGGCTCGTTTGGAGGCTGCTGCTGCTGTTGGTGCCGCCATTCCAGAATCTACTTTGGTTGGAAATGATAATTCTAAAGCATAAACAACACCCCCCCTCTCCCTTTCCCTCTCCCTTCCCCTCTTTTTATATATTTATATACATATTTAGAGTCATTTTTTTTTATCTCAAATGTCCTTCGCTTAAATACCCACGAGTGATATTCGCTTTATTTACTATATATACATATATATATATATTTTCTATCATCATTTCTCATTTTGTAGCTTTTATCATTCTATAATACATTATATTTAGTATATAATTTAATTATAATAAATTAGAAACAATCACATGTGTTTGTATTTATATATATTTCTTGAAGTTTATTGACATTATGAATTTTATTATTATTCAATAAAATAAATTATATCAAGTGTAGACTAAATTTGGTACATTTTAATAATTGATGTATATGTTGTATGGTATATAAAATGGAAATATGGATATATATAAACAGTATATAATATACTCTTTATACAAGAATAAATAAAATGAAAAATAAAATGAAATGAAATGAAAAAAAAAAGGTTATGTGTACTGCATAATAGTATAGATAGATATAAGTGATGGGAGCTTTGACAATATACACAATTTACAATTATAAACAATGAATATATATAAAAGATGAATGAATATTACGAGTAAAACGGAGTTGCATCTGATGATTTCTTGTTAGTAACAATAGGTTGAGAATGAAATAAAGTGCTCTCTATATATAATCTATATCCAAGCGACTGTAGTATTGCAAAAGAAATGAGAGAGAAGGAAAGAAATCTATTTAAATATACAAAAATAACAATTCACTCTGATTTACGGCTTTACTATGGATGAAAAATGATGATAATGATCTACTAAAGTCGTTGCGGTGGATGCAAATGTAAGAGTTGATTCTGGTGTATTTGATACTGCTGTAATAGGATGATGAATTGATTTATCTTCAATTATTGTATTAACACTATAGGTATTTATATCATTTAATAGTATAGGAGATGGAGCCGTATGATCTATTTTTGTTGCTTGGCAATAATAATATCCCTCATTCATGGTATTATACGCTAAGGGTGGAGGTATAACATCAATTGCAGAGGAAGACATATCGATTACTGAGGAGGATAAAGCCCATTGAGAGCTTGCGTTGGAAGAATATCGATTTAGTGAAATAGTGGATGTATTATGTAATTTTTCCGTTGTGAGTGTTGTACTGTTTTCAACTTCTTCATCAAGATATTTTGTACTAATAGGAAAATCTAAACCAGTGCCGCTCATAGGCCTTGGTAAAAACCAAAATATTGGATATTTTCCTAATACAGATTGAATATTTTTATATATCCCTTGATCATAGGGGCATTTAACCTAAAAAGTAAGAAAAGAAAAAAAAAAAAAAAAAAAAAGAGTTAAATATACTCATAAAAAAAAAAAAAAGAGAGAAAGTCTACTCTGTATTTTCTTATTTACATTATGAATTTTGCCCATGCCTTTTATTGTAAGTGATCTACCTTTTTCCCAGCCTTCGATAGTTGTTGTATTGGTAGTAATGCAATAAATATGATAGATTGTCAAAATACCGACAGAAATCATGATAGCTGCTGTCAAAATCATATTGATAGAGATAAAGATGGCTTCTAATGTTGTGGGGTATATATGATACTATCAAACTTGAAGTCAGTTTTATATGTATTTAAGCGTATACATATATTTGATGTATATAAATATAGATATTACATGATGCATATCTCTTATAATTTGAGCTAACCTGCAGCTTAGGAGAGTGAATAGATATATAGTGCACAGATCGACATAAATTAAAAAACGAAAAAAATGACAGTAGTTTGCAAAACCAATACAATTATCTACCCAAGGACAATGATGATCCATTTTCAATACACATCGATTACAGCAAGAACAATGATGTGTTCTCGGTGGCTTATAATTTTTACATGTTTTACAGTATCGTAATGTGTGAGTTGATTTTTTAACTTCAATAAATGCTTGTTGTCTCGGCACCTAATATAATAAATAAGAAATTTGATTCAACTAATATACACAGTACAATATTACCCATTGGTTAGGTACTGATCCAGGATCTGTTTTGCATGTAAGAAAATAGTTTATCAAAACCATAAATATTAGATAATTTAAGGATACAAGTATGAGAATTAATTGAATACTGTTATTCATTGAATAAAGAAAGGGATAAATAACAATTGCTTGTGATGTACAAGCGATAAAAAGAGTTAATATTGTCACGCATGTTATTATCGATAGTCCTTTTAAGTTTTTCATTTATATATTTATAAAGAGGAGAAAAAGAAAAAGGAGAAAAGGAATTAAAAAAAAAAAAAAGAAAAAAGAAAAAAAAAGAGATAATTATATAACTGCTACTGTAAATGGGTATATTTTATAAATGAATATAATTTTTGTATTACTCTAGTAGTACAACGAAGAGGAGTTTAATAGTTTATATAGGAGAACTCGGATATAATGTAGTTTTTTTTTTTTTTTTTTTTTTTTATTTTTTTTCATTTTTTTTTTCATTTTTTTTTCTTTATTTTATTTTATCATCTTTAGCCGTGTATGTTGCAGAGTAACGAACTGAAATAGAAAATATTTCGTTCTTGAAGTATGAAATATATTTCACGCTATTTTCTATGATATGCATATTCATAACACTACTATTTACATGGGGACAGGGTTTTATACACGTTCATAATTAACATATAAAGCGAATAGTTTTTTTAACTTCTAGTATAATATAATATTGAGTATTTTTAGCCAATCAAGTTGCTATTTAAGCATATCCTGTACTATCTTTTGTCATGTAGTAGAATCTACTAGTGGCTATAAGGAGAGACTGGTTTATCATTTATTCTTTTATTCTTAAAATTCTTTCCAAAAAAAATTTTTTTTAACCTATAAGATGTTTATTTTAAAATGAGCTTATAATTCGCCACCAAAATCGTTATCTGTCCAGACTAATCTTTTTTTTTTTTCTTTTTAAATGAAAGAGTAAGACCCGATCGATAAAATGGATTACTTACGCTATGCTAAATGTTAAAAGTGTGTTCTTGATATGAAGAATTCAATAACATTAGTGAATCATATTTATAAGAGTCTGTATTAAAAACTCTTCAACAATCTTGAAGAAAGTGAAGCAATGATGCTTGTTGTAGAAGAATAAAATCGAATTTATCCAGTTAGCAGAAACAAACTGTTCTATAATACGTCGATAACATAAATATTAAAAACCTTGAAAATTTATCATAATCTTTCGATTTTCGAATATAAATTAATTACCATCTTGATAACATTTTATCAAAATGGGTGTGTTGTTTCTCACTTTTTTTTTTTTTTTTTTTTTTTTTTTTGGCTTGCACGATTGGTGAATACAATTCACTGCGCTAAAGATTCAAAAACAAAAAAAAAACCCGATTCAATCCTCTTCTCTCTCCCCCCCAAAAAAAAAAAAAACTTGAGGTGTCTTAACTTTTAAACTATGTTTTCGTTGCTAATCTATCAACTTCAATAAATGTTTGTGTGATTTAAAAAATAATAAGAACAAGAGTGCGCAATAATAACCTGTCACTTTCGAACGTTTAAAAATGATAATAATGATGAATCAAAGAATTCAGTCAATATCCATCATGCTCAACTACAAAGCTTAACAGACATAAATTTAAGTTTGAAAATAGGGCTCTTTTTCAGATTGAATTTAATGTAATAAAGCCTTTATCTTGAAAGCTCAAAAGAGTTTATTTTTTGTTAGATTACTGATAATTTCCTTATTTGTATTTTGAACTATTTTAATTATAGAGGATTTAAAGATTTAGGTTAGCTTTAAGTTAAATACATCAAATAGAAGAACTGATTAATACTCTTTTTTTTTTTACGCTGGCTTGAAAAAAAAAAAGCTGAATTTACATATCCTATGCCTTTTTTTTTTATAAAATAAAATAAAATCATGCCTTAATACTTTGTATGCGTTGTTTAGTTCTAGAGACAGCAAAACAAAAACATGAAAACAAATTTAAAACCCCGTATATATAAAGAAGGAAGAGAAATACAGTGTGTTTTTATTTTTTATTTTTATTTTTTTTTAAAAAGCATACGTTATAATTCAGTTTAAAAGTCTTCTTGTCTGAACTACATTTAGCATGTGAGTAGTTGGATTGTTTATCTTTTTTCTTTTTTTTTTCTTTTTTTTTCCCCCTTTTTTTTTCTGTGTATTAAATGAATAATTATGTCATTTATGTATTTGTAAAATACATGTTGTAGTTGTATACTATTGTCTGCCCACACATCCACTCCTCTTTTCTTTTTTTTGTTTCGCCTAAACATATCAAAATAAGAAAGAGTCAATATTTTATTACCCGGAATAAACACATGTACACTTCTTTGTGGTGGTGGTGATTCCAATAAGAAAAAAAAAAATAATATATCATCAGTCATTTAATTTTACCATTCCTGAAATCTAAAGTATATTTTGTTGTATTAAAGTTTAAATAAGCTTAAGAGTGATTCAATCATACTACTGCTACTACTACGAAGTCATGACAATGCAAGTTTATTATTAATTCGATAATAAGCTATAGCTGCATAATAGAATTTATGTCATTATACTAATTTTTACGTGTAAAATATGTCATTTATTAATAGTTAATTTTTTTTTTTTTTTTTTTTACAATTACTCAAGTTAAATACAATAATATGAAACATATGTATTATACATTATTATTATTATTATTTTATTATTATTATTATTATAAGTAAATTTATATATTAGTAATTATATAGTTATAAGTAGAGACATAAATTAAGTAGTAATAGTAAAAAGGTAAGTAAATGTATGTAATAGTAATTAGTAACAGAACTTCTATAATTTAAATTAGAATAAGTGGTATTAATGTTTCAGCTCATTATGAGAATAATAATAATCTGAACAAGGTGTAGCAGGTGAAGACGGTTCAGAGGATGTAGGTGAATTAGTTACGGAAGGTAACCTTGAACTAGTTCTTGAATCTGTTGTATTTATATAAATGGGATGAACAGACTTAAGAGGTATATGTTGGAATAAATGAGCTGTAGTATCTTCATCATTATCAGAGTTAATATATGTAATATCATCATCATCGTTGTCGTCTTCTTCTTCTTCTCGATCAGAATTAGATTGAATAGAAGAATGTGAGTGATAGATTTCCTTTGACGATAATCGCATCATGGCTTCTGTATCATCAGCTTCACGTAATAATAAAGTCTTCATGAATGTCTCCATCTCGATTGAACGTACAAAGTTCATAAATGTATTTTTGATAGGAATTGGAGAATCAATATAATCTAAACGTGTACGACAATCAGGTCGAATGATGGGGAGATATTGACGGAAACAAAAGAAGGCAAGTGTGGCGTAAATAGATCCTCCAACAAGGTCGATTAAATAATGATGTGTTAAATACATTGTAGCAAACCACATCCATAATACATGAAAGACACAATAAGGTCTTGCCTTTGGGTATAACCAAGATAAAAAGAACATTTCTATTGTAGCACATCCTGAATGAAGTGATGGGAATGCTCCAAAAACAAGTGGTGAATTACCAAATGTGGTTCCATAAAGATTTAGACCCAAAATTTTATCAATTCTGGCAAGACCACCTGGTTGACCGTGTATTGAATAGTCAGCTGGTGCAGAGCCATAACTAAGTTCGTACCCTAATAAAAGGAATAAATAAATAAATAAATAAATGAATAAATAAATATATAAATACACATTTGCATATTTATATAATTTGTTTCTTTTCATTCAATTTACATGGAGGAGAAGTGGGGAAAATAAGTTGAGTCAAGACACCTGCTAAATTCATATAACCAAATGCTTTACCAAAAACAGGAAGAGTGCCTGGAGGACCAAAGATAAAGAGTGCCAAAGCAAAAATAAATGGGAAAGCAAAATGAATGATACCATAAGGTAACCATGCAAAGATATCTAGTATAGGATGTGTATGTTGAGATATAATTTCTGATAAATTAGCTCCATAAATGATTCGTTCAAGAGTAGGTAAGATATCGACAAAGATATGTTTTGGCTTAATACTATTTGGAATAAATTGAACGGCATAAAATGTAATAAGCCATGTAAAAACAACCATTGCAGGTACTGTAAAACGTCTAATATATGGTATAAATGGTGATGATAAAAGTAAAATAGCTAATAAAAGTCGACACCATAACGGTGGAAATTGAATATAAACAATGTCAAATATAATAATTGCAGTAAAAAAAGGGTATTGCAGCCAACTCCATTTAAAGGAGTTGAACTTGTTCATTATTATTTGCAGCATCTATACAAATATATAAATGTATAAATAAATATGAATATTTATTTTTTTTTAGAAAAAAAAAAAATTAAAAAATTAAAAAAAAAATAATAATAAAAATAGGGGCTTTTTTTATTTTTTATTTTTAAGGAGCACCATCTCTTTTATATGTATTTTTCCTTGGAAAAAAAAAAAATATTAATGTAAAACCAGCTGTCAAGAAACATTGTTATTTCATTTGCAGAATTCCTTATTGGAGAATCTTTTTACCGAAATCATATTGTCTTAACCTTAATCATTATCATTTTCTTGGTTTTTTTTTTGTCTTGAATCAATAATAATAAAAAAAATCCATTGTTGCTTAAAAAGTATAATTTTACTGTTCTTTATGTTTATAAAAATAGCATTTCTGGTATGTTGATTATGATTTTTATTTCTCAGGGCAAATACATGAAAAAAAAGAAGCCTCCAATTCTTATCCTCGAGTAGAAAATATAAAAAATAAAATGAAAAGGGAAGCGATTATTGTCCTAGTAAAGATCATAACTTTTTCGCCTCCCTTCCCACTATACTTTCAGGCACATAAGAAAGTTTATTACTTTTGTAATAAACTGTATAAAGAGACATGTCTCAGCTATAAGGAGCCCTGTTAGAATATTTTATCAGTAGCTGAAGAGGTAAAACTTAGTTGATCCTTCTCGTAAATCTTTATTAAAATCAAAGAGTTTTACCGATTATATTTATATATCCCCTCTTAAATACAAATCCTCTTTGTGTGTGTGTGTGTGTGTGTGTGTGTGTGTTTTTATAAATATCATCAGTTCTTTAGGAGAAAGAAGGGCGTTTTTTCTCCCTCTTTTGGCCTTAAATAAGGATAGTCCCTTTCTTATTCAAGAGATTGAAAATGAAAGCATAGATTGGAGCAAAAATAGTGATTTTATAAACATGATAGGTTTTAGCATACATATATGATGTCCTTTTAGTAGATCAAAGTGTGATATACTTAACTAAAGAAAAAGAAGTTATTCTTTTCATCTAATAAAGACGTTACAACTATAGTGTTGGTGTAATTTATGAGACAGATGCCATTGACTCGAAGCTGTGTAAGTACAAAGGTGTTTAGAAGAAGACTGCATTCAATAGCAAAAAGAGAGAGAGTGAGGCAACTGTATACCTGCAAAGACTATTAACGTAAATACAATAGTAGACACACGTAATAGGTTTAACAATAAAGGATTAGACACTTTAGATGCTCATAACTTGCTAAGATGATATCTCCGTACAAGTAGTACGACTATGTAGTATAATATACCTAGATTTTAAGAATTTATCAGGGACAGCAGCAGCAACCATAAAATTATTTGCCTATCTACTTAATTGACCTTTCACAAGATCTTGTTAACTTGCTAAAAAATAAAAGTTCCTGACATTATCCATGACTCGATAAAATTTCTATAAATAATAATAAAGTGAATTTAGTCTTTTTTTAAGCTTTTATTATAATAAAAACATTATATTAAATATAGTAATATGGAATTTTCCATCGTTTTTAAGCTAATTGTTAAGCTTTCATTTTAATCTTAAAGGCATATATATATATTTATATATTTATGCTAGTTAGAGGTATTATTAACTACTATAAACTGATTTAATTATTAATTTAAGAAAATAAATAAAACAATTAGCTTAATAAATTTGCATTTTTTTTTTTTTTTTTTTTTTTTTTTTAAATGTATAAACATTTGGATATATTAACAACAAAGGTATCAAAATATTTTTATACGCAACCAATCATGTATCGCCGGCTAAATTGACTCCGCTATTCATTTTTACTGCTGCCTTTTTTTCCGTATTTTATCATTTGTATTCATCAACGCTGTGTATAGTTCCGAGAAATTCTTATTAAATAAGAGGAGAAGAAGAGCGCATTTTTCTTTTGTCATTTTATTATGTAATAAGTATTTATTACGCAATAGAAATAATTACCAATAGTATGTCAATTCAAGGATATTAAAGACTTCTTTATTAAATACTACATTTTTTTTTAAAAAAAAAAAGAAGAAAGACTTTTCTTTAATACTCATTATGCCCACAATAAAAAAAAATAGTAACATATAATATGGGGGAGGGATATTAAAAGATAGAATTCTTTTATGTATAATAAACACGAATGCATACAAAAATAGACTTATTTTTTCTTTATATGTATTTATTTCCCTACAACTACATATATACATGATATCATTAAATACTCTATAATTAGGGAATATGTGTAGCACCTTTTGCTTGGCGTTGTTGTTGAAGGATTTTCTTTTGTCGATTTTCTTCTTTTTTAAAGGCAGATTTTGTTAATTTCTTTTCTTCTCGACGATTCTAATATTATAAAATTTGTTACTATTTGTAGAAACACACACACACACACTCTCTCTTTATTATTATTATTACCTTTTTTGCTTCTTTTACTGCTTGTTTTCGTGCTTTCTTTTCTTCTTTTGTTTCTCCTTTTAATCTTGCTACTCCTCTATTTTCTGCAGATATATTTTCATCATCATCATCTTCTTCTTCTTCTTCGCTATTTTCTTCCTCTTCTACTTGCTTCTTTTTTTGCTTACGCTCTACTTCTACTAAAATAGGCATACCAGTCTTGGGATCGATACGAATTTTCTTTGATGGTCCCTTATCACTAATTAATGAAGGATGATTTTCTAAATTGGAATAGGTTGAAATAATCGTCTGTACATCCCAACTCTCCTTTTGTCTTTGTACAGGTCTCTCTAAACGAGGCTCGAGTAAAGCACGAGTCAAGCGTGGTTTAGATGGTTCATGCTGTTCTTCTAACTGCTGAACATCTGGTTTTATTAAGCCTTGACGATAACTATCTAATTTAGCTGCTGAACTTTCTCCTTCCATCTTTGGTTCCATCTTTCGTCCTATGATTTCGTATTTTTCTAAAAAGTCATCTAAAATAGACTCAAAGTCTTCTCTTTGTTGAATTTCTTCCTCATTCATTTCTTCACTTTCATCTTCATCTTCCATGTATTCTTCTTCAATCTTTTCAAATCGATCATCTAATAAACGAAGTTGTGTATTACGATGCATAGCTGAAGATGATACCGAGTATCCTGTTTGTTTTGTATATCGATCAAATTTATCAGATTCATCGTCAGATCCTGCATTACGATTTTGGCTTAACTTGAATCTATAAAAAAAAAATTATATAAATATACATTACTCATCCTTTCTCTCTCTCTCTCTCTCCCTCTTTTTCTTTCTTTATTACTTTTTAAATGCTGCTTCCCAATCATAATTTTCTGCATTTACTTCTCCTTCTTCTTGTTGTTGCTCCTCATTATCATATTCTTCATATTCTTCATATTCCTCCACTTCTGAGTCAAAATAATCATCATCCTCCTCAGGGTCATAGGGTTCTCCATCAGCATTTAATTGCTCAATAAAATCATCGCCCAATTCATCATCAATAAATTCATCATCAGAGAGAGCTTCGAGGACTTCACGTAATCGAGGATCCATATCGGGCTGAAGTCCATTATCAAGACCAGTGGATTGATTCATGACACCTACCGCCATTTCCACAGAGGAAGGCAAAACATCAGAGGGTAGCTGAATTAATTTAGAGTTTTTCTGTTCTCTATATTCATCCTCTTCCTTGAGAAAGGCATCATGGATCGTCTTTGGTTTTTCTTTCTTGGGTGCTTCTAAAAAGACGGCATCCGTAGAACCACCAATAGGTTTTAAATGTTGAAGATAATCATATTCACCATCATCAAAAAAAATACCATACATAGCTGCTTGACCAATACGTCTATATATAAAGAAGTGTTATTCTCTTTATTCAAGTTAAAAGGTGTCTTAACAAAGATACATTACTGATCAATTTCATCTTGTGTCAATTTTTTAGGTTTTGCTTTAACTCGATCTATTTCTTCCTGAGTTTTATGCTAAAAAAATTACATTAATTCAATTCGACTATTGTTAATGAATTAAAAAAAAAAAAAGAAAAAAAAAAGTTCAATTACCTTTAGTTGATTGCTAGGCAAGACTTCTTGAAGAACACGATCAGATGCTTCAGAGTCATTAATAAGTGGATCCTTTTGAGATCTGTGTACAACATGATAATGCTTTGCTGTTTTTCTATTAATAAATGGCTTTTTACCCATATTTTTTTTTATAATATGATATTATGTATTAAAAAAAAACAAAAAGAAAGAATATATCGTATTCGGGTTCTGGATTTCCATATCCATATAAAAAAAAAAAAAAAAAGGGGTGGCTTATCATTTATAATGATGAGTATTTGTTGAGTTTTTTATTTTTTCTGCTGTCAAATTATCAACCAATCATTCAATCCGTACATGATTGAACCACCGCTATATTAGTTATTGACATGTGTACAATTTTTATTCCTTTACGTTCCATATTCATCATCATCTCAAAATTTAAAATCACTATGGCCGAATTAGCTCCTCCTGTTCTTCCTGACCACGTCAAGAAACCTAACAAAGAAGAACATAAAAAAACTATAGAAGCTATTAATGCTAATATTGAAAGAATTCAAAAGCAATATGTAAGTCCTTTATATACATGTATACATTTATATAGCTTGTATTCTTCTATTTCGACATTTGTCTCTCTATTATGTATTTATTTTTTTTTTTGGATTGTCTGAAACTCTTTCAATTATAGAATGTTATGAAAGAAAAGATTGCTAAATTACCTCCAAAGCAAGATAATACACGTCGTGAAGAAATCCTCAATGAATTAGCCGAGATTCGTGATAAACAAGCTGAATTAAAGAAAACTCGTAAAGCAGTTCATGATCAGTTAGATGCTATTAATGAATCTATTAGAAAGAAGGTAAGCAGGAGAAAAAAAAAAAAAGAGAAAGTTATCAATACACAGGATAGAGAAAACAAGGATAATGTATCCATAGATAATAAGGAAGGGGGAGAGAGAGAGAAAGGGATTGAATAAATTTTAATATTTTTTTTTTTGTATGTATACATAGGTCAGTTCTATCAAGGGCTTCCAATCCAGAATTCCTTACAAAACAACAGAAGAAGTTGATATCCGTATTGCGTATGTATCATTATTTTCATGTTTCAAACGCGTTTTAAATCCTTCTAATCCCTTTTTTTTTTTTAAAAAGTGAACTTGAACGCAAGATAGAAGCAGGTGTAAGAATTGTTGAAGAAAAAAAGGTAGCCAATCAAAAATCATAAAGATATATATAAATAAATATATTTTATTAGAGCACTGTTAACCTATACTTTTATAGATGCTTCAAGAAATTACTTTGTTAAAGCGTAACCGTCTTTCTGTTGAAGACGTCGATGCTCAACAAACTGCTATTGACAGAGAAAGAGAAATTTACAACGAATTAAAAAAGAATATTGATGAATCTGAAGCTAAGAGATTGAGTGATCGTTATGAGCAATTGGATGCTGAGTTTAAAAAACTCAATATTGAACAAAACAAACAACGTGAAGCTCGTAATAAACTTTACGAAGAACGTAACCAGTTTAAGAAGCAATTGGATGATGAATACAACAAATTGCGTTCGACACGTGATGAATATCGTAAGAATAATAATGAATATTTTGATTTCCTCAACAAATTGAAGGAATACAAAAGAGAACAGGAGCAACTTCGTAAGCAACAAGAAGAAATGGAGAAGCGTCAAGAGGCTCTTAAGCAAGAACTTGAATTGGCTTCCTTGCCTGCCTTTGAAAGTGAAATTGCTCTTTGTGATAATCTTGCCATCTTCTTGGAAGGTTTCCTTATCTCTGACAATAAATCAAATGCTAACTCAGATGAGGCTCATCCTAACGTTACTGATAATGCCTTTGAAGGTATGGTAATTAAGAAGCGTGATGATGAAAACTTCTTTGTTGGAAAGCCTATCAAAAAGAAGCAACAAAAGAATAAAGAGACAAAGGAGAAGAAGGATGATTCACTCAAGATTCCTCTTGCTACTATGGAAGCCTTTTTTGATATCAAAGTCACTGTACCTACCAAGGTTTCTGAAATCCCTGCCACTCTTAAGAAACTTAAGGAACGCAAGGCTTACTATATTGCTGAGCAACCTAAGATCACTGAGTTAAACAAGAAGAAGGCAATTGAAAGAATTGCAGCTATTGAAAAGGAAGAAGAAGAAAAAAAGAAGGCTGAAGCTGAAGCTAAAGAAGCTGCTGTTGCAAAGGAAGAAGAAAATAAAGAAGAATAAAATCGACCTTAGAAAGAATTTCCTTTATCTATATATGCTTTAATATATACATAATTCATCTTTACATAATACTAACTATTTTTTTTTTTTTTTGAAAGAGGAAAAAGAGATAAAATAAAATAAATACGTTTGATATGTGAATTGTTAGATAATTATGTACAAAGAAGTAATAACAATAATAAAAAAGGGAGGAAATGATATACACATAAATAGCTTCTATAATCGACCTACTATTATCATGTTTTGCTATTGCCTTCATAAAGATGAAAAACTGGCCTTGATAGAATATAAGCGTCTCTATTTTCAATAAATCTATAATAATCAGGTACAAAGCTGTGTATACGAAATCCGTTGCGCATGTAAAACCTAATAGCTTTCTCATTGACAGTTTGTACATGCAAATAAATAGATGTTATCATTGGATTTGTTGTTTTTCTAGCATATTCCATTATATGTTCTATAAGCATGCTTCCTTTTTTTTTTTTTTTTTAATTGTTCAATCAACATATTCTTCAGATTTCCCCTTTTTTTTTTAATAATTACAATACCTAAACCCAAGTTTCTATACAATTTTAATACCCCAAGAGTCATCATATAGATTCTTGCTGTGAAATTAGAATATTTATTTGATTCTAATCGACAACAAATAGCACCTGCACATTGATTATCATAGTAAACTAGAATACACTATTTAGCATTTATTATTACATATGCATACATTTATCTATTCAATAAACACACTTATTTTAGCAAGTTCCTCTGAATGAAGGACCTCATTATAAAATTTTTCTCCATATTGTACAGGGAATACACGGGCATGTAAGTCCATTAATTGAGGAATTGTCTCAGAAGTGACACTACTAAATGTTATACGTGGATTACTTGTAGTTACTATTGTCATAATAATTATTAATAAATAATAACCAGAAGACGAAGAAGAAGAAAAAAGAGTCAAACACATAATAATACAAACTGGAGGAGCAATAGCAATGGTAGACCAATAAAATTAAAGAATTGATGTTAATTTTTATTATTAATGCAAGTCTTTTTATTTTTTTATTATTTATTCCCTCTCTATTAGAAAAAAAAAAAAATGCAAACCGAAAAACCACTTCAATTAGAAAATATACAGGAAAACTACACTCCAAAAGAACTTGTATCATGTATTCATAATCAAAGAGATATTGAAAAGTTTGTAAATACAAAAGCCTTTCAGCGCATCATGACTTTTGTTGTATTATTAAATGAAAGTGTAATGAAGAAGAAAGTTTCTGATCCTTGTCAAATTTCACCTGTAAGTTAAAAGATGTTCAAAAAAAAAAAAAAAAGAAAATGAAAAAAAAAACTGCTGTATGGTAACTCATATTCTATCGTAGCAAACACAACATATATTAGACATGCTAGATGAATTAAATTCTTGGATTGATGAATTTCCTCCTTTAGAAAATCCTCAAAGATTTGGCAATAAAGCTTTTCGATTATGGTATAATAAACTAGTGCACGTAAGATATATACATATATGTATATGTGATTGATAATAGTATTATACGGTACTAAAAACAAAATACGTATCTAGTCTTCAGAAGAATTAATGAAAAAAGCATTACCAGAAAAACTACATTTGGCTATTCCTGAACTATCAGAATATTTAAACAAAAGTTTTGGTAATGAAACAAGAATAGACTACGGATCTGGTCATGAGCTTAGTTTTGCTGCATGGCTTGCTGCTATTGCCATGTTGGGTGGATTTACGTCTGATGATTATCAAGCCATTGTATTGAGAATTTTTGTGAGGTTAACTATAATTTAATTATTTAATAGAATTTGTTTGTTTGTTATGAACTCATTATTATTATATAAAAAAGATATTTAGAATTAGTTCGTAGAATTCAAAAGACTTATACTTTAGAACCAGCAGGCAGCCATGGTGTTTGGGGATTAGATGATCATCAATTTTTACCTTATGTTTGGGGAAGTGCTCAACTGATTAGTAAGTCAATTTATACACTATTTGCAAAATAAAATGGTCTCTAATTATTTATAATAGATCATCCTAGATTATTACCCAAATCAATTTTACAAAGGGATCATGTTGATGCTTTCGCCAAAGAGTATTTATATTTTAGATGCATACAGTATATATTAGAAGTGAAAAGAGGACCCTTTTTCGAACACTCGCCCATGTTGAATGATATTTCCTTTGTCATGTCATGGAGTAAAGTTAATTCAGGCATGTTAAAGATGTATGTAGCTGAAGTGTTAAAGAAAGTTCCCGTAGTTCAACATTTCAAATTTGGATATATTTTCCCATTTGAAACAGCCCATTAAAAAAAAAAAATAATAATAATAACAATAATCGTGTGACTTTACAGCATTTTTATAAAAATTTTATTATTTCCTTTTTTTTTTTTTTTTTTTTTTTTTTTTTTTTTTTTTTTTAATTCTTAAATTAAAATTATTTATTGATACAAATGAAATTTACTTATGATACAAGTATAAAACTTCCTCCAGTTGACTTGGAAGTAGATTCTAAGCCAGTCTATTATATCGGTCCCGCAACAAGAGAAAATCCAATGTCACAAATACGTACAAAATTATTAGGAAACGTTTATTTCAATGATCCAAAAATAAAATGGAATCGTATTACACTCCATTTTACAGGAAAAGCAGGGTTAAATATTGATGCGCCGACTAGTTCATTACCTCGGGATGTAGCTAATTCACAATCTAATTTACAGGAACTTGCCTCTACAACTACTCATCTAGAGACGACAGTTACTCTATGTGATGTTGAAAAGGAACTAATATACACGAATGAAAAGGTGATTGATTTTGGCTTCTATTTACCGCCTTATTTGCCACCAAGTATAATAACAGAACATGCATTTGTGGAATATTCGTTAGCCGTCACATGTACTACTTCAGGTACTTTCTCGAAGAAACAAAGAGTCGAAAAACCAGTGACGGTATGTAGACATTATTTACCTAGTCCTAGTTCTTTAATTCCAAGTGTAGAATACCATGGAGTAAGAGAATGGTTTGAATGGTCTATAGAAGTACCAAAGGCGACAGCAATAGAAGCAGGCGAAGTTGTTATTGCTTTACGTTGGAGTGTAGAAAAAGAGTTAGTTGAAGTAGATAGAATTGAATTTTGTATAGAAGAATTAGAAACTTATAGGTAAAACAAATAAGATGATGATTATTTTATTTTGACAGCTCTTCACATTTATTCTAGGTTTAGTACAAAATCTGGAGTACATAATCTAAAACCTATGGTTACACGATTTCCTTTTACCGTCTATCATCCGCCCACATTTTCAAATAGTTCAGAAACTCATTTTATTCGTACGCCTATATACACTACAATATCAAAGAAAGTAGCAAACCCCATTAGAACACATCATTTTGACCCATTTTTAGAAATAACACATCGAATTAAACTCAATATCCATTTTGTCGCCTCCACGATCAATACAAAACCACTTGAACTTGAATTTCCCATTATTATAACTGATTTCCCGCCAAATACTTTTGGAAATGATTTACTACTGTCTCCTCTATCTTCTCCTGATAATAATAATAATAATAGCTCATTACCACCTCTTATTCAGCCCGGAGGTGATGAAGTCCCTTGTATAGACTTGGATTTACCAGAATATACGCCACGTTATGAAAGTGTGGCGTCAAATCAATCCGCGTCTTAAAATAAAATGATACCTTTATTCTCTCTCTCTCCTTTTTTTTTTCATGTATAAATAAAACATTCATATTTTGTATTATATTCTAAAATCTATATCTCGCTCTTTTAATGCTAACAACAAATTCTTTTGGATTAGTTGTATCATGATAACCAATAGGCCCAAGGTCACAATCAGCACAAGATAAATATTTTGTTGTACCCATGGTAGTTGAGAAGCCAACATTTTCAAAATCCATCATATTACTCACATGCCAAAAATGTGTATCATCATCAGCGTTTAATAATGTATTTGCTGGTAAGGCTGATTCTGGTAAAGCGAGCTTATATTCAAAAAATGTATAATAATAATAGTTATGATTAAGCTAATAATAATAATAAAAAAAAAACCTTCTTTAAAATTAACTTACTTTTGAGCCGTCCCTTTCAACCAAAGATGCAGTATTCTTTCTCAGAATGACGCAATTACAATTTTCTTTTGGACATAGAATATCTGCGTTATTCTTTCCGTTTTCAGCAACTAATTTTGTAAGTGGATCTTCAATGCTTTTATATAATTCTATCATTCTTTTAAATTGAATAAGAAAAAAAAAAAAAAAAAAGATGGACCTTTTGCTTCTTAAAAAAAAAAAAAAAAGAAAAAAAAAATCCAAGTTCAGACAAGTTGGGTGATTAGGTCAGAGTATGGAAAAAGGTAATAGAAAAACCTCCCCCCCCCAATATGATGGGAATGATAGTACTATAAAACAAACAGAGTGTAAATAAATTGGGCTATAAAACAGCCAATTACTCAATTAGTATTCAGAATTAAATGATAAAAAAAAAAGAGGAGAGAGAAAGAAAGGAAAAATTCCACCACTGTAGATTGACAAGTCTATCGCATGCAATAAAGTGTATTTAATTAGCTATTGTAGTTACTATGTTCAAAACAAATAATAATGAATCTTTAGACATTTAAGGCACACAGAGAGTCAATTATACATATAGAAGTAGAAAGTAAAATAATTCCCTATATGTATATATACTGGTTAATAGAAGCAAGTTAAAAGGTGATAGAAAGGTAGTTAACTAACCTAATTGGGCTTCTGACACAAATAACAGCTATATTCAAGTCCATTCATATGCTGTCACATTCTAGAAACAATAGAGAAATACATACGACGAGCCGAGCTGAAGGTTATTTTTTAAATAATAAAATGGACCTCATTTTTCATCAAGACCCGCCCTCCGTAAATAAATGATGAAATAGGCCCAAAAGCATAATTATTAAAATTATTCAGTTAGAGGAATGCAATACCTCCCAAAGGGTTTCTTTTAAGATTGATATCCTTAGAAGTAATTACAAGGAAAAATGGAGAGAGAGAGAGAGGGTAATAAAATAAACAGCAATACATCTTCTTCTGATAGAAATAATTCATTTTAGCAACTCCCAAGTATTTAAACAGTTGAAACATTAAGCAAATTTACAGTATTTAAACTTTGGCATTTAGAGGATCTTTTGCGAGTAGAGAATTAATACTATAAACAGACTTATGTTAATATCTCCAAAAGAAGAAGAAAAAGTGTACTTTAATGCTATTATTAACAAAACAGATAAATTACAAGTAATTCTTAATCATCAGTTGTATCCATCAGTATGGAATACATCTTTCTTTAAAACAACACTGCTCTGATTGAAACTTGTTCTTAAAGTCTTTTCTTTTTGCAGAAATTATGAAAAAAAAAAGACTAAATTGCTCAAAAGACATACTAAGAAGCTTACAGATTTTTTTTTAACTATTGTTTTTGGATTTAACCTTCATATTCTTATTAAATTATGCATGTATTGTTGTACTAAAAGACTATTGTATTTCCCAAAATAGAAATGATATATCCGTACTTGTTAGTTGTTCTAAATAGAATAATAATAAAAAAAAAGTGCAGGTATTATTCATCATCATCGTAATAACTAGTAGGAATTAGACATACTAAATATAGGGTACTAATAATAATAAGCTATAAAAGATAGATAGTTTTTTTTTAGTGGAAACTGATGATACAAAAGAAAAGATGAATTCTTTTCTTGAAGCCTTTAGTAATAGATGAAATTAAGACTTTAAGACGATATAATAACAATCATAATAAAAAAGCCCCTTTCTTTTTTCTTTTTTTTTTTTTTGAAATTGTATATGACTGAAGGAGAAATATAAGATAAAAGCATTTATAGCTATTTAAGAATATATACATGTATAAACAAATATACACACATGTCTATATATATTTTTTAGATTGTATAATTTCAGGTGAAATATCTTCTTTTAATCATATCCAAAAGAACGATTTTTTATTGGCCCTAAAATGATCGTTTTGGAATAGTCCAACAAAAAATTGAAGTAGTAATAGTAATGGTAGTAAAACAAGATATTAGAGAGCCGAAACCTGACAAACTTTAATTGTCCGCAAAGTCGTCATTTATTACTCTATTTTTTTTTTTTTTTTCCTCCTATCTACTACGAATTCTATGATAATAATGAATGATGCTATTATCTAATCTGAAAAAAATAAATAAATAAATAAATGCATATACACACAATAATAATAAACAAAACTCATAATCAAAGTGTGTGTGTGAATTCTTCTTGATGAAGAATAGATACGAGCTTGTGATCAAAATAAAGTCAAAAGATAAAATGCCTTTTCTCTGCTGGTTGCATTTTACGTCACAAATTCACAATAAATTAGGTTAAAAAAAAACACCAAAAATAAAAAAAATTTCTTTTTTTATTTTATTTTATTCTTTTCTTTTCTTTCTAAAAAAAAAAAAAAAGAAAATCTATATACATTTATATCTATTTATACACATATCTATTTTATCATGTCAACAGAAAATAACGCGTTAAGTCCTCATGTTCAAGCTGCTATCGATTCAGTCGTAGGTAGTAGAGTAATTGATGTTCATTCTTATCTTGAAAAGAGAAAGGGAGAAGAGATGAAATCAACAAATGATAGTACTACCACCCCCGCTGAAGAACAAGAAACTACTGTCCTTTCTCCTGCAACAGCAGATCTTCAGGATGCTATTTCAACTGCTATTAAAAATGTTGTAGGTTCTCGTGTCATTAATCTGGATAGTTACTTTGAAAAAGCGGATACATTTACTGAGGAAATCAAACAATCCGTTCCCGAGGTTCTCCCCGCTGCTGTAGACGAAACAAAGGAAGAGGCAATCGATAATAAGGAAGACGTTGTTCAAGAGATCAAGGAGACAGTTCCTGAAGTAGCCCCCGCTGCCGTGGCCAATGAGGAGCCCTTGAAGGTAGACTTGAGAGAGGCTGTTGAATACGCTATTCGTTCTGTTGTCGGCTCCTCTGCCGTTGACGTTTATGCTTATTTGGAAAAGACAAAGGAAGCTACTGGAAGAGTGGAAGAGAAGGAGGAGGAGGAGAAAGTGATTGAGGTAACTGAGAAAGTAAAGGAAATTGTTGTTAGTGATGATGAAAAGCCAATCACTGAAGTGAAGGAGGATGTTGTTGAGGAAATTAAACAAGAAATCCCCGAAACAGCTCCTGCCGCAGTTGACGAAACAAAAGAAGAGGCTATTGATCACAAGGAAGATGTTGTTAGAGAAATCAATCATCTTGTTCCAGAGGCTGCTCCCATTGCTGTTGATCAAGTTAAGGAAGAAGCTATTGATTCTAAAGACCAGCTCGTTGAGGAAATTAAGGAAACTGTCCCTGAGGTTGCTCCTGTTGCTGTCACTAATGAAGAACCCTTGAAAACAGATATGAAGGCCGCTGTTCAATATGCTATTGACTCTGTTGTCGGCTCTCGTGCTGTTGACGTCTATTCCTATCTTGACAGTAAGAAGAAACCAGTAGGAGCTGAACAAACCCCTGCTCCTGCCGCTGCCATTCAAGATGTAAAGTCTCAAACTCAAAATTTGGCAAAAACAATTCAATCTGCTGCTGTTGTAGAGGAAGATGAAAAGGCTGCTAATTTGGAAGATGTCAAGACAGAAGCTTACTCGTTGTCTGATTCTGTTAAGATGGCTGCTGTCGCTATCGGTGGTGCCGCTACTGCTGGCGTTGCCTCTCTTGTTTCTGCTGTCAAGAACGATGAAGATAATCACTCTGATGACGTAACCGGTGATGTTGAGCCTAAGATTAAGGATACAGTCAACGATACTATTCAACCTATTAAAGAAAACATCAACGCTACTGTTGAAGAAGCTCAAAAGCAAGCACCTGTTATTCAAAAGACAATGGATGATAAGGTGAACGATACTAAAGCAGCTGTTGCTGAAACTGTTGAAAGTGTTAAGAATACTGTCAAGGACAATGTTGAATCAGTCAAGGATACTATGAATGCTACCGTCGAAGAAGCCAAGAAGGATGCCCCTATTATTCAAAAGAGTATCGATAATAAGATAAGTGACAACAAGGCTGCTCTTTCCTCTGAAGCCGAATCTGTTAAGGCTGCTGCTGCTGAAACCAAGTCTGTTGCTGAAGAAAAGACAGCTACTCTTACTGAAAGCGTCAAGTCTGCTGTTGCTGGTACAGTTAACCTTGCACAAGACAAGATTGCTCAAGTTCAAAAGGAACTTCCTGTTGTTCAAGAGGAAGTGAAGAAGACAGTTAACCAGTATGTTGAGGACATGAAGGCTATGCCTGCTACACAAAAGGTAATGCATGCTGTTGGTACCATCGAAGAAAAATTAGTAAACACAATTCAAAAGCCTGAGCCTGCTATCCCTGTCCCAGTTTCTTCTAATGAAGTAAATCCTGTCTATCCTAAAGCTCCTGGTCAAGCTTCAGTTGGACCTGCTGTCGCTGCTGCTCCTGTTGCACCTGGTGCTCCCGCTGTTCCAGTTCAACCTGTTAATCCTGTTACAAACAACTCTCCAGCTTCCACTGTTACACCTGTTATTGCACCTGAACAAAAGGCATTACCTTCTAAGCCCGAACAACAAAAGAGCAGTAGCAAATGTATTATCATGTAAAAAAAAAAAAAAAAAAAACACACACACACAAGAAAAAATATATATAGATGTATATGCATATATATATTCATATACATAAGTCTAAAAAAAAAAAAAGCCTATACGCATATCAAATATATGCCTAATACCTATTAAATTTTACAACAACAACAACAACAAAAAAAAAAAAAGAAGAAGAACTATTCATGATATTATGATGTTATAATAGACAAATTGATTCCTTTTTTTTTAAAAAAAATAAATAAATAAATAAAAAATAAATAATAAGAGTATTTTTTTTTTATGTGTCAAATTCCAAGGATTTTTTTCTTTTTTTTTTTTTTTTTCTTTTTTTTTTTTCTTTTTTTTTTTTCTTTTTTTTTTTTTTTTTTTTTTTTTCTTTTTTTTTTTTTTTTTTTTTTTTTTTTTTTTTTTTTTTTAAAAGTACAATCTCCACATGTATATCTTTAATTGTTTTCAAGAGATGACTTATTATAATTGACAGGATCGAGTTGCATACCAGCCAAAAACGTAGCAAGACCAAATAAACCTAAAATGCTCCAACTTATATAAGCTCGAATATCTAATGGAATCCATTTTATAGCAATAGATCTTTTATAAAGTTTATGTAAATATAATATGAAGCAATAGATAGACATATAAATATTTATACACATATTTTCGGTATTATTATTATAATTATTACTAACCTTGACCAGATATAACCAGCAATAATAGGGCTCAATGCTCGCATTGCAGCATTACAGGCTACAAGATTTTACCAATTATTTATATAATATATATATATATATATATATACATATAATGAAAGAACTTCGGTGCAAAACTTACATTGAGAGAATCCATTAATAAATCCTAGTGTATCATGTCTTTTAATAGAGTTATTAAGTAAAATAACAGCTGTCGTGACGCCCATTGTTTGTGCTAATGATTTGAGAGTTAAGCAAGCTACTAAACCAATCCAAACCCAAAGCTTTGTTGAGGAGATATGAGTCAAGAAGGGAACAGGAGGCAAATAATATAAAAATCGACATAAACCCTGAGAGAAGAAAACAAAGATACTTAATAATAAAGAGATTTGATACAAGTGAAGCAAACTAAAGAGAGTGGTCGCTTTGTGTAATAAAAATAGTTGAAAGAATAGTGTGACACATCCAGTGTAGGACAAAATAGATCCAATTTCTTTTGATTCAAATTCAAGACCACCTAGATCTTTAGGTGTTGCAGACCAAATAGGAAGTAATTCTAAAGGTATATATTATAGCACATTGTAGTATTAACTAACTAATACATGTAACTTACCATCAAAATAAAGCATTTGAAAAGCAGTGACTGCATATAAAATGCAAATAGTTAGTATTGGAGGAGTAAGTATCTTACAAATAGATGTATTATTTCTGGATTCGTCCATAAGTGGGTATGTATGATATGTCTCATTTTCATTAATAGACATCAATAGAGATCGTTCTTCTTCAAAGATTTTTGTTGTATCTAAATAGCTTTGTGGCAAACTTTCTTTCATAAATAAAAAACCTAAAAGCCAACAGAAACTTGATATACAGGTCGCCACAAAACATGGTAAAAAATAGGGGTAATCCAATAGAAAACCAGTAGCAAAATTGCCGTCTTTAAATAAATATGGGTATTTACGTACAGGTTCTGATAAATAACCTAGTAAATCCAAAAGAAAATAGAAAAATAAAAAATACAGGAGAAAGATTAAAAAAAAAAAAAAAAGGCTTTATATTACCACCTAAAGTAGCACCTACAATGCTACCTAATCCGAAAGTCACCTGTAATAATGAAAATGCCCGAGTTTTTTGTGCTGAAGAATGGTTCTCTGTCATTTCAGCTATCATACTTTTAAATATACTTATATTGCCATTCTATATGATAATGATTTTTTTTTTTTTTTTTTTGTTAAAAAAAAACAAAACAAAACAATAATAACAACTTTACATATATATTTATATATATATGTGCGTTTATAAACTAACAAATAAACCTGAGACTATTTTAGTGGCTAATGCCCAAGTAAAAGATTTCGATAAGCCAAATAGTAATACACCAATAGATGTTGAAGCAAGACCTATTAAAACAACAGGCTTGCGACCTATTCGGTCTGAGATCAATCCCCATGGGACACCTAATATATAATCTATATGTCAAACTACATTTATGTAATTTGAGGTCTGTATGTATACTTGATATAAACTGTGCTATTGCAAATGTTGATGAAATAAGGCTCGCATAATATCCTATAGAGAGTTCATCTGTCATTTTGAAATCCCGAATCATCTGTAATAAGATTTTAAAAAGAATAAGTATGTGAGGCTATATCGTTCAAACTTTGTGATTTATTACAAAATAAATGAATGGAACGTGTATACTAAAAGATATAGGCTCCTATACATATAATATGTGAAAATATGTATATATATGTATGTAAAATATATATGACTCAGTTTATCTATTTGTGTGTATTTTTAATAGATTTTTGTTTTTACTGCAAAACGACATGCGCAGATTAGAAATAATTGAAATTTAGGCAATTGTAATCCATTCGACATTAGACCTTTATTACAAGTATTATCGAACTAAATAAATATATATGTATATATTCTCTGCAAGTTGTGAATTATAAATATATAAAAACAACAAGGTCAAATATACGAATTATGTGTTTTTTATTGTTTATTATTTCTTATTGTGTAACACATAAAAAATAAATCAGATGAGTTGGCGTATCATCATGTTTAATCGCTATTAAAACGCGTAAATCTAATAAATTGGGTCAAGTTTTACTATTTTTGTTCAAGCAATATTTATAAATAAATAAATGTCATTTAGAGTGTTGTTTGATCCACAAGTTGAAAAAAGAACTAATTTCACATGTAAAATACAACAAAAACCCATTTATAAAACAGAAGACGAGAAACAAACTTATTATCGTTTCTTCATGTAAAGCCAAACAACAAAAAAAAAAAAATACACTACTTGACTTGATAATTATACATGATATAAACTAAGGATTGCTAACATGTCCAAGATTAGAAAGAAAGAAAGAAAGAAAAAAAAAAAGCATATAATTTCGTATGCCATAACTGAGACAGTATAATTATATTCTATTTTCATGCAAAATCAAATAAAAATGTATGTCCAACATAATATGTAAGGCGTATGTTTTACTTTATTTATTTATTTATTTTTTAACCAAGAATAATATGTCATTGACACAAATTCTGTATTAGTTATTTAACTGTTTATTATAGGGAAGCTTCTTTTTTTTGATTTAGAAGCTTTATAATACGAGATTGAATAGCCTTCATTAGAAGAAGAAGAAAAAAAACGAAAGGATTGCGACTAATAAATATGTAGGATGTATGTATACGAATGTTGTTGTTGTTGTTGTTGTTTTATTATAATCAAGTATACAATTTTGCAATTTTAGACTTTTGTTTAGCCCACCAGTCAACAAAGCTAGACTGACTATTATATATGATAGTAGCTGGATTACTATTATTACTTGCAAATCTTCGTTTAACACAGTTACGCCTTTTTAATGAAGCATTACTTCTAGTACCTGTTATAGATGATCTCTGAGATACTTCTCTAGTAAGTTCTAAGGTATTTTTTTCGTCGCTTTCAAACTTTTGTTGTTCCAAGACCAAAGTGCTAGTTTCCAAGTATTCAGAAAATCTTGACATTACAAATAATAATAATTTTAATTGTTAATAATAATAATAATAAAAAAAAAGGATCACGATTTAGACAAAAAAAAAATAAGTAATCTTTATATATAACCTTTTTTTTTTTTTTTTTTTTTTTTTTTTTTTTTGAAGCAAAATGAACGATCTTGAGCTATTGAGTTTTAGACCAATAAAACCTGTTTGTAGGGCTCCACATGCAATTTGTCTTATATTTTCTTTCTTAAAAAAAAAAAAAAAAAAAAAAAGTACATCATATTGACATTCATCAAGATTATTCACATTTTTTTTTATTCAAAGTGTACATACAAAAAGGCAATTAACATCAGCATTTTCAGACGACGTAGTGTTACATGAAGGATTTATGACTTATTTGAAAAAAAAAAACAGGTAAATACTATCTACATTTATGAAAGACAATCAAAGTTTTATTTATTGGCTTGATTTAAGAATATATTTATGATCTCATTTCTTACATTCTTATGCATATGATTGACTGATACTTACTTTTATATTTAAATGATTTGCTGTGTATCACCTATGCTTGATACATGCTTTTTATTGAATGATCCCTCATGAACACACAAGACTGTTTAAAGAAGAAAACGACAAAATAATAATTATCAAAACAAAGTTATTTCACTAAAGATGAATATTGCTTGATGAAGAAAATGATATACGAAGGGTATTGCATACGTTATTAAGAATACTAAATGATATCTCTGTATGCTTTATACTATTTAAAATCATAAATAAAATAACCAACTTTTTTAGATCTATTTTTCGGAGGAGTTTTTTTTTTTTTTTTTTTTTTTTTTTTTTTTTTTTTTTTTTTTATCTTGGTAGGAATGTTAAAGAGAATTGCCAACGATAACTTAATTTGATTACTTTGACACTTTTCACCAAGAATTAATTAAGAGTCCAAATAAACTATGTTTTGAAAAAAAATAAAATAAAATAAAATAAAAAATCCAGTTCATATCAATATCATAAATTATTAAATAAACTTATAAAAAGCTGACGTATATGCAATAATATAATTCGAAGTTTTTTAAATACTATCTGCTAGTTTACTCTTCAATACTTTAGTTCTAACTCGACAGAAAAGTCACTGATATGAATCATTAGAAGAAGGGAACAATTATTTTAAGAAACTGCAATAAAAGGATAAAAATTCAAAAGGCGACAGGCCTTTTCCTTCCCTTTTTTTTCATTCTTTCCCCTCTCCCCCTTTTTTTCCCTTTCTCTCTCATACTCTTTCTTTCTTGTAATAGTTGCAGCCATTTATTAGAGTAATGTCGATAAATAGACAAAAATCCCGTATGCGCTTGAATAATAACCGAGACAATACAGTTTATTTCAATTCTTTTGACTCAGTTTTGGATAGTGATCCTACCACTACCGTTATGCCATCCATAGAGGAATCATTACAGGATTGGCTTTCGAAAAACAGTAGTTCCCAAGAGAGTGACGATAACTTGTTTGATATGTGTCAATGCTGTCATCAAAATGATTGTAAAAATCATGAATTCATCTCGAAACATATTCAAAAATTAGAAAATGATATTCGTTTAGCAGCAGGTACGGGAAATAATAATAATAATAATAAAAAAAAAAAAAAAAAAAAGAGAGAGAGAATAAATTACTTTTCTTTCCTTTTTCTTTTTCTTTTTCTTTTTTTTTCTTTACCCTTAATGTATAATAACAAAGTGATTGGACAAAGTTTATTACAAAAACATGAACATTATGTAGCTGAATCTAGTATTGTAAAGAATCGACTTGAACAAGAGGTAATCAAACTACACATACATACGTACATACATTTATTTAATAATGGGATACATACATATAAAGATTGAATTATTACAAGAAAAAACTCGACAATTAGAACAGGGTTTGATCGAATCTGATAATTTAAAGCAAATCTATCTTGAAGAAAAAATGAAATCAATTTGGGAATATCAAAAGACACAAAAAGTAAGAAGACAAGTAACATGATATATATATATCATCTAATCTGTTTCTTTTTCTTTTATTTTCTCTTTTCCTTTTTTTTTTTTTTAATAAAGACGCTTGATGAAACTACTTTAGATTTGGATACATGTAATAACAGATGTTTAAAGCTTAGTGCTGAACTAAAAAATTATATAAATGAAGTGGAAAAGCTAAGAGTATTTAAACTTATGGCAAGACAAGCAGATATACAAGAAGATATTCTAAATTCAAAGGTAGTAGTAGTAGTAGTAGTAATCATCATCCTAAAGAGGGATATCATGTAAATATCTATTATTATTTTAGTTGGAAGATGTAAAGCAAGAGTTGGCTATTTCAAGGAGAGCAGAACTCATGCTGGAATCTAAACTCAGAAAACTAAAATCAAAATATGGTAAATGACTCTATACATATATGGCCTCTTATCTATCTATATATATATGCATGATTATCCTATATTAAGATAATTCTTACATAGAGACAGTCAGCATTGCATATGAAAAACTCAAAGTAGAGCAACAAGAAATGAGTATAACAAAGGAATTTCAACTTGATGTAGTTTGGTTAAAAGAGTCAAATGAAAAGTTACGTAAAGAGGTATTAAAGGTATAATTGTATGTAGCGTCTTATTATATATATATTTTCATATCTTTTATTAATAATGATGATATATTTACTGGAAACATATATGTATATATACATTATTTGCAGCTTACAAATGCTTTGCTTTTACCTCATTCTGCAGCTGAATTACAAATACCCAATAATAATAATAATAATCAAAATTACCTTATTGAACTCATTAAAGAGCTGGTATCTGCAAACAATAAATTAAAAGTGGACCTACTTGACTGTACTGATTTATTAGTAGAATATAGAAATAATAACAAGATAGATAAAGAAGAAGAAGAAGAAGAGGGAGAAGAAGATGATGATGTAAAAGAGAAAATGAATTCAAATAATAATGTCAGTTGGATGAGTATGTCAGCTCCACAAGCGAATGATGAACGGATACTGTCTTCCTCTCGATTGAAACGAATAATACCCACTAAAACAGGGAATAGTGTAAATCAGTCTATTATCGATAAATCATCTTCTTCTTCTACTATGATGCATTATGATGATGTAAAGGGTAAAAAAGCTATTGAAGAAGCTATTTTACCGAAAAATAAAATTGAAGAGGTGATATATATATATATATATATACGTATGTATTGGTATATATTCTATTTCATTAACAGCTTTATATAGCAGCATACTATCCTGTCACCCTCTATTTCATCTACAACAACAACAACTTCACATAGTGTAGATTTTAGTTTATCGCCATTTCATCAACTGCATCATCAAATAGTGAATATGTTGAAAAGAATAAATCAAACAGAGACAAGAACCTTAAATCGACAGCTTCGACGCGCCTTTGATATATTCGAATTAAGTAATATGAGTAATTCAATTATTGAAAATATTATAACGGATATAGATCATCTTAAGATGCAGTTTTTATGGATCGAGGATGTAAAGCAGGAATTATGGATCCACGATGTCTCTATGGCCGACTTTTTCCCACTGATGGGTGTTGTACAAGAGATGCTGAAGGAGATCAGTCAACTTAAGATGACACTCAATGATTTACAAGTCGATTATGTAAAGAAGATTGAAAAGAATGATATTCGACTGAAGGAAGAAGCTTTAGGAAAACAACAACTCCAGATACAGCAGCGTACGATGAAAGAAAGTACAAGCTACCATGGACCTCTTTCCTGGTTATTATCCAATATCTTTCAAAAACGCCCAGAAAATATTCCTGATCAATCTTCCAATCTTGTACCCTCTTATAGGCCTTTTCATACGCGTTTTAGTACAAGTGAAATATGTACAACAGCATCAGCCTATTCCAGATCCAAGCCCAAGAGAGTACCCTCTGTTCCTACAGTGGTTGACAAAGATGAATCCGTAGTTCAATGCCAAAAGAGTATAGATCGTTATGGACCTTCATCTAGTTTCCCTACTACAAGATCCACAGCTAAGGTGGATAACCATTTTGCAAAGCGAAGATCAACACATACTACTCATGGCACAACAGCAGATCAATCATCGTCATTTCCTTTATTAAGAGCCTCACAAAGTGTAGGAACTGTTAGAAGATCTCAAGCATCACCTGCTTTAGAATACATCGTTAGAAAGAAGAAAAGATCAAGTTTAGGACTAAATTCACTTTTTACTACAGATCTTTTGGGACTACCTCACCACCAGTCAAGCCCTGATGAGATAGCGAATAGATTTCCAACAAGCTGGTTAGGTAATAAATAGCTTATATCTAGATAAGGTTTCATTATTTCATCTATCTTATTAAGGAAAGAACGCTTATGTACAATTCTTTTTAAATAAAATAAAGATACTAGTAGAGTAAATGTAAATGATAAATTAACAAATACAATACAAGACTTGAATACTTTCTTTCTCTCCTTTAGTCCAGATATATAAAGCCTTCAATCTAATCATCTCGCCTTTTTCCAAGTCAAATAAGCTTTTATTATTTATTTATTTATATGTTTAAATGATACTAGCTTTCTACCTACATCCATCCTATATTTGTATAATTTAAGTATTGACTTTATTGAAAAATTTGTCTAGCTTTATTAACTCTGAGCACTAAAACAAAAACAAAAAAAAAAAAAAAAAAAAAAAAAAGATAGAAGCTGAGAAAATATGTATATGCATATACACATATACATACTTTTTTTTTTTTTTTTTTTTTTTTTTTTTTTTTTTTGAAAACTCCCTTGTTCCTAATTGAAAAAGATGTCTCACATCAATATTGATCTTCAAAAAAATATCAAATTCTCAAAGATAGTAAAATAAAAGATTCTCCACTACGTAAGGTTACAAAAAAAAAAAAAAAAAAAAAAGTTCCTCTTTTATACTTTTCTTCGTGAACATAAGACCCATTCTGTGACGGTCAAACTTTAGTAAATGATGATTTATGTTAACACACCACCTTAGTAGAAATAGTTAACTATCTGAGTATTAAAAAAAAATGATTCCATTTTATTATTTGGACGGGTTGAGTCCACACAAGTAAATAATATACACATAGTAGACTTCTTCTTGCATATAAAACTGTGTTATTAAATCGGCATAATATCATTGACTCAACAAATAAAAAAAAAATTTTTTTTCTATTTTTATAATAAAACAACAAGATTGTATTAGCAGTAGTTTATGATGCGCCATTCCCCCCTTTTAACTTAATAATATCTCCTTTATTATTAAGTAATCATATACAACATTGTCATTTCTCTTTATCATGAAAAGCTTATATTTATAAAAAGAAAAATATTGATTCTCATAGTGTTGATTAAGCCATCCATGTTAAATGTAAATTGGCGGCAGCAGTAATCATGATTAAAATAGTTGAATATGTATTCATTCATATACACACACACACGTTATTTATTTTTTTTTATTATAAAAGAGCCGACTGAAATAATAATAATAAATAATAATATGTATATAAAAAAAAAAGATTTTAAAAAAACTTAATTCTATTTTTTCCTTTTTCTTTCATTTTCTTCTCCACTTTATTTATTCTTTGGATACCATTTTTATATTTATAAAGAAGAAGAAGAATATATCCATTTCTATATAATGTCTACAGCTCTTCCTTCTTCAGACACAACAGTACAACTTGTTGGTTTATCTACTAACCAACCACCTACTGCAAGTCCATCACAAGCATTTTTGCAACAACAACAACAAGCTCAAAATATATTTAGACAGAGACAACTTATAGCTCAAAAACAAATGATGCAACAACAAATGTTGCAACAACAGAAATTAACTCCTCAACAATTACAACAACATCAACAGAAATTAACTCCTCAACAATTACAACAACATCAACAGCAACTTATTCAACAACATTTATTACAACAACAGCAACAATTACAACAACAGTTTCATCAGCAGCAGCAGCAACAACAACAACAACAACAACAACAACAACAGCAACAACAGCAACAGCAACAACAGCAACATCAACAACAGCAACAGCAACAACAACAACAACAACAGCGACGTCAATCACAACAACAAACACCTACAAGTACACCCCAATCAACGAATACTACACCAGCTATTTTACCAATAAAAATAGATCCTCAAACTATTGCTGCTTTAGAATCGTAAATATAACAATTAAATAAATAAAAAATGCCTGGGGCTCTAAATAATTCATCATATTATTAGAATTCATACAAGTGGTCAAGCTGTACTTCGGTTAATTCAATTTGTTGAACAGTTAACTCCAAGCCCAACTGAGGTATTTTCATACTTTATCATTATCATCATTATTATTATTTTGATTATTATTATTATTATTATTAGGCAGTGGATTATAAACATTGGGTCAATTTTACAGATAATTTCTTTACTCCAGAAAGTCATTTAGTATTTGAATTAAGTAATACGGAAGATGATGAAAAAAAATCATTTGGTAATAAATAGACCTTTTATATATATTTCTTTTATTCATAACCATATTACTATTCATATTATTATCAGAAATGACTACACCTACAATAGCTGGATTTTTTCAAGTTCAATATCTTTGTGGAGTCAAATCTATTCAAATGACGTTAGGAAAGACAGAAGAATATATATTAGCAGATGGTGTAATGCATGTAGAATGCCCTCGTGCAAGTTTGCTTCATCGTTATGAAAATGGCACTTTGGTAATTAAAAAAGAAAAAAAAAAAAAAAAAAAGAAAAGAAAATGGCTTACATCTCTCATGTATGTACTTATTTATAATGATCCTATTCCTTTAAGGTCATCAATACGGGTCCTTTATGGGCTCAATTTTTAAGAACATCAGCTGGTGTCTGGAAAATTAATCATATGGATTTTAAATGTAAGAACCATGAAGAATACGTGTCTAAATCAAATATAAAAACGGGTCCAATTCCAAATTCTAAGAAAAAAACGCAATCAGTTATACCTGAATCACCCATATCAAAATGGTATTTACCTTCTCGTGTAGTAAATTACTTGCAAGTAAGTTATTACATCTTTATTTTATTTTATTTTTATTTTTTTATTTTTTTTTTTCATTTTACTAAACTTTAATTCTACATAGAATGCTGATCTTGTTTGTGAAGCAGATGAAATTATGTTTCACTCTCTGGTTACAGAAACAACGGCAAAAGGTACACTTATTCAATATAACCTTTTTATTTTCTTTTCTAAAACTTTATTATAGATAGTATGGGTGCTATTATACTTGATCATACACGTAGATCAATTTTAAAACATGAAGATGAAGGTAAAATGTTTTTTTTTAAAAAAAAAAAAGAGCTATTTTTAAATTTTAAAACATAAAAAACTCAATTAATAGATAATAAAGTAAATATGAGTAATAATAATACATCAGTAGGATCTCCTATTGTAAAAACACAAAAAGGACATAATCAGCAAACTACCATGACACCACTTCAACAACAGGCAGCTTTAAGGCAACAACAACAATTATTTCAACAACTTCAACAACAAGCAACTTCTCCTTTCCGTCCACCAGCGTCAAGACAAAGCCCACAATTACAACAAGGTAGATTAGGTAGTAATCAAACGAGTCCTACTAATAAACAATCAACAAAACAATCAAGACAACAACAGCAAACAGCATCTTCCTATCCTGATCAATTTTCGCCACAAAGTCCAGTGTCGCGTAAGTGAAAAAAAAAAGAAAAAAAAAAGAAAAAAAAAAGAAAAAAAAAAGATGCATTCCTTTATTATAACTTCACTTATATAGGGAAACGAAAAAGTATATCAAACAATGATACAAAACAGTCAACAATACCAAGAAAAAAAATGAAGTAAACATGTATTATCACCTTTCTCCATATCCACACTCTCTTTTTATACATATTCAATTCTTCCTTTTTTTTTTCTTTTCTTTTTTATTATTCCGCATCTTTATCATTCTATAATATATCCCTACTAACTGTACAAAGAAATAATAGTAATTATTATTTGTTATAAACCAATACATATGTTTCTCTGGCATGGCTATTATTGTACTATCATCAAGCAAAGAAATATAAATATAAATACTCATATAAAATATCATTTTATACAGATCAGATAAAGGATAATCAACATTAGGAGAATGCTAATAATCTTCGTTTATAACAATAATAAAGTATATAAATATACATTCATATGTATAGGAAACTTCAATTTTAAGACAATTTAACAGTAATGGATGAAAAAAAAAAAGATTACCTGGTAAATACAGATATAAAAGCTTTGATTCATACATAAAAATCCAAAGGCTTTATGAAAATGTGCTTCTGGTTGGACAACAAAGAATGTACGTAAGCGTATGATTCAACAGGTAAAACAAGATTATTAAATAGGTCTATACTATGTTTGTTATCCCTCTGTTGGAGTTGTTAATAGTCATAAAATGAAAGAAGGAAAGGGATTTATTCATTTATTTATTTGGCTTAAGCAAGTGAGGATTCCCTTCTTCATCAAGGGGGTTAGACTTTGGTTGTTGACCATGTCTCTTTTAATTGCGTCATCGTATCATACACACTCATGATCAAGCTTTTCTTTTCTTTTCTTTTTTTCTTAAAACACACACTAGTTTAGAAAACACAGAATTGGAACGTGTTGTATATTTATATAGATCCTAGAGAGCAATGGCCACTTGGACGAGAAATAGGATGGGGGACTTGATTTTTATTATTATAAGCTGGAAGTAGCATTCTTGCCCAAGTGAGGAAGGAACGCGATTCATTCTTTTAAAGCATTTATTCTATTAAACTCTAGCTTATTATATTCATATTTGTGATTGATTACTAGCTGTTATGTCAGTATTCTATGCTACTCTCTCTCTCTCTCTCTCTCTTGTGAATAGTGTTGTTTTTTTTTAACTCAAGTTCATGATGTTATGGCTGCTGTCATCTTTATGTACAAATCTAGAATTCAGCTTTAAACACTCCCACCCACACACTCATGTATTGAAGCTTTTAAAGTCATTCATCATGTTTATCAATCATAAAGAAGATATATATAAATGGGATGCCTTATAATAATTATCCTTATGAAGAGCATTCACTTTATTATAGCATTTTAGATAAATTATTCGCGTCACTGTCGATTGTATATTCAAATAACCACGACTATGACCATGATTCCTCCAATCAAAGATCAAACAAAATATCAAGAGAAAAATAATCATTTTTTGTTGTCTTTAATAATAAATCTTTCTATAAAACCTTTGCTTCATTACGTAATTTGTCGATTAATTCATCTACATTTTCAACTTTACGTCCACCAACACGTTTAGAAGGCTCTTCCACTTTTAATGTTTCAATACGAGGTGAAATATCAACACCAAGTTCCTCAGGTGTTAATTTAATCAAAGGCTTCTTTTTAGCCTTCATAATGTTAGGAAGAGAAGCATAACGAGGTTCATTCAAACTTTTACATATAAAAAAATAAAATAAAATATCAACATCTTACTCTCTCTCTCTCTATTTTAAATTTTATATCCTAGTTTTACCGTAAATCAGTCGTAATAATAGCAGGCAATTTAGTAGACACTGTTTCAAGACCACCATCAATTTCACGAACTACTTTAAGTTCTCCTCCATTAATTTCTACTTTGGAAGCAAATGTAGTCTTTGCGCGCACAAAAAAAAAATAAGCGTGAGAAAAAAAAAATAAAATAAAGGGAAAAAGGAATTTTTTTTTTTTTTTTCTTTTTTTACCTGAGGCCAATTAAGTAAGCCAGCCAGCATTTGTCCAGTTTGATTGGCATCGTCATCAATTGCTTGTTTACCCAAAATAAAAAGATCAGGTCCTTGATTTTCCTTTTCAGCGTAGGCTTTTAATAATTTAGCTACTGCTAAAGGTTGTAATGTACTATCATCTTTGACTTCAACATGAACTGCACGATCTGCACCCATAGCTAAAGCGGTTCTAAGTGTCTCTTGAGACTTGGCTGTACCACATGAAATGGCAACAACTTCTGTCTTGGGTGATTTCTCTTTCATACGAACTGCTTCTTCTACTGCAATTTCGTCAAAGGGATTCATACTATGTTTAACATTACGATCGACATCCGTTTTTGCAGCATTAACTCGAACCTTGACAGCTAACAAAAAAAAAAAAAAGGACGGAGAAGAGGAAGATTGATTGATTAATTTATTTTTATTATTATTATTATTATTTTTTTTTAATAATAAGATTTATTTATTCTTTACCATAATCAACAACACGCTTAACAGGTACAAAGATACGTAAAGGATTAGACATTATAAAAAATAAAAAAAAGGCACACACAGTTACAGAAAAAAAAAAAAGGAACTCTTTTTTATAAAAGAAAAAAAAAATGCCGAGCGGAGTAGCAATGACTATTTCATCATTAACCCCGCTCTATATAATTTGAGTCCGGGGTAAAAAAAAAAAAAAAACCATACAACATATCACATGCTCAATGTCATTATTTTTCCCATATATTTTTAAGATCTTTATTTCTTTATGTAATACATACATATGCTATTTTAAGAAAATATTTGTAATAGATGCTTATTTTTTCTTTCCATGAACACGTTCAATCAGATGAGGAACAATAGCAGGCTCAGCCAAGGTTGAAATATCACCTAATGAATCTTGCTCTCCATTCACAATCTTTCGAAGAATACGACGCATAATCTTTCCAGAACGTGTCTTTGGCAAGTCATTAACGACATAGATTCGTTTAGGAGTAGCAAAAGGTCCAATGACTTTTCTAACTTGAAGAGCTAATTCTCTATCTAGTCCTTCTGAATCTTCAATATTAGGTTTCAAAGTTGCATAAGCATGAATGCATTGACCTGTTAAATCATCTTGTCCTCCAACAACGGCTGCTTCTGCGACTGAGTGATGTAAGATTAAAGCTGATTCAATTTCAGATGTAGAAAGTCGATGTCCAGAAACATTAATAACATCTAATAAATAGAATGAGTAAGTAAACAACATGTATCTACTTTTATTTATTTATTTATTTATATGAATGCCATCTATGTTGTAGGATAATTTACCATCTACACGACCACGAATCCAAATATAACCATCTTTATCTCTTGTAGCACCATCACCTAATTGAAAACAAATGTTAACAGTTTATACATGTATCCATTTCAATAGTGAGAGTTTTTTTTTTCTTGTTTACCAGTAAAATAGTATCCTTTATATTGATGCAAATAGGTATCAAGATATCGATGATGATTATTATATACAGAACGTGCTAATGAGGGCCAAGGTTGACTAATAGCCAAAACACCTGTAACATCATTTCCTTTTAATTCTTTACCACTTACAGGGTCCAAAATAGCAGGCTTAATACCAAAGAAAGGGAAAGTAGCAGATCCTGGTTTTGATGCAATAGCACCAGGTAAAGGAGTGATCACGATAGATCCTGTCTCTGTTTGCCAATAGGTATCTACCACCGCACATTGTCCTTTGCCTACTTTTTCATTATACCATTCCCAGGCTTCAGGGTTAATCGGTTCACCTACTGAGCCAATCACTCGTAATGAAGAAAGATCATTTTTTTGTACCCATTCATCACCTAATCGTCTAAGGGCACGAATGGCCGTGGGTGCAGTATAGAATTGTGTGACTTTATGTTTCTCAACTACACTCCAGAAACGAGCAGGATTAGGGTAAGTAGGTGTACTTTCAAACAACACTGTTGTGGCACCTAAAGCGAGTGGTCCATAAACAATATAAGTATGACCCTATATAATATAAATATAACATACACACATATAAATACATCATTCGTTATATATATATATATATATCTGTATATACATATATTTATAGCCTTACAGTAATCCATCCAACATCTGCCATACATGCATGAATATCTCCTTCATGGTAATCAAATACATATTTTATTGTTGATGCAGCACCTAAAAGATACCCACCCGTAGTATGGACAACACCCTTAGGTGTACCTGTGGAGCCGGATGTATAAAGTAAAAATAAAGGATCTTCTGCATTCATATTGACTGGAGGGCAATAAGGTCGAGCTTTGACCATTTCTTCATGCCACCAAAGATCACGACCGACAGTAAAAGGAATGGCAGATCCTGTACGTCTCAAGACAAGAACATGTTCTACTGTAGGAGTCGCCTTAAGAGCCTCATCTACAATACGTTTCGTCGCAATGTTTTTACCACCACGACGACCTTCATCTGCAGTCATGACTACACGAGCACCACAATCATTGATTCGATCACGAAGTGAATCAGAGGAGAAACCAGCAAAGACAACTGAATGTACAGCACCAATACGAGCACATGCCAACATGGCAAAGACGGCTTCAGGGACCATGGGCATATAGATGGCTACATTATCTCCTTTACGTACATCCAATGACTTTAAGACATTCGCAACCCGACTTACTTGTTGTAATAACTCGCGATAAGTAATCTTACGCACATTTTCAGGCTCATCCCCTTCATGAATAATAGCGACCTATATAAATATGAATATGTATATGTATATGAATATGAATATGAATATATATAATGTTATTATAGTCATAAATGACTCTCTTATCACTTTTTTTTTTTACCTTATCCGGAGTAGTTAATGCATGTCGATCAACACAATTAAAAGCTACATTTAATTCACCTTCTAAAAACCAAGCAATATCCCCTTCAGCAAAGCTTCCAGTCTGAACTGTTTCAAACGGCTTTGACCAAGACAACAATTCACGAGCAAGCTTATAATAATACGTAAATATATATTTTACAATTCGTATATACATATATCTAACTTACATTGCCAAAGAATTTATTTGGATCATTTACACTTTCTTCCCATTTAGTTTTATATTCTTGAAAGCTAGAAATAAAAGGCTTTGGAAGATCATCTTTAAATAATCTTTTTGGTACAGGATAGACTTTATCATCAGTTGTAGCAATTTCAACAGTCATTTTTATTTTATTTTAAAAAAAAAGTAGATATATAAAATAAAAGATGAAAAGAAAAAAGAGAGAAATAAAGATAAAGCTTTTAATTATATATAGTTTTTTTTTTATTTTATTTTTGTGGGGGTGGCTTTGTGTATGTGTGCATAACGAATCCATATGACTTGCTTTATTTGTGTAAATCATGTATAAAATTCACACTGCTCTTTTGTTATCTTGTAACACACTAATTCACATTGAAATACGATCCAAGTATAACGTAAGCAACTTGATAAATTTCACACGACAAACAGCCTTCTTGAAACAGATACACATTATTGTTAATTTGTGTGGGGTTATGAAAAAAAAAAAGGACTTTTTAGATAACAATTTTTTTTTTAAAAAAAGTTACACGATTCATTCTTATGCTATTATGCGGCGAAATGCGGGGAAGAAGAAAAAAAAAAGGGCTTATAACGTGTAAGTTTCTACTCTTAAAAAAGAAAAAAAAAAGATCACCTTATAGTTTCTTTTCTTTGCTTTATATACAAATGATTTAAAGTATAATTCAATTGTTCCTGAAATAGTGTTAATTGTAAATAAATAAACTCTATTTACAATTAAAAAAAAAAAAAATAAAAAAAATAAAAAAATAGGACTGTCTTAAATATCAAAAATAGGATTAGGGAGATTCTATAGGTTTATATTCAATTCGATTGCTACAAATCACAATATGAAAGTAAAATCATTCCCAGTTAATGTCTATAATACAGTATATAAAGCAGTTATTACTGTTTTAATTGGATATGAATAGCATTATAAGTATGATCTCATGTTCCAGTCAATTAGCATACCGTTTTACGAAAACAAAAAAAAATATTTATTTATATATTTATACACATGCATATCTTTCTTACTCATAGCTTCATTCCTCTCCTCCCTCAAACTCAATGTAGCTTGAGGTATATTTCGTGTCATTTGTTTATAGTTTATTATTTTGTGTGCTCAGTGCCACATTAGTTTAGCTCTTTTATTATTATTATAAACTTCCCATTTACATCAAAAAAAAAAAAAGCTTAAATTACTACTTGGCTTCTCTTAAATATAACTGTTATCATCAACAGCTTGTTTCATATTCCTCTTGTCAATTACTTGCTATTATATACAGAAGGATGTTGTTGTTGTCGTCGTCGTCTTTCCTTAAATTTGCTGAAATCAATATTAAATGAGTGAATAAACACAAATAAAATAATAATAAAATAAAGGGTTCTTCATCAGCTCCTTTTCTTCTTCCTTACTTTTATCCTCCTATTCTCTTCTTTTGATTCAGGCCTAGCCAAAAAAAAAAAAAAAATTAAAAGCATTATGTATGTAGTTTTTGTGTTTATTGAGGTTATATATATATACATATATATTCATAAATAAAATATTTGTTTAAATGTAGTATCTTTATTATTATTTAAAATGAAAGAAAGAAAGAAAGAAAGAAGGGAAGAAAGAAAGAAATAAACTAATTTGGTCCTAATGGTTCATAACTCCAAATACGAGCACGATTATCACCTGAACCTGTAGCAAACATAGGTTTATGACCAGGACTAGTGGCAACAGAGATGACTATTTAAACTAAATTTAATATTTTTTCCCCTTGTTTTAAATACACATATAATTATTGTACCTGAATTTTTATGGCCTTGAAGCATGAATTGTGTTTGTCCTGTATGAGGATCCCAAAACTGCACTCCACGATCCTTTGATCCAGACACAATCCAATTACCATCAGGTGTAGTAGCAACAGATAAAACAAAGTCCTATTATAGTATCCATAAATACCTTTATCTCTTTTTTTTTAATTTTATTTACCTTGTGCCCTGTAAAGACTTGAATACATGCATTTTTATTTCCATAACCTCCTCTTTCACTTACACCTAATTGCCACATTCTCAATGTCTTATCAAGACTACCACTCACTAATGTCTTTCCATCTGGCATAAATGCAACAGAATAGACACTATCTTTATGACCCTCTAAACGCTCCAAAATTTGACCAGTAACAGCATCCCAAACACGAACTACCTTATCTAAACTACCTGCAGCTACAAGACGACTATCAGGTGAAATAGCAACACTCGTAACACCAAGGTCTTGTTGTTCTACATCATTAATACGAAGTTCATGAAGACAGCGAATGTTCTGCCAGTCCCAAATACGGGCTGTACGGTCTCCTGAACCAGAAACAAGAATACGTCCATCACGACTAAATTCTAATGAGTAAATATCTTGTTCATGGCCAGATAAAATACCGCGAATGCGTTTCTTTGCAATATCCCAAATCTATTATAATAAATAAAATAAACACACACACATATATATAAGGGAATTATCATGACTTTAACTTACTCTAATTTGTTTATCTTCAGCTCCTGTAGCCAAAAATTTACCATCAGGACTAAAGCTAACAGAACGAATATATAAATCACCATCACGTCCAGCATTAGCATCTTGAAGAACACTATCAAATATGCATAAGAATGAATCAATTTTTCTTTTCTTTCCCCTTTTTTTTTTTTTTTTTTTTTTTTTTTTTTTTTTTGTATAAAACTTACGCAACTCGAGTAGACGTTAAAGTATCATAAATATAAGTGGCTTGATTACAACCAGCAGCAAGGAAACGACCATCAGCACTAAACTTGACACAACATACAACACTGCCATGATCAAAGGTATGAAGTAAATCTACTTTAAGGTAACGAGTGGCTTTAGGATTGAATCTAATGATAAAAAAAAAGAGTTTAATAATAAATTTAGCATAGATAATATATATATATATATATATATATATATTTACAAGGCAAACCAATCTTGACCCTCCACTTTCATATTAGCAGGAACACTCTCAGGATTAATATCACCAAGAGCTTCCGAGTTTGCTGAATTATTAGGAAGAGGACCAGCCCCAGGCTTAACAGGAGTGACACCTAAAATACATAGAATAAGCAATTAATTAAAAAAAAAGATGACTTATTAAACTTACGTTGTTGAGTAGTTGAAGTAGATGTAGTTGGAGGTGGAGGTGGAGCATTTGTAGTGGTATTAGTAGTAGCATTTGAAGGAAGAGGAGAACCACCATTCATATAAGGTGTTCCAGAAGAATGAGGTGGAACAGTAGAAGGATGAGGAGGGGGGCCATTTGGAGGATAAGAAGGATGATGTGCAGGTGGTTTAGATTCCAACAAAGGTGCTTGTTGTTGCTGTTGTTGTTGCTGTTGTTGTTGTTGTTGTTGTTGATATCCAGAAGGTCCTAATAAAATAGTTTTAACATGATACATTTTAATTTTTTTCTCTCTCTCTCTCTTTTTCTCTCCTAGTTCTGTTTCTTTACCATTATAACCACTGTTAACAGGAGGAGGAGCTCCAGCGCCATGTTGCTAATGATTTTTTTTTAAGAAAAAAACAAAAAAAAAAAAATTGTTAGCAACAAAAATTTTACCTTATAAACATATACACATTTATAAATGTATATTTTTTTTTTTTTTAATTCTATTTTACCTGTTGTTCTAATTGTTGACGAAGTCTTGCAATTTCTTCTTCGTATCTATAATGACAAAGTTAATTAAGAAAAAAAAACCAAGAATGACTACACGAATGTATATATAACTAATTTACTGTTTTTTAATCAATTGTTGAGTTCTTTCGAGATCAATTAGATTCTGTTGAAATAAATTCATTTCTTGAATTTGACTGTTCACTACAAGTTTTTTTTTTTTTTTTTAAAAAAAATGAGACAAACGCGTTTTTTTTTTTTGTTTATTTGGAAAGATGATGTAAACTTACTTTTATGCTCATATTCATCTCTTTGATTTTTACAAACCATAACTTCTTGGGCAAGCTGATCATATTCATTTTTAACTGCATCCAATAATTCAATCAAACGACTAGGCGTAGGTGGGCCCATAGGTCTATGATTGTAAACAGACATTATTCTATTTCTTGTATGTGAATTCTGTTTTATTTCTTTTTTATTTGTTTTAATTTTTTTTTTTTTTTTTTTTTTACTAAAAAAAATAGTGAAAAAAAAAAGGTTTGTGTATAATTTGTTGTGTGTAAAAAAAAAAAAAAAAAAAAGGAGGAGTCTTTTTTTCTCTTTAAAAAAAAAAAACTTGTTAAAGAAGGTTAAAAAAAAAAAAGCGGAGTATAAAATTATAATTTTTATTTATTTATTTATTTTTGAGTCAGTTTCACAACAGTACATTGAACCTGATTAAGCCAAAAAAAAAAAAGGAATATTTTAACTATGATCTAGAAAAGAAAAAGAAACAAAAAGCTAAAGGCACAAACTACAACACATTGCATACATAATAACAGTCTACTATTTTAATCTATATTAACTGTCTTGTTATCATTCTTACAAGTTGATTTCTATTTCTCTCTTTTTTTATTTTTTTTCTTTCTTTCTCTCTTTCTCTCTCCTTCAACATTGTTAAAATAGACAATTATTCATTATCATTCAGTTTGTATTATGTAATAATTTTATTGCTTCTATGATAATTTTAATTCCAACATTCTTCTTGATATTGGCCAGATTTGATCATGTCTGAAAAATAATTTTCTGCTTCTTCTGCATTTAATTTTCCTTCCTTCATAAATATTTGCTTGAATGCATAGGCAACATCAGCAGGCATTTTGTCTAGAGAGCCAGATAAGACGATTTTAGCATGTTGATTTTCAATCAAGTCCCAAAGGAAACCTGCATGTTGACGAATACGGTCTTGGACATAGACCTTTTGTTCTTGATCTCTTGAAAATGCCGTGAAAAGCGTCAGTTGCCCTTGTTCTTCATATCTTTGCCATTCGTCCTTGTAATAGAAATCTTTATCATGATATCGACAACCAAACAAAAGAACGTTTTGATGTGCTCCCTGAAAGATGCGTTCTTCTAGAAAGGATCGCATGGGTGCTAAACCTGTTCCAGGTCCAATAGCAATTAAAGGTATATCAGGTGAAGGAGGTAAAGTCATAGTGCCCTTTGCAATACGAATACGAGGTATCACATCTCCTGGTTGCCAGGTGGATAACCATTTTGTAAATACACCTCTTCTTATCTTTCTCATCTTGGTTTTGTACTTTACGATAGCAACACATAACTCCATTGTGTTGGGATGAAGATGAAGACTAGATGCAATTGAAAATGAACGACTCTGTAAAGTAGGAAATAAATCAAGTATATAATCAAAGGGAATATTAAAAGGTTTAAAATCAAACAAAACTTCAGCAATCGTTCGTCGAGGTCTTGCACAATAAGCCCACATGTCCTCTTGTCCCTCAGGCGAAGCAAATTCTCTTAAACGTTCTGTATGATCCTCTGTGGTCGTAAAATAGGCCAACATTTCAAAAAATGATCGTCGAGGAACACCAAAGATATCAAGATGATAAACAAAGATATCTCGAAACGTCATTCTGCTTGGCCAATGAGCAGGTAAAGTGTAACTTGGATCCGTTGGAGTCAGTTTAATTAATGAATCTGCATACGCTGACCAACCCATTTGTTCAAGGAATAGATCTACATCAGCTACTAAATTCTGCGGCATAATGACAGCAATATCACCAGGCTCATAACTAAAGTTGGGATCATCACAGGTTAGCTCAATATGGCGCACGTCTTGAAAATGATCTGCAGCTGTTATTCTAGTGTTGGCTTTGATAGTCAAATCAAATTCACCAGGAAGTGTACGTTGATGTTCTGGTTTACCTTCTTTCAAGAACTCCATTTTGAAGCTTGCAGGTAATAGGACCTCATCTGGAATAATAGGTTCTATTGTAGGATATTTCTGTAATACAATATCCCAAAGTTTCTTTGACCAAGGAATAAGGGCACCATCAAGACTAAGACAATTAAACATGTATTTGAATAATAATGTTATTATTATTATTATTATTTATTGTTTTTTTTTTTTAAGGTTACCTTACCCTAAATAATGTTGATCATCACAATCTCCCCTTTCAATGATCATGTTGGCGCCTAATTGTATTAATCTTTTATATAACTTTTTAGAAGGAAAGTTGAACCTACATGTATTTTTTTTTTTAAAAAAAAATAAATCAACTGTGTTCTATGATTGATATTTTGCTTTTCATTATTTGTTATTACTTTCTATAGGATGAATCTCCTAATCCAATAACTGCACAATCTAAATCGCTTAAAATGTCATTAGGTAAATTCTTACGTAATAAAAATCTCCAAAATTTCTAGAATAACATGTCAGTCATAAAATTAATAAAAAATAATTCGCATAATTGCATTACCTTCATGTTTGCAGGTTCAGCACCTTGACCTGTTGTTGAACATACAAATATGACTAACTTTTCTTCTACAAGTTGACTCTATATATATATATTAGTTGAATAATGAAGATTTCATTTTTTTTTTTAAAAAAAAAAAAGAAAAAAAGGGGAAAACTCTACTTTATCGTAATCGTCCATGGCAACTACTTTTGTCTTGAAATGTCTACGTCTGGCTTGTCTACCAAGGTTTTCTGCTACATCTTGAGCACAACCCGTTTCAGATCCATATAAAATGACAAGTGATCTATCCATTTTTTTTTTTTTTTCAAAAAAGAAAAAAAAGAAAATTAAGATTAATAATCATCTCAGGACCTATCAAGTGTAAATTTATTATTTATCTGATCATGAATTATTAAGGAAACAAGCCCAATAAGGAAAAAATAAGATTTCTATAATCTTTTTTTTTTCTCTGTAACAATAGAATACATTATTTTTTATTAGTTGAATTCATATCTTTTATATTTAACTATAAAAATATTGAATAATAATAATAAAGACTTTTTACTACTTTTGTCAAGTTTTCTGTTAAATCATAACTTCAGTTTTGTTAATAATAAAATGTAAAATGTTATAACATAATTGTTTCCTACCAGTAATTTGTAAACCAAACACAGTTTTTACACTTTACATTAGGACGAAGTTAGTTTTTTTTTTTTCTAGACGAATCAAAATTAGTTTCCAGATATTTAGTTTGCCTTTTTTGGACAAATTCAAAATGGAAATTCAGACGAAAAAAAAAAATTAGTTTTTAGATGATTTGGAAATAAATAACACTTGTCTACCTGTAACAATCTGAATCCTAAAAAAGGAAAACCGTGTTTGATACGACGATTATTTTTTTTTTCTTAGGTGTAAAGTCATCTGGTCTTTCTTCTCCTGACCAAATTGACTTTGAAATCGTCATCATGTTGTTGGCTGCGTTAGAATCTCTTTGCCATACTTTGGAGCATCGTTTGCAACATACAACGACTACACCTTTAAACGATTTCGTACTGATAATTTTTAAATCATCAAAGAAACAGAGGTTGCGTGTTTTCGAGGTTTTAAATTCGTCAATTGTAATAGCAATCAACTGACCTTCAGCCTCACGTTTCTTTGATGATGTATAGAGTTTGCCGACGACACCGCATCCAAGTCCTTTTAACTTTACGTTATCCTTACCAAACATTCCACTACCGAATACAATCAAAGGAAATTTGGTATTGTCTTGCTGATACTTGATAGGCTTCCATTTGTCTTATCTTTTTTTTCTTAAAAAAAATAATAAGAAACATTTACAAACAAGAAAAAGTGATATCCCCATTCTTCTTCTTCTTCTTCTTTACCCTTTTTTGCCTTGTTGTATTTGCTGCCATCGCTTATTACCATGTTGGTCATTATCTCGGGAGCTCGCTGTCTCCCCTAGACACAAGAAGAAGCTATCTTTTGTACTATTGGAACCATAGAAGTTGGTTAAGATGCGCAGATGTTTAAACAAATATTGGGCGTAGCTTTTTATAAGAATTCAGGGTTGACATTTTTTTTTTGGGGGGTGGGAATGTCACTTTCGATTTTGTCAAAACCCTTGTTCTTTTTTCAGCTTTGTCTGCTTGGCGGCATATTTCGTAGGCCCAGTGTAATGGTAGTACTCTTTTGTGGTGCAGCGCGTCAAAGCGTGCTTCTGAATACTTGAGACACCAGCAGTAGTAAACACGGATTTTCTACCTGGATCAATAAAAAAAAACGAGCTGACATTGTTGTTAAACTTCTTGGTAGTTGAAGTCTGACAACTTTATTTGGAGGCTGTTAATTGGGTTCTTTATAGTCATCTTTCTTTTATAAAAAAAAAAAAAAAAAAAAAAGACAATCTAGATCAAAGCCATCGGATCTAATGATATTACTAAAGAGAACATCGTTATTGCCATTTGGTTCAAGATCATTACTAGTTTATGAATAGAAAATTAGAGCATATGTCAAAATAATTCAAATGTTGAAGTGACATACTTTGAAAACCGTAGCTTATCGAATTTTACAACATGTTGAAATATTTTGAGTTGGTCATTATAATTCCTTGGTAAGCGACAGTGAAAGAAATGCACATATAGCGTTGATATTCATGGTTATAGACCGAAAGTGCATCGATGGATTGGGAAATAAACCAAACAGTCGTGGCAAAAGGAAGCCGCCTTACATCGTAAGGCTTGTGACCTGCGTGTTCAGCTTCGTAGGATGATAATAGCGGAACAAAGCTTTGAATTTGCTTTGAAAGAGTGACCAAAGTAGCTTCCATTGGGCAAAAGCGCTTTAAGTGGTAGGCATATATATATCTTTGTTTTGTTTCTTAAAGTCTTCTGTCAGCGAGCCACAATTCCTCCCCCTCCATTCAGAACTACCGCTACAAACATACTGATAGCAGTACTCTTCTGCTTTGTAAGCTACATCTTTCCAGTGTATATTCTATAGATCACAAAGATGTTAGATTTTGTTACATACGAGCGCAAATAATGGCTTACAACAAATGCATTTTTGTAAACGATATCTAAGATATCTTAAAAGTCTACTTTCAAAGTTCTCTACTATGTTATTGCTATAAATAGTGGCGAGTTCTACACAAGCTGCTGTCAATGGTTGATTAGCGCCCTTTAGGAAGCCCTTCTGCATAAATTGCACTTGAATACAAAGTACGAAATGTGTCCCAAGTCGCCAACATGTTGTTGGGAAATAGAATACTGCTTGTTACATTTCGCCCTCCTACTAGCTGGCAAACAGAATACCAGTAATTTTGCTTGAAGATACAGTCCGGTATTGATTCTATATTTTCTAAAATAAAATAATTTGTAGAAAGCAATTGCTCTAATGACTATTTGTCCGGATGTATCTTGAACTATCGATTATTTTGTTTCTTAAGATATCTTTGTACGCGTCATTTATCATTGTATTGAATGCAATCTTTAGAATGAAATAGTATCTGACATTCTATATGTACAGCACGACGCCTCTGCATAAGGAGAGTGACCGTTTAGATGGATGATAACTAGCTATATCAGAATGACGCTGATTTATGTGGAGAAGGGCTTTGACAAAGGGTTCACCAGGGCGGCCAGAGGATATATGAAATTGTAGTTAAGTTGTTCGTCTTCAATAAAAGTGCACAAACACTGGCAATGTTCGTTGAATCATAAAAAAAAATAGCGTTATTAAACATCAAACAACAGATTATTTTCTCATTTTACTATTGTTAACTTTTACGAATGCAGCTTTTGTGCTGCTGTCGACTGGGACACTATACCTTTTGTCTAAATTTCCTTTTTGAATTTGTCCAAAAAAGGTAAACTAAATATCTAGAAACTAATTTTAATTCATCCAGAAAAAAAAAAAACTAACTTCGTCCAAATTTAAAGTGTAAAAACTGTATTATAGAAAAAAAACATTTATGCATATACTTCAACATTTTTCCTTTATATCCCAAAAGGGGTTTTTCTTTTTTTTTTTTTTTTTTTTTCCATAGCGATCTGACCAGGGCAAAACAGCATATAAATGCGATGTGCTCATTGGTCATTTTTTAATTTTTTAAATAAAATTCTTCTTTAATCGTATTATAGAAAAAAAAAAAGAAGAAAAAATTTAAGCTCAGTTAGCATTTATTTTCCACAAGGTTATCTGAAGTGTGTATGTGTGTGTGTGTGTGTGTGTTTTTTTTTTCGAAGAAATCATTTACATAATCATGCTGTTTTTTTATATTTACTAAATTATATCTTTTTTCTTTCCCTCTTCTTCTTAACATATATACATATCTTTTCCATTGTATCTATATACATATATATATATCTATATATATCTATATATAATTAAAGGCAAGACTGTATAATGACATCAGGTCATCAGTTAAATAGTTTCAATTATGAAGACTACATTCCAAGCGATGGTATTCTGTGTCCTATTTGTGAAATAAACTGTAATACACTAGAAAATTTGAATAAGGTAAATATAAATCGATTATTATATTTATTTATTTTTTTTTAAAAAAAAAAGAGAGAGAAATGCAGCAATTCAGTAATTCTTAACCTAAATGTATTAGCATCTTGATGTTGCTCATTCAGAAGAAGATTCAAAAGGAGCTTTATTATCATGGCTACGGAATGCACAAAAGAAAGTTCAAACATCATTATCAACCAATAATTCAACTCTTAAAATAGGTTCACCCACACAAAGTAATAGTCTTAAGCAATGGGTGGACCCATCTCTATTGAATAAGGCCATCATTAGCCATCCAAATTTTTTTGTCTCGGATATGGATAAACAGGGTGAATATGTTACACGGGAACATTGGCAACGAGAAACAGGACATGATAAGTGTAATATAGTCGGATGCAATAAAATTGTAGGCAAATCTGGTGTAGGCAAGCAATATTGTCGAAGGTAAAAAAAAATATATATATATATATGTATATAGTAATAATAAAAGCAACATATCTTCATTTACGGAAAAATATATTCATCTATATAAATATATATTTTACATGTTATAGATGTGGTAAATTGTATTGCGATTTACATACACAATACGAAATCAAATTAAGTCAACAAGGACATCATGATCCAGAACATGGTGTATGGTGTAAAGTATGTCTAAATTGCTTTACAAATCGCAAAGATTATAATACTTATGAGGGTGTAACACGAAACAGAACAGACTATTTTATGAAATTAAGAGAAAAAACGATAGATAGAGTTCAGTTAGAAAGTAATCGATTAGAAAAGAGATTAGAAAAGCTGGCAAGAGTACATCATTCAATGGATAATCTTGATCATTCAGGTTTTTTATCTCCTTCAAGTAATTCATTAAACAGCTTCTCTTTGGATCGGTCGTCCACATCTTCAAGAGATAGTTTAGCTAGCATGTTATCACCTAAATCATCCTTTGTATCAAACAGTAATAGTATTTTAAGTATGAAATTAAAATATAGAGGTAAATAAAAATGAATGAATACTTGTATACATATTTAATATTATGTATGTATTGTAGATGGAGAGCAATCTATTATTAAATGGGAAGACGATCGTTCAGTAAAAGCATGTCCATATTGTGGGTAATGTATATAACATTAGCTATTTAGTTTGCATTAGACTTACTTTATTATATATAGTAATTCTTTTACATTGATCAATCGTAAACATCATTGCCGATTATGTGGTAAAGTTGTTTGTGGCAATATCAAGTGTTCAAAAATGATTCCCTTATTCACAGACATGTCATCTGGTAAGAAGTATATAGATCCATTTATGTTTAACCATGTCCTCATGAATTCATATACATGTATATAAAAGATACCTTTGATGATGAACCAGTTGGTGATACCCGAGCATGTCGTGATTGTCAAAGATATGTGTTTAGAAGAAAGTTAAGAAACGAAGAAGCATCAAAGCCTCTACCGATTATTCAACTTTACAATCAACTTTCTATTACAAGAAATAATATTGAAAAGCAATTACCAAAGTTTCATCAAAGTATTTTAATGCTAGAGTAATAATGACACATATAATCCATATATAATAGACAATCCATATTCATTAAAATCTATACACATAGAAAAGAAAACATTACAAATCATACACATGAAAGTTTTGTAAAAGCAGCACAGATAAGGAAGTTATTATTAGAAAATTTTACATTATATGATACATTAGCAAAGAGTATCAAATCATTGCCTGCTAATACACCTTGCATGAAGAGACTTCAAGCTAATATTTGTCATGCCGCTAATCTCTATTTACAACAAAACATGTTACCCTTACAAATGTTACCCCGTATATTAAAGACAACTAATAAAAAGAAAGATCACCAAAAGGTGTTACTAGAAGAGCAACTTGAAACTTATTTAGAACAATATCATCTAGTAGAAGGTTATATTAAAGAAGCTAATGCAGATCGAAAGTATGACGATGTTAAAACCTTGAAATCAAGTTTAGAAGAATTACAAGTTGAAATTAGTCGGTTACGTACAATTCTTGGTTAAATAAAATATTTAAAATGTCAGCAAGAAAAAAAAAAAAAAGGCATTTTTTTTTTAGTTCTTTTCTTTACATAGTAAAAATCGTATATACGATTTTCTACATTTGTTATGACTGATCAAAAAGTAAATCAAAACTTGAAGACCTTTTTCTTTTTTTTTCTTAAAAAAAAAATAACAATCCTTTTTATTATACATATATAGTCAGATAATAATTGGGATGTCGATGTAATTGATTTTTGGGATGCTACGTTAAAAAGTTATAAAGTAATTATAATCTTAATAACATGGATGGCATTCTAATTAAACCTCTTAGACCTGTCATGAAGCAAAAGATAAACACGATGATCCAGAAAAAGTAGCAGACGATCTTATTAAAAGTTTACCCATAAAGTAAATAAATAAAAAAAAATGCCTTGTTTTTTTTTTAGGAGAGAAGAGTTCTTATTAAGCTTTTATATAGACAAGACAATACAATAGTTGATAGAAAGAGTGGTGATAAGCGTAAAGTAGATGAATTAGAGACATATGAGAATGAACAAGCTATAGATACTGAAGCAATCAATGAAGAAGTATATGAAGAACAAGAAGAGGATGAACAAGTAAATCAAAAAGAAGAAGAAGAGAAACTACAAGAATATATTGAGACTCAAACCAAAGAAAAAGAACCAAAGAGAGCCAAAAAACATAAAGAAATGAACAATGAAGATAACTATGATAGCTCCAATTATTATACATATTCTTCAGAACAATACTACCAAACACCACCGCCAGTACCACCTATGATGTCTCAAGATAATGAAGCTTTATCTAATTTAATTATGGCATGGTATTATGCTGGATATTATACTGGTTTATATCAAGTATGTCTAGTTTGGATAATTTAATGAAGTATGTTAACATGATTTTTTTTTTATTTAGGCAAATAATAGAACAAAACAGTAAAACAATATACTTTATATTACCATTAAATATGTCATTTTTTTGATGATGTCATAAACTTGACTTTTTCATACTTATAAAAGAGAGGACTCAGCACTAATAAAACAGTATTTGAATTTTTTTTTTTTTTTTCCTAAAATTGGTAGCTGTCTTAATTTTAGAAGTGAATTATGACAAATAAACTTTATTAACACTTAATTTGTAATAAATTATCTGGAAATAATAAAAATTGTAAAATTAGCTGATATTGATTTAGCTCCTTTTTCTTGAGGAGGGTACAAGTCGATAATTCTACGTAGTACATACTACTTTATGATAGAAACCACTTTTTAAAAGAAACAAAAGTGATTTATATATAATAGCCAATTAAATTCCTTAAACTCATACTTAAGCTCATAATAAATAAAAAATTATTATTGCTCTTGTTGTTGGCCGCCGGGAATTATTTTATTCACATATTTTAAATCCTTATGATATTTTTAAAATTTGTTCCTTTTTTTTTTTTTTTTTTTTTTTTTTTTTTTTTTTTCATTAATAATAAAATATGGAAAATACAAATAATAGCACTGCTAATAGCAACGAAACCAAAGCACCTATTCTTTGTATTGCCGGCTGTGGTTTTTATGGCAGTGAAGCATTTAATAACATGTGTTCAAAGTGCTTTAAAGAGCGCAAGACTGCTAATGAAAAAAATGCTACTAATCTTACTTCATCATCATCACCACCACCACCATCATCATCAATAATTATATCATCTCCTGTAGTTTCTTTAGACGATTCTAATATTATTGATAAGACAAGAAAGCATCTTCGAAGTCCATCACCCGACAATGAACTAAAAGTGAATAGTGCACCTGGATCTTCTATAGCTTCTCCAGCTGCTACTACTCCAGATAATAATGAAAAGCCAATTCAAACAAATAAAGGAAGATGCTTCAAGTGTAGATCAAAGGTAATAATAAACAAATAGTATTGCTAAATATATAAATGCTAATCATTACCATGGCTTTATTTTAGGTTCCATTGGCTAAACAAGCAGCAAATAAATGTAGATGTGGTTATATATTCTGTGATAGTCATCGATATCCTGATAGACATGACTGTGATATTGATTATGCAAAATTAGATAGAGGTAAATATAAATGCTTATATCATTCTATTATTAAACATTTGTTATTATAGAAATACTTGCAAAAAATAATCCTAAATTACATGAACGACCTAAAGGAGGAAGATCTTTCCAAAGACTTGATAGTTTATAATAAGAATATACATTTGTATAACTTTTTTTTTTCATCTAATATATAAAAGATAATACACACATATCAAATGATTATTAATTGAGAACTTTGTGTCGTCTTGTTTAAATCTTTACTTTATAATGTTATTATAAATGTTGTTCATTCACTAAAGAGATGCTAGCAAAGTCTTTTTTTTTGGAATCATTTGTTGAAAGTATAAAGAAGATTGATTCTTTTTTTTTTCCTTTGTTTATAATTAACAATATGAACTTATGAACAATAGCTTAAATGCATCATTCCATTTTGTAGATGCTGAACATGTTTCATTTAATGCTTTTGTCGTACAATACAGAACAAATTTGCTCTATAACAATTAAAATAGTTTCATGACAATGGAGTTGCCTCAAATATAAAATTAAATCCCGGTTTTTGATTTGTCATTACATTTATATCATATTCAATGGATTCTTTGTTAAATAAATAAATGTAAAGCTTATTTGTTATGGGTTTGCATTATGTAAAAAATGATACTTTTTTTTATATCTATTATCACATTTAACACATACATAGAATAAAAATAAATAGATAGTAATTGAAATGCTAATGGACAGCTTTTTTTTTTTCATTTTTTTTAAGCCTTATATAAAAGATCTAAAAATCCTGCAGCTACATCATCAACAATGGTCTTATCAGGAACACTGGCAGCTGTACCATAGATAGCAGCAGTAGATCCATGGCCACTTGATGGATCTTCTACAAGTCCTTGTACGCACTCTTTAAGATCTTTTACGAATAGTTCTGCACTTTGGACCCAAGGTAAGGTAACAGAGACATGAAGACCTGAGGGATTTTGAAGAGCACTTAAACTCCAACCACGAGCAGCCATTTTATCACCAACATCATAAATATTGAGTGGCTCATTAGCTCCAAAGGCAAGAACGGGGCCAATAGGTTGACCCTTGACATGAAGTTGTGGGATGGATCGAACACCAGCTTCCATAATTTGACGAGCACCAATGATATCTTTACATGCTTTCAGATAGCCATCTTCACCCATGTGCATAAGAGCTGCCCAACAACCAGCAATCAAAGCACCTGGACGTGAACCGGCGATACTAGGAGAGGCATAAATACCTCCAGTCCATTGTGAATAAAGGAAATATTGATACTTTCTAATCTCTGCAGATCGATACATGATAACAGAGGAACCTTTAGCGGCAAAGCCATATTTATGAGTATCACATGAGATGGATGTAACTCCTTCAACTCTAAAGTCAAAAGGTGTTGTCGGGAAACCTGCTTTTTCCAAGAAGGGCATGATAAAACTACCAAGACAGCAATCAACATGAAGACCAATATTATATTTCTTGGCTAATTTGCCTAATGCAACAATATCATCTGCAATACCATGAGGGAAATTAACAGCAGAACCTGCAATCTTGGAATAAAATAAAATAAACACGATTGTTTTTTTTTCTATATTTAGTAGGCATCCATAATAACTTACCATGACTGTATTTTTTGTAATGGCTCGTTCAACTTTCTTGATATCTACTTTGAGTGTAACAGGGTCAATAGGTACTGTAATCAATTTAATCTTAAAATAACCAGCTGCTTTCATAAATGCAGCATGAATAGTATCTGGTACAACCCTAAAATAGAGTGTATATATAATTTAATCATCTATATGATCATAACCTCTTCTCTCCTTCATTCACTTACATTTCAGGATAGTGGATGCCCTTCACATCTTTATACATATCACGATAAGTCTTGCAAGCCATTAAAATACTTTCTGTACCTCCACTTGTCATGGTACCACATCCTGTAGCAGGTGCATTATACATGGATAAAACCATAGCAACAGATTCTGCTTCCATACGTCGAATGCCAGGAAAAATTTCAGGATGAAGAGGGTTTGCAACCGCAAATATTTTGTAAGCTTCAGCAAGGATTCTGGTAAGGTCTTCACCACCATGATAAATAGAACCAGACACTTTACCTCCTGCCCAATCTGCAGCCTTAAGTTTCTGGAGTCTTTTATAAAATTATAAATAATTAATACATATAAAACTATACGATCTTTTTTTTTCCTACTTTTTTAATTGTTCCATAACTTGCTCCTCTGTTAAACCCTTTGCAGGTAAAGTTAAATGCGATTCACAGCCGGCTTCCTTTTCTAATAATGAATGTTCCATACTGGCTAAAGTTGTTTGAAGTTCTTTATTGATCTTTTCCTGAACAGAAGGTAAACGACGCAATTGTTTAAATACAAGCTATATATATATATATGTATATATGACATTAATATGTTTCCTTTTGTATAATTTTAGGACTAGTTACTGCAAGAATATAAGCTTTAAACTCTTTAAATGCTCTTCTAGGACCACCAATCAAGACTTTGTTATATATTTTTAACCAATAATTCAATAAAACCAAAATAAATACAATATTCTTTAAACGTTGAAGTGAACGGTTATCTAAAATACTATTTGAAATATGTGATAATCGAGTTAAAACATACGGCTTTGATATTATATTCGTCATTGTTTGTAATTGTTTAAATGAGAGTGTAAAAAATAAAAAAAAATAAATGAGAAAGTTAAAAAAAAAAAAAAAATGAAAACAATACAACAGCATATTATTTTGATTTGATCTCCGACAATGACTTACTCATTTGTAATAAGCATCTTAAACAACCAAATACGAGATGCTACAAAAAAAAAAAAAAAAAAAAAAAAAAAAAAAAAAAAAACCTCCCATTTTTATTTATTTATTTGTTTTCTTTTCCTTTTTATTTATTATCTAAAGTACATCAACATTTGAAATTCGTAAGACAGTATGTGTTTGCTTATGTTCAATAGTACGCTTATAATTTTTTCTTCTCTTCTTTTTAACGATTTGGATCATTTTACTCTTTGTATGTTCAATAACTGTAGCATTAATGTTAAACACTGACTCGGGAATATAAGGTGACCCCTTTAAAGTATAATCCTTTGATCCAATCTCACTAACTTTATCTAACTTTAAAACATCTCCAACTTTAACATCCTTTAGGCGATTAACAATAACCTTATCATTCTTGGTGATCAAATAAGGTCGACCTGCAATCTCTGCAATGGCATAATAGCGAAGTTGATCGCGAAGTTTTTGAATAGCTGTTTGTGAATCAGTTGTTGCAGCGGTTTGAATTTGACGTGAAATATCTATCAATATATAAATATATATATATATATGAGTGAGTGAGTGAGTGCGTGTGTGTGTGTTTGGTTAAAACATAAATAAATAATGTACTCATATAATATATTTACTTTGAAGGGGCTGCTTAATAATTGAAGAGGTAGAGCCTATAATTGAAGACCTTAGAATTAAAAACTGTCACTGAATGAATTTATAATTTAATTATATTATAATTTCAAAATATACCTCTTATTAATGTTGAATTTAATCTTTTACATAAAGTTGAAAACATTGCTTCCAAAAAAAAAAAAAAAAAGGTTGATATACAAAGTAAGAAAAAGAAACAGGGCCTTACACACTTTATAGGATGGGGTGTGTGCGGGGTGAACAGGGACATGTGACGCACTTTTTTTGAGTCACAACAAGAATCGTGTTATTATTATTATTTATTGTTCTCAAATTTATATAAATAAATACGACGTTTTTCATTATTTACAGCAATAATATTCGAAAATGGATGACTAAATATACCAATAACTTCTTCATCGCATACACGAACTTGCCCTATAAGTTTACCAGTAGATAATTCAAAGCAATGCATGAATGAATCTTCAGATAATGTGTATAATAAACTTCCTTGATGCGATAATACTCCTGCAATAAACTTGGATGTAGATTTATTTTCAATTGTTTTTATGATTTTTCCATTTTCATTTGAAATAATAGATGCTGTATTATTTGAATGAATAATTACTGAGTATTCAGAATCATTAGGTATTGCCAAAACTTGTTGAGCTTTGACACCTTCTTGAGGTCGAACATCATAAAGACAGGCTCCACTAGTTATATCCCAGATCTAATTTTTTTTTTTAAAAAAAAAAGAAAAATGAATATTTTACTGTCCTTTTATTTTATTTTTCTTTTCATTCTACCTTAATAGTTTCATCACTACTGGCACTAATAATTCTTGTATAATCGGAATTATAAATAACTGAATTGACAAAAGTAGAATGACCTTCGAAAGACTTGACTAATTTTCCTGTCTTTACATTATGAATCTTGATCAATTTGTCAAAACTACAACTCAATATTTCACTAGAATCTTTGTTGAAACAAACTGATGTAACGCCTTGACTATGGGCTGGCGAAAATCGGCGTGTACAATAACCTGTTTGTAATTTCCAAATCTTTTTTTTTTTTTTTATGAAACAAGCAAGTTAGTATCTTTAGATTATTTCAGTAATGAACTTACAGCTATTTTTCCATCTGTGGAGCCAGATGCTAACAACTCGCTATCTTTACTAAAACTCAAACAAAGTACTGCTTGATCCATGGCCATTAAATTTTCTTCTGCTTGATATTTGAGATCCTTTCTAAGTTTCCCAGTTTTATAATTCCAAACTTCAATAAATCCATCTACAGAACCAGATACTAAATATAATCCATTGGGCGAGAATGCTGCACATTCAGCATATGTATTTTTACCAGGCATCTATGTGTAAATTTAGATCATTTGAATATTACTGAAATAATTTTGCTTTTAATACCTTAATTTCTGCATATTTTGTATGAGCGAAAGCATCGTCTTCAGTCTGTTGAAGTTGATCCGAACTTTTAAATAAATCAAGTTTTGAATCTAGAGGTAATAAACCCTGATGTTGCTGCCATTTAATACAATCCTCTAATAAAGTCATTAAACGAGAAGGCTCAACCATTGTTACTTCATTAGATAGAGCTTAACAAGAAAAAAAAAATACATAAATTAATAAGTAGTGTCAAAAAAAAAAAATAAGAGAAAAAAAAAAAGTACCTTGTGCAATTATCTGTCGTCGTTTTTCTTTTGTCATGCCTTGGGGATAGTTATCCTTTGGATCAAATATTGATCGAGATAATATATGTTCTAATCTTAAATATCGTTCAGGATGTCTTTGCTTAAGGATGAACATAGGTTCTGTTTGTCGAAGTAAAGTACGTGCAGCTCCCATTTCCCGCATCTCTGCTAATTCTAATACAACATGTTCGTATAGATCCATCAATTTTCGTGAAGGGATCTTTAAATCAGACACATGGCGAAGCACAGTATCCCATTCTCCTTCTTTAATTTCTTTTATAAATGCATCCTTATTTTCTATAGTATTTATTTTGATAGTCGTTTCATCCTCTAGTACTTTTGCTGTTTCTTGTAAATCGTTTTCTTTGAGAAATTGTAAAATGAGACGAATAATACTATGAAAAGAAAAAAAAAAAAGGTAATATTATTATTTTTGCATACAAGCTGTAAATAAAACAAGTACTTTACTCTTCTGATTCTATTTCTACAGACATATTTAATTTACCATTCAATAACCTAATTAACGAGTTCAAAAAGAAAGAAAAAAAAAATTGCGAGCAAGTTAAATATATAATTTTAAACAAAGTGACTATAAATTAATATATTTAGAAAAGGGATCAAAAAGAAAAGTGTGTTGTGAAATAAGTTTAGCTTTCTATATGTTTGAAAGGAGGCTGGCATTACCTAATATATTATCTAGAATTGTTTTGGTGAATATGAAGAAAGTTCGTCAAGCATATAAGAATTTAAATTATGGTAAATAGAACCAGTATAAAAGCGAATATGCAAACATTTACTAGGCATAATACAATATTCTATCTGCTGTTCTAGTTACTAGAATAGTGCAAATTAAACGAACTGAATAGTTCAGACAATAGTTTAGACGATAAACTATATTAAACATATTTTTGTTATTAGAGACTAAATGGCTGTGTGATTAGACTATCATTAGAGAACATGTTCAATATAACTCTTATATTTTGTAAACAGTATTAACTTGTGCGATATTGTATATAAATAAAAATAATAGCAAAAGCAGAAGCAAAGTCAATAGGATTACGATATAATACTTCTTTAAAAGACGATTATATCCGTTATCATTCTGTGACCAAATGTGTTTATGTCTATGAATTGCATTTAGCAAAAAGAACACCAACCGTACCTTACAGGTGGTCAAGAAGTCAGCATCAGAATAGCTTGCACAAAGACTTTGGCAGACATTGTTTCATTCATAGGGACATTAAGAAGAAAGTTGCAAGAAATGCTATTTAGGTCTCAAGAATTATATAAGAGCAGAATAATACGCGCTATTTCATACATTCCATCTTTGAGAGTAATATGTTTATATCTTTTGTTTATATCGCTAAAGTAACCTTAAATGCATGAAGTTGAGTAGATTCCAATTGAAATGGTTCATTTCAAAAGGAAAATAACCTAGATTAACAACTCCATTTACAGTTGCACATACTTTCTAAAATTAAAATTCTGGAAACCTTAACAAAAAAAAAAAAAAAAAAAAAAAAAAAAAAAAAAAAAAAAAAAAAAAAAAAAAAAACCTGTTTATTTTTATTGTAAGTACATTTATGTTTAGAAATCTATATGAAAAATACATACTTAAAGGCTTAAATTTAGATCTTTTATATTTTAAAAGGTTATATAATGTGTAAAAAAAGGGATGAAAAAAGAGGTAATAATTTGCTACCAAATCATACCTTAAATCACCAACAGCTAATAAAATACTAATATGCAGTGTTATGAATTGCTATAATTGAATGGACAGTTTTAAGGAGGTTAGTATTACTCTCTTTTAATCCTTCCTTTTACATTACTCTTATCTAACAAAAAGCAAGAGCAGACAGGTTATAATAGGATCAGATGTGGCTATAAAATGAGTGATTTTCGCAATATTTTCAGTCCTTTACAACAAATAAGCAAGATTAAAGGACAAAGAAGGATATTTTTGGCAGCACAAGAATCTTAACTTTCAGATAGTGTATGAATTTAGCAAATCTCAGTTATAACATGAACTATTCATGAAAATTAAGTCTGATTGCTTTTTTTTTATTGTTTATTGTTAATAATAAGAAGGCTCTTACATTTGCGATAAAACTGGGATACAACCAGTTTTTATGCTATTTACAACTTGCTAAAAGTTAAATATCTTTAATTCCATTTATACGTGTTTGTAACCAGAACAGATATATATAAACAAACCACAGTTTATAAATAAAAACAGGTGTGTTGGATAATAATAAAAAAAAAACGCTTTTTCTTCTGCTCTCAAAACAAATTTAGTATGGACAGTGCTGCTTTACCCTCTTGTTTAACCTATATTGAAAACTGTTATGGATCATTTGACTTAATAAGCTTTTATAAAGTTTTTATGTTCGGACAAAAAGATGTCACTGAAAGTATTTTCAAGAAGTGCACAGGTAGATTTAAACGTGCTCAATTGCGTGCATGGGTAAATACTATAACAGCAAATCACTTTGAGGTACAGTAGTCACACGTATTTGCTTGCTTTTTACAAATTTGTATTTATCTTCTACGATATCATAGATTTTAGACCGCCTTGATGTGTCTCAGTATTGGAGGAATTTGCGTGTTAAAGAAGCCAGAAAGGAAGCCATTGCTAATGCAGAGGAGTCAATTTACAAGAAGTTGATAGTTAAATTCCAGGTCTGTGAAACCCTCTTTTTTTTTTTTTTTTTTTTTTTTTTTTTTTTTTTTTTTTAAGGGCTAGAAATAATTTATATTTTTTTAATGTACATAGAGCCCTCCAAGAAGAAAAAGAAAGGTAGGCTATTTTTATTTATTTTTTTGTATTTACAAACATTAATGGATGTCAATTGTGAATATCATTGAATGTAGAGAAAAAAAAAGCGATATTCAGAAAAAATATACACCGGTAATCGTCCCTCCCACAGCTGATAACAGATGGTTCATAAATGAATGTGACGTATCACAGAAGTTTTTTGAACTACAAGAAGCAGCTGTTCAATATATCGAAGAAGCAAAAGGGACACCACTTGAGGGATCAACGTATGAGCTTATGTAAGTAGTTTAGACAAAGGTCCAATCTCGATACTTATAAACTAAACAATGTATATCAGGTCAACAATGTATATCAGGTCAATTCAGGATATATTACTGATGAAACCTCAACAGTGTAATAACCAAATGCTGGATATATCTTTGGTGAAAAGCTTTTGACAGAGGTATACCTACAGCAGTTTGACTTGTGGGTTGGTAACAGTCCAAATTTTCACGATGAAGAAGCTACTTCCATCCAAAAAATAGTCAGCGTAAGCAATAACTCTTATAATAATTTTAATGGGATTCTAAATATACTTTAATCCACAACGATAAACAGGACTACGTACAAAAACGTACTACATTAAAAGAGCTACCTATAAACTATGCTCTCTTGTTATCGAAATGGGTCCTATTGAAACCAGTGCTGTTAATGCTATCAGACAATTGTAAGCTGAAAACTACTTGGCAAGCTAACTAATTTAATCAACCTTTTTTATTTATAGGATGGAAAAGCTGCCCCTTGTGCAGCCATTGGAAGGATGTAAAAGTGAAGATGTGTTGTGGAATACATATGTAGACCCCCTTCTTGATCCTCTCTTCAGTAATCCTGCAAATGGCGTCCATTTACGATGGTAAATAAGCGATTGTTGCTGTTATAGAACAAGCTCTGGATATAATCATAAGTAATATTATAATAGATGAATTACATAATACAGGATAAAATATAAGCCTGAATATGAAATAAAACTCTGTATATAACATCTTGTAAATAATATAAAACTTATTGACATCCAATTGTCTAGATGTATCAAGTATAAGACATCGTATCATTTCTAAATATTTATTTTTATAACCTTGATAAAGGATTCAGGTCGTCTTTGATCCAATAAAATAAAACATAAAAGATATCAGGAACATATACTCAGATTAAACAATAAATTTTTTATTTAAAACTTGATCAGATCATTATAACACCCAATAGATAATCCATAGATCAGTCTCTTGAATCAACACAATGTATATCTGAATACTAACACTATTTCATGACTCATGTTCTTTGACAGCTATTTTTAATTTCTTTGATTCAGGATTCACTAGTATAAATACAAGCAGTTGTGTAGACACAAAATAATCTTGAACTTCTTTCTTTAACTTTCTTTTAACCTTCTTTATTTTTTATTGAATAAAAACAGTCTCAAACTACACTTCCTTTTGTTCCCTTTCTCTCTCTTCTATTTTCTCTTTTATTTTTTATTTACGTTCCATCACAGTTGCTATTAATCTACTTCTCATTATCAATTTTTTTTGTAACAGGACAAACTTAAATAATACCGAACAAGGCTCGGAAAGACCTGATAGCGTTATTTCTGTCATTATGCAGCCCAGTTGGGGTAAGAGTTTAGAGTATAGAGAAGCAAAGATTGAAGAACCCACCATCAACAAGTTCATGCTCGCCTGGGACTTGTGCCGCCTTGGGCATTTTTCTAGGGAAACGATAAATATCACCAACAACAAGGCTTCCATCTCTTTCCAAGTAAAAGGTAGCTTAAACTAATTAGTATCTCACCCCCCGTTATTTAACCTTATTGAAAACAGGCCATAATATCACCATATACATAACTATACTGAGTGTAGAAGGGATTTATACCATGCTTGAACTTACTCATATACAAATTCCGCGTTCAGTGGAGAGCTTGGAACGACTTACAACTCAATCGTCACTCAAACAATTACTACAGGTGGCATACGTGTTTGAAAAAATCAGACAACAAAAGAAAGAAGGAACGAAGAAATTCTGTTGCATGAAGCGATATGGGCCCGGATTGGTTCAGCTTCTGAAATTAATATCAGACAAAAAAGATAGAAAACGACCTTGTACATTACGCTTTTGAACATTTTCTTATCTCTCTCCTTGACCATCTTTTTTTTTTAAAAAAAAAAAAAAAGATTTGTCGTTATTATACCAGTCTCTATGCCATTTTTTTTCTCAGTATGTTTCTATTTATTTAATCACCGTATTTCCTCAATGTATCCCAAAAGGGGTTTTCTTTCCTTTTTTTTTTCCATAGCGATCTGACTAGGGCAAAACAGCATATAAATGCTATGTGCTCATTGGTCATTTTTTAATTTTTTAAACAATCGTATTTCCTCAATGTAAGATGAGTTGTACTCCTCTTATAGTTATTTGAATTATTATCGAAAATAAACATTAAAGTTGCAGTTCTCAATATAAATCTTATCCTACTAGTTTCACGCTCTCAATCTTTAGATTATGTATATTCAAGTAACATCTCGTACAGTATGCTTTTTTTTTTTTTTTTTTTTTTTTTTTTTTTTTTTTTTTTTTTGTAATAGACTTGATAAAAATATTTTCTCTTAAATAAAGAAGTGATACATCTTCTTCGGTTCACTTTATAGATAGCCTTTTTAAAGAAAAATAGTAATACTATGTCTATTTCAATTTTATGACAGATATTGTCATGCTAAGATAATATTTACATTTATTTAATTAAAGGGGAATAAATGTATTATAAAAATTGACTTTATTGATGTATTCAATGTCTAAATAGATATGATAGATAATAGCAAAAGTGTCTCTTCCCTTTAAAGCTCATCATGAGTGTGCTCTTCATTTTCAGCGTTATTCGTAGAAGAAGCATCTGTTTCAGCTGATGAAGTTTGTGAGGCATTTTGCTCTGTGGTATTGTTATTATTGTTATCTCCTTCTTTTCCTGAATTGTTTTTATTATCATCTTCAGATGTCTTTTTGGTGATCTTGGGCTTCTTCTTTGTAATCAACTTTGTCAAATGATCTTTAACACCATTTGATCTCACTAAAACATCAGAAGTTAAAAGAACTGGATCTTCAGTATTAGCAAACTTCTTTTGAGCAGCCACTTTTTCAGCCATCCAATTTTCAAGCTTCTCAGCAGCAATTAATAAACCTTCAAGTTCTTCTTCAGTATGATAACGAGCATCTTCAACTTCACCACGAATCTTGTTAACAAATTCACGAGCAAGTGTAACAACAGTTTTTACAGTGTTAATATTATTCTCACGTTCATTGTACTCCTTTACACGATGCTGAATAGGTTGCTCAATAAGTCTAAAAAAAATGAGTACAAAGGTCAAACAAAATTGATTATCATAACTTGAAAGTTTACTTACTGAAGTTCTTTTAACTTTCTGACATAAACAGGTGTATCAGCATGTTCACCCTCATCATAAAGCCAGTCTGAAGTTTCAGAAAGTCTTTCCCTAAATTTCTCAATGTCATTTTTAGTGGTAACAATCTCTACTACTTCATTATATAAGAAATCTTGAACACGATATACAAAAGTTTCAAGAGCATTACGGGATTCTTCACGAAGTCTCTTACGAGTATCCAATGCGTCTAATTCATTTATTCTACAAAAAAAAAAGCATACAGGTTATTTACTAGGATTTATACTTTAAACGTAAACTTAGTACCTGTTCTTGGCAATTGCTTTATCTTTCTCGGTAAGAGGAATACGATCAACTGGAATATATTCTATTGTCAAAGGAATCTTATCGATAGTAATGCTCTCCTTTGTATTGGTTGTTGTAATATTATTGTTTTTATTATCATCAACAGAAGTTTCATTTTGCTTATTTACTTCATCTTCAATCTTTTTCTATTATTAAAATCTTAGCATATTCAACTTACTATTGAATATATATATACATATATCCTTACCTCAGCCTTAGAGTCTTTTGTGTCTTTTCCACTAAAGAAAGATTTGACTTTATCTAATAAAATACAAGCTAAGCTTATTTATATATACATATATGAAATGTCTATGATTTACCCTTAAATGATTTTTTTCCAATATGAAGAGAAGCTTCAGTTACAGAAATAATACCAGAATTAGACAATTCAAAAGTAACTCGAACTTTGGGTGGAATTTCAGTTGCTTTGATATCATCTTTATGCTTATTCATAGCTTCAGTAAGGCCAGTAACCTTAACCTTAGCAATCCCATCCATACCAGCAAGCGCATTTTTTCCATAAGTCATACCAAACTCGAAATCTGTAACACGATTGAATGTCATAATTTTGCGCATATTAATACTATCGAATTTGCTAACAATAGTTGTATCAACGGCTGATGCGGCTATACATATTGTTAGTAATAGATATAAATATTTTTAATTTGATGTGTATTACCTTCTTTGCCTTTATTCTCAGGTTTATAAGAAATATCGATTGGGAAAAGTGTAACATCTTTAATGGTAATTTGTTTACTTAATCTAAATTGGTTACTAAGAGAAGCACCACGGAAAGCAGCACCCAAAACAGCAGCTTCATCACCATTTACATTCTTTGCAATTTTTTGTGCTCCAACAAGGTCAACCAATTGCTTTTGAATAGAAGGTACACGAACACCACCGCCAACGAGAACAACTGACTGAATATCGTCTACTGTCATATTAGCTGCTTCCAAAGCAGTTGCAATAGGGTTATTAGCACGTGCAATCAAATCTTGACAGATGGATTCCAATTGGGCTCTAGTTACTTTTACTTTAAAATCTAAATCTTCATGAAGACTTTCAATCTATTACGAAAAGAAAAATATGTTTAATTTCTTTTTTTTTTTCTTCATTTTGCGAACTATACGCTGACACACTTACAGAAGCCATTGTTTCAGTATTTGCGCTTAAAATTTGTTTAACTCTATTGGCCTCTTTCATTAACCGAGTCATAGCACTTGAAGAAGTTCTGATATCAGTGTTAATACGATCCTTATTTGCCTTCATAAATTCAGCAATTAAAAGCTGTTGAAGACGAACATCAAACTCATGACCACCCAATGTACGATCAAATCCAACACCTTTAACTTCCAACTGAGGAGAGGTACGAGTGATTTTACCGTCTTTTATCTCAACATTTGAAAATGTGACAATCGAAGCAACTGTTGAACCAGCACCCATATCGTAAAAGATATGATTTTCTGGTGTCTTACCAATTTCACGACTAACAGCATAATTGAGAGCAACTTTTTGAACATTAGTAAGCCTGTATTTTTTTCTTTCTTTGTTATATATCTCATTCTTACCAGCTGTTTCATCATGCATAAGGGTTAAGACATTTAACCCAGCGAGTTCAGCAGCATCAATAATTGCTTGACGTTCATATTGATTAGCAAATGGTGTGACCTGAAAAAAAAAATTAAAATAAAAAGTCAGTTAAAGTAAAGACATTAGTTTGAAAAAGTAGACTTACAGTAATCACACAATCCTTTACGTTTTCACCAGCTGCAGCAGAAGCTTGGCTTCTAGCATGTTGGAATTGATAAGCAATAAGCTCTTCAATAGACAAATGTGTTGTTCCATTGTGAATAAAGATGGGCATATTCCTTTCGGAATCAATAGACATTTCATTAACATAACGACGACGAAATTCTTGAACAACTGGATCGTCGTAGCGTTTCCCAACAATACTTTTTAGATTAGAATATGTTAACTGAGGGAATCTACCAGCCTATTCATCATATAACTTAGTATTATTAATATTTTTTTTATCAAATATTAGTTTATTATTTACCAAACTAACGGCATCACTTCCATAGATACGTTCATCATTTCGAATAGTAACGACAGATTGTGTTTTTCGCTTAGAATCTTTGTTTAAAGCAACATCTAAAGGACGACCAGGTTTAATTAGACCAACTTTAAACCATTCAGTACCATAGTCAATTGACATGACAGCCGCTTGTGCTGCTGTACATAAGAACACCACTGTGCAAATAAATAAACACAGCCAACGTGTTGTCATTGTAATTTATTGAAAAGAAAATAAAGGGGGGATAAAGAAAAATACAATTATAAAATCAAAAAGGTTTATATCCAAAACCTATTGAACTTGTCCAGATACCATTGGCCAAAACAATCGCTAAAATTAAAAGTCCATTTTAGTGAGATTTAATGCAATATCATTATTATTCAGAAAAAAAAATTTTCTACAGTAAAAAATCAAGATCCAGATTCTACTATCATTTGTAACGTTAATAGTATGATGTAGTAACACATATAAATAAGATGTTCAAGTTAATGAGTGCTTCTAAAGCGCATGAGTTTAATAGGAAGGAGTAATTTTGAAAATAAATATTCTATTCGACTATTATTAAATAAGTGCTGCACTTTTAGTAATAAATAATTCCTTCAAATCTCTTATAATAATTACTATAGTTACTAATTTTTCTTAATGTTTATTTATTGAAGCGCATATTTTAACAAATACACTTTCCTTTTATGTACATACACTATAACTATGTCTTTCTAATTTATACAAGAACCTAGCACTTCATACCAGCAATTACTCTTGTATTAAATTATATTCCACTGTAAACACATTTCTTTAATATAAAAAAAACAGTAACTACATAATTTACATTAAAAAAAAAAACTTTTTTATTTTATTTCAATATTAACATAACACATAATCCATTTCGACTCACATCCCCTCTATTCAAACACTGTAATACAATTGTATTGTATATGTTCTATAAAGGCAAATGTGTATGGTCAAATACAGCTCAAAAAGAATAGATATGATAAATAGTAATGAACACAATCTTCAGCCAGTGTGAATACAAAAACTCTCATAGACGTCGAGTTATAATTAGATATGTTTTCATCATTAGATTGTGCATTATCATTACCATTTTACATACTATACTAATATAATAGAAATCCATACACAGGCCTGAACACAATACAAATGTATTTGACACTTGACAAAAATAAAAACATAAAAGACATACTTTGGATAATTTTTAAAAAATAAAGCTTGATTAAAAAAAGATTTTAATTGGAACTTTCTTGAACATCATTATAATCTTTTAAAAACGAAAAAAGATATATATTTCATCCTTGAAAGTAGACAACCCGCAAGTGAAACGACTTTAAGCGACCATAGCAGAAGCAGTGGCAGACTCACTATTAAAAAAGAAAAATATGGGTTAAGGAGGACTATTACTGAGCTCGCTTCCCATCATAGGAGAAGTCGTTGACTCAAATAATGTCCAATATAGGCAGGCAGTATAAAAATGTTTCACACACACACACACACACACACGCAAAATAAAATAGTTAGTATATAATAAACTAAAAAAAGGATACTATTTCCAAGTGGGAGGAAGTTGACCAGAAGTCTTGTAGTAACGAGCAAGACGGTGAATACGAGATTCAATAAGAATCAAACGGTACTTAGAGTCCTTATCCTTTCTGTTACGTTCCAAGTGCTTACGAATGGAGACAGCCTTCTTGATAAGGTGGTACAAATCCTCGGGGACTTCAGGAGCAAGACCGTTGGTCTTAAGAATACGGAGGATCTTGTTACCAGTGATGGACTTGACTTGGGGAATGCCATGAGAATCACGAAGAACAACACCAATTTGAGCAGGAGAGAGACCCTTCTTGGCATTCTTGCAGATCATGTCAACAACTTCTTCAGCAGAAGTCTTAACCCAAGAGGGAGGAGTGCGACGATAAGGGAGGGCACTACCAGAGATACCCTTACCAGAAGTATACATACGACCCATTTTGACTAGTTAATTAAGATCTCAAATTAGATTGGGAAAAAGAGGAGGAATTAAAGTCTTTACACACTTTTACCTCAATTTTATAAGCACCCACAAAAAAATTTTTTTTTTTTTACTTTCTGAACCAAAAAAAATTGTGGCTTGTGTGACTGCAATTCACTTTCATTTTATTTTGGATTTCAATTTTTCACTTTCAGTTGACTTTATTTTGTTTTATAATTATTATTATTATTTTTTTTAACTGTTGCTTTGACAAATACCATAATGTCGTCTTTAAAGCAGCAATTGAAAAAGATTGGTACTCTCGATTTACGAAATGTAAGCGAGGCATCGAGAAAATCAAGAGCATCATTTCTTTTTACTGCACGTGAAGCTGCTGATCAAGATCTTGATACAATTTACTCTATTGCCTATAATGGTATTATGGAACTTGTAATCATTGACGAAAAATTCTCTGCTTTTGAAAAAACACTTTTCTCTGAGAATATGAAATCTGTTGATAGAATTCTTCAGGTAAATTTAATTTATAAATTTATGCATGTTTTTATATACTCATATTTTTATAAATAGACCAAAGACGAAAATGATAAGCTTGACGCTAGTATCAATGCATTCCTTTGTCAACTTGCACCTTATTTTTTATTAAAACCATCTGGAAAAGTTTTAGAATATCTTATTCGTCGTTTTCGTATCCAGGACTTTAATGTAGAATCCATTCTTAAATGTATTTTGCCTTATCATGAAACAAAATCATTCGTAAAGATGGTTTCCATTTTGACTATCGAGTAAGTTTATGGCTTCTATTTTTTTTTTCAAAATTTTCAAATTTAACATGTTTTCAATCTTTTTAGAGACAAATCTCCTTGGGAATTTTTAAAACCTATTAAAAAGAGTATGCTTCCTCTAGATCGTTCTTTGCTTATCAAAAAGATGATGAAGGATAGATATATTTTTGATTTTGTCTGTAAAATGGCTACTCAACCTCTTGTTCCTTTCCAAACTCTTTATTCTTTCTATGCTGCCATTTTAACCGACTTTATCAAGTTTGCACCCGTTGTTAAAGAAGAAATGACGATTGCCCTTACTCCTCATTTGATTGATGGCTTGAAAGCTAAAAATTTACCCGAATTACAAATGGCAAGTTATATGATACTTTCTCAATTAGCATCAAAAGCGGTATTTAGCAAAGAAGGAGCTGAAGCTTTAGCGGATACAGTATTGAGAAATTATAAAAAGAGTTGTTTTAGTTATGCTTTATTGACTATTGTTCACCTTTGTCAAACTCAAGAAAGCTTCAACACTGTATCAAAGAAAGCATTGAAGGCATTTACTAAAAATTCTCAGTTCGAGCAAGCTATACTTGAAATTGCTGAAAAATATGCCACCGAACGGTTTTTTGCTTGCTTTATCAAAGATATATGCCATGAAGTCAGTAATATTGGTCTTTTAGAGACATTAGTATTAAAAGGTTACCTTTCAAGCGAGAATATCTCACTCTTGTGCTTTTCTATTATGGATATATACCTTGATATTGCCGATGAAAATGATCAGCAAAAGAAAAATGAGTTTATCTCTCATTATCAACCTCTCTTGGCTATGATTTCTCAACGTTATGTCGAAGAATTAGATACTGTTTTAGAATCAAAGTTGGCTGATGCGAAAAATAACGAGAAGCTTAACAAAGAACTTTACGAATTTACGTCTTCCGCTTTCAAAGGAACCAGACATGAGATTATTGAAGAAGCTAATACTACTCTTTACCTATGCTTGAATAGTCCTGCTGCAACAAATCGTCTTTTGGCTCTCAAAAAGTTAGTTTCTATTATTAATGACAAATCTAACTCATTGACTCAATCACCTGAAGTTTTTGAATCTTCTTTCGCCGCCTGTTTAGACAAGTTTGGTGCATTATTTAATTACACCGTTGAAGAAATTCCAAATCATTTGCTAAATTATGTCTCTGCTGAAAAAATTTTGTCATCTATTGATCAACTTTTGGAAGAGCGTGGCGCATTTAATACTAAGGATGCTGTTACAACTATCAAATTTCTCTTGACTGATTTTATCAAAAAGCATCCTAACAAAGAACGTGATGTTGCTCGTATTCTTTCCGTCTTTGTTTTTTCTGCATCTGGTAATAATCTTACTAATTTATTGAAACGTTTGGAATCTATCAAATTTAAGGAAACCCCGGTTTTAACTTCTATGGTGGATAGTCTTAAAGCTGCAGCTCAAGCCGAAGATAAATTCGAAGTTCCTACAAAATTCATTAAGCTTCAGGCAGACTTGATTAAGCAAAATAAGATGAAAGATCATACTGAATTTTGGGTTGATATGATCAAAAGCAAATCTAAACCTGAAAGTATTTTAGGCTTATTGGTTGCTTCATTGGCTGTTTCTATTGTCACTAAAGAAAAGAATCAATATTCATTGGGTTTGAATGTCTTGAATGCTGTTTTGGTTGCCGTTCATGACAAAAAAGAACTATTCTATTCTGTTAAATTGAATGATAATTTCTCTGTTAAAACTGGTTTACCTTCGAAGGATGTCATGAAAAAATTAAAAAATATCAATGATATCCCTGACGCTTTGTATATTCAACTTACTCAATTTGCATTAATTACTTTAACCAAGTCTTTACATCGTCCTGAAAATGAGATTAATTGGTACAGATCAAATGGCATTAACAGCGATTATATTCATTTGATTATCAAGCTCTTTAAAACATTCATTAGCGGTTCTTCTGTTGGCACTTTTGAAAATGCAGTTATTGAACTTCTCAAGTCTCAGTTGAATACTGATACTCTTCGCTTTTTGACCAGTATTTGGGCTAATAATGATAACACTTTTGTTGTACGCGCTCGTGCTTTGCAAATTACTTCTGCTTACTTGGAGCGTTATATTACTAGTAATGGCTCTAAGATTGATTTCCAACATATGATTCCTTCTCTTTTCCCTACTTTAGGTGATGAACATGAATCTGTTCGTGTTCAAGGTCTTCGTTGTTTGGAATATATTCGTTCAATTTATCAAACACAAGGTTTACCTAGCGGCCATAAGGTATATGATACCGCTATTCCTACAGAAAGTGTACAAAAGGTGAAAGCTGCCACTAATATCTCTATCCTTCCTACCAATACCTTTTATGACGAAGCTGCCTCTGTTTCTTCTTTAAAGTCAAATGAAGCAGCACATCTTGTTGATTTCTTGTGGTATAGACATGACGAAATTAGTAAAGATCGTAGTTTCGTTACTCGCTTATTTAATGACTATTTAACTTTATGTGGTGAATCTAAGGAGAAGCAACACAAGACGCGTAAGACTCAGACACTTACTTTCTTACTCAACCATGTAAATGATGCTCCTACACTTGAAATGAAGATTAGTATGCTTTCTATATTAGATTCTATCAATAGTCCTCTTAAATTGCGAATCTTGGCACCCCTTTTAGAAGAAACATTGAACAAACCTCGTAATGCAAAATCAACTACTTTAGTCTCCTATCTTATTCGCACCTTTTTGCCTTCTAATGCTGCTGAATTTGGTAATAAAGGTGATAAAACATTGGCACTCTTTCTTCGTCTTCTTGATAATAAGGATATTTTACAAGGAGCAGATGAAGATGGCTGGCAAGTATCTACACGTTATTTTGCCCTTGATCAAATTACGCCCGAATTCTTTAGTCAAATTGGTTCAAAGGCTCAACAAGCTATTTTTACTTCTTTAGTTGATATTGCTACTAATGGTGTCCAAAATGAAGTTCGTGCTTCTAAGAATGTCTTGACACAGATTGATATTGATGCCAAAATGTTTGAAGACAAGCTTCTTTCTGTTGCCAAGAGTCTTATGGGCGTATCCAGCCCTACAATTAGTTCTCCTGCCGGTAAACGTAGCCGTACAGGCCTTGTTGATGTTCAGCGTGATCCTGTTGTCGATCTTTATGAGCTTGTCACTATCTTGGAATTAATTGAATCCAAATCAATTTCAAGGGATGAGATTCTAGTGAAACCCTTATTTGAAGTTTTGACGGCTATGGTCAATGCTGATCTTCGTGACTCTCCTGTATCACTTGAATACATCAATCAGTTACTTCTTTCTGCCTTAACTCATATTATTCAACATGCTGAAGAAAAGGGAGCTAGTCTTGAAGAGTCTGCACTTCGTGTTGATGTTGTTGTACAATGTATTCGTATTACTGGCAATCCTCAAACACATAATCAAGCTCTTTTATTGATGGCTACTATTGCTTCTATGTTCCCTGAATGCGTTTTGCATAATATTATGCCTGTCTTTACTTTCATGGGTGCTAATGTTCTTCGTCAAGATGACAATTATAGCTTCCAAGTTATTCAGCAAACTCTTGAGAAGATCTTACCTCCTCTTGTTGTCTCTAGTAGAAAATCTAACAATGATGATGAAGCTGCTCTTGTACTTGAGGTGAAGCCAATCATCAAAGTTTTTGTTGACGCTTTGTTCCATATTCCTAAGCATAGACGTTTACGTTTGTTTACTATTCTTATTCATACCTTAGGAGAAGATGAATTCCTTTATGCTATCATCTCTTTGTTGTTGGAGAAGTTTGTTGATCGTGTAACCAAGGGCGCTAGTTCTGAAGCTGAATCCTTAACTGAGTTTAGTTTGATTATCAGTCAACACTTTAGCCCTGAAACACAAATGAAGGCTATTTTGGCTCTCTTGAATGGCATGCTTGTTTTGCCTAATGAGAAACCAGAAGATATTACGATGGAGAGTAAAGAAACTCACTTGTTTAATGTGTCTGAACATAATGCTAAGCAACTTCGTCAATATAAACTCGCTGTACTTAACTTTATCTCACAAGTGTTGGTCTCTAAGGGATTCTTGAATAAGATCATGATTCAAACAAATGCCTCTGACAATTTCGCTGAAGTTATGCAACCTCTTTATCTTCAAGCTGTTGAACTTATTTTGAAGATCGTCAATTACTTTACTGAATATCGTGATGCTTATTCTGTTTCTGAGAATGCTGTTCCTAGCATTACTAAATTCTGGAGAGCCATTTTGAAGGTTGTTTATGATGTCTTGGATAAGGTGAATGCCCTATTGAGTTTGGATACCTTTATTAATGTTATTTCTGAATTAATCGAACATAATGATGCAAATATTCGTCGCAAGTCTTTGAATATCTTTAATGAAAAAATTCTTTCTTTTGATGATCATATCCCCGAGGGCTCTGAAGACCTTTTGATGAATATGAGCAACAAGTTAACTTCAGTTATTCAAAAGGAATCCTCTAGTTTGGCTAGTGAAGAAGATCGTGCAATCAATAAGCAATCTGCTTTACTTTGTATTGCCTCCATGGCTAAAATTCTTGGTAACCTTTATCCTGGTCAATTTTCAGAAGCCATTCCTGTCATTATTGGACCTGATGCTCTTCAATCTAGTGATCCTCAACTTAAGATCTCTTCACTTGTCTGCCTTACTGTTATCTGTCAAGAGATTGGTCCTCGTGCAGTTCCTCATCTTCCCAAATTCATGCCTCTTATTACTGATATTTTAGCTGATACAGTACAAGCAGAGACACCTAATTTATTGTTACAACTAGGTGTTGTTAGCGCACTTGAGACTATCACACAAGTCTTGCCCCACTTTATTAGTCCATATATTACCAAGCTTTTGAACGGGCTCTTACATCCTTCCATTTTTGTCTATGAAGCAGGACATACACAAAAGGCCACTATTGAATCCAAGGCAACACATGTTTTATCTCAGATGGCTACACTTATCTCTCCACGTGTCTTATTAACCCCTATTTTCAACTTTTATGAAACAGCTGTTAAGAATGGTAAGAAATCTGTTTTGGCTTTCCTTTCTGTTGTTTCACAAGCAATTCGAACAATGACACGAGACGTGATAACCTCTCACTATAAACAAATGTTCAAGTTCTTTTTGATTGTATTTGATGTTCGTCGTTCTCATAGCAAAGAATTTGAAGAATCTGATGTAGCTGTGATTGAAGATGCAGTCATCAATACCTTTTTAGATTTGGTTATCAAATTGAACGAAACTCTCTTTAAACCATTGTATCTCAAGGTCATTGACTGGGCTACAGTTGAGCTTACAGGTGAAGATACTCGAGCCCTATTCTTCTACAAGCTTGTTGATGCTCTCTTTGAGAAACTCAAGTCCATCTTTACACCTTATTTCGGTTATTTGATCGATGATATCATGATGCGTTTAGAGCGTTACAAGCAAGGAGAACAACAGGTAGATTTCCTCTGGGATTATATAATGTCTTCACTTCGCAAGTCCTTCTTGTACGATAACGATAATCTCTGGAATGCTACCCGATTTGAAAAGATCATGGATCCTGTGGTTGATCAAATGTTGGTAACCGAGAAGGGCACGAGTGTCGATTATCTCAGTCGTATGTCTGAATTTGTTGTTCCTTGTGTTGGACAAATGGCAGTGACTGTGTCTAATGATACACTTTGGAAGCCACTTAATCATAAGGTGTTACTGAAGACAAGAGAGGACGATCCTGAAATTAGATTAGCAGCTTTGAAATGTATTGAAGAATTCTATGTTCGTCTTGGTGAAGAATGGTTATTATTCTTGGCTGAAAGTATCTCATTCCTTGCTGAACTTATGGAAGATGATGATGTTCGTGTTGAAAAATACGTTCAACAAGTAAATGCTCAAATTGAAACTCATTTGGGTGAAAGCTTAGATAAATTCTTTAACTAAAAAAAAAAAATTCCGTCTGACACCCTCAAAAAAAAAAAAAATTAACTTATTTCTGTAAATACATATATCTTTAAATAAATAAATTATAGTAGAACATGATTTAGAATTATACACCAATAATGTTAATCCTGTAAACACTGTTCAATTTTTTTTTATGGAGCTGTAATGTGCATATGATGTAACTAAATTCAACCCCCGCTTTTATGCTTTAATTTAAAGCAATCATTTGTTGGTAATGTTATAACTTGTCTCTTTTCCCTTTCTATATACATATACACATATATATACAATACATGGAGTTAGATGGACGGTGGTTTATTGATCAAGAAACAAAATGTACAGTTTTATTCAAAGGGATTAATTTAAGTGGAGGTACCAAACTACCAGTCAACATTCCTTCCAATGAACGTAATGGCTATTGGGTTGATTATGATCGTAAAGTCAGTTTTATTGGAAGACCCTTTCCGTTAGATGAAGCCGATGAACATTTGCAAAGATTAGTTAATTATGGATTCAACTTGCTTCGATTTGTAATTACCTGGGAAGCTGTGGAACATGAAGGACCGTAAGTCGTCATATAAGTGAATTTCTTGTCCCAAAAAAAAAATTAACAAGTATATAGTGGTATTTATGATCAAGACTATTTAACATATGTAATCGATTTATTAAAGAAATGTGGACAATATGGATTTAAAGTATTTATTGACCCTCATCAAGATTGTGTAAGTTACTTTTTTTTTTTAAAAAAAAAAAAAGAGAAAAAACAAACGATTTATACTCAAATTTTAATTTCAAGTGGTCTCGTCATTGTGGTGGCTCAGGGCATCCTGGCTGGACTTTATCACTAGTCGGGTTTGATCCACTTCATTTCCCACAAACAAATGCAGCTATCGTTCATAATTTATATCCAGAGCCTCAAAAATTACCTAAAATGATATGGAACACAAACTATCAAAGGTTAGCTGCTTTAACGATGTTTACCCTCTTTTTTGCAGGCAAGATATATGCACCTAAATGTATTGTAAACGGAATTCATGTTCAAGATTATCTGCAACAGCATTATTTTCGATGCTTTCAAGAGGTTGCAAGAAGGATTCATGAGAATGGGCTAGAAAATACAGTGGTGATTGGCTATGATACAATGAATGAGCCTGGGAAAGGATATTTGTCGATGTTTAAGCTTGATGAACTAAATAAGGAAGATACAAGTTTCAAAATGGGATTGATGCCAACTCCCTTTCAAGGTATGTTACTAGGTTCCGGTATAGCGACTAAAGTAGAGAATTGGGAATTTAAATGGAATGGGCCAAAGAAGGTGGGTGAGGAAGTTGTTGATCCTGGTCATCATACCACAGCATGGCTTACAGAAGATGAATTAAAGCAAGTGAATGAAACATTCGGTTGGGAAAGGGGGCCCGAATGGCGGGCAGGATGTATTTGGGATACACATGGTATTTGGGATAAATCTAGTAAACAATTATTACAACCAGAGTATTTTGCTACCAACCCACAAACTGGGAATACAACACATTATATTGATTATTGGCTAGAGTACCTTCAGGATTATACGAAAGCTATTCGTGAAATTCATTCAGATGCTATTATATTTGTTCAATCACCTGTCTTGGAGGAACCACCCAAGATACCATCTACATTAAAAAGAATTGCTTATGCTCCTCACTGGTATGATGGACTCACACTTGTTAAGAAGAAATGGAGTAATTATAACGTAGATGTGATTAACTTGAATCGAGGTAAATATGGTACTGGACCACTTCGATTTATACGTGCACTTCGAATAGGAGAAAAGGCAATTCGACAATGCTTTGTTGATCAATTAAAAACGATTCAAACAGAAGGTTTAGAGAACATGGGTGAATATCCTTGTGTACTTGGAGAAATAGGTATACCTTATGATATGGAAACAGGTGTTTCAGCAGCCATAGCATCAGCAGCAGCAGCTACTACTACTACTACTACTTCAGATTTTATATATTCTTGGTGGACATGGATTTTATCATTTTTTAGTGAAAACAATGATACAAAGGAAAGAAGTTTATCATTTATAGGAAATCCAAAGTCATCACAAAATAAAGCTATGGATGCAAATATAAATGCTCTTGAAAAAAACTTGTTAAATTATACGATTTGGCATTATGTAGCTGATAATAGTCCAGAATGGGGTGATAATTGGAATGGAGAAGATATTAGTATATGGCAATGTTCTCCAGAGAAAGGACCATCTTCCTATACAACTAAAGACTGCACAACACATACTTTATCTTCATCTGTAACCATCACTGACTCCCCAGATTCAGATATAATAAAAACGAAATCAAACAATATAGATGACTATCTGGATACAATGACGAATTCAACTCTCGATTCTTTCTCTGGACTTTTACAACAACAACAAAGTGAGCAAATAAATAATCGTGATTTAGTTTGTTTGCATAGACCCCACGCTAAATTGACGTCAGGGACTCCCTTAAAAATTGATTTTATATCACCTACAGAAAATCAACGGGCTGTATTTAATTATACATTTCACTATAAAAGCAGTTATGCTAAAGTACCTACTGTAATTCATGTACCCATACGTTTCTTTCCTTTACCGCCTGATAAGACTAAAGTGAAAGTAAGTAATGGATACTGGAAGATACAAGCTACTTTTGATCATTATTGGATACTTTATTGGATAATTGAAGATGAAGTAAACATTGAAAAGGCCGATCTATTATTGGAGGGGATAACAACTGCTGCAGCCTAACTTTATTTCACATGATTCAATCTAAACTCAAACAACCAATAAAATCGCTAGATTTAAGAATGAGAACAGAAATTAAAAAAAAGAAAAAATTATTTTTATTTCCTTTTTTTCCTTTTTCTTCTCTCTCTATTAAAAAAAAAAAGAAGAAATATCTTCCTTTTCCCTTTTTCTTTCTTTTTTTTATATAAACATATACATATTTATATAAAAGGAAGAAGACATATTAGAATTCAAGTTTAATTAATTTTTTTTTGTTTTTTTTTTCTCATTGTAAACAAAAAACAAAAAAAAAATCCCACAAGCCAATTCTAACACGGTGAATCATCCAAGGTCACCTTTAATCAAGAACAACAACAACAGCTTTTTTTTTAAAAAGAAAAGAAAAGGTTGACCCCTTTTTTATAAAAACAAAATAAATAAGAAAGGGTCTTTTTTTTTTTTCTTAAGTTAACAACAACAAAAACATTCAATCAAAGTCAGTGATACAAGTTTCTTTATCTAAAAATAATAAACATGAATTTCACTGTTGCTCTCAACCAATACACCAAGGCTGTAGCCAATTACCCACAAATGACAAAGAAGAGGATATGGGACGTGAAGGTCGACTATTCCATGAACAGCCACAACGGCCTGTTAGCTTAAAGAAGTCTTCTTCTGAACGTATCATGAAGCCTACTATCAGTCGTCATCAACGCAATTCAAGACGTCATCAACCTTATTCAATAAATAATAACACTTCAATAAATAACAATGAACAATCACTCTTACTTTTTGGTCCTTCATTACTTTCATCTACTTCAAATGCAAGCTTAATATTCAATCCAACTTCGTCAAGTATTTTAGATGATTCTGAAGTATTTGATGAATTAAACAGCTTTATTCAATCACCTTTAACAACCTATTTGTCTTCACCTCCATCTTCACCCATTTTATCTCCAGTAGATGAAACTGATTTTGATGATTTTCCATTATTTCCGTGAATATATTAGCAAGCAATATAATAAAATAAAATACATAATAAAATAAAAAAATAAAATAAAATAAAAGTGATGATAATAATAGTAATGAAAATCATGTATATTTTCTTTTTTGGTCTAAACATTCGTTAAATCAGTTCATAAATATATCCAATATGCTCAAGTCAGGTCAATAATAATAATAAAAAAAACACGTATCTTTACGAGTATAAATTTACTGGAAAAAAAAGGGGGAGGAACCAACATAACAAGCGTGTCAATGTCCCGAATTTGGATAAACTAGGATATAATGGAGGTAATAAAGTTCCTGTTGTTGTAAGTTGATTCTATTCTCTAAGGAATGACTATCAATCTACAAGGTCGACGTTTCTTTCCTGGAAGTGAAAAAGATCTTTTGATGATAGAATGTTACAAAGTATTATGGTTAGTTAAAAAATAGAGATTTGGACAGTTTATTCTCCTCAAATTAGTATGGCCCATTTATTATAAGAAATAAAAATAGGTTGTGTCACAATAAAGCTTGTTATAATTATATGAATTTATTTTAATAAGCTGTCGGTTCAAATAAATGACTGATCATATCATCTACTTTTTCTTTATCGTATCGAATATATTTTGCAGGGTTTTTTGTAAAATCTGTATGTTGATATTTATCTAGGAAACGACCATACATGGGCACTAGAACATTTTTAACATCTCGGATAACTTGATTTCTTAGTTCTGTATCAGGGATAGCATAGGTTTGTTGTGCTCTTGCAATCTCTTCAAACTCTGTATTAAAGTTTCTAAAACGCTCTTTAATAAGCTGTCTTTCTTGACTTCCCATCGATTTACTAATCGTTCCTCCTCTAACATATGTCACGTCCATCAAGTTTTCTACACATGGTTTCCATGACTCTTGATATGCGTCTAGTTGCTTTTTCACTAATTTACTAAATTTCATCTCTGAGCCATCATCAAAAATAGCATTTAATGGAGGTGAACGAATCTGTCTTAATATGTGATTATAATTATTAAGTAAGAAAATAGTAGCCAATGTTGGTTTTTTATATCCTCGTGATTTATATTGAAGAGTCACCGTCATTTGATCCAGAGCATCGACAAAGAATTTCTGTAATAGAGCTGCTCCCATTGCAGTTTCTCCTCGAGGAGCAATACGAGATGTATCATTTAGAACTTGTAAAGAAGGCATATTATTCCAGCCACCATCACCAATAAGAATTAAAAGGGGTTCAACTGTATCTCTCCAAAGGTATAGACGTTTAAAATAGTTTAGTGTCTATTTAACAAACAAACAAACAAAATGAGTAATTCTATTATCTACATACATGTATAAAGTGAACTACTTTACATTACTGGTCATTTCATGTACTGTGCCGTCACTACTTATATTCATTTGCGCATTCACATCCTTTCTTCCTCGAATATCTTCCATAAATTCATAAAAATTACGTAGAACGGTCAATTTAAATGCATTCATTAAATCTTGTATTTCCTTTAATGATATAGCGTAGGATAACTCATTGACATAACCTACACACTCTTTATCATACTTTTCAATAATATCAAATACAAATGTTGTCTCTGTATAATTTAATCTTTTAGCAATCGCATTCAATTGTTTACCAGCTGCAATGTATTCTGTAGTAGCCGCCATGATGGACCCTTTCAAGGCAGCTGCTTTACGTTGTTCATTTACCATAATTTGTTGAGCAAATTTATATTCAAATTCTAGCATTTTAGTATAACATTCAGTATATTTCAAAAATTCACTTGATCCTCTTTCATATGAACTTCCTTGATGTTTCTCAGAAAGCTGTACAGATTGTGATAAAGGATGTAAAGACTTTTGTAAAAAAGCAGATCGAATTTCAATATAAGGTTTTGTAAAATCAGCAGCGTATCCAATTTCTTTTTCAGATGTTGCAATATAAGTTGATAATTGAGAGAGTTGCTTCATAGATGCTGTTGTCATTAACTCACTATCTATTTTATTTATTTATTTGGTATTAGTTAAAATGATATATACTTAAAAGAGAACTTACTAGAATTAAGCATCGTATTAATATCTACTGGATTACTTACTGCTGACAGCCATTTCCTAAACAATGTCTCTAAATGAAGCATACCTGCTTTCAATAATTGTTTCTTAAAGTAACAAAAGAATCCTGTTAGTATAACAAGTAAAGCATAGAAGGTATATTCTTCTTTTTACCATTTGATAAATAGTTTTATCGCAGGATCTTAATTGACTCTTTTCAATTGCATCTACACCATCTTTTAACCTTCCCATAGCCTTTAAATAAGGCAATACATTTGTTTCATCAGGCCTAAACAAAAAGAAAAAAAAAGGTTGAGTTGATATATTTACAACTTTGTGTAAAAATACCAACCCTTTCAAAATAAATGCTTCTTCTTTACTCGGCATGTTTAAACAGTCTACAATATTTTCAGCTGCTTTCAAAGTTGCATCAATATCTACAAGAAAAATAAAATAAAATAAACAATTTGTAAATTCAATAATAACTAATCATCTATTGTCTAATGATTACTATTGGCAAGCTTTGTTAGATTTTGCGTTGACTTGTGAATGGGTAAAACAGATGCCTCAAGTTTTAATAATCGACCATCAAACGAATCTAATATATTACCCTTTACATACTTATATATAAGAAGATCTTTTATAGATAGAATTATTAAATTAATGTATAACTACCAATTTATCGGAAAGTCCATTCATTCTATTCAGCTGTTTTTGAAGTGCATCTAATTCTGCGGCATCCTCATCTAGTTTTTCGTTAGGGACTAATTGACTACATCATTAACGTTTATTAAACAATTCTATTGTTACATGCTTGAATTATAAAAAGGGTGACTGTACCTTGGCATATTTATTATTATAACATAAAATGAAATGAAATGAAAGAGGTTAACTCGGTTATAAATGCTTAAATGTGTATTATTATTATTTTATTTTATTTTTTCAAGAACCGCAGAAAATAAATAAATAAATAAAGTTATAAGCATTAATTTACAATTACAGCATTAACAAGTACTACTATAGAAATATCTGAGAGTAGCTTGTATATACTTTTTTTTTTATCTACAGTAGTATCTGAAATAAAAAAAAAATATTCATTTATCTCTTGAGTTATTATAATTATTAGCTGCCTCTTATCAAATTATAAATTATTTGCCGTAAGCTGTGTTATCAGATTATCTTTTTCTCAGTAAACAACTTATTCATTGAATAAATAAAGGGAAATGGAACAGTAGAGTAAATGTTAATTGTAACCAAAAGAGACATATACATACATTCTTTGTACTATTTTGTATCGTGCAGACAAATATAGAGCTCTCTTCATTCTGAGGTGTAGAAAATACATATCTAATAGAAAAGTATATAAAAAACCGTGTGTCACAGTTTTGTTTTGAAATTTAGAATGAGTATTGACTTAGCAAAAAGCTTTTATTACTCGATTTTTCACTAACTTGTAAATAAATAAATAAAAAAGACAAAGCAATCATATATCTTATTATTATATTCAAGTAGTATATTAGCCAAATCAAGTAGAATCTGCTCAATGCTTGAATCTATAAACGATACTATTTCTGCCTATGATAACAACAAAAAATCGATATTATTTATCAGCAAGATTGTATACAAATAAGCATAAATAAGTTGGTTTTTAATATTAAAAGTCCATCGCATTGATTAATAAGCTATTTCAGAAAAAAGAATTCAATGGAATTTTTTTTTTTATTAATCAAATCATTTGCCAAGCATTTATTTTATTGATATGCAAGTCACCTTTAGGTACAATTAAGAATAAGGGAAAAGAGAGAGAGAAAGAGAAAGAAACGAAGTGTTCTATTTTATAATATTATACATTTAACTTTTATTTTATATAATTAAAGAGATAGGCGCTTTATTGCTTACGATGGATAATGTGTGTTTGTGTGTTCTAGACATATTATTATACTGCCTACTATGCTGTATGATTTGTTTGTGAATGAATTACTAGGAAAATAAACTGATAAGTAAAATATATTAGTTTCAGAACATTGAAAACTTCATAATAATAGGCCAATTTTTTTTATTGGTTATTCATTTTAATATCAGATTATTTTGACATTAATATAAATACAAGAATGAGTCTACTATCTCTACCTGATTCCCCAGTTTTATATACAAATATATACTTCATTATTTGAATTTCATTTAGCAATGTCATCCAATTCTGCTCTTTTCACTCCTATGAAGCTTGGTAAGCATGAGCTTAAACATCGTATTACTCTTGCTCCTTTGACACGTTTCCGTGCTGATCAGAATGCTGTTCCTACTGACCTCATGGCTGAATATTATGAACAACGTGCCACTGATGGTGGTCTTTTGCTCACAGAAGCTTGCTTCATCACTTTTAAGGCAGGCTCTTATCCTCGTGCCCCTGGTATCTATACAAAGGAACAAATTGCGGGTTGGAAGAAAGTGACAGACAGAGTTCATGCTAAAGGAGGTGTTATCTTTCTTCAACTCTGGCATATTGGTCGTGCTGCTATGTCAGCTATTATTGGTGAACAACCTGTCTCTGCTTCTGATATTCCTATTTCAGGTCTTACTCTCTCAGGTCTTCCTTACGATAAGCCTCGTGCCCTTACTATCCCTGAAATCAAATCTATTATTCAAGATTATCGTCAAGCTGCTTTAAATGCAATGGAAGCTGGTTTTGATGGTGTTGAAATTCATTCTGCTAACGGCTATCTTCTTGATCAATTCATTAACACCTCTAGTAATAAGCGTACTGATATGTATGGTGGTAGTATTGAAAATAGATGTAGATTACCTCTTGAAGTAGTAGATGCAGTTGTAGAAGCTATTGGGGCTGAACATACTGCCATTCGTTTCTCTCCTTGGTCTGGTTTCCAAGATATGGAAGATGATACCCCTTATGAGACCTGGGGCTATCTTGTCAAGACACTTCAAGAAAAGCACAGTAACTTGGCTTTCCTTGATTTTGTTGAACCTCGTGTTGATATCATTAATGACACTTGTCGTAGTACGGATGATACACTTGATCCTTTCCGTGAAGCATGGAAGGGCCCCTTCATCTCTGCTGGTGGTTATACTTATAGTACTCAAGCTGCCTTTGATACAGCCGAAAAAACTGGTAACATGATTGGTTTTGGTCGTCTCTTTATTTCTAATCCTGATCTTGTTGAACGTCTTCGTCATGGATGGCCTTTGAACAAATATGATCGTAGCACCTTCTATACAAATGATGCTAAAGGTTATACCGATTATCCTTTTTATAAGAAGGATTAATTATTATTTTTTTTTTGTAACTGTTTATGTGTTTAAATTTGTTTGTATAATATATAATCATTTCTTAATTTGTAAAAATAAAAGACTGCATAACAAAATCCTTTTTTTTTTTTTTTTTTTTTTTTTTTACTTTGCTTAAATTGATGAGGAACCAGAAGCGAAATAATTTTTTTTAACTATGTGCCTTGTAAAAATATATCGTTCAGTCTCGTTGATTTATTATACAAGTTTATGCATATCTTAATAGAGATATCGCCCTGAATGCTATACTCTTTTTAATTAATCCCAATCCCTTTATTTATTTTTTAACGATAAAATTATCCATCATGCCTTTTAAAGGCTTTGTTGGTAATATGATATAACCTTCAGTCATTGGGTTTGATTCTTCTGTTTTAGTAACAGCTTCATAGTGCAAAATGTATATTATCACGATGGGTCTATATCACTATTTTTAATTAAAATATTACGGCCAAAACCTGGTTTTTCTTTTATTCTCATTAATATTACTAATTTAACAATCCTGTTTGCTAATCTTTACACCAACTTATAAAGATGATAATCAATACAGTACATAAACGACTACAAAGCTTATTTAGTTAGTATTGAATCATCTTCTACAAGTCGTTATTACATAAAAGTCTTTTTTTTTCATTTATAATTAATAATAAAAAAGGGGTAATGATCCAATTAGCCAGTAGCTTCTTTATATAATAAAAAAGACTACTGTTTCCAGAAGCAACCAATCGTGGAGGTTGATCATTATGTGCTTCCTTTCACAGTCATATTTAACGAGAGACGTGAAAACTCCAAATGAAAGATACTCTCGGGATTTGAATATTTTAAGTGACCAATACATCCAAATAACTTCACTGGGGGGATTTATTATTTAGAGTGACCATTATCCGGAGAATATCACTGAGGATTTATTGTTTATAGTGACCAATATCCTCAGAATATCACTTTCACAAAGGAAAAGAAAAAGAAAAAAAGAAAAACAAAAAAAAAATCTATTTTTCTTTCCCTATTTATATTTTTTTTTTCACATAAACAAAAGGTTTATAATAGGCACAGTGCTTTATTGTGGCTTATTGTTTTCTATTAGTGGACATTTAACGATATGACTCTGTTTAGATCATCATACATATTGAATGTATTACAGCTTCTCCTTTTTTATTTATTTATTTATTTAAACGGAGCTTTTTTACCCTCCCCTTTCTCTGTTGCTGCTTATATAAATTTTGTCTATTTATAGACTTTATTAAACTATTTTTCTATCTAGTCTTGAGTATATAAAGGGGCATCTGAACAGCTGTCGTTAATTAATGATGAAACTTATCTAAGTTCACTCAACACCTTCTTTATCCTCTCCTCTATGAATATTATTAAATGTGTTTATATCTTACGTAATATTTAAAATAATAATACATTATGGGAGTAGACAGCCATTTATTTTATTTATTAGGAATAAAGAAACTTGAGTGAGTAGTCATATAAAAGGCAGTTTATTAAGGCATATTAGTCATTTTAACACTGACAATAAGAAAGCTACCCTCTTCAGGAGAGGGTAAGGCTTTGAGCCATCAAGTTTAAATTACTTTCAAGAGTTATAAACAGTATTTAATTATATGTGTTAAACACTTTGATTATATTTCTCTCTTTAATAAAGTGTATCTGATAAGCTTTATTCTTTTATGGTCTCTCCTGTGAGGAACTTTTATAATGAAAAATAACTGATAATGAGTATATGGCATTCAAGTTGTTCATTATTTTATTATAGCATGTCTTGTAATATGTATAAGACCTTTTGTTGTATTTTTATATCATTTGGATTGTTTGATATCTTAAATAATGGGACATTCAATTTAACAAATTCCTGCTGTAAATAGCGTACTTCTCCATCCATATCTTTTAAAATTTGTAAATCTAATCGATGTAATTCATGTTTCATTTCTCGATCAAGTGCCTGTATTTTGAATTAATTAAAATAATAAAAATAAGATCGTATTTATATTACCTGTAATACATTAGGATCACAATTAACTCCAATCAATTCTCTAGACAAAGTTTAATGAGTCACTACATTTTTTTTTTCTTTCTTTTGAAATTTTACAGTACACATTACTTTGCTAAAAAGTTTTCTCTCTGCTTTTTATATCGCTCTTTAATTGATTCTCGATGTTTAAACAATTCCCTTTCCTTTTTATCTTGTCTTTCTTTGCATTTTTTTAAAACTTGGATCAAATTGGTTTCTTTTACAAGATTACTTATCGCTGCTAATACCTCAGGTGTAATTGTCGTTGCATTCTTTAATTTTTCTTCTTGTGTTTTCTTTGTCAAATATTCTTGCCGTACTTGATCAATTACATCAGATCGAATATTGGATAAATCCAGTCCTGCTGGAAAGAGTGAAATGACCGCTTGCTGTTGTTGTTGTTGTTGTTGTTGTTGTTGTTGCTGCTGCTGCTGATTAACAGCAGGGTAAGACTGTGAAGGAACTTCAATATTTTGATCCTAATTTTCATATTCTGGTCATCAATAATTTTTCGATTAAATCCCCACTCTTTTTTTTTTTTTTCTTTTTTATATATTCTACCTTTAGTAATGAAAGAATAGAATTTAAATCTGCCATGACAAATATTTTTTTTTTTTTTTTTTTAGAAAAAAAAATTAAATTAAAGAAATAATAATAATAATAATAAAAGACAAGCTGCATGACATTTTTGAATACCGCATATAAAAATAGAATTTATGACAAATTAGGAAAAAAAACAAAAAATTTCATAAAATTATTGTTACTTTTTTTTTTTTTTTTTTTCTTCTTCTTCTTCTTTTGAATGTAAATACATATAGAGATATATTTTTTTTTTGAGATGCCATCATCAGCAACTTCCTCACCTAGTTCAAGTATTAGAAGATCTGCTGTAACTAGTAGTAAAAGAAGTTCAAGCAAGTCGATTAATCCAAAAATTGTTTACGATTATGCATTACGTTGTGCCATTCGTGCCCATCTCGAGCAAACAATAGAAAAAAAGAATGACAGCTTGTCCGTGAGCCCCTCTAGTTCATTTTCAAAGAAAAAGGAAGAACGGCAACATCGCCGAACCTTTTCTAGCTTAAGTGATAAATTCTCAGATGAAGACTCAAAGAAAAGTGGTAAATTAACAAGGGAAATCGTAAAGGGACTTATCAGACGTTTAGATGATGTCTATAAAGCAAGGGATGTTTCTAAACCAGAATACCTCGAGCCAAAGTTTCGAACGGTAGCCAAGACAGTAAAAAAGACTTTACAACAGGAACACCGATATAGACCTTCAGGAACAATTCATAATGTCGTTGTCTTGTTCTTAAAAGCGAGTGAATCAGAATTAAAGGCGAATGAGCCTAATCCTGCTGTTTGGTATGATGATTTGAATCAATATCTCGCTAGATTTGTTGAAATCGTGATACAGACTGTCAAACAGGATTCCCCCTCTGCTGCTACACCTGAATTATTAGATTCCCTTTCTGATTTTTTAGTACCGACATCATCATCATCTTCTTCTCAAAAGAATGCAGTCAAGTCTGATAACCGTGTCTCTACTTCTTCACTGAATACAGCAACCTCTCCACTTGAATCTTTATTACAGTTTCCTATGGTCGTGACAATCAAAAACTTATTTCAAATCAATGAAAACGATCATCGAAAAAAAGTATCAGAATTAATGCTTATCTGTAATGAATCGGTAAGTGAATAATAATAATAATATTAATAAGAAAAGAAGAGGGGAAAAAAAAAAGAAAAAAAAAAAAAAAAAAAAAAAAAAAAAGACAAAATTAATTAGTTGTAATTTAGATTAATTATAGATAACTATTATTAGGCATTATTACATGATTTGAAAAAATGTATCAATAATGTTCATACAAATCAATCTTTTCCAGGGAAAAAGGAAGATTTCCTAAATACACAAGCTTATGAAAATTGGCAAAAGAAAGAAGTCAAGCAATTAACAGAATTGATAAACACACTTATGTTGATGTATCCTAATCTAAGTTTATCTGCTTCAAGTGAAGTAGATGTGGGAAATACGAATTTATTAGCCCGACAAAGCTCTATAGATTCTATACAAAGTCAGAATACATTTACTAGTAATTCGGTAAAGTATTATTATCATGATTATATACATATCTAGAGGTGAGACTATTAATGGCTTGCTTGTTTAGTCTATGTCATCATCAGATGAATCAGGATTTACCTTTATTCCAGCAGACCCAAAGGGATGTTTTCATTTCTTGATGAGTATGTGTCTTGACTATGATACAGAAAACTTTAGTTCATCGATATCAGAAGCAGAACGTTCAAAGATAAGTGCATTTTCCCAGCAATCAGATCAATTATTAAGAGAATGTTGGAGAACATGGCGTCTATCTGCTCCATTTCGGGCTATCCTTTATCTGAATCTTGTTAAATCAAAATTTGATCAAAGCGAACTCGATATTGAGGATCTTAACTATGCACTTCGAGCATTAGATAGAGTAACAAAGGAAAATGATATTCAATTTTGGTCAACTATAGATGTAAAAAAATTATAAATATTTGTGTATAATTCAAAAGTTGACATGCATATAAACATATGTATATGTATATATACATATATATATATTATTTAGTATGATTATTTGGTTCGAGTCTTGGAAGGATTGCAAAATTCACTTTTAAAAGAGTTGAAAAATGGACTATCTGAATATTGGAAAATAAGGTAAAAGAATTTGATAATTGTCTTGGAATTTATGTATTCATTTCGTGTATATATATATATGAATAGTCCTACTTGGATTCAAGATATAGTTGATTTATTGATAAAAGTATGCAGTAATTCAGTTTATACAGATAGTCATCCTAATCCAAAAGATGAGATTATTTGTTTACAAGAATCCATTGAGGTAAACTTTATAATTAATTTTTTTTTAACAAAACAAAATAAAAAAATAGTATATAGTAACAATAAATTATTAGGGCGCTGCAGTAGAAAGATGGAGAATGATTGAAGAACTAGCAAATGACCCCAAAAAGGACTATCTTTCGAATTTATTTACAATGGCAGATAACCTTAACAAAGAACTTATTTCTATAACTAAAAAGAAATTTATGAAGCCAATTATGGATAGTATATCGATCCCTAGTTTAGTGATGGCAAGACAGTTACCTTATTTTGCTTTGGAAATGGAAAATTGGGCATACTCACCTGAATTTAAAACATGTCCTGTGGATAGTGCATTTGAATTGTATAAGAAAGTATTAAATCTAGAAAAATTATATGATACATATGGACCACAGTAAGTAAAATAGACTATCACTACACTGCAAAGAATAGAGATTTAATTAAAATCATAATCTACTTTGTTAGGAGGAAGACAAGTTTATTTAAAGTTGAATCATGGTTTTTGATTCATGTTAAACGTTGGTTAATGAAAACGAATCAGTCTACATTAAAGTGGGTGGAGAATGCTATTGCACAAGATCAGGTAAAAAAAAAAAAAAAAAAAAAAAAAAAAAAAAAAAAAAAAGGGGGATTGAATGAAAAAAAAAAATGCAGCAATTTTTATTGATCCTCGTAATTTATTCTATAGTTTCAATGCTATAGTGATTCTGTTGTTTATTCATCATCTATTATTGACTTATTCTCGATGTTTAACCAAGCAGTTGATTTTATAGCTGATTTACAATGGCCAAATGATATACAATATTGTTTATTTGAAACATTTTTATCCAAAATTATAGGAGAGGGCATTGAATATTACTGTCGAGCATTAGAAGAGTCAATTAAGATAGATATCTTTGCTTTAAATCACTCTTCTTCTATTTCAAGTCAAAATGAGAACAGTGGAGCCATTTCATCATTACCATCATCAAGGACGTCTATTTTGGATAAAGCAAGATATCAAATTATGGGTGATCGTGTCTTAAGTAAAATAGATGTTAGCTCAGTTCCTGTAAACTTTATCACACCAGAACTTTGTATTAAATTGAATAACATTGAAACCACTCGTGGTAAACTAGATCATCTCTATCGAATCATGCATGGTGATAATATTGCTCAACTTATGAGAGAAAACACAATACCACAGCAGCAGCAACAACAACAAACTGCGAAAAACAAATATATGTATACAATTCGTGTTGTACGAGCAGAGAATCTTCGACCTATGGATAAGAATGGGCTTAGTGATCCTTATGTCACGTTTGAAATCGATGGTAAAGTCATTACTAGAACAAAAACAGTTTATGAAACCTTGAATCCTCGTTGGGATGAAGAGTTTGATATTTGGCTAAGTGATGAAGCAGTTGATGTTTGTGTAATTGTAAATGATGAAGATATAATTACAGCTGATGAGGAATGTGGTGTGGCATGGTTTACTTTATCTCCCAAGTTTAGTGATATTTATCATCAAAAAGATGACTTGATCTTGAACTTATCGCCACAAGGATCATTGATTTTACGTGTGACAATGGAAAGTGAAAAGAATGATATACAATTTTGGTTTGGTAAAGCTTTTCGTACTTTGAGGACATCAGCAAACGATGTAGCAGGTTTGATTGCAGATGAGGTATTATGGTTGATTACAAAAAAAAAAAAAAAAAAAAAAAAAAAAAAAAAAAAAATGCGTTATCACGTTTTAACTTGCAAAATCTTTTATTTTTTTATTTTATTTTTTTTTCATAGATGGCACCTTATTTCCGTCATTGTTTATCTCGACAAGTGATTGAAAAGCTTTTAGGAAGAGATAAAAATAAATTCTTTTCTGTTTTCAGTCGAGTGAAAAACAAGCAGCAAACAGAGCCTGATCTACAAGATTGTGAAGATGCTATTACACCTCTTTTGGATTTCCTTGAACATAATTTACATATTTTAAATGAAAATTTGTTAGAATCCAATATGCACCTTGTAGTATTAAAGATTTGGAAGCAAATTCTTCGAACATTAGATGATGTCCTATTACCGCCCTTATCGGAACATATCTCTGAAGTCAAGCCGCTGGACGACTATGAACTTCATGTTGTTTTAAAATGGTTAGAGGTAAGAAAGGCGATTATCTATACATCTTTGCTTTTGCATATATTAAAATTATAAGTCTAGTTGTTAAAAGTTCTTTTCAATGGTGGAGAAAGTGGCGATGCTATTCCGCTTGAAGACCTTGAAAATAATCAATATTATTCAATACTAGCAGTGAATGCTGCTTATCATCTCAGCACTGAGCAATTAATTGACGCATATCATACGTCAAAACAAAGAACAGTTATAAACTTGGGTAATAAACCAGCGAACCGTAGTAAATCTGTCTACCATTCGAAAAACACAATTCGACAAAAAAAGAAAAACAATACAAAGAAAGATAAAAGATCAACTGTGATTGATTTACCTCATGGAGACGATATTTTACGTATCCTTCGAATGCGTCATGACAAACACGTTACTGAGTTTTTAAAACAAGAATTTAAAAAGCGTAATAAGAACAGTCATGATGAAGCAACAACAACCGTAAATAATAATGCTTTACCAGATAACTCTACTACTGCCCCTCTTTTATCTACTAACCCAGCCATACCAAATCATAATGGTATCACTCTTACTGACTAAACAGACTTTATTTTAGCTTTGAAAAAAAGAGGGAGAGAGAGAGAGAAAGGGGGAATTAAAGATGACCGCCTTTTTATATCTTTTTTTTCTCTCTCTCTCTCATAATGAAATGTTATACGAGCGACCATTACTTGTATCTTTATTATTATATATATGAATAAAACTAAATAAATAAAACAAGTGGCTACGAACTCTGATTTTTTAATAAATAGTTAACATGTAAAGAGTTTGAGGATTTAAGTCTAGTCGAGCCTACACTTTAGAAGTTTATGAAAGAAATTTGCAACCTTATTTTTTACAAGAGTTTACCTCGATATTACAAAGCTAATGATGAAGACACTTTGATTAAAAGAAAGGAACGAATGAATGTTCAAATATAGAAATTCAGATATTGGATATCTTAAAAAGTCGTGTGTTTATGGATAAAGCCAGATTTCAATCTGCACATGATGGTTTGAAATAATGATGAATGGTCTAAAAAAAGAGGTACGTCTGTAAATGTTGAGGTATCAAGTCAAAAAGATATACCTATATCTGTTTTAGGGACTATTTCTATGTAGGTTGTTATAAATATATCCATGAGAGACTTTAAGCCTTCAGGGACAAAGAAAAGAAAAAAGCTCCAGGAGCCTCAAAATATCTTTTCAATAATGGAAGAGAGCGACTAAAGCAGAGCATTTCTTCAATTTTATTGTTTCCATTTTAAATATACTTGATGCGTACAACATGAAAGGCGATTATATTGTCATGGATAATGCTACAATACATACTATAATAGTTCGTTACAATCATACAGTGAAGAAAGAGGTTTTAAATGTTTATATTTACCACCTTACTCTCCAATTTTGAACCCAATAGAGGAGCGTTAGTTCAAGATCAAAACCTCCTTTCGTAACGACATTCTTGCAAAATAAAAATAAAAAAAGTTTCAAGATCAAATAACTGAGGCTGCTAAAATAATTATTTACGAAATTTTAAAGGATATACACATATATTACTCAAAAAAAAAAAAAAAAAAAAAAAAAAAAAAAAAGGAAAATCGCGAATAAATATGATTATTTAACTGCACGTCTTATAGAAAGCGAATTATGGAATTTGGGAAAGCGAACTCAAATAATTTAACAAAACCTAGATCCCTTTTCACTGTATCTTCCATATCAAACGACAGCTTTACTTGGTCTCATACTATTGTCAGTTTAAATATGCACCGCCAACTACAAATGCTTAGTATCATGGTCAGTCCTTTATCCTTTCTACTTTATTGACTTCCCAGTAAGCATCTAAAATCTGTGTGTTGCACAAAGCGGTTACACCACGGCTTTTGCATAGATTATCTACTGGCTTATATTCATTGAAACCTCGATTATATTCATCAGAGTATAATCTTCTCCGGCCCTCTTTAGTCAAGCGGTTATGCAATAGCTAATCTACTATTTGAAAATACAGTTCTCTTTTCTACTTTTCTTTTGACTATTAAACAGGTTTTTATTTTTTAGGCTCCTTAGCCCCCCTTTCTTGCTCTGGACTAAGCAATGTAGTACAATGATTTGCATTTGAAATTCAAGATTCATCATCCACTTTTTGTAAAGTGATTGCAATTTTCATAAAAACGAATCCAAGAAGATCAATCTTACAGATTAGGCTAAGAAGGCTAAACTTACATACTAAGTTGAAGTTAATCAGATTAGTTTGAGGTTAGACAATTCAATATTTATATTTATCATGTATGATAGAGTTTTTTTAATAAATATTTAATTGTACATCCGTACCAGTTTATCATGCCCTTTTTTTTTTTTAAAAAAAAAAAAAAAAAAAAAAAAAAAAAAAAAAGCCAGGCTATTATGTCCCCTATTTTGTCTATTTTCTTTAGCAATGTAAATAAAAGTTATGATTACCATCAACAGAGAACAAGCTATCTGAACTCTTTATTATTGAATAAATGATGATTTATTTCTATTGGCTTGGTTATAAAGACGACTACTATCATAACAAGTCCATGACTAACTTGCTATGTAGACTGTATAATAGATGGTATTGTTGAACATCTTCCTCAGTATCAACAATTCATAAAAAGCTTGAAGGAAGATGGATATCTTGTAGTAGGTTATGCAAGAAAGTCCAGCAATGAAAAAAAAATGATCAAGCACGCATACATTTACTTGATCAAATGTGTAAAAATCTAAAAGAAAGATCAATGGTTAATAAAGTCTTTGTTAGTGTTTGCTGTAATACGAATGATGAATTATCAGCACGAGATCAAAAGAGAAATGAAAAACGGTTATCAAAGATAAATGCCGATGGTGATATGCAGGGTAAGAAAAAACATCTCTACTATCATAATCTAAACTAAATTTTTGTTCATTTGTTAGATATACTTTGGTATATTTCTACTAAAAAAAAAGTTGTTATTGTTGCTATAGACTTTTCAGGATTAACCACGAATCAGGAGGACTTGAAGTGAGATTTATTTAAAAATAAAAGCTAAAATAGTAAATTCTCATAGACATTTATAATTAGAAATAATCCAGGTGTTAGTAAAATAATAATCGAGAAATTATTATTCACTAACTCCACACATGTCTATGATTCCTATGAACTATCAAATTCAAACAAAATAGCTGATTTTAATGGTAGAAAAGATTTTTTTTTCAAAGATCTAAATAAAGACTTATTTAATGTATAAGACTGACAAAGTGTTATGAGCTGACTTATAATGTCATGTTCCTTGATTAAACAAGCGGATCAAGGAATTTTATCTAAATTCCCCTGAATCCACTTTATTAAATAATATTAAAAACTTCCAACACTTCATTATCTATAACATATCTTATTCGGTCGTAACTGTATTATTTTAAACGGCTCAAAACATGCTGAATCTGCCCTAACACATTGTCTACTAAGGATCATGTAATTCAGTGTCTCCGAATGCATCATCCAGTAAAAAGTACCACCACAACAACATGTCAATTCTCTCTCTTATGCCCTGAATCAATTCCCAAAAACGAAGTCAACTTCAACAAAACGAATTCAACACCTAACGAATATATGGCTAATTGTGTGTAAAATCCTTGCAAAACTCGATGCTTGTCCTTATCCCAAAAGCAATTGACAACAGCATTATGAAATTTCTTCTGATCAGCTCTTTATCAAGTGAATCACTCCTCTCTCTGAAGAAGAACGATATTATTGCTTTATGACCCTCACCCTCTATATACAAACCCTATGCAACACACTTTTCTTATTAATTCCTTCAACATATACCTCTTAACATTCTCCCTGCTTACGCGTACAGGGTTTTCATATGCTTATTTCTTCCTTTACCTTTCTCGAGTAAAAATATCCGACAAGGACACTATGTTAAAAAAAAAAAAAAAAAAAAAAAAGAGACGTAAAATAAAAACCAAAATTTTAAGCGTATTCTTTTAAAAATAATTTTATTCGTAAAAATAACCACGCTCAAATATTTATTTTATTTTATTTTTTATTTTTATTTTTTTTTTTTTTTACAGATTTTACGCACATTAAAGATGCTTAATAATGACGATAATACAAGAACAACAACAAGCAATAATACACTATCTATTTTTATAGAACATGTTAAAGAAGTATTGTCAACAATGCCTCCAATTACCAAATTTACACTTTATACACCGTTTATCATCTTCTTAATTGATAGCATTCTTTTTCCAATATTACACTTTAGATTTAATTTTTCGCACTGGAGTTATCTTGACTTTGATAATAGTGTTCTTAAGCTTCAAAGTAAATATTTTTCCAATAAATGTATATGCATATATAACTAATTTTTTTTTTGTCTTTTTTTGAAATCTATTCTAGTATTTCGATTTATAATATATCCTTTTTCAACAAGTAGTTTATTAGAGCTTCTAATAATTCCACTTTGGTTGATTCCAGAAATGTATAAACTTGAAAAGAAACAAGGTTCATTAAAGTTTTTATGGACACTTTTATTAATTTTTACTATATTACCCGGTATTGCGTTTGTATTTATTATGAAGATAATCACGATAGATTGGTTTAATAATGGCAGAACACAAATTGGCTTCTCTTGTCATGGAATGACAGGCTGGGTTGTTGGCTTGATTTTTTGGTCTTATTTGATAGAAGATGAAAGTGAACAACAGGACAGGATGTATGGTAGAATAGTGTAAACGTTATGATATAGATATTCATTTATTTGTTGTTAATAACTACAGGATTGCGGGTGCTATTCGTATACCAAAGAAATATTGGCCTATCTTTGTCTTTGTATTCTTTGTTTTTCTCGTACCTGGAATTCCTATCTTACTTAATATTAGCGCCAGCATAATGGCATTACTTTGTAAATAGAATTCCTATATTCATACTGCTGACATTATTCTGATCCATTTTTTTTTTCATATATGTATAAATATAGACGTGAAAGGCAAATTCGAATTCCTTATGCCATCAAATGAAAAGTTTATAGAATACGAAGAAAAGACTTGGCTACGTTTCTTAACAAATGCATCAAATTATGTATCAATAAATTCAGCAGGTAGTGGTGGTTATTTACCGCTTTTTATGCCTGCTACTCCTACTACAAATACAGCAACACATCCTAATCCCTCTACCGCTAACAGCAGTGCTAATACTGATCGATTCCCAGGCCAGGGTATTCGACTTGGATTTTAATCATCTTATTATAATTAAAATAAAGAAATATATACTTGTTTTTTTCAAAAAAAAAAAAAAATGAAATGAAATGAAATAAATGTATAATATGATCTATTTAAAATGATATCTATGCTAATATATGCGCATTATGTATACATATGATAAAATATATATCTCTAAGCCAATTCAGCATCAGCAGCAAGTTCTCTAGCAGCTTCAATATCAGAAGCTTTAGGATCCCAAGGAATACCAACTTGAGTCAAGATGTCCATTAAATTATCTTGTGCCTTTAATACTTCTAATTCTTCCTCAGTCTTACATAATAAAAGACCAGCAAATCCTAATGAATTTACGGAAAATTCAAATGTCTTACCGTTATGTTCAATACTGGCTTTTTCGTTTGAACGGGGAACAAGCATCATAAAGTCTTGAGTCATCAAAAAGTTATAAGAAGTATTTAAAGGTTGAGCATTTTCACGTAATTGTTGGAACATGGCATCCAAAATACCAAAGAACATTTGTACAAGATAATCTGTCAACTCTTCTCTTGTGTTTGCATTACGAATGATATTGTTATCAAGGGGCAAGATAACATGAACAAAAGGAAGCTTGTTAATGGCATAGATCTGACCAACATGACGATCATGAATTTCATCGAAAAGTTTCTTGACAGGAGGTTGAGGATTACTTTCATGTTGCAAAGGAAGTACTTGCATATGCTTGTGTCCTTGACTAATATTTAATGAGTATTGATACAAATAGCTGAATAATTAGAACTTACCTAGCACCTGATTCTTCTCCGCAATTATAAAAAGCAAGTGCAGGTTGAGAAGAACCGAAATCCTTTAATACTTTGAAAGACTCATAGAGATCGTTAGGCATAAGAGGTTCACTTTGTTTTTTGAACTCTAGAAACCAATATATACATTAATTATTTTTTTTATGTAAAAAAAAAAAGTCACATCATTTCTTTTCCTTTCTTTTTTCTTTAATAAAAGAAAAATAAAGAAATGGAAGGAATAATGCAAAGAAAAAAATAATAATAATACCTTTTGTAGCAATAATTAAATGGTTAGGAATAACAGCGTATTTATTCAACAAAATACGATGTTCATCAAGTTCTTTGACAACTAAAGCAGGTTCAGGGTTTTCAAAAGGATTGCACTTCTTTCCATCTTCTTCTACCTTTTGATTAGACTTCTTTTGTGCAAGAGCAGGAACTAAAGTGATTTTGAACTAATAATATTTATAAATATTTATATATTAGACATTGTACGATGTATATTTTCATAAAATTTACATTCATTCCATTCGATTCCTTTTCAACGGTAGTAGAATCAAAAGAAAACAATTGCTCATTTTCTTTTGCAGCATCGAATTTGTTTTTAACTTCTTGAACGAATGAAGACATTATTAATATAGAAAAAATAGAAAAAAAAAATAAGAAAAAAAAGGTGCGATTATTATTATTGTTATTTTTTTTTTTTTTTTTTTTTTGCGTGCCGGATTTTTTTTTTTAATAAAAATCCAAATGAGCACAAGTATTTTATACGATTAAGAAGAATTTTATTTAAAAAATTAAAAATGACCAATGAGCACATAGCATTTATATATGCTGTTTTGCCCTGGTCAGATCGCTATGGAAAAAAAAAGGAAAGAAAAACCCTTTTGGGATAAAAGGGAAAATGTTAAAGTATATGTATAAGTGATGATAATTAATTATCAGAAATTCGTTTTTGTATTGAGAGAAGATGATTGACAAAGGGTTCACCAAGATGGTCAGAGGGTTCAGGGATTTGGGAGTGAGCTAGATAGTCCATCTCAAATAGAATTGCACATATAGAAGGCCAGCGTATGAGCCAGGCATCAATTGATTTTTTCACTTTCTTCGTATGGAATGTTGATGGTAATAGATTCAAGAGATAAGAGAGTGGATCTTCAATAGATTTGGGCATCTGAAGGCGGTTGTGCATATGTAAACAAGAAAAACTATGTGAGCGTGTGAATAGTTCGTTTGGATGGAAGGGGCAGGCTTGGGGTTTACCAAGAGGTCAAGTATTTTATACAGTAAAATTGTCCGGACCAGTTCAAAAATGTATATAGAGGAAAAAAAAAACCTCTTCATAGACTGAAGGAAAAAGGGTAGAAAAAGAGAAAGAGAAGGGAGTCTATGAATGCTGGCTAAGCCAGAGAAGAAAAGAGGAGTCTAAAGACGGAGTAGGCAAGACTAAAGCATCGTAGTGAGCATCATACTGTATCATGTCAACTTTACACATGTTTGTTTTCTCTTTGTGATATTTCAATTTTCTATAAGGTCTGTTGTAATTAGCTCTGTCAATCTACAAAATTGCATATAGTATACGAATTGTACTTATGGCAGAAGCTACTATGCAATCTAACCCTTCTTTTAATTATTTGTCCCAGTTAACTAAAGAGTAATGCATAAGATACCATTCATTGAAATAGTTCTTTTTCTTGAGCCTTTAACCAGAAGAATAAAATTATTTCACCAGATTTACTGACAATTACAGAGCATATCAAAAAATACAGCACGACAAACATTAATAGTGGCTTTACATACAAATGTGAACAGAACCAATACACAATGAGATTGACTTTCCGCTAAAAAAAAAAAAACTTTCTTTATAAACACTGAAAATATAATTCCTTTTACTTTTTATCCAATCAACTTACCAAAACAGCCACTGTACACTGTTTAATATTGTAAAGTTGTACAAATGATGGTATCTTACATTATTCCTCAAAGGCAAGCTACTTTCTACTAACACACTTACATAAACATGCAAGCCCATAAAAAAAAAGTCAATAACACTCTAATATCAAGCATGATCACGTAAAAAAAACCACACAAAATGGTAAAAATACAAGCAAACTCTTTCCGATAATCAAGTGTATAACTATAAGAAGCATATTCAAATATCACTTGTGAGGGCATCCACAACTACCAACTTTGCAAGCTCTCATCAGCAATCAGGCTACACGTTTTACAATGTAGTGTTCAACCGATTAGCTCCTAACCGTCCGGCCGGCCAGGCGAGTTATAGACCAAAATGTATACCAGCTAGTAGGACGTTTATGTTGGTTCCTTAACTAACTACTACTCTGAGGTAGCTCTAAAAGAGAGCCTCAGCTTATACATCACCATTGAATTTCCAATACGGTGCAGTTAAACACTTAAAGGTATACACACAACTAGCTACTAGTTATTAGTTATACAATTGATAAAGAGACCAGATTGCTTGTGTATTTGTCGTACAATCCACTTCCCTTGATAAAAAAAAATAATAGTTAAAAGGTTATGTGCATAAAAATATTATAGAGCGTGAATATTCAAAATTACCAATACTCTATAATGTAATGTAACGTACATGTTGGTAGCCATTGGCATCTATTAAATTCTGAGGAAACACAATGTTTCTTGCTATTATTTTTGGAGAAATAACAGCTAACTGAAGAAATCACAGTTAATAATAAAATGCACTTCAAAAAAAAAAAAAAAAAAAAAAAAGAAAAAATCTACAAGTTACACAAGTCCATCAATACGTGTTATTATTAAATATTATTTATAATACGTTTTCATTATCAATAAAAATAACTTTCTTTCGTTTATTCATAACTTTTTATTATTTTTAAGTGATACATTCTTATTGTTGTATAAATTATCTATAACAATAAGGAACTAGTACATTCTCAAAGCTCATAATTATTATATTACATTGCCTTTTTAATTTTAATTAAATGGATTACTTTCTTACAACAAACATCACTGAATGGAAATTCGTGTCTATGTTGTCACACTATAAACAAAAGTTTGAGGAAGACTATCATAAAGCTAAGCAGAACTTGAAGGATAACCTGCAACATATGGTTGAAAGTAACATGCTAACAGAACAAGCAAAGGCCTCTGTACAAGTTTTCCTTAATAAATTTGATGTAAGTTTGGTTAACTTCACGGAAGGACAACAAAAAAAAAAAAAAAAAAAAAAAAAAAAAAAAAAAAAAAAAAAAAAACGCGAATACTAACAAATATTATTGATATTAGAAATTTGCAAAACAAATTTATCATAAAACAATTATTAAAGAACAACAACAAATTGGTTCAAGCCTATTGGTAATATTTTCTTGCATATAGCAACTATACAAACACGTAACATACTAAAATGGCCATTCTCTTTTTTTTTTTATTCAATTAGATTACAAACAACATTCAAGGAAACCTGGACGGCTTGAAATATGTGGTTAAAAATAATAGCTACAAAAGTGTCGTTTCTAGAAAACGAAAGTACCGAAAGACACAGAGGAGGAAGAGGTGGAAAAAAAAAAAAGTGGGGTGAGGGAAGAAACGCTGATAGAAAGCTGGACTTTCTTGTTAGCGGAGAAGATTGAGTCTTCATTGAAGATTATCATGATAACGTATGTACCCCATATATAAAATAGTTTAATAAGTTTAAGCATAAATAAGCTTACACATTATTTAGTGGATGATAAATAGAATGAATATTTCCAAAAAGTTTCATGATTTTAGAAACCGTTGTATAGATATGATTGAAAATACCGGTAAAGAGCCAAACTTTGTCCAAGAATTGTGAGTATATTATTTTTAATATGAATCAGTATTAAACTATGTCGTAATACTAATAATTATCTAGGGCATTAAACGGGATAATGTGGTTTGAAGACAAACAGCGTCTTTATTATAATATGAAGACAGATGAATGGAGAAGGGTCAAATCAAGCCTTCAGTATATGTACAGAAACACAGCAAAAACTGCTACATACGCACAAATAAATGATATTGCTGAGGTAATGCGCAGGATTTTTCCTTTCTTTGAACCTAAACACTCATATATTCTTATTGGCTTTGAAACTATAGATATTTGCAGAAGATGTTGATGAAGGAGAAAAAAAAGCTGAGCAATGGTACTCTAGTACAATGAATCAGTCTGAAGAAAATACAAAGATTATCGCAAGAACTTTTCTTTATTTGTAAGTTTGATCTGCATAATGACATATATTTTTTCACTTCTTTCCTTAGCGTAACAGTAACTTTGCTAACGTGCTGCATAGGATTCAAAAAATAAAAACATCAAATATAGAAGAGATGAAAGAGCCGCTTTTTTGTAGTTTTTTTGTTGAAAGTATAATCACTCCTTTCTTGTGTTTGGAGGATGATTATGTTGAACTGTTAGGGTATACAATCATAATAGCATGTTTATATCACCAGTATTATTCCTTCTTCTTGCTCAGTAACTTTTACTATTAAAATATATAATAGATCTACAGATGAGTCCCTTGGTTCAAAAGAGCGCCGTGATGGCAAGAACGGAAGAATTCCTGACTTTTCGGTTCAGGTCGGATTCAACAACCATTCTGCTCTCCCATTTCTCTGTGAGGTTAAAAGCCCTCAATCAATTAATGGTTTAAAGAAATCAGAAAACCAACATCCTGATTTCATTAAACTTTGTAATCTCATGAAAGATGAATTGGATAGAATGTGTTTTGTTGAAGATAAAGTCGTGTATGGCTTATTAGTTGAAGGTAAGTCATATGTTGATATCAAATACACGTATTGTATATATCTCTTTGCTAATTATTTATATATTTATATTTGTGTATATAAAGGATTCAAATGTCGTTTATCCGCAATGGATTTACGATACTATAAGCTATACCGACTACATATGCTTGGTCAGTTTTACTTACCACGAGACAGATATGATATTGGTGCTCTTTCTTCTTGTTTTAAGCGACTCGAACACTTAAATGTTTGTATAAAAACATGTTTATATGTTACTACTACTTTTACTAACATTCATCTTTATCGTGGTACATATATTTAGGCTTTGATAGAAAAATCAACAACATCAATATTAAGTGATTTTCTGCATATGTCGCCTGAAGAAGGAAATACCTTTCCTGGTAGGAGACCTAGCAACTTTTTAGTGAGCTTTCGTTCTCCTCAAAAATAGACTTATCTTCACGTCTGCTCTTTATTATTTTTTTATGCTTTCTCTATGATTATCCTTATGTTACCTTGTATTATACCTATATTAATTATACCCACCCTCATTATTATTATATCCTTAACTATTTATAAAAAAAAAATATGATATTCAATCTTTTCTTTTAAAAATATGATTATATATTGTTGTATTATTATTGATTATAAAAACAAGGACGATTACTAGTTACTACTTTCTTTTTTTCAATCCTTTGATGTGTTATGGAAAGTGTAATACAATAAGAGAAAGAAACCGAAGGAAACAGTATCTTTCGGGAAGGACGCAGCTGCTAAATCAATTTATGTATTATGCAATTTTATTTTATTTTATTTTTTACCTTGGAAGAACAAAGAAAAAAAAACAATAGGTCATTTTAAGCTATATAAAGGTCTTATAATAACAACAAGTTAAATATGCATACAGTCAGAATAAAAGAAAAAAAATATATCAATTAGACCAAATTTATTCAGTAACGAGACAGATTTAAGCATAACAAGAAAGATAAAGACTTGTATTGTCTTTTATATATGATAATAATAATAAAAACTCTTCAGATATGTCTGCATTTAATTTTTCTAGATAAATACTGTCATTATTCATTTTAAATGACTTGTACGTACTTGCACAAGCAATTATAAGTTACTTATTATGTCTTTGGTATAGTCATACATTCTTCTTGTATTAATTTAACAAAGAGGTAAATTTTCAAAGAAGTATTTTTTTGTTTCTTTTATTGTTGATATAGACTTTATCTTTAAAGATCTTCACGATTCGAGATAAAAAAAAGTGTATTGAGATAGACTATTTTACTATATTGCACAGCTAATTCATTGGCTTTTAGTTTGTAAGCATAGTCTTTATCTACTTTAATAAACACGTTTGTCTTCATCATCTCAATTCAAATGACAATAGGGTGTGTGTGTAGGGCAAAATGCTTGGTTTTCGAAAAATGCGAGGGTATGAATATGGTTTGTTTGTACCTTTTTTTTTTTTTTTTTTTTTTTTTTTTTTTTTTTTTTTTTTTAATCCGTCAAATTCAATCACAGTTGTTGTTATACACCTTGTCTTTTCTTATCATTTCAAAATGAACTTTTTAAAAACTACAAGACATTCGATACGCTTCGCTCAAAAAAGAGGATTGGTTAAATTACAACTGACAGAGGGTCTTAGAACAACTTCATTGCGTCCTTATTCCTCAACATCACCTGTTCATGCACATCATGTTGCTAAAAAAGAAAGTAGTAACATTCCATGGGTTATTGGTTCACTTGTTGTTTTTGGTCCTCTTTTGTTCAAGTTGACTTCTCCGCCACCTCCAAAGAAGAAGAATTTACAGTCAAATGAACATCATAATGTACCTGCAGTAACCCCACCTGTCATTACTCCTAAAGAAGAAGAAGACAAAGAAGAAAGTAAGACAGGAGACAAGAAAGTCGAGGAAATTAAGCCTGTTACTGTAAAAGAAGTACAGAAGCCTTATGTTCTTGTAGGCGCTGGTACAGCTTCATTTGCTGCTGCTCAAGCTATAAAAGAGAAGGATCCTAACGCTAACGTATGAGATTGTTTAATATGTTTATTCAGTATTTGATTATTTATTTCCTTATAGGTTATTATTATTGGTAACGAAGGTTATGCGCCCTATATGAGGTAAAAAAAAAAAAAAAATTAAAGCAATCATACTATCATTTTTATTCTTACCATTTCTGAATAGGCCTCCTTTGTCTAAAGAACTTTGGTTTTCAAACGATCCTGAAGTTGGCACAAAGTTACTTTTTAAGGATGTAAGTTTTATGATTCCTACTTGTATTAGTTAACATGAATTAATTAATTTTTTTTATTCCGTCATATAGTGGTCTGGTACTGAAAGAAAGTAAGTAAGCATCTGCTTTGTTTTTCTTTTAATAAATTTACATATTATATATAAATATATAGTGCTATTTATCAAGATATTTCAGAATATGAAGTCATTCAAGATGCTTCTGGATCAGATCTCGAAACACCCAAAATTAAGCTGTTGTTAAACAAAACAGTTACAAAATTAAATGTAGAGGATCATACAGTAACCTTAGATGATGGAAGTATGATTTATTACAACAAAGTTTTATTAGCTACTGGTGGTGAGCCAAAGAAACTATCTATTCAAACTAATAGTAAACATATTACAACTTTCCGTAATGTTTATGACTTTCAAAAATTGGACAAAATTGCAAAGGATGGTGCTCATATAGCTGTAGTTGGTGGTGGTTTCCTTGGATCTGAACTTGCAGTGGCCCTTGCTCATCGATCGACGAAAGAGAATTTGAAGGTAACTCAAATCTTCCCTGAAGATGGTAATATGGCCAAGGTATTCCCTGGCTATCTTACCAAATGGACTACAAGCCGTGTTCGTAAATTAGGAGTAGATGTTAAAGAAAGGAGTCGTGTTGAGTCAATTGCTATTACAGATGATGATAAGACAAGTGTTAAGTTAAGTAATGGTGAATCCCTATTGGTTGATCATGTTATCGTGGCTATCGGTATCGAACCTCGAGTTGATTTAGCCAGGGATGCTGGTCTCGAGATCGATGAAGAGCGTTTAGGCGTAGTTGTCAATGCTGAACTTGAAGCACGTAAAGATGTTTATATTGCAGGTGATATGGTTTCTTTTCATGATGTTCAACTAGGACGTCGTCGTATTGAACATCACGACCATGCTGTTTTAAGTGGTCGACATGCTGGTGAAAATATGGTGACTAATAAGGGTCGTGCTTATGACCATCAGTCTATGTTTTGGTCTGATTTAGGTCCTGAGATTGGTTATGAGGCTGTTGGTCTAATAAATTCTCAATTATCGACTGTTAGTATTTGGGCTAAAGCATCTGCTAATGATACACCTGCTGCTGCTGCTGCTTCTGCTGCCACTACTACAGCTGAATCTGTTACAGAAGAGGTTTCTAAAGCCACTGCTAATAAACAAGAAAATCCATTCAAGGATGAAAAGTTTGGAAAAGGTCTTGTCTTTTATGTTCGTGACCAAAAGATTGTTGGTCTTGTTTTATTCAACGTATTTGGAAAGGTTCAAGAAGCTAGAAATATAATTAATGGAGGCTATACTACAGATAAAATTGATAGTCTTGTAAAGCAATTTGATCTTTATTCCAAAGATCCTTAAATATAAATTTTATTGTCATTTTTTTTTTAAAAAAAAAATATATTCAATATGTATCTTTTTTTTTATATTTGTGTATATATGTATCAGTTAATTTTGACTATAAGCCTAGTTCATTATCTTTCTCATTTTCATCTTCTTCAGACAAATCTCTGCTGCTACTTGCATTAGATGATAATCGATTATTACGGTTACTACGGTATTTCCAAAATTTATCTACAACATCCTCAGCTCCAAAGACACCACTAAAACCACGAATAAAATCATGTCGCTTATCCTCCCAAAGTAAGATCGTATCATGAATAGCCGACTTGATTGTTTTCCTTAAATCCTGGATTGATTTCTTTGTCTTGATTTTACGTTCTTTCAAAAATGAAATATTAAGTTCTTTAGCCGTCACACCTCTCTCCAGATTTCTTCTTAAATAAGCATCATAGTCTCGAACGATACGTGTAATCAAGTCTGAAGTTGAGATGCCTTCTGTACGTTCAGTCGGGAAAAAGCGACCTTGGTCTTTTACAAAGGCATAGACATCACCGGATTCTCGACTTTGATAAGGTTCAGCATCATGTGCAACATAATCAATTTGATGTTCATCAAGGAAATTTTGATCCACTATCCATGGTGCATTCTCAATCACTTCATCAACCCATTTACAATGTCGAACAGCTTCATATCTTTCGATATCAGTCATTACTGTCTTTCCTTTACGTTTATGAGTTTCTTCATCACTACACACTATATGTATACACGTAAAGACAAGATTTATTCATCTTGTGATAAACATCTTTTTATATATATATACCTCCAACTAGTAAATAAACATTAGGAAATGCTTTTTTAGCTTGTTCAAGCGCCTTGGCATGACCGAAATGGAACAAGTCATAAATACCTATTTCATAAAAGCGTTAATTACTGTATATGTAAAAAAAAAAAAAAAAAAAAAAAAAAAAAAAAAAAAATGGAATAGAATTTACCATCACAATAGATTCTAACGGGTCTTCCAATAGGAGGCTAATGTATGAGGAAGGGGGAGGGGTTTAAAACAATATAAATACAAGTCTACATACAAATATATACATGTAAACATACAGGATTAATTTTGAACCCATAACGTTCTTCAATTCCTTCAGGTAATGTTGCAATAGATTTATTTTTTTCTTCTTCTTCAGTTGTAAAAGGTGTCATAGTAGAACCTAACTGACGTTTTCGTTTGGCAGTATGAATTATTTCTTCTTTTGATGGAAGAATAGATGAATCAGTGTTATCTTCATCTATGTAGAATGTTAATAAAACACATACATACACAGCGTAATGTTTAAGGATGATCATGAGTACATACCAGAAGCATCACGCGAAGTAGGCTGATCGATAGGCCCTTCTGTTATTTTATCTTCTTCTCCTTCTATCTGTCGCTTCCTTTTTGCTAATCGAGTACTAGGTGAAGCAAGTGATGAGCTCATTATTATTATTGAATAAATAAATAAATAAATAAATAAAATAAAAAATTAGATATATAAAAAGGTGGTATGGAGTTTATTGCAACTCCGGGGGAAAATAAAATAAAAAAAAAAAAAGAAATAAGTGATCAATTTATTTATTTTATTTTACTTTTTCTGATGCATGTTTTAAAATTTAAAAAAGAGGATTTAATATATACTTCTTGCTACTGTGAAGAGAATGTACACATGTTATGTACTGAGATTAAACGAACACAACCTGAATTATTAAAGAACTTTTTTGTTGTTTTCATTAGTAATGAGAAGCGATCAGTTAAAATAAAATAAATAAATCAATTTTATTTCCAAATGTTTATAATATTAAAACATGTATAAATCAAATCAATAGGTCCCATTATGGAAGCAGTTAGCGGGCATCAAGAATGATAGACCATTTGTGATCTGGGTAATTAGAATGATGTTCCTTGTAAAAGCTTTTTATTCATTTACCATCCCATTTTAGGATTATCATGTCATACTTTATTATAGACCCGCAAAGTAATGAATGATTCGTATAAAGAATTTACTCTGTTAATTTGTAAATTTTTTCAATATATAGATTAGAAAACTCACTTATATATGATTTTGATACAACCCTTCCATTTCCTTGTCAAGCGTTAGAATATGTAAAAGAGACTTTTAAACCAGATTTATTTTTAAAAGAAGAATATAAACATCATTTTCGGCTTATTTCTGCTCAACTTTATTTAGACTATTTTCAATCTGATAGAAGCCACATGGTAAATAAATAAATATTAATATTACGACAAGTTATATGTATATAATATTTAATGGAATTAATTTTAGCTCAAGGAAGATGGTACTTATATGGCTCCTCCACCCTCTTATCAAGCTATTATAAGCAGTGAAAGTAAAATGCACACTATACATAGATTTTTTTTTTTTTGCTGTTAAATAACATATATTTTCAAAGATGGTACATCTAATTTAGATTATTACATTTCAATGAAGCCGCATTCAAGTGTTGAAGAAAAATATGGTGTTGTCTATGAATCTGTTGACTTTTTTATGCATTAATATTTTGGGTTTATTTTCCCAGTCGATTCGTATAATTGAATGGCGTTTAATAAAGAATCTTCAGAAACTCGATGCTGCATTAAAAACTGATCGTTCAAATGAACAACGGGTATATCAAACATATATTTATCACTGAATTCTTTAGGGCACTCTTCTTTATTATGGATATCTAATACTTTTAAAGCAAATGGTTTCTATTATAAGCGATAGAGTATTAGAAATGAATATTCTATAGTATATACTATATTAAACCTTTTTTTGAACATTGAGAATCGCTTGCTTAGCTGTATTACATAAAGAACATGTGCTTGAAGAAAATAATGTCAAAGTCACCTTTCTTATAGTCATTGTTATTAAAAAAAAAAAAAAAAGAAAAAAAAAGAAAAAAAAAAGGGGCAGTTATACTTGCCCCTCCCCCCTTCCCCTCCCACTTCTTTGCCTTTTTTTTTTTATGCAGGAAGAAACAGTCAATAAACAGTCACTAGAGCAATTTTTTCCCTTTTTTTTTTTTTCTTACTTGTTTCTGTATAATATAATAACAATGCAAACGTTTTCTTCTTATTCTGTTTAGAGTAGTTGACATGGTGAAAAAGAAACAAAAGAGAAAGCAACCAATAACAGCAAAAACAATTTCTGGAAATGCAAAATTTAAACATTCTCGAGTAGAAACAGCTCGACTTATACGGAGGTTTCATGTTCTTAACAAGGAACTAGCCAAATGTCGATCATCAACAGAACCTGATTGCATCAAAAAAGAACAAGCCATTTTATCAGAAATGGAAGCAATGGGAGGATTGGATTGGTATCAGAAAGCATCACAATTAGGACAAAGTAAAGCAAGAGGTGGGGATTCCTCTAAATGGCTAATTCAAACGTTAAAAACATATTGTAAAGAAGAACAGCAACAGGTCTTAAAGGATCATCAATTTATTCGAGTATTAGACGTTGGAGCAGTTGCACCAGATAATTATAAATCGTATACATCTTGGATCAAAGCGAAACCAATTGATTTAAATCCTCAGCATCCTGATATTGAGCAGCAGGATTTCTTAAGAATGAAGCCACCTTCTGATGATGGTGATAAATTTGATATTATTTCTTTAAGTTTAGTTATTAACTTTGTAGGAGACCCAAAAGACAGAGGTATAGTGAATAGAAGTGACTCCTCTCCCCTTTTTTTATATATGAAGTCATTCAACTCTTTCTTTAGGACAAATGCTGATTCATACCCGTAATTTCTTATCTTCACCTATTCTTTGTAAAAATCGTCTGCATTATTTATTCTTGGTCGTTCCTCTTCCCTGCATTACTAATTCAAGATACATGACTCATGAACATTTACTATCGATGATGACATCAATAGGATATACAAAATGTATTCATTATCATTTTTCGAACAAACTTGCTTATTATTTATTTGAATTAACCAAACTATCAAAGATCAATACTGTATGGAAAAAACGAGTTCTTCCTGGTAAAGAAGGTGGTGGACGTAACAATTTCGCCGTTGTAATAGAGAAATAATAGAAGACATCATAGATTATATATATATATATATGCCAACCATTTTACTTTGAAGGCAAAGAGGTTTCAAATAGCTCAATCATTTTTTTTTTTTTTTTTTTTTGTTTACGTACATATTGCTTGTTTACTAATAAATTTAATTTTACCATACCTTATTTATGTAATATAATATTATGTTGAAAGACCAACTGACTAAGGTTACCTAATCATTTGCTTCAGAGACTTGCTTATTTTGTATATATTTATTTGGGGAGGAGGAGGAAGGGAAATAATAATTTGTGCTATTTTCAAAGAGACTTTGGTTGTATTCTTGCAAATAAACAAACGAAAATAAGAATTCCTTACGATAGTTTAGTTTTTATGATATTCATCCTTGTTAATTTCTCTTATTTTATAAATATGATAGCAGCATATAAACTTATTTTATAACCTTTTTTTTTTTTGTAATTTTCCCGCTTCCCGTTAGTATTATTCTCATGAATAATAAATAACAAATTACAACTGCACTCTTTGACTTGCACAGTTATAAAAGAAAAAGAAGACAATGTAAATATTAGGTTTTCTGTTGAATGTATTTATATCATATAATGTCAATATGAATTTTTTGTTTGTTTTTTTTTTTTTTTTTTTTTTTTTTTTTTGAGAAAGCCCAGATATTTGGTGTTGGATTCCTTGCCTTCTCTGTAAACTTGTTTATACTGTAATAAAGGATTAAAAACAATTAATACAACAAGTGAAGTATTTCTTTTCTTTTTTAGTATTCGTATTGTCGCTAATGTCAGAGCGTATATTCATATATACACTCCTGCTTTTGTATGAATACAATAGTCAGACTCATTTTAGACAATAACAATAATAAGAATAACCTACTTTGAGCGATATTGCAAAAACTAAATATAATATAATTTATTGCAGTAAATAAAAATGATTGTACAACGTTACTTTGACTAACCAATATACAACAACAATAATTTAACTCTATACTAGAAAAGAAAAAAGAAAAGGCAACTCATAATGAATTAAAAGCTAGTTTATTTATTTCAAGAAAAGTGCTCGTTGTAAATATAAATTGCCTTAATCTATGTCATTTGTACTTTTATACATAAAATCATTATAAACGTTACACTTGGAACTGCAAAGATAAATAAACAAATAGAAAAGGCGGAGATGTCTCAAACGTTTATCAGTTACATGATTTCTTCGGAAGACGGGCAAAAAAAAAAAAAAAAAAAAAAAAAAAAAAAAAATGCTACCGCAAAATAATTTAACGACTCATTATACAGATACTGGTGGAATTTACTGTAGTAATAGAAATCCATTAAAAAAAAAAAAAAAAGAAAAAATAAAGCAATGATATAATAAGCATGCTTTACTAAACATTTAGTTTATTACTAAAAGAATCCCATTTTAAATCCAAAAAAAAAAGAAAAAAGAAAAGCGGTAGTAGTCATGCGTATGCAGCAAAGTAAATATAGAAACTAGCTCTTCCTTTTTATATATAGTTAAATGTATATTTTTATATATTTAAATGTATGTTCCTTAAAATAATGCTTTGTGAAATGTCAAAAACTATTATAAAAATAGAATTCCTTTTTTTTTTATTATTATTATCATTTCTTTTCATCTTTTTTGTCAATATAAAAAAAAAAAAATGAAAATACGAAGTATTTGTATTTTATTTTTCACATCCATAGCAAGTATAATAGCACAGGATGTAAGTGAGGGATCTACTGAAACTATTGCAATAACTACTGATGCAGTAACTACGAATGCAGTAACTACTGATGCAATTACTACTACTGCAACACCTACTGTTGCAACAACTAGTGATATGGCTACTACAACAATTGATATTACAACAACAGCTGATCCAGTTACGACTACGACCTCATCATCAGCTGCTGCTGCTACTACTACTACTGCCGCTGTTGATTTGAGTGACTGCTTAAACGCTGATGCTTTTACAGACCATGATTATTTTCCAAACAAACTTGATTTTAGCAAATTAGGTAAAATAAATAAAAAAAGAAAAAGAAAAAGAGAAAGGGTTATAGAGTTTGTTTTTTTTTTAATGAAATAATGTATATAGATTCCACTGCTCAATTTAATGTGACCTATTACAATACATACAAGCTTGTTCATAACCTTGTCTTAGATGAATATTATGTACTTCATTGTACAAAATCAGCACCTTCATTGGGAAATACGTTTCAGTCAAAGACATTCGTTCAGATTCCCGTAAGATCTTTTGCAGCCATTGATACCAGAGCTTTAGGTTATCTTGATGTAAACAATTATATATATGTATATCTTCTTTTTTTTTTTTTTTTTTTTTACTAAATAATGAACTGTGTTGTATTTTTTTTTAGCTTTTAGGACAAAGTAATAATGTGGCATTTGTTGGAAATACAAGTAATATTACCAGTCCTTGTGGAACGAATACACCGGCATATTTCAATTTGAGTGATCCTAATCTTGATAGAACAAAATATGACTTGGCTATTTATTCTGTTTCCTCAAATAATGACCCCAAAGGTGTCGGGTTTGGTATTAATTATAATAATTCACCACTTGGAGTAAGTTTCCAACTTATATATATATATTAACAAAATCTCATTTTTCTTCTTCTTCTTTTTCTTATGATAATAATGTATTATAATAGAATGCTCAATGGATCAAATATATTGCATTATTTACAAATCAAGAAACAGAAGCAGATACTATTTATAATAATATTTTAACAGATTACAACACATTTCGAGATAGCATTAATGCAGCGGGAAGTGTGTTATATAAAAGGAATATTACATTTATGAATTATGATCCATCTTCCACAAAGTTCAATATCCTACAGGACACCTATTTTCAAAATTTGACATCCGACGCAGGTGCCGTCTTGTTAAAGCCACATGTCTTGCAACCTGGTGATCCATCTGTCATGAAAGAGCAATTACAAAATTCATCTGTTGTTATTGATTTGACGCCTGACTCTGCCTTTGGGTCAACATATAACAATTGGCAGTCATGGTTGGGATACTCGGATGACAAAATCAGTTCCGCGGAAAAAGCAGCATTTGACACTTATCAGCAGACGAAAAAGTATATAAATTCGTATGATGCGCCTCCTTTTGCAAGAAATAAGCAACTATGGAGATTTGATTTAATTACAAAAGAAGGGGCTTTAGGTAAATATATAAATACATACAAGTGTATATGTATATGAATACATATATAAAAAAAAAAAAAATTTTTTTTGTCAAGATATCTTATTTATTTATTATTAATATATCAGATTATTGGACTCGTGGGATGGCAAGACCCGATCTTCTACTTCAGGATTTAATTCAAGTACAGTTCCCTGGTTTTTTCAAATCACGTAGTCGGGTGTTTTTAAGAAGTTTTGCGGATAATAATGAATCAAGTCGTACAGCTTCATCTTCTCCAGATAGTTATCAATGTAACTTGAGACAATGGGAAAAAGCAGCTAGTGTATCCTATCAAAACTCGGATTCAGATATACCGGCATTAAGCGCGACTAGCAATAAAATGTCTTTAGGCCTCATTATTGGCGTCAGTGTGGCGGGAGGCATGGTAGCGCTGGCTTGCTTAGCAACAGTCTTCGTTTTGATCAAACGTAAAATGAAGGATGGTAATGGTAAACGTTTTACACGACTAAATGATGAAACAATGGATGAATTTGGTGCCTTGGATAAAGACCCAATGATGCCAACAACAACAGAAACTAGTAGATTTGGAGGTTCAAGTAGAGGCTTTTAAAAAATGAAAAAAAAAAGTTACTAGCTGTATATAGAAAACAGAATAAAATAAATTGAATGTATTATTATTTTGTAATACTAAACAAATGCACTGAGTTATTATAAATACATGGCAGAAAAATTCGTTCATTGCTTCCTTCTTCTTTTTCTTTTTCTTTTTGTTCTTTTATATATCACAACATAGTATATGATTCCTTCAATTATTTGTCCTGCAACTTGTGAATTATGTGGCAACTGGCTTCCTAAACATAATGTAAAGAAGAAAGAAAAAAAAAAGCGATAACTACTACTACTACTATTATTATTATATATCAATATTTAATTAACTGACACTTTTAATTATGCATAGTCTTCTTGTCCAAGGAATGGTGTTCACCCTTCGCAGTGGAGCCTCTTATCAGAGAATATTATCCAGAAGAAGCATGAAGAACTGCTATATTCGAATGAAAATAAAATACCTTTTACTGTTACCTATTCCAAGTACAATCATCATCAAGAACAATACAGTGACTTTTATGAAGAATAACTGACATAATTATTAACCTATCATTTATATACTCCATTTATTATATATATAATAGTAATTAGTTGATCTCTACTATTATTATACATACATACATAGATATAATATATTTATATATGCACATATAAATATATACATGTATATCTTTTTTTTTCTTTTTTTTTCTTTTCCATTACTTTATATGCACTTATACAAATATGCATTATATACATAAAATCTCATATACAGTCACTCTATCTCTAATTGGACTTTTTTTTTTGTTTTTTTTTTTTTTTAATAAGGATGGTAATTGTAATATTTCTGATGATGACACTAATTCTCATTCCGATTGAGAAGTTTAAATAATATCAAAAAAAAAAGTTCAGTTTAAACCGATTTGCTTGTTGTGACGTTACAGTGAAGAAAGTACCTCTAAAGTAGGAAAGAATAACTCGGTACACTATTTAGATTGATGAAGACAGCAGGAGATATTTTATTTTAATTTTTTATTTCATTTATTTTTAATAAACAAAAGGAAAAAAAAAAAAAGAGAGAAGCGTATGAAGTTAAAGTAAGCAGCTAGATCTGCAAATGTCAACGATGATACTGCATACAAAATGTAAGAATGATTCAGAGAAGAACACATATACATACATACATACATACATATATACATATACATATACATATATCATATCCAACAGACCCAAAAAGAAAACCACAAGTATTCGATTTACTTCTTTTTCTTTTTTTTTTAAAAAAAAAATAAACTTTTAAAAAGTCATCCAGGAGGCAGTAGATAATTTAACCAAGAGTTTTGCTAGTTTTATGAAAATATAAAGTTTTTCTTTTCTTTTCTTTTTTTTTTTTTTTTTTTTTTTTTTTTTTTTTTTTTTTTGAAGGAAGAATGCAGCCTCAGTATCAGAGTTGTAAACTGCAATAAATTGTGAGGAAAACCTTTGGAAACTCGTATTATAATTATATTTAGCTTAAGATTTGAGTGCAAAAAAAAACAGTAAGGGTTACCTTAAGAGTTGTATATCGTAGTTCATTAGCTGCTACTATAACCCCTTTCAGCAAAAGCTGCTTCATGCACTATTATTAGTGCAGTATTCACTATTTAGTATGATTAATATAAGCATAAGAGAACTCGAAAACTTTTTTTTAGAAAAAGAAAAGCTGTAGTAGGAGGGAAGGGAGGTTATAAAAAATAAAGGTACTTGAGGATCAAATTCCTGTTCCTAAAGGTAACTACATCTGGTCATTATCTTCAATTTATTAACGACCACTATGAATGGATTTCCTGAAATGAAAATCTATACATATATGTATATATATTATGAATACCGTATCAATTCGTGTTTCTGAAACAATTGAATCTTAAACATTATAAGAAAAGAAGAGAGTTACATGTCTTCCTATTAAATAGGTCATGGCTGCTATTGTTAAGCAAAGTAAGTTTAGTGACGTAGAAACACACAATTTAAGAGTTATAGAGACTAGTGGAACGGTACCTGTTGAACATCTTTATAACTTTGTACAACTTTCAGTAAATCAATTTGAGAACTGTTCAAATAAAATTTCTATCTTTCTATATATTAATATAGCCAAATACATATACATGTATATATATATATACGTTTTTTTTTTTTTTTTGGTAAATTGACACATATTGCCGAAGTGAAGGAAGAAGATATGGTACTAGTTGCGCTTCATTCTTCAATTAAAAAAAAATTATGCAAGTGTCTAATTTATTTATTTTATTTTTCTTGGGGTGAATAATAAATTGAATGTGTAATTTTAGAATGCTTTTGTTAATAGATTTGTTTGACCTGTTAAGGTCACATGACTTTGCCCCTGATTGTTTCAAAAAAATAAAAAAAGAAAAGAAAAGAAAAAGAATAATGATAAAATAAAGAACTTTGTCAAGTCTGGCAAGAGTTTAAAATTAACCTTTTCATATGCTCGTGTAAAATAAAATAAAGAATAGCTTAAAAACTCATACACATTGTGTCTTGTGTAGAATTTGAAGGTAATTGAGATGTTGTTGTTGTTTTCGAATGTTTATCAAATAAGTGCCATCAATCAATAGATATCGATAATGAGAAACTTATTACTATACCACAAACTGATGTCATCATAGAAGAAGAACAAAAGAATACTATTCCTCTTGTAAAAAAAACATATTAATGTTATTGTTGTCGTTTAGTATTTTATACTGTACTTCTTATCCGAAAAAAAAAAGAAAAAGAAAGATAAAGATTACATAAAATTGAATGACTGGATTTTTTTTTTCATGACTATAAATTTATTATCAGATTGTACTGGTGGTAAACAAAGGAAATAGCTATTCTCAAGTATAGTAATATATACAGTTAGTATTGATTTAGCAATTTTAATTTGTTAAGAGCATGTTATTAAATGACAGAATTAACAGATTTATTTGTTAAGGAAAGATATGGGTTAACAAAGGTGGTAAAAATGAAAGGAAATCAACAAGATAGAATAAGGTCATTTAGTAGATATGATGATACGATTATTATTTCTAATATTTCACAGTATTTGGAATAAATAAGCTTTATTAAAAAAAAAGTGCAAAGAGAAACTAATGCATTTATACCTTATGTGGAGGTATCTTCTTCATCCCACTGTAAACCATATTTATCTTCAAAAATGAATTGATTACATAAGTTCTTTTGGCTTGCAATAGTACTTAGTAATTCATTAATTAATTTAAGAGCATAATATTCTACTTGGCCTGGTTCCTGAAAATTAGGATACTTTCTATCGAGTCTATTTGTATGAACCATAATATTCGCTGCTAATGCCAAGTTATCTAACTTGAGACTCCAATCCCCAACTGCTTCACAGATATAAATCATATCACTCGGGAATCGTTTATTTCTGGATGCAGGAAGTATATAAAATGATGTGCTATCAACAATAGTATCTGATGTAGTTTTAATGAGCTGAGGAAGATAACTTGCACTGTATTTCCCTGGTGTCTCAATAATAAACCGACGCAATTCATGCAAATATTCGATTACTCTTGTTATTGGATACCATTTTAATGTCTCAATTGCTTGTATAGATTTTGCTTCCCAATTAACGTACATGAGATAAATATGGAATATAATGAAGGGATAATTTTAATGGTAAAAGAGATTTTATATATGAATGTTTCTATGACAACATTTATGGATTTGTATCCAATTTTGTTGTCCTGTATATTTATACATGCATATATATTTTTTAAAACAAAGGTATATATAACAACATTATGTAATTCTATTTATTTATTTATTTGTTTTTTTTTTTTTTCGATTGATAATTGTATATAATGAAAAGAAGAGAGACACACTCGATATATATCTTGCAAGACTGTAGTAGTTACATCATCTCATAATTATAAGGGAAATTTTTCGTGGTAACATGAAAAATTGACAGTCATTTTGTAAGCCAATTAAATTTATTATAAAAAATTTTTTTAACATATTTATAGTCATCTTCATTTTAGAGTCGACAATTTTTTTTTTTGTTTTTATTCTTCACACTTTAAAAAAGGTAAAGTAGTATACTTGTATGTGTGTGTAAAGTGAATCCAATTTGTATATGATGAATTAAGCTGGCACCAGTCCGAACTTCATGATGGACAGCATAAACTATGGACACCACTCTATACGCTAGGTGTCCCTGATATATACATATTTTTTTTTATTATTATTTGGATTCACATACACAACTAATAGCTTATTTTATAAACTATTTATTAACTTTATATTTTCTTTATAGGTTTATCTTGTAATAAAGAATTTTTTTTTTATTTATTTTATATTACATCTAATAAAACATTTTTTAAACAAACATTAAACTTTTTTTTTTGTGTATCATTACCGTATTTTATATTTTGTATTTTTTTTCTTTTTTTTTCCCTTTTTTTTTATTTTGATTTACTAAACATTTGTTTGTATGGTGGCCCACTCTTTCATTTTATCATTACCACCAGCTCCAAGTGAAAAGTCCTATAAATTAGCTATTCGGGCAAATGACTTTTTTGAGCGTGAACTCTTTGATGATGCTATAATTGAATATACTAAAATATTACGATTGTCTGAAGATAGTTATCAGGATGATGACAAAGAGTATTTCGCGTTAATTTATTCTAATAGAAGTGCATGTTATATAAAAACAGGTGAATACGAAAGAGCTAAACAAGATGCAATAAAAGTCATCAATTTGACTCATCTTTGGTCAAAGGTATATAGTTATTACTTATAAATTTTCAAAGACAACAACAATAATGTAGGGTTATTTTCGATATGGGGAAGCCCTCTTAAACTTGTCATTTTATGATGAAGCTATCGAGGCTTTTAAAAAAGCTATTCATAAAGAGCAAGACATGAAAAATGCAAAAGAAATATCACACTTTGTTGCAAGGGCTTTCATTGAAAAAGACAATTTTCTAATGGGAATCAAGATTATTCAACTCATGCCTGGTCGTGATGTTGCCATCAAAAAAAAGGTGATGAACCCTATTCAAATAAAATTATATGATTTAGCAGCACATATGAAGAATATAATACATATTATTGTCGATTTGGATAGTAAAAAGTGTATTGTGATAGATCCTGTAAGTTGTTTGTTTATGATAACAAATAATATAGACAAATGTCTATACATACGTACATCCTATTGCTCTATTAACATGATAAAGTGTTGGGACATTGATAGTATAATCAAGTTTGTTAATGAACAAGGCTACATAATTGTCGCTATTATCGTTACGCACCACCATTTTGACCATATTGGTGGAAGTCCACCAGCACCTTATGATACTTTACCTATCAAGATTTCAGGCTTATCTACACTTTTAAAAAGGATACCTTATATCAAAGCTTATATTCACCCTTTAGAGATACCTTTTATTAAAGATATACCATCTAATCGTTTAGTACCTACAACAACGACAGATATTACTAATACATTAACAATTGGAAAAATTCATGTTGAATTCCTACATACTCCAGGTCATACACCCGGTTCTCAGTCATTACTAATCAATAAATCAAGACTTATCGCGGGTGATACACTTTTATGTCATGGTCATTGTGGTAGAACCGATTTACCAGGTGGTAGCAGAAAGGCTATGAAAAATACATTAAGACATATCTTAGGTAATTTAGATGATCGAATCATTATTTATCCAGGCCATAATTATGGAACGACTTGGTCGACTATTGGAATTGAAAGAGATAATGGTTGTCTAGGAGATGAATTAGTCGGGTTTGGTATGCTTGTCTAATTTTTCTTTTATTTTTTTTATTTTTATTTTTTTTTTTATTTTTTTTTATTCGTCGTTATAATAAAAGCCACCTTCTTGCTTTTTTCATTGGTTTCAAAAAAAAAAAAAAAAAAAAATCAAACTAAAAAAAAAATTAAACAAGCTTAAAATTTTATTTTTTTTTCTTTCCTCTTTTTTCATAATAATAAATAGCAACAATGTCCTCAGCACAGACACCAGACAATGTCGATGAAAATGTCGAGATTTGGAAGATGAAAAAGTTGATTAAAAACCTTCAAATGGCTAGAGGGTAAATTTAGAATAATTAGATAAATAAGACTTTAATTAATATATATACATCCATGTGTTAAAATAGTAATGGTACCTCCATGATTTCTCTCATTATTCGTAAGTTAATTATTATTCTCAAAAAAAAAAAAAATATGATAAATAGGTTCTAATTATGTTAATTTTAGCTCCTAAGGATCAAATCTCTCGTGTTGTAAAGATGTTGGCAGATGAATACGGTACTGCTTCTAATATCAAGTCTCGTGTTAATCGTTTATCAGTCTTATCCGCTATTACTTCTACACAACAACGTTTAAAGTTATACAATAGAGGTTAGCAATTTCTAATTTAGAAGATAAAAATAGAAGCTCATATTTTATTTCTCTCTCTTAGTTCCTGATAATGGTTTAGTTGTTTACTGTGGTACTATTATTACAGATGAGGGTAAAGAAAAGAAGGTCAATATCGATTTTGAACCTCATAAGCCTATCAATACATCACTTTATTTGTGTGATAATAAATTCCATGTTGAAGCTTTGTCTGAACTTTTGGACAATAATGCTAAATTTGGTTTCATTGTGATGGATGGTAACGGTACTCTTTTTGGTACCGTAAGTGGTAATATTCGTGAAGTTGTCCATAAGTTAACTGTCGATTTACCCAAGAAGCACGGTCGTGGTGGTCAATCTGCCCTTCGTTTCTCTCGTCTTCGTGAAGAAAAGAGACACAATTATGTTCGTAAGATTGCTGAACTTGCAGTTCAATTCTTCATTACAAATGATAAAGTGAACTGTGCCGGTTTAGTCTTGGCTGGTTCTGCTGATTTCAAGACTGAGTTATCTCAATCTGACTTGTTTGATCCTCGTCTCCGTGCCAAGGTTGTAAAGATTGTCGATGTTTCTTATGGTGGTGAAAACGGTTTTAACCAAGCTATTGAATTGTCTGCTGAAGCATTGTCTAACGTTAAGTTCATTCAAGAAAAACGTTTAATTGGTGAATATTTCAATGAAATTTCCCAAGATACAGGTAAATATTGTTTCGGTGTAGATGATACCTTAAAGGCTCTTGAAATGGGTGCTGTCGAGACATTGATTGTCTGGGAAAATCTTGCTACTAATCGTTATATCCTTCGTGATGCCTCTGGTACTGAATCAGTTGTTTATCCTAACGCTCAAGAAGAACAAACAAAATCTTTCTTGGTCGATAATAGTCCTGAAGCTACAGCCAATTCTGAAATGGAAGTCATTGAATGTTTGCCCTTATTAGAATGGTTTACTCTTAAATATAAGGAATTTGGTGCTAATCTTGAAATCGTTACTGACCGTTCTCAAGAAGGTTCTCAATTCGTCAAAGGTTTTGGTGGAATTGGTGGTTTACTCAGATATCGTGTTAACTTTGAACAACTTAATTATGAATCTGATGAGTTTATTTCTGATGACGACGATGAATATATCTAGATTATATAATATACAAAAGGGAAAAACACACACACACACAAATACACAAATACACGCTTACACCCGCTCACACACACACACACAAACATACACTTCTTGGATTATTATAATGATAATAATAAAAGGCATAAACATGTACGATCAAATCATTTTATTGTTGAATATTCGAGTTTTTTTTTTTAAAAAAAAAAAAAAAAAAAGGAAAAGAAAAAAAGAAAAAGAGAGAGAGAGAGTGAGGGAGGGAGAATGATTTATAATAGTAGGCTAGTAAAAGTATTTAAATACCATCTATATAATAATAACTTGTTAGTATTATTTAAAAAAAAGTAAGATTATTTTTTAATACTAACTTCTTGATATCCTTTTTCATAAGAAAATAAACTTTGGTTTTGTCTAAACAAAAGATAGCTTGTCAATGCAGCTGTAAGAGCCCCCATGATTGCGCAGCACAAATTAAATATATTTCCAAAATCTTTGTTTATAAGTGTTTAGAAGAAAATAATATATATGCATATACAAACAAGTGAGTAGAAGACTACAGTAATAAAGGGGACACTTACAATAATTCGGACCACTTGATATAGGATAAAGATAGGAGGCTACAATACCTCCTGTATTGCCTATCATCACTACTACTGCAACAGCAATTACTCGGATTTCAAGTTTATCAAAATTAATAGCTGACCATCCAATATTTGGAGGAGCTACAATAACGCAGATAACATATGATTCAATATATATATACATGTGTGTGTTATTGTTATATATTGATAGAAATAAGATTTACCTTGTAAACCTAATCCAAATGATACAACAAATAATGAACTATAACGAGCTAATTATTATTATTATTAAAATATAGAGTAATTTTTTTTTTTTTTTGCAATATTTAATAAGCCATCATCATTTTTCACTTTATAATATAAATATATATATATTACCCCATCGGTCTTGAAGAATTAAAAGCAACATGTAACCTATAGAGGCTATGATAAAGCCTGTAAAGATCAAAAGACCACGCTTGTTATCAAACTTATCAGACATATAACCTCCCATGATGATAGAGACAGTTTGAAGTACATTAGGAGGAGCTGATAGTAATTGAGAGGTAAAGATGGGGAATCCAAAGCCATCGATGATCATAGGGGTAAAGATCTGATAGCTTACGAGATTAGTGACCCCCAAGAAAAAGACAAGGGAAAACAAAGCTGTTTTCCAATCAAGGACAGCATTGAAAAAGACATTCATCGTGATGGTGGAATTCCTCTGATGGTCTAGTGTCATAGTAGAGTCACGATGTAAGGCCCTCTTTTGAGCATCTGTTAACCAAGGTACGGTCTTAATGTCATCAAATAAATAAAAATAAGAAATGACACTTAGACAAATGGTCGGGACTCCCTCCAAGATAAAAAGATACTGCCATCCATGTAAACCTCTCTGTCCCTCAAGGAATGAAGTACCATAAGCAATAGGTCCTGATACAATACCTGACACTGAAGTCATGCAAAGTAATAAAGCAACACGTAAAACGAATTCACGAGGACGATATACTTTAGACATCAAATATAATATACCCGGTATATATCCACTCTCTGCAGCCCTAAAAGAGAAAAAAAAAGGATCCCAGTTTAGCTGTTACCATTATAGATAAATGATCATTACATATATATACCCTAATAAAAGCCTACAAGCAAGTAAGCTTTGAAAGTTTTTCGAAAATGCCATCACCAAAGTTATTATACCCCATAATAGCATGATAAGTGATAACCATAAAGCAGCACTTGTACGCTTTAATACAATATTAGAAGGTACTTCAAAAATGATCTAACAAGTTAAAAAAAAAAATTCAATTATCTGTATAAACTATAGAATATATGTATGTATGCATGCATTACATATGTAATATAGAAAGCTGAAATAACTGTACTTAATTGCTCTGATGATAACTAAAATAACAACTCATGTTAAGTTAATTTATATCTCTTTATTTATATATTAATTGCTGTTTAGCTACTGTTTTCTTTTTTTTTTTTTTTTCCTCCTCCTTACATGTAAATCAACTTGAATACCAGCTAACCTATGTATGTGTGTGTATGTTTCATTGAATACTTTATTAAAGAAAAAAAAAAAAACTTACGTTGCATTACCAATATTTGCACGATCAAGGAAATCCATAAAATAAAAGACACAAAATAATGGCATCATATGACGATCTATAATTCTCGTAATTACTTTTTCTTCAACTTCTTTATCCTTTATTTGAGCGGCTATTATCAGGTCTCGATCATTACTTGATTGAAAAGAATCATTCTTATCATAAGCAACTTCTTGCTTTTTCGTTATCGAGCTTTCCTCCTCTTCTTTATAAAATCTATCTTCCGTTGATGACGGCATTTTGAAAGTGGAATGAATATTGTCCATTGATTCTGTATCGCCTGCTGAATCGTAACTATTATTGATTTCAACTGTTTTATGCATGTATGTTAAGAAAAAAAAAGAAAAAAGAAAAAGAAAAGAGATTCTTTTATGCATATATTAATTTATTTAATTAGATTTAAAGTACATCTGAGGAGATTTTTTTATATATAAAGATCAAGAAAGAATTTACAATCCTATTATCGAATGGGAGGAACAAACAATGATATATGCAAGTTCTTTAATCTTAAAAAGTTTGCTTTATACTGTAACAATTGATTTTCCTCCCCCCCCTACTATTTAACTCTTTTATGTATGAATAGATTTATTCTCCAAACTAAACTAAATAGCTTTAAATAATAGTAGGGGAGGGGGGGAGAAAATAAGTAAATCATCCCTCCTTCTCCTTCTCTCGCTATGATTTAGATATTTTTGAAATCACAAGAAGAAGTATCTCTCTCTTTTTCAATTTTTTACTCTTAGCCATATACAAAGAAGAGGCTATTTTATATTATGTATATGTGTGTGTGTTTATATATATATATATATATATGTATGTATGTTTCAATCCTGAACTGTTAACAGAGAAAGTACACATGATCAGAACATGGGTCTTATAGTGTATAATGTAAAGATGATTAGAATCTACACTAACAAAAAGAAAAGGCTCTAGATTCTTACCGATTTTAATAAATATATTGCTCTTTTCCTTTCATTCATATAAACTAAGTTTAGCAAGCGTAGTTTATACCCATTATAATAAGGAATTATATTACGTATATATATATATATGAAAGACTATACTTTTCTAAATGTCAGTTTGGTATTAATAATAATAAACCTGCTATGCCTATTTTTTTTTTCCTTTTTTACATTCTTTATATGATACATAATAAAGATAATTACAATTCTTACAAAATATGCTATACATAAAGAAATATTTCCCTCTCTATCTCGTCTATTAGGAGGTTTGCTTTAAATTTAAAAGAAAGGACAGATTATAATAGCCAAGCAACGCCAAACGACACGTATCAAAAAAAAAAAATGTTTGTTTAAATAATAATAAAAAGTGCACAGACTATGTACATTTATTAGATAATAATGTAATAAAAAAGAAAGAAAAAAATGGCCTACAGAATACACATACATATATACACATAGGTATATACATATTAGTATCTAAATAATATAAGGGGGAGAGAGGGAAAAAAAGAAAAGAAATGCTATTTAGGGCTAACTAAGGGGAGGAGGAGAGGGGGGGGATTAAAGAATAATTAGAGTAGTTCTATTGGAAGCAGTAGAGGTAGTATTGAAAATAGGATGACTAATAACAATAGGAATAGTTGTGTTTATGTTGGTATTAACATTTTGGAAGACAGCCTCATAGGGACCAGGAATAGTAGTGTTAGGGATACGATAATTAACAGAGAATTGGTTATAAACTTTACCATCAACAGTGATGGGATAAACAAAAGATGAACTACTAACATCGTTTGCAACTATAGTCTCATTCTTGAAACCATTCACAGATCTGAGATAGAGATTAAGCTTCACACCTATTATTATATCCACAACAACAACAAAAGAGAGAAAGAAAGTTATTATAACAGCATCATAAACATAAATTGAGGGGTATACTTACCTGTAGGAGAAGTAGGAATAAAACTGTAGGGAAGAATATATCCAGTAATATAAGTGCCATTTACCAAAGGAGAAGTAACATTGAATTGATAGTCAGGAGATCGGATATTTTCAAAAGCAGAGGCAACAGTAGCGAAAGCAGAACCAAGCGCAACAGCAATAGTAGAAAACTTCATTTTATAACACAGTGGTTAAAAAAAAAATAAATAAATAAATAAATATAAGGAGTCAAAAGTTTTTTTTTTTTCTTAAAAAAAATTGGATATACTTTCGCAATAGTAGCTATTTTATATAGTTATTTTTTTTTTTTTTTATTATCATTATTATTATTATGTCCTCCGCTTAAAGAAAAGATATTTGCATCTGAAACAAACATATTCGTAGAAGGAGACGATGCGCGACTTTTTTTTTTTTTTTTTTTTTTTTTTGATAGACCAAATGCAAAGCATTTTTTAAAAGAATATAAGATTTTGTCATTATATTATCAGGAAATATACTTTCTGACATTAACCATAATGTTATTTTTTTTTGTTATTATTCATAAAAGACATTAAGAGAAAGTTTTAGTAGTAGTAGAAGAAACAAGAAAAAAAAAATGTTCATATAAATGTGCGTTGTTTTATTGATAACTTTACAGTTTCCTTTTTTTTTTTCGGAAATCGATATTCACCAAGTTAACTCTTTAGACCATTAGAACAAAAAAGGAAAATTTATTCAATATTTACCATGTATTTAAAGCTCAGTTGTATAAAAAGAGCTTATTAGAAATAAACTTATTATTATTGCTTTTCAAAAAAAAAAAAAAATAAGAGTTGTAAGTAGTTTCAATAACAAAAAAAAAGAAAAGAAAAGAAGGAAAGATTTCTAGTACTTTTTATGAGGAAATGGAATTAGAATATGATCACAAGTGGCTCGAGTTAATCTAGTTTTACAAAAGGCCCCTTTTTGATTGAGTGGCAAAGCGTATAGTAAAAAGATGAAAAATATACAAATATGGCAAAATAAAATCATGTCACAATTCTTGGTGGGAATGAAATTTATATTATTCAACGCAATAATACGTGATGTTGTTTAATTCCAATTATTTTACTTTGAATGAATGCTGTTGTTGTACGGTAAATTAATTTTCAGTATTACAACAAATAATAAGAATAGGGTTTTTTTTTTCTTGACAGCGGCATATTAGTAGAAAGTATAAAATATAGCTTAATTAGCATTCATATCAAAGTTGGGGGGGAGGAATGTTTAACAACAGGATATATAACCTTAAGGTTAATAAATATCTCTGCCACATATGATTGCTTTTTCTCTTATTTTAATTTTTTTTAGAGTATAAAAAGAGCCAAAAAAAAAATCATGTAATGATTATCATGACCCTCTTCTTAGCTGTATTTTTTTTATTACTATTGTATTGAGTAAAGAATATGCTTCAGTGAAAAAAAAAAAATTAATGCCAGTCTTTTCGGATAAGTTAATAGTGACGTGTTTTTTTATCATATAAGATAATAAAAAAAAGGGGGGGAGGAGGAGGAGGAGAGAGAGAGAGAGGCATGAGTAATTCATTTTTGATAGCTTAAAATAAATAAATTAAGGTAATGAATAGATTTATATATTTTATTTAATATACATTTTTATTTCATTTTTTTTTCATATTATTATTATTATTGTATTATTATTATCATTATTATTGGTATTAAAATAAAAAAAAAAGGGAAGGAATAGCAAAGGAAAGAATGGTTTAATCAAGACCATTGGAGCTGCTGAGAGGACAATGATCAAATGAAACATCACCTCCGTTACCCCACCAATTAGGTGTATATCCTGAACCTTGCACGATACCCCAAATGATAAGTGCGGCAATAGCGCAACCAGAATCAAATGCAGCAGAGGTCAAATAGTTATATTTGATCCACCAATTATGTCTATATTTACGCAACCAATACATGGAGATAAAACCAAGAGCACACCACATAGAAAAGTTAAGGGGTACAGCTGGGGGCATCATACCGGTGGCATTGAAAATAAGTGGCAAGTGAACATACTTCCAGAGGCTGTTGGGATATCTCTTTGAAAGGTACCAGAATGGGATGGGCAAGAGGAAACCGATTAAGAAGAACCAATTCATGCTAGCATAAGGGGAGACGCCACCAAACATTTTACCAGGACCAATGGTACCCCAGATGATAGAAGCAGAGTAAAAAGTATGTGCACTAGGACAAGTAAAAGGATAGGCCTCTGGTGTACAAATGTTCTCCACAGTGGCCATTAACCATTTGGCAGTAGCAAGATTGATAACACCAGCAATGGCTGTTCCTACGATTTGCACCCAAAACATGGCACGAGGTGGGACTTTAGTATAATGACCTAATTTCAAATCACCTACAAAGGTAAGACATTGGGCCATCGAGATATAACCGTAAGTCTTGAAGGTGACATTAGCAATTGGGCGACCTGGTAAGGCATAACCAATGACAAGTTCAGTAATGATATTTAAACCAGGTTGTTGATTTGTTACAGCTTGAATGATACCAATAGGGAGAGTAAAGATCATAGGAATAGCAACAGCTAACAGAAAACCCCACCATGGTAACTTAATCTCTGGCCAACCATAGATAACACCAAAGGAAACACCTAATGATCCAAAAAAGATGAATGCATACCACCAAAACGGGACCTCTGGATAGGCACGCATTAATTTTCGATGAATATCTTCATCTTCAGTACGAGAGGCCTTGAATTGACGTATGATATCTTTACCGTGATATAAGAAAGTATGAGTAAGAATACTAGTGACACCAGCAAACATGATACCATAGGTAAAAGCAAAGAAACTTGTCATGTAAAGGGGTCCATATTCATCATAGGCTTCATGATTTAACGTCTTATCAGCGTTAAGGACAATCGAATTATTCCAGGCGCCACCATCACTAGTAAATAAGGCAGAGGTGATGATAGGGAAGTTTTTAGAGTTCCAGGTATTAGTGTAATAAAGAGCAGGAACGATCACCCAAGAGACAAGAGCAGCACCAACGGCGATATTAGCAATAGCCCACCAGGGAACAACAAAGGGACTACCAAGGAAAGAAACGATAGTAGACCAATCGAAGGAGATAGCGAGTAAACCAAGACCTTCAAGACCACCTGTCAATTGAGAAAGAACACGATTACTAGGTTTAATCCAGCAAGCCCAAGAAAAGAAAGTAAGAACCTGGAAAAAGTAACCAGGAAGCCAATAGTAAACGAACATAGCACAGAAACAATATAAGAAATATTTGTAACGAGGTACACCAGTCCATTCACCATCAGCAATATGGAAAGAACGGAAAAGAGAGATATTAGCGAGATTACTTGGCCATACCATAGCTGAAGGATAGACAAGATAAGGACGAAGTACACCTGCCATACCGAAACCAATTAATTGAGTTGTCCAGATCAGGAGAATATCACCTCCCCAACCCATATCTTGACCATACCATAAATTTTGAATTGTGATAATATCGATAGCATAAGCAGTACCATAAGAACAATTAGCCATTACTGTAATTAAAACATGTTCCTTCATATTGAATGGACCAGGATTAAAGAAACGAGATTTAGGAATTACTTTTTCCATAAATTTGCCGATAGGGAAAGAAATCAATTGAACAACAAGAGGAGATAAAGTCATAGCATTTCGTCTATACCAAAAGAACTGATTAACAAAAGCTAAAACACAACTGAAGACAAGACCGAGACACCACATACGAAAAGTATAAATTGGTAAAGTAGGATCATCCGTACTATATAAAAAAGAAGACTAGGGTTAAAAATATAAAATAAAATAATAGATAAATCTATTCATTTAAGCTTACTTGGGGACAACAGCACGAACTTCTTCAATAGGAGAGTCTTCATTTTGAAATGTATCAGTAGTTATATCACCAACAATTTTTTCATCATCATAATAGCTTCCAGCTTTTTTCTCATCAAAGGCAGACATTTGTTCAACTTTTTCCTCCATCCTAGAAGAATGAGAAGAATGAATACTTGTTTTTGATTCCATAATCAAGGATAAACAATGACTATGAATAAATTATAAAATGAATCAATAAACAAAAAAATAAAAAAGAAAGGAAAGAAATAACAGAAAGAAAAAAAAATAAATAAATAAAGTAAAGAAAAGTAAATAAATAAAATAAACACAAATTGACAAAGATCAAAAAGCCTTTTTAAATATCTCACTCTCCCTCACTCCCTCACTCACTCACTCTCTCTCTGTGTGTGTGTATGTGTGTGTGTGTTTATTAGTCGTTACATCAATGAAAATCAGATGACACAAGTATTTTATCTTGTGTATTGTATTTTTCAAATGAGAATCTAAATTTTTATCATAAAAAATAAAAAAAACATAAAATACATACAAATAAATAAATTTTTGTTCAAGTGAATAAATACATAAGAATTTAATCTTTATTCATGTATGAACACGTATTTTCTTTCTTCCTTTGAATCGATTTCTTTTAAAGTTACTTTATCAAGTAAATTCATTAATGCCTTTTTTTAGTAATTCTTTCCCAGAACGGTTCTCTTTTGCTTCACATGCATTGTCATCTTTAATTATTACCAAAAATATTATATATCACCTTTTGAAGTCAACTCTTATGTTACACTGTACCACGTAGAGCCTTCAATCTAAGTTATACTCAACTAATAAAGTGCAACTCGACTGGTTAAGATATGTTCTTAATTACACCAACCCTATCTTCTTGTAATAAAATAAAGATAGATAAATGAATAAATCAATGAACAGATAAAGAAAAGGAAAGATAGAGAGACAAAAATATATTATTTATATTATGTCTTTGCTGTATACTTTTAAATAGCAAGTTTTCTTTTATTCTATTTTCCCTGTAAAACATGATATTTATTCTTGCATAAACAAATATTTATTTATATATACATGATTGCCTTTCTTTCACATAATATCTATTATAATACATTTTTACCTTATTTATACAAAAAAAAAAAAAAAAAAAGAGTTTTTTTTTTAATAGTAGTAGTAGTATCAAGAGCGAAATACATGAACTAATTTTAGAATAGGTTCACGACATATTGGGCATTGGTTATTAGTTTCAATTAACTAGAATATTAAACGCAGTTTAGCTTTCTTTCTTTCTTTCTTTCTTTTTATGTTTTGTTATATATTATATTTTACCTTTTTAGCGCAGTCCATACAAGTTACCATATGTCCACAGTCTAAAAACACACAATTTTGTTGTGCATCAAAACATATTCTACACAAATTATCATCTTTAACTGTTTCATTATTTTGGCTCGTATGATCTGCTTTATACTGATCTACTAGTCTTTGTACAAGTTTAACAAGTTCAGATTTTTCTATTACATGAGATTGTTCCACGAAATTAGATTTCAATATGGATTTTAAGGTACGCACTGATAATGAAGAAGGATCAATTTTAGCTTTAATCATGTCATGGAGTGATAATACGTTATCGTGATTGGTTGGTTTATTATTATGAACTGGACTACTAGGTATAAACTCTTGTCTTTGTGTATTAGATGAAGAATGAAAGGTATAATTTGATCTTTGTTCGAATTGCTGCTGCTGTTGTGCTTGCTGTTGTTGTTGTTGTTGTTGTTGCTGTCTTTGTTGCCTTTGCTGTTGCTGTTGCTGTTGCTGCTGTCTTTGCTGTTGCTGCTGTCTTTGCTGCTGTCTTTGCTGCTGCTGCTGCTGCTGCTCAATAGAATTATTATTCCTATTACTACTACTAGTAGTGTTTAAAGGTGTAAACAAGTCTTGAATCATATTTGTAAATGAAAAGCCATTATTACTACTTGTTGTTGTTGTTGTTGCTGATCGAGTACGATGCTGTCTAAAATAACATTCACTTTCATTTGAAATAGGTCTCGTATTAAAAATAATTCGAACTAAATCATTTTTCTCAATGGCTGCTTTAGACGGAAGGTGATAGGCTTTGATATATTCTTTTAAATCTTTTGGTGCTAATTTTGCTAGTTCAATTGAGTTCATACTTTGCATCCGAATTAACTTTTCACAAGTATTACAACACCGCACAGGACTGAATGAATGAATGAATGAATAATAATAATTAATATATGCATGTATCATCAATAGATTTCACTCTTTCTTTTCAAGTGCTTACTTTTCATAACCAAATTTTTTTATTGGATGTCTATGGTCTGAACAGTTAGAACATATAACATAACCTATATATAAAAGTGAACACACATGTCATTTCCAAATTAAAGGGAGGAAAGGCATTTCTTACCGCAATTTCGACAATGGTATTTTTGCTTGAATAAATTAAACATGGCTCCACATTCAAAACAATGTTTAGTATTATTAAAGGGTCTAAGCTTTGGAATTACAAAGACTCCTCCGGGCCCATATCTTTCTTTATTTTCTTCCGACAATTTGACTATTGAAATAAATAACTAAAGAACTAATAATAATAATAAAGAAGAAGACTAAATATTGTTCAAGAAACATTATTGTATATATTTTTTTTTATTTTATTTATTTTTTTTTTTATTTGCTACTTAAAACCGGTCATATTTTTTTCCACTTAAAATGGTAAAAAACTTTCAAATTAATGAAAAAATGATTCCCAAAATACAATCTATTTTTCAGTATACTATTAAACATAATTTATAAAGCAACCTATGAACACACAATATCTTTGTTATACTGGACTGCCTAGGTCAGTTCAGATTATGCAAAAAAAAAAAAAAAAAAAGTATCTAAAAATTCTCTTACAGGGACAAGAGGTAAAAAAGGTAAAGGAAAGGAAGAGAAGGTGAGAAAGAAAGGGGGAATATTGCTAACAAATTTAAAGGGACAACCTAGTTGAGTCATTTCCTGCCTGGGTCAAGAAGTGGAGCGGGTTGTAGTTTGTCATGTATTAAGTAATCTGTTTCCTGTAGAATGGTGCACATAACTGGCCAACGATAGAACCAGGAAGAAACATCCTGAAAATTTTTGATACTTATGCTGAGGGAGATGATTTAAAAGAAAGGAAAAAAGGGGATCTGTTTATTGATCGAGACATGAATAAATGAGTGTACATGTGCAAGTATCCAGTGGCGTGTGATGAACTAAAGTGTACATAAGGACGATATGAGCAGGCTTTAGGTATTCCTCCTGATAGTCAACCAAGACACCATCGAATAGTTCGACTACGTTCACTGTGTGTCATGGGTAACCAACCAGAGTATCGGAAAATAATCAGATAGTATTACATTATACAATATATACAATAGTTAATCACACAATAATAAAAGAGTAACTTTTTTATCCAATTTCGAATAAATCAGTTTTGCTAAAAAAGAAATACACTTTTGGTGTATGATCGTTCTGCCTTCTTGGCGAAAAATGTTTCCTCCTACCTTTGAAGGCGGGAAATTGTATAATAATAGATATTAGCAATTCTGGAGTAAAAGCTTAAGAAAAAAAAGATGTTTACGAAAGTAATTCTTTTGTAGATATGCCTTTGTATCAGCATAAGAGCATATATATATTATACTATTTATCTAATTTACACAGCCTTTTTAATAACTTTTGAAAGTAGCAATCCTAGTCTTATTTAAAAAATACACTAATTTAATTATACGTTTATTTATATATCATTATATTCCTTTTCCTCATTACTATCTCTGTTGATAAGGTAGAGATAAAAATAAGGAAGACAGAATAAATCTGTGAAAACTTTATAAGATGAAGAAATTGTGTTTTGAGTGCAAAGATAAGGAAAGAGAAAAAAGAAAAGACAAGTCTGTGAAAACTTTGTATAGTTTTATTGAAGAAAAATAACACAGAAATTGTACAAGAAGAAAAATGACGAGGGCTACTTATATGTTTTGTAACGTAAGTCATATTAATAGGAGTGTGATTTAGATAAGTGAATATTGCTATAATAAAGCCTTTATGCACAAATATGCACAAATATTGTCTCCGAATAATTCTGCATACAGTATGTATATTTCTGCCTGAGCTGTTGCTGTTATTAAAAATATACCCGATTATCGTCTTTGGGATAAGCAACGCGTTAATATTAATTTACAGTGAATATTCCCACTATAACAATATTTAACATTATGGATGTATATATAATATGTATGACGTGTATAAATAATTATGTGATTGAATATAACAGTCATAAACCTATTGAATTCTTATAATTACATACTATGATGTATATAATTATTTTGTTTAATACTCAAATACTCTAACAATGACTATTATTAAAACTGAGTGTAGAATGAATATTATGCTGTGAAGCACAATACACTAGTTTATTCGAATAAATTCTTTATTATTTAAATAAATGATAGTTTATTTCTATTAACTTAGTTGTAAATACGACTACAATCATAACAACCATCTTCAGTGTTGTCATCCCACATACAGACATCATCTAAAATTGTCTTGTCTGGCCAGATAACCTTTGTTCCCCGTTTTTTCGATTCAACAATAGGGCTTGTATTTAAAAGGTTATCAATCTTGCTAACATGTTTCTCAATCTTAGCAGAATTGATTTGTTCCTTCATTTTAATTGCTGATCTCTATAATAAAGTACAAATAATTAAGTTGACTGCACTGTGAGTAATATAGTTATGACACACTACCTTAATATATGAAAGAACATTTATCAATTGCTCAATTCCACCTTCATTTATTTGTTTCTTAGTCACAGGATATGAAAAAGTGACTACGTTAACCAACATGTATTGTTTTGGCTTCACCAAAACAAGGTGTAGCAAGTGACAATCAAACCCCATGATCTGCATGAAGGGGACATACAAATCAGTTTCTTTGCACTGGAGATTCTGTACAAGCAAGTTTAAATGTAATTTTGAGATTAAGATCAACTTAAGCTTGTCAAGGTAGTACTTGTGGGAAGTGCATTTCTTCGCAAACTCAGCGAGGGAGTAATCTAAAGGTGATGTTAATGCACCCACACGGAGATCCATCTTTGAAATGATCTTAGACTTGCTCAAAGAGCTAGGAACGGTATCTCCCCTATAAAGTATATAATTAGTAATTATAATTGGAATACTACTTTAGTTTCAGTCCACTGAAGAAGGATAAGTAAATGGGATTTATTTTGCAGAATTTGGGTGACTGATTATAATTGGTTTTTAGAGACGACTTACCATTTCAAGCTGATGTCGCTGTATCCAAAGATTTCTTCGAAAATATGCGACCAGAACTTCAACTTAAAATCTTCTTCGGAATAGCTCTTTATGCTGCTATCGGAAAAAAGGTTTGCTTTATGTACATGTTGATTCAAACTTGAATAAAAAAGAAAATGAATACAAATAGCCAAAGTAATTTATTTAATTTTACTTGGCAAAAAAAAATATACTTACATAAATCGATAAACCTCTTTTTGAGCGCGTTCGTTATTATTAATAGCAGTAAACTTTTCAACTGCAGCAAGCTTTTTCTTCCAAGAAAGGGATGTATTCATTATCTTAGATAATTTGCTAAAAACAACATTCTCAATGTTGAATTGCTTCTTGTTTAGTTGGTCCAATTCAAATACTATTTCTTGAGATAAATTGTCAAAATGAGAGTGCTTACTCTTATCAGAACAATCATAAATATTATTTTTGGTGACCCTGGAGAGCATAAATTTAGTTAACAGTTTTATCGTGAGGTTTTGAAAACTATTTCTTACCACTCGAAGTAATCAAATTTCTTTGATTTCTTTTTGTTTTTTTTAAAAAAATATCGTTAATACATAATACATAGTTTCATATAAAAAGAAAATAAAAATAGTTACGCGTTTTATCGCCTTTAGTTAAAAAAAAAAAAAAAAAAGAGAGTTAGGAAAATCGTGGTTACAATGCAATACCATTGAATATTACCTCATTCTGCTTTCTGATTCTATTTCTTCTAATGTTAATATAAAGCTTTTGCTCTTCATCAGCAAGGTGTTCAAGGGATCTTAAATTTCTTTTAGACATGAATTAAATTCGTAGTTAAAACTTTTCAGTGGCAGTGCTATTAAATTACTAGTTGATCAGACTATATTTTAACTGAAAACGAACAAAAAATAATTTCCTTATCATAAAATTAGGTGCTTTTATATTTTCTCCTTTCTTTTCTCCTTATTTTTCTTTTCTCCTTATTTTTTCTTTTCTCCTTATTTTTTGATCTGCTAAAAGCCAATTTCTTGCTCAGATGGGGTAAGCTGTGTGTTCCAATTGAAGTTCAAACCTTATTTGAATTTCATTGGCTGAATGGGGGGTTTTTTTTTTTAGGGAAGTAAATGCCAGTTTTTAATTAATGTCCTTGTTTTATTTTTGAGAAACGTACCATCAAGTTTGAAAAATATACGATTTGGGAAGTGGAAGCACTGTACTAAACAGAATGCACATTGATAATTCTATTTTTTCTTAATGATTATTTGGCCTTTAACTATCACATCATATTATTTACACTATGGCGGAAATTATGGTAATGAGGAAAAATTGGTAGAAAAGCTACCAATTTTTTTTGAACCAGCCAACCACATTTAAGGAAGGATGCATACCAGATGGCTAGCAATGGTGAGATGTTTTTTAATCCCTAGAATTAAGCCTAGAAGCAACTAGGTGAATAGTAAAAGGTATATAGATTATTTTTATATGTTTGGGTGTCTTTTATTCCCTTCATTTAAGCCATGAACTTCATTTCAGAATTATGATTCTTAATTTTTTACGAAAAAAAAAAAAATTGGCAACAGCTACCAAATTGGTATTTTAGCTACCATTTTCAGCGCTTGAATTTCTGTCAGGGCCAAAACGGGCTTCTAATTTTTAATTGAATTTTTTATCTTTTCAACAAACAAGCTTTGAGCTGATTTTTTTTATTTTATTTGGAGCTTAATGGTTTAAATTAAAGAAATGTTGCCAACTGTTTTGCGAAGATTAGTATCGAAAACAAAGTATGGGGATATAACATAAAACTGGTTATCGACTCCAGGGTATTGTACAAGACCAGCTTGCCTATCGATGTCATACACACTGATAACAGCGTATTTTGGGTATATAATAGAAGTATTGCCAGTTTGTTCTTCTATTGGCTTGCTTGTTTACTAGAGGGACAGATGAGTCATGCGAAGCTGTGGTATATTGACTCATGACTTCAATGAACGCGAGAAATTGTATTTCGATTGTGAAAGCTCATGCTTGAAATAGAACAGAACAGAACCAACAAACCAACGTTTCCTTCTTCTAAAATAATATGTTCGGTAAATAAGAATTTATAGTTGTTTTAGTTTTTTTTTTTTTTAAAAAACTTACGCGTTATCTAAACAGGAAAACATGATGTACGGATTCCCTCTACTGGTTTCTTTTTTTAATCGCCTGTACATACAAGATGAATATACAGTTGAAGAAACCAAAAGGCGGGATGCAAGGGTTATAGAAGTGCTGGGTATATTAATGGGGAGTCTTTGATTATTTAAGCGAGTATAGAATCTCTTTATAGCTTTGACAATTTTCTTGCCGGGTATACCTTCCACCAATTGATCGTCATTCAGCTCAGAAATCGGGATGAAAGGCTCCCATAATTGTGGACCATTAGCATCATCGGGTATATTCATGTAGCTGGCATCGGTATATTGTCTGGGTTGAATCAGATTAGCCAGTTCAGCAATGTTTAAAACGCGGTTGACGTGATTGTGGATTGCCAGTCTTTCAATGACGTTACTTGCGTTTTTTCCACCCTCACGTTTCGACTTGATCAGCTTTGAAAAAACCCCAATCGATCGCTCCATTGACCTTGTTGAATACGCTCGAAGAGGGCCTTGCTTTTTATCATGAAAGGTATATGAGCTAGGTAATGTTGTACTGGTCTGAATACGCTGCGCGATATATGTTTATGGTTAACCTGTTGAAGGAGGTACTTATGCCAGTCGTTAAAGTGCCTAGTGTAGAAGGGGTTACTAATCAGTTTGTGTAATATTATAGAATTTGAGTCTTACCCATCCATCTCACTGATCAACTCATCAGTTAGATCCCATTGAAGGGCCAAAGAGCAACCTTTCACTAGCGATAATACAGCTTTTTGGACTGTTCTATTGGGTAAATATGGGGTAACTAAAGTTGGAATAATATAGAGCAGAAAGTCCAGCCAATCCACAGCACGAGTTCCTTCGGTTTTTGCAACAACATTGTCAAAACTGCCTTGAAATGAGGTAGGGATATATTGTCTTGACTCTGTTATGCTTTTTCCAATGTTTACAAGGCTTCTTTGGGGTATAAAAAAGGGTAGTTCTCCAACACCTTTGTGCCATCCTGTTGGATATAAAAAAAGACAGCGTTTTGACTTGGGTTAAGATCAACGGTAATCATGTCGTACATTTGTTTGCCGATGCCTCTAGCGATCAAATAGAGCTCATTCAAGCCAAAGAAAGGAGAACCAGAAAAGCTATTTAGCGTACTAAAGACACTTGGTTGATGGATAGATCTGGCCTATAAACAAAGTAGTAAGTAAACGTGATGGTAATAAGCATGAAGTTTTTTTTTCACTTTTCTCTTTAGCTTAATTCATTATGGTTCTTATTTAAAATAACTCTCAATCTCGTTCATTATTATGTATAGAAGACTCTTCATTTGAGAAGGTAGCAGATTCCATCTTGTTTTTGGTTCTTTTTTATGCTATTTATAATCTTGCACTCAATTCTAACATTCGTTTATATTGTTCATTAGTCATTGTTTTCTCAGAAAAAAAAAAGCCCTATACGCTACTTGACTCGTACAAAAAAAAAGGCAAATACATGAGTTGCCGGAAGCTCTTTGTTACTTCATCTTGCTAACATGAAGAAATTAGTTTTTCTTTTTAGTCCAAGTTTTAAAAAGGTAAGTTAGTTTAAACGTTTAGAATATTCTTCAGTGTTTATATGAAAAAACACATATATAATAAGCAGATAAGCATTATCCCACTATTGTTTTGTACTGTTTTAAAAAATAAAGTGTTATTTTATATTTATAAAAATATGATAAATAAGCAACCCATATCGTATATAAGCTACCAAAAAAATATGGTAGAAAAGCTACCTTTTGGGTGCTTATAGAATATCATTTACCATATTTTAACTGTCAAAATTGGTAACTTTGCTACCATATTTTCCGCCATAGTGCGTGTATTTCATTAGGATTTATTATGTAATATTTCTCTAATGTTCTTGTTGTGAAGGTTTTACTTAAAATAGCAAATAATTCACTAGATTAGGCTATAATTTATATTACTCTGCGTTATTGTTATATAATAACATCTATCTATATATAGTGGGCATAAAGTCAACACACCATATCATTAATTGCTAGTTTATCTGGTGTTATTTCACTGCCGCTATTATGCTAAAGTATTTACTTGGTGCACCATAAAATTATTCATAATAATGTATAACTTAAAGTCTTATCTTAGAATGCTGAATTGATTTACTTTCATTCAATCACTGTAGTTTTACAAGGCTCTCTATTATTACTTCTCCTCTATTCTTTTTATATATCAATCGTTTATCACTGTCTCGGTGGTCATGTCCACTCACTAGCAATTCATTCTTATATTTATAATAGTCTGTTTAGTACTTGAAAGAATTTGTGTATAACAATCATGTATATAATATAACTAGGGACAAATGTTATTTTGAATTTTATAATTTAACTCCTAATAAGCATTTATATATAACACTCCATTACACCAACAATCATATTTACTGGATTCTAGTATGTCTTTTCCTTCCAGGAGGATACTTTCATACACAAGAATTTATATAAATCCATATCATTGAAGCATTAGTAATTATTGATAGAATGCTACATATTAGAGTCAATTATAACAGCTTTAATAATAAGATTTAAACTTTTCAATTTTACTGATTAATAGCTTAGTCTTAGTATTTATATAGCTAAACTATTTTGTAAGTAACCAAATCTCGATAAATAGAATTAATAGATACATGGGATCGATATATTGGAAAAAAGATATTTGGTAATTCTCTTAATCCCATTGTTAAAATAATGTTGCACAGGACTAACCTTCCTAGTGTGCAAAAGCTGTATTTATAACATGAAGACTAAATTTCTTTGACGTTCGTTTTCATGATCTTCCAATATTTTGTCAACTAGAATAGTATCTTCTATATTGGGCTCTTCTAGCACATGTTTATCATATTGGTTTACTAACATGCCTATCTAGAAATAGTGTCAAATTACAAATATCTCTATAGAGCTTAAGAAGCTTCTCTAATAGTTTGCGCATTCTTTTTGTCTCAATAATCTTCATTTTTACATGTCATATCTCTATTTACACTATTGTTTATAGTTACTAAATAATGTAATTAGGAAATATTTGTTATTTCTCTTTAATAGGTATCCATTACTAAAATCCAATATTTCTCTAGATGAGTATTTAGATTCTTTACTAGCTATCATTTAATCATATTTTCGATAAACTTGATTACTTCTAGTATAGTAAACTAACACCTCTTTTAAATTATCTTTGTCAATTATGACCAATTTGGCTGCCTTTTCTCCCTACCTGCGCTTATTCCGCTGTTTTTTTACTCTTGAACTGATAATTATTTTTTTTTCAAAAAGAAGATTACCCCCACTTAAACCAACCCGTCTCGGGCAGTTTTTGAATGTAGTTATTATGTTGTGTCCATTGGGGGTTTAAAAAGTTAAATTTATTTTTGTATGCACACATAAAAAAAAAAAAAAATAAATGTATTTATTTATTAAAACGTATGGCGTAAACTCACATAAATATTACAACTCCTCTCCTTTCTTTTTTTTCTTTTCTTTTTTTTTTTTCTTTTTTTTTTGTTTTTTGCTTACAATTTATTTAATTTAAGTTGAATTATAAACAAGTACAATGTCTACACCAAGAAGAAGAATTGAAACAGATGTTATGAAACTGTAATATTAAAAAGTTTAAATATTAGTCTTTTAAAATGTAGTCATTTAAACTGGTTTATTTTAAATAGGTTAATGAGTGACTACGAAGTAACATTAGTTAACGATAATATGCAAGAATTTTATGTTCGTTTCAATGGGCCTAGTGATAGTAAGAAAAGAGATAAAAATACGACTGATAAGATTAATGTAATTAATATTTGGTAAAGCTCCTTTTAGTGGAGGTGTATGGAAAGTTCATGTTGAATTACCTGATCAATACCCATACAAATCACCGAGTATTGGTTTTATGAATAGAATATTTCATCCAAATATTGATGAAGTGTAGGTTAAGACTATTTGTTTATACCTTTTCACTCATTCTTTTCTTTTTATATATAGTAGCGGTTCTGTTTGTTTAGATGTCATCAATCAAACTTGGAGTCCAATGTTTGGTAATATATTATATCCTTGCTTAAAATATATTTATTAATCACTTTTTTTTCTAAAAAAAAAAAAAAATACAGATATGATTAATATTTTTGAAGTATTTCTTCCACAATTACTTCGTTATCCCAATCCAACTGATCCCTTAAACGGTGAGGCTGCTGCCTTATTAATGAGAGAACCTACTAAATACGAATTGAAAGTTAAAGGTAAGAAGTCTTAACTAAAATGTGTGTATGTGTGTGAGAGAGAGAGAGAGAGAAGAGAGAAAGAGAGAGAAAGAGCCATATACATACATACATACATACATAAATACATATATATATATGTGTGTGTGTGTGATTATATTTATATATGATTATTTATATGCGCATATATTTATGTGTATACATATTCATAGATTATGTCTCAAGATACGCTACAAAAGAAGCTGCTGATGCTGCAGCAGACGAAAGTTCTGAAGAAGATGATATGAGCTCTGTTAGTTTTGATTCTTCTGAAGATGAAGCAGCTGGTATGGAATTATAAATAATATTTACATATGCTATGTAATCTATCCAAAATAAAAATAAAAAAAATAAAAAAATAAATAAATATTTACTTCAAAGCAAAACTTGATTTTTTTTTCTCATGCATTAATATTTCGAATACGTAAAATTACTGTAGTTAAAAAATGTGTAATATTAAAGAAACGCTGCCCATAATGAGGGGAATGAACAAGGGAAATAAAATTATATTTTCAAGTTCCTTCATTTATTTATTTTTTTTTTTTTTTTTTTTTGTTTTACAAATGAGGAGAGATGTGCGTATTCTTCTTGTTGGCGATGGTAAAAAAATAAAAATCCGTTTATAAGATTACGTGTAAAAAAAAAAAAAGTAGACTTATCCTTTATAAATAGAGGGAGTAGGTAAAAGTACACTTATTGCCTCATTGATAAAAGAAACTTTCATTCCAAATGTAAATATTTCTTTATCAAATATTTTAGAATTGAAATTAACTCTTGATTTTAAATTTATAGGTCCAACATCTTATACCTGAAGTAACAATTCCACCAGAAGTTACCCCAGAAAATGTTACTATGCATATTATGGATTCTTCTGGTAAGTCTGCAAAAAAATAATAATAATAATAGAAATAAAAATAGAAAAAGAAAAAAAAAGAAAAAGAAAAAGACAAAAAAAATTGAAAACAAAAAAAAAAAAAAAAAAAAAAAAAGAAAAGAAAAGAAATGTATATTTGCAAGCAATAATAATAATAATAAATGTACACTCTTTATTTAGCACGAACTGAAGATCGTGAACAACTAGAAGCAGAAATACGTAAAGCACATGTTATATGTATAGTATATGCTATCGATGATCCAAACACATTCAATCGACTTTCGTTATATTGGCTACCTTACATTCGTTCTTTAGGCGTTAATGTAAGTATATGTTATTAACTACATCTTCTTTTTTTTTAAAAAAAAAACATCATTGTATATAGGTTCCTGCTGTATTAGTTGGTAATAAGATTGATTTACGCGGTACTGATGTTGCAAATCAAAATCTTGAAGATGAAGTGATACCTATTATGAACGAATTCAAAGAAGTGGAGACTTGCGTTGAATGCTCAGCTAAACAGTTATTAAATGTTTCCGAAGTATTTTATTTTGCTCAAAAAGCAGTTCTTCATCCAACTGCACCACTTTATGATTCAAGAGAACATGTATTGAAACCGCAGTGTATTGAAGCATTGAAACGTATATTTAAATTATGTGATACTGATAAGGACAATATATTAAATGATAGTGAATTAAATGAATTTCAGGTACAATGATTGTCATAAAAGGAGTTATTTAGCTAATCATTATGATTGATTGTCTTAGAGGAAATGCTTTAATGCACCCTTACAACCACAAGAACTTGATGGTGTAAAAGATGTTGTTCGAGAGCATGAGCCTGATGGAGTAAATGACGTAGGTTTGACAGAAGCTGGTTTCATATTTTTACATTCGTTATTTATTCAACGAGGACGACTTGAGACTACTTGGACTGTATTACGTAAATTTGGCTATGGTGATGACCTTTCTCTACGCGAAGATTTCTTGTTACCATCGTAAAAGTGTAATTGTTTGAAAAATAGAAATTTAATATTGACTTGTCTATATAGATTTGATGTACCTTCGGAATGCTCAGTTGAATTAAGTCCTTATGGTTATCAATTTTTCGCTGAATTATTTCAAGCATTTGATAAAGATAAAGATGGTGCTTTAAATCGAGTTGAGCTTGATTCTTTATTCAGCACATCCCCTGGTAATCCCTGGGCAAATACAGGATTCCCTCATACAACAATCACAACTGAAACTGGTGCAGTTACTTTACAAGGATGGTTAGCACAATGGAGGTAAACTTGGTAAATCATCATTCTATATTAATATACTTATTTTCTCCTTTATATATATATATATATATAGTATGACTACTTTATTAGACCATAAAACAACATTAAAATATTTAGCTTACCTTGGTTTTGAAGGCGACACGCGTACAGCTCTCAAAGTTACTAAACCAAAAAGAATGGATCGTAAAAAAGGAAAGATTCAGCGTAACGTTTTCTCGTGTTATATTTTTGGTGCTCCTGGTTCAGGAAAGGTAAAAAATAGATATATTTATAATATAAATATATAACTTATTATAACTAAGTATACAATTTAGACTTCATTATTAAAGGCTTTTGTTCATAAACCATTTTCTGAAAAATATCAACCAACAACAGAACCTTTTCAAGTCGTTAATTCTGTAGAAATGAAAGGAGCAGAGAAGTATTTAGTGGTAAAATAAAAAAGTAACAAGTTAATGTTTTATTATATGCACATTTGTAATACTTTATTTATTTAGATGCAAGAAGTTGAATCAAATCAAATATCTGAAATCTTGTCCAGTAAAAAGAAACTTGAGCAGTGCGATTTATTATGTTTTGTTTATGATACAAGTGACGCAAACTCGTTTGAATATGTGGTATCATTAAGGGTAAAGCAGTTCAAGTATATAACCTTCATTATTATTTAACAAAATTGTATAGGAAAAATATAAAATAGATCATGTTCCTACAGTTTTAGTTGCTACCAAATGTGAATTAGATTTAGTGACTCAAAGGTTTGAAGTGCAACCTGATATTTACTGTAGAAATTTAGGTTTAGCTGTACCACTAAGTGTCTCTGTTAAAGAAAATCAAATGGCTGATTTATATCATATTTTAACTGGTGTAGCGATGAATCCGTAAGTTCAATATTTACAAATAACCTTTTTTTTTTCACTATACTTACACATATATGTATATGTATATAGTACAATTGCTACTCCAGGTATAGCAAATAAAGAGAAAGGGGATAAATCATGGTTAACAAAGAATTATCTTACGCTATCTTTAGTGGCAGGTGTTGTGATATTGACAGGTTTAGCTGGATATAAATACTTAAAACATCATTCTGCTATTTTTTCTGCTAATCAAGGAGTACATGCTGCAGTTACTGTAGCATCAAAAAAGAAAGAAATTTTATAATGTATATTTCTACTATAAACCACATACAGACTTTATGAATAAAAGTAAAGTTTAATAATAATAATAATAATGAAAAAAAAAGAGAGAGAGAGAGATTTTAATAATAATCCATATTTTTTCCATTTTGATGGTTATTCCCTTGAAGGTTAGCTTGATTAAAATAAAATTCAGAAACCTATAAACAATATTTATTATATACGATTGCCAAAAAAAAAAAAAAAAAAAAAAAAAAAAAAAAAAAAAAAAAATTGCTCATCTGCTTACCTGCTCGCTTGTAGTAGCCGATTCAGGATCCTTGTCTTCACGAACACGAATAAATCGAGGGAAACGTAACGAAATACCTTTACTAGGATCAACACGACCTACACCTGCCATATATCGAGGACTTACACTTAAATCAGCACACTTTACTTCCCACACTTGGACAGGTTCAAACCATATATCTGGCTTCACCGCATTTTCACCCAAACAATAAAATCTTTTAGGTTTTTCAATGACATGATCCTTTAAGGTATCATAGAACATTTGTAGATTTTCGTCTGAAAATCCTGTACCTAATTTACAAATTGTTTGGTATTCCTCTGTCTCAGGATCATAACAGGCAAGTAAGAATGCGCCATAGACTGAAGTTCGTTTACCACGTCCATAAAAGGCACCAATCACAACCAAATCCATAGAATCGCCAATACCAGTTAAATAATCTTTCTTGACTTTAAGCCAATTACGTGAACGTTTTGAAGGCTCGTAGGTAGCTTCTGAACCATCGAAGGATTTAACCATCAATCCTTCACAATAATTTGCAATTGATACATCTAAGAATGTTTGAATATCTTCAATATTATTCGAATCCATATGCTTTGCAAAATAAAATTCATTTTCAGTTTCTTGAAATGATTCATATAATTTTTCTCTTCGCTTTTGTAAAGGCTCTCGAATCAAAGACTATATAAATTGTTTAGACATATTTATGAAAAAGGATATTTTTTTTTTTTTTTACCTTTCCATTTAAATATAGACAGTCAAATGCAAATAAAGCAACACGAACTGTAATTTCTTCTTCTTTTACGTCTTTACGTTTTCGTGTACTCAATACTTGAAATGGTAAAATTTTACCTTCTTCCTTATCCCAGGCTACTGCTTCACAGTCCAAAATAAAAGATGTGGTTGAAGGCTTAACCCACTATATACAAAACAGTAAATATATAATATGCATTCATTCTTATTAATATACCTTATCTACGGCATTCAAAATATCTGGATATCTAACAGACATATTTTCAGAGTTACGACTATAAACACTAATTGTACCATCTTCATGTCTATGAATCTGTTTACTGGTTATTAAATAATATACAATTTACTAGTTTTTTTTTTTTTTTTTTTTTTTTTTTTTTTTTTTTTTTTTTTAAAAAAAAAAAAAGGAAATTCTAGTTACCTGTGCTCGTTCTCCATCATATTTAAATTCACAAGTAAATGTGTTATTTTCAAATCTATCCAATACTTCTGTTAAACTCTTTGTAGGATGCGCTAACATAGGTTTCAAAGGTACACCAGGATGCATAGTACAATGTTCAAGTAATTCTTCGATAGGATATTTTAGTAAGGCAGGAATGATCACATCATATGTAGGCAATTGACTATATATATATATATATATATAAAAAAAAAAAAAAAAAAAAAAAAAAAAAAAGGATGAATACATATATTTAATAATTATACTCCGTAGTTTGTTTACTTGTAAACATATTTTACTGTTTCTACAGCTGATGCTAATAATTCTTCCTTTTTTAAAGTAGATAATTTGCTGTTGTCTATTCAATAATCAATAAAACTATCTAGATAAATATATACAAGAGCATACCTTTATTACTGAAAACAACAGCTTGTGCTAAAGCAGATAAAACAGTTTGTTCTGCTAACCCAATTCGAAGTTTACCCTCAAGATGTCGAATAATAAATTTAGCTTCTTCATCTTGACAAGCTACTAATAATCCTTTGATTTTATCAATTTTTTTGGATTGTGCCTGAAATAAATGTTGATAAGATATTAAAGATGAATAAGATTTAAATAGCTTACCGAATTTCCAGTAATTATAGCAATTTCTTTCAATGTTCGAAAAACATGAGGAACAGTCAACGCTTTTGGTTTGAAAAGTGTCTTTTGAGATCCTTTACTATTCTAAAATGGGGGGGTTAACAACGAGCCATTATAGGTTTTTTTTTTTTTTTTACCTTAGCAACTGTGCCAAGATCACCACATTTAACGTAATCTGATTTAAGCTGTTTCATATCTCTTCCTGTGGACTGGGCAACTGCCTTCATTAATAGAGATTCACCAATACCAAGTTCAAGCCCTTCATAATCAGGACCCAACTAAAGGAAAAAAAAAAAAAAAAAAAAAAAAAAAAAAAAAAAGAGCAGAAATTAATATATCTGTTCCCGTACTTTCTTCTTCTTCTTTTTCAACTTACTTTATTGATACACATATACAAAAGCTCTAATAACCCATCTGGTGTTAATTCAATTACTTTGACAAAGAGTGTAACAAGATATTCTGTAATTTCTAATCTCTTTGTTGTATTTTCGCATTTTTCAAACGTATTGCATAGTATAGCATAAGGTATACTTTAAACACAATTAGTTAGTTGATATATTCGGACATTTTATACTTACGGAGCTCCCTTTTTCCAGTCCATAACACCATTTTTACCAGTTCCAGAAGATGCACTATAATCGCCATATAAATAATTAGTAAATATTTATCTGTATGTTAAATCTTAACTTACATTGTATGAATGATCGACATCATCTCTTTCTTTTCTTTTTTTGCTTCTTTTTCTTCTTTAGCAGCTTGCTCTACTTCTTTATCAAAATTTTTTTCTTTAGGATCTTCTTTTTCAGTTTGTGTTATATCGTTCATATCAATGTCTTGATCTTTTTTTTCGATGGGTAGATCTGCTTTTTTCTTGACTGTTTTTCGTTGATCATCCTCATTTCCTGACTCTTCAGAATCAGAAGTAATAATTCTTTTTCTTTTCTTTATTATTTCAGCCTCTGTAATCATGGTTAGATAATCATTTACAAAAAGGCTTGTTTATATATATTGTTTACCATTATCAGAAGTGATTGATTTTAATTCTTTCTTTACTGGTTGATCAGATCTAGATTTGTTTGCATTATTACCAAAAAATAAGCTAATAAATAAATTCACCTCAACACTGTTAGTCAGGAATAATGAATGATTTTATTGTCTTAATTTTACTTTAGATTTGATTGTTTTTTTTCCGACTTTTTTGTGAACTCATGTTATAATGTTTGAAAAAAAAGCAAAACACGACACATGCACTTTTTGATACAAATTATTCGTGCACCTTCAGGAAAAAAAGTTCGTGAAGTTTAAAAATAAAAATTAATTCCGGCTCAGGAATAAACTTCGGCCATTAAAGGAAATAGTTCTGTGCAATTAAAGAAAGAAATTTCGTGCAGTATCAGAAGCCTTTCTTTCTCATTTTTATATTCAATTCAGTATGGACTTCTTTATTCACGAAAACGGAGAAGGCAACATGTTAGACAACCAAGGAAATAAAGTTTTTACGATCGATATGGGAGTGGATGATGAAACTTATCCGCTTGAAAATGTAACAAACTTGAGCCAGTACCTCGACGTAAAGCCGCCTGAGAGAATGGAACAAGAAAAAAGAAGAGAAGCTGCCCGAGGAGTCCAATAACAATTATCAAATCATCTAAAAAGGGCAAGAGAATCAACAGACGTTACAAATCTGAAGGTAAAGAGCGATTTTTTTTTCTTATTTATTTACGAGAAAAACATGGGCGTAAGAGAAGCAGCTAAAGCCTTTAAAATACCAGAGACCACTGCTCAAAGTTCGTACAAAAAAGAACGCCAGAATCCGGAGGAAGTGATTGAAAGAAAAAAGGGTAGTGGCAGACCTGTGGAAAGACCAGCTATCTTGAAAAAAGAGCATGAACAATTCTTGAAAGAGCTTATTAATGATAAGTCAAGTTTAATTTTGGAGGAGATGATGGACAATTTGACAAGCAAGTTTGAGGACCTATCTATTTCAAAAACTGCTCTTTACAACTTTGTGACCGAAAAGTGCAGAATTAGTTTGAAGAAAGCACACTTCCACTCAGTAGAGTGAAACAGCCATGAAAAAAATTCAGGAGAGACACGATTGGGTAGTAAGGTGGAATGATACAGACCTTAATTTCACGAGTAACTGCATCTTTATTAATGAGGCAGCTTTCCATATCAACAGGAAGCGCTCTGTAGCATGGTCAAAAAAAAATGAAGCCATGTCGTTGTGGTTGTAACCAAGACAAGAGCCAAAACAACAACTATTTTGGGTGCTATCTCTTCTGTTATGATTGTAGTCGCCCTTACAACTAAGTTGATAGAAATAAACAATCATTTATTACATAATAAAAAGGTTATTCAACTAAAACTAATGTATTGTACTTCACAACATAATATTCATTCTACGTTTAGTGTTAATAATAGTCATTGTTAGAATGTTCGAGCACTAATAATTATATACATAATTCAAACAGGATTATGACTGGTGTATTCAATTACATAATTATTCATGAGTCATACATATTATATATACAATGATAATGATAGTAACTCATAAATAATTGATATAGGTTGTAGCTAGACATATTCACTGAGAATTAATATTGATGTGTCGCAGTCCAATAATAATGATCCGTTATGTTTCTAGGAGCAGTGACAATTCAGGGAGAAAAAAGAATAAAGATATATCTTATTGATCGCAGAATTATTCGAAGACAATGTTTTATGCAAAACACTATATTATAGTAAAACTTGCTTATCTGAATCATATTTCCATCAATAATATTTACCTTGTAAAAACATATAAATAGCCCTCGATATTTTCCATATAATTTTGAGTTATACAATTTTTGTATTATCTTTACTAATCTATATAAAGTTTTCACAGACTTGTCTTCTATTTTTTTTTTCTTTCTTTATCTTCTGCTAATCAAAATAGACTTATTTCTTTGATCTTCGCTCCCTGCCGGGAAATGGAAACAACTCTGGTCACTCCAAATACCGTTGAATGCTCGTAATACTTGGTTTCGTATAATTCATGAAAAAAGTGACAACCCGCCGTAAACTACACCGCTAACTCCTAGATGTCTTTATTCCTTTCTGTCCTCATTGTCATAATGCCTCATCCTCCACCACATTAACAGTTGAGAACACCGAGCATTCTCCCTTTTCGTATCCGATGAAAATCATTGTATGGCGTCAGATCCTCGTTCAATACATTTCCCCTCATTACATTCACTTTACTTACGAGGAATACGTTTCCCTCCTCCACCTGCAATCGCCTCCTGACCGTTCTTCTTATCCCCTTTTTTTTGAATTATCTACTCTTCTAGTCTTTGCCTGCATTCAACAATCTGTTTGAGATGCCTGTTACTGTCAAGTCTTCCAGCATGTACCGTTTAACTCTGAACATGTTTTATATATTCACCGGATCATATCTAATTTATCCTCCTAACTTTCTTTCGACACCACTAATCAACCCTTATGTATCCCTCCATATACCGTCTTCTTTTCCTCTCCCTCTATAAAAGGTGATGTTTTTAGGACATTAAATAAAAACTGGAGTTTACTCCCCTAAAAAAAAAAAAAAAAAAAAAAAAAAAAAAAAAAAAAAAGATTATGCCAATTCTTATTTATTTTATAGAAAAAGGTATAAAATTTATGGATTGACGTTAAGAACATAATAGAGAAAAAATCCAGATTTCAAGTCTACTCAGTGAAGAAAATTTGGAAAATAGATTTAAAAAATTAAACCCAAAGAAAGAGATAGTGATTATTTACGTTAATGGTGGGGTAGAAATTGAGGAGTTGGGAGATAGCTGGATTAAAGTCTGTAGACCATTAGATTAGTACTGATTAATGATAAAATACTTGGAAGGAGTGGTTTGGCTGGCAGGTATAATGGTGAAAATAGCATAATTAGTTTTTAAAATCGGCTTTAAAATAATTCCAAATATTTTCAATTATACATTCATTTCCATTTTTCAAACCTGCTGTTGTAAAGTCAGCTACATTTCTTAAAACACTTGCCAGGTTTGTGTTTCCAATAATGTTTAATGTTTCCAAGTCATTCCCAAATAAATTAATTATTGAATCCAATGATTGATGGATTGATGTCGTCTTTTTCTTTTCTGGGACAAGCTTTGTAAAATCCCCCTTTTTAATTTGTGGGTTTAAAGGTTGTGTATGCACAGCATCAGCAATAATAATCATGATCTTGGATCCCAGAACTGCATCATTTGTTTCTTTAGAATTGCTATTAGCAAACGTATATATTGTATATGGCTGTAAATGGCTAGATGCAGTGAAATCACTAAAACATCTGGCAAGACAAAACGTGCTGATGTGACAGAATTTGGATCTAAGTTGCCGAATGTGATTGATTGGATCCACGTCCATTGGCAATTTATAGTTGTTTCCTTCGATAATAATTGCTTCAATTTTTTTTACTGAGTTGGTGTCTAGGTAAATTGATGTTTTGTTTGATGGAGTAAAATTTATTGTCGTAGGACCAACTTCAGGTTTCATTTGTTGATCGATCCTTATGCTTGAAATGACTAAAAAGTTGGCTGAGCGTGAACTGATTATTAATTTTTTTGAATTATCTTCATGTAGTGTTGTAAATCTTAATTCATTCGGATATGATGACGTAAGGTTTGGTACAGAGGATTGATGGCCAACACCAATAAATTTTTCACAATGTGCATCGACGGATGGAGATCGAGAATATGATTCGATCCCATTAACCAACAGCATTTCATTTTGATTAACAAGGATCGATCCAACCAACAATTGTGATAGCGCTAAGGATAGATAGGGCTTCGAGCGCCAAGACGTATTTAATAACATTAACTGCATTTCATTTATTTCCGAATATTTTTTAAAAGAGAGTAATTCACGGTATGGGCTTGTTCTAATTATCTTGTCAATTGTCGAATGTGTTTTCGGTATATGAATGCAATTGCTGGCATGAGATGATGATGGTGTTGATGGCAGGGTCAATTTCAATTTTTTGTTGTTGTTCTTGAACATGTGAATCTGCTGCGGATCAGGAGTAAAGCAAATCATTCTTTGCTTGTCTTCATCTTCATCCTCCAAAATAAATGGCTTAAGGTTCAAACATTCAATTATTTTTCTGGATTGTTCATTTATATTGCATTCATTATACAAGTCCGTTAAATTGACGTTGCTTTCTTCTACATCTGTTACTTTATGTTTCAATAATTTTTCTGTTTGACTACTTAAACTTGTCTGACATCCCACTAAGCCTCCGTTGCCTTGAAACGTGTTTATTTCAGTTGGAACTATAAAAAGGGATCAATCTTTCCGTTTTTTTATAAAAAAGATGTGTATCTTCCATATGATTTTGCTGAATATGGAGTGAAAGTAATTCCATTGAATTAAACGAGAAAAGACATCCAGGACAAGCGTACACATGTCTACACGTCTAAAGTAATTATTAATGTAAGTTTCGAATTTTAATAATTGTATTAAATATTAATGTAAAGTTACTTGTTCATTGTATGATGATGTTTTATCAATGGCAATGCAATTCCTATTATAAACTAATCAGAATCAAAAGATTTTATAATACTTTTAATATGGTAGTTTACTGTGGAATGATTGTCTTTAATCCAGTTGGGAAATCCAGATTCTTGATCGTAACTATAAACGTAATAAGTCTCAATAAAAATTCCAACGAATTTGTTTAAATGTGTACCTTCATGGGCTTTCAAGTAATTGTCATGGTTGTAAGATTTATAACTTAATTCAATGAGATAAATAGTCATAATAGAATGTATATAGTGCACTTGTATGATAATTCTGTCTATAGACATATTAAGAATATATTTACTCTTGTGTAAAAAAAATGATTAATAAAAGTCCTGCATCTAAAAATATATCTTGTTCTGCTGAATATTAATTTATATCAAGTTAAACTGGAGTAAATCAAGAATAATGCAAGTACGCGTAATAATTGATTTCACTCAAAGTACGCATATTTGTTATAAAAATAAATATATACAAAAGACATGAATCTATATCTATATCTATAATTATAACTCTTAGTAATCATTCTATAATTATAATATCAAATACAATTTGTTATATTTTTATCTTCTTATTACTCATCATCCTTATCCACAAAATATATAAATACTCTTACATTATTCACCCTTATTTTGTATAACTCATAACTTAGAATAACAATATTTGTATTGAATTAACTTTTAATAAACTTATTGACAAGTCTCAACGTACTTCTTCTGTCTTATCTTCTTTTTATTTTTATTTCTTTGACTTCTATTTAATTATCTAAACTTACCTAAACCACAACAGTAATGATCTCTTAATGATTGAGATCTAGAATATTCGTGTTGACAAAGTGTACAATAATGTACAATTGTCACTATTTCGGCTACTTCAATCGTCATGTAAAACAACTTTCTTCTTTGAAACAAAAAGATGTTCGTGTGGGCTTTTTTGTTTATTTATTTTAAGTAGGCTACTTAAGGTTTTTCATTGGCTGAATGCTTTTTAAGTAGGCTACCTGAGTAGGCTACCTGAGTAGGCCACTTGAGTAGGCTACTTGAGTAGGCTACTTAAGGCTTTTCATTGGCTGTTTCTTTTTATCTTTGGGTGGCAAATCTTACAGACGCAACTTAAAGAAAATTGAACATCATGCTTGAAAAAGTTTGCCAGACAAAAAGGTAACCAGACAAAAATGGTCTCGTTGCGAAAAAAAAAAAAAAAAAAAAAAAAAAAAAAAAAAAAAAACTAGCTCATAATTCAAGCATAAAACAACAAGTGTAAAACCGTTCAGATTACTCAAATATTTTTGCTTTTCACTTGTTGTCCTGTTTCTAAATAAGTGTCCCATACGTCCGTTGACGAAGACGAGGATGAAAATGTGGTAACAAGCTCCAAGAGCCGCGCTTTATTTTCCTTTTATAGATAAAAAAATAATAATAAAAATAAAAAATATACTAGAATCCCCTTTTTCCCTTTATACCTTCAAAAGTCGGAAGAAAACTCAATTGGTTTTGATATAAGGGAGGGGAACATGAATGAAATAAATATAGAATTAAAAGTAAAACATAAAAAGATAGTTGGAATCAATTTTTCCAAGTTTCTTGTAGCCAAGAAAGCCATGTGGGTCGGGTTGTTACCACATTTTCATCCTCGTCTTCGTCAACGGACGTATTGTTGGTCGTTCCTTCAACAATCCTTGTTGACTGCGACTCGGACTCCAATGTGGTATTTTTTCCTTTGATAGAAACAATTGAGTTTGCTATTCTGGTGCTGTCGTTAAGTTGCGTGCTTGGCTTGAGGTAATATCGTTCAAATGTATTGGAATTATGACTCCAATTAGCATGTTGTTTGACCTCCGAAATCGTTATTCCATTTTCAACTGCTTTGGTGCTTGAAGCTGACCTGATAGAGTGTGGTTTGTAAGAACTAGTGTCAATACCCGCTTTTTCCATTGCTTTTGAAACCCATGTAGCTACAGTAGAAGGACTAGCGGATTTCACCTTGTCTGGTTCGAGAATGAATGCCAAAAACAAACTATGGTCTATAGGAAGGTTATTGCGAAGATGGCTCGACCTTTGTAAAAAGTCGAAAAGTGTGGAAACAAGGCACATGTCATTGTCATCTGCCAATCCTAGTATAACAGATTTCACTTGAGTCTCTTTCGCTTCTCTGAAATGTATAAGAACTGACACTGGTTCTTCGTTTCTAAGCTCCATTTGTACATCTCTAAACTGCACTCTGCCAACATCTGATCTTGGTCTTGCCATAGGCGTCAAGCATAACAATAAAATTGTTTTTTGTTGTAATTCATATAAGTCGATAGATTGATTTTTTGGCCATTCTTTTGCGATATAGTCCACCAGTATATTTGTGTCCCATGTTTGGAGATTTTGCTTGGTAGGAATGTTGACTTCTGATCTTCGTTTTGCTTTAAAGAATTCAACTATGGGTTCTTTTGCAGCTAACGGTCCCTTTTCTGGATGCAACACTTTAAAGACAGATGCTAAAGCTGATCTCAAACTATTTAGGTATTGGTATGAAAAGTGTCGATTTTCTAACAAAAAACGTAATACATTGGCTTCGTCGTATGTGGTAGGCTGTATTGGTACTGGTTGTGCTGCGCACCATTGTGACCATTTTTTCCACCCAGTATTATAGTTCTTTTGTGTTTTACGTCTCTGGGCATGTGTCAAAAATTCCACTGTGTCCTCTTCCAAGTGACCAGCGGTTTTCCTCTTGTTGCAGATAAGTGCCATGCGGTCATCTTCCATCTTCTTATCTTGAACATCAGAGGTTTGTTGATGTGTTTCATTTGCAATAAGGACGGGAACCAGAACTGGGTTGGCCAATACGGTGTGATTAATACTGCCTTCTGGATTCGTTGCTGTTTTATTATCTGCATCACTTGCGGTATGAACTTCCATGGAGGAAATAGGTACATTCCCTGTTTTTTCCACGTTTGTTGAAAAGCATCTGTTGCTGCTGCCTCCGGATCTGGTCGCATGCTCCAAAATATTGGTAGTTTGGTGTTCATCCTGTCTGCAAATGCATCTACTGTTAAAGGACCCCATCTCTGGTTGATCATTCGAAATAGCCGTTTCGGTAATAGGGCCTCGTAGAGTAAGTTTTTTGTTGCGGTGTGATGCTGTCTGCTCAGCCAATCTGCTCGAATATTCTCCAGTCCTGGTATGTGTTCGTATTCGACTTTGAGATTGTAGTGGTTGCATAGATTTTGTATCTTCACTGCTAGGTCCTGTAGTGTTCGAGATGCTGTGCCTCCCGACTTGCTGCTGTATTTCAAAGCAGTCATGTTGTCTGTAAATATTTTGATGTGTTGATTCTTGAAGTCTTTGGCATGTAGTTTTAGAGCAAAATATATCGCTGTCAGCTCCCTTGCATTGATTGACATGGTGTTCTCTTCGTTCGTCCATGCTCCAGTGGTTTGCATCGTGCCAGAGCTCACACCCCATCCTAGGTCTGACGCATCTACATATATTGTTGCCGCCTTCGGTTGATTGGGTGCTAATTTCTTTATTGGCAGGCCGTTCTTCTTCACCATCCAACTTGTCCACCATTGCAGTTCTTTCTTGCTGTCCTCCGATAGTGTCATTGGTGCATTCCAATTCTGTAGATGTCTGTTGAGTGTTAGGGAGAGATCCCTCTGCATGTATCTGATGTGTAACAGGGCTTCTCCGATGGCTGGAATCATGGAAGTCATCTTCCCCATCATACTGGCATACCATCGACAATTGTATTGGTGAGGTGTGGCTTTTATAGCTTGTTTGGTTCGAACCATGAGTTTTGAGATCTTCTTCCCTGGGACTGCTATCTGCATGGTCTTCGTATTGAATTTGAAGCCTAGGAATTCCTGTTGTTGAAAGGGGATTAGGACACTCTTCTGGAAATTTATTAGGAAACCCAATGATTCCATATGTGACAGTACTATTTGTGTGTGGTTCGTTGCCTCTTCCTTCGTCGCACCCAGAATACATATGTCGTCTAAATAATATACTAGGCGTATTCCCTGTATTCGTAATGGTTCTATTGCAAATCGCATCATTTTGCTGAATACTCTGGGACTGACACTCATCCCAAATGCTAGAGTTTTGTACTGATAAACAACTCCTTTGTTCTGGAAAGTCAAGTATTTCTTTGAGTTTGGGTGAATTGGGGTGACCACATAAGCATCCTTTAGGTCCAATTTGCAAATAAAATCGTTTTTCTCGATGATTTCCCTCAATGCAGGTACCCCTTCCATCTTGAAGTGATGACACTGGATATAGTTGTTGATCATTTGGCAATCCAAAATCGGTCGACGTTTTGTCGCTTCCTGTATTGTGAAGAAATTGGATAAATAATCTGTGTTCTGTGTTGGTGATACCTCTATTATCCCCGCTTTGATAAATTTGTTGACTGCCTCGTCCACTGCCAATTGTTCTATCTGGTCTAGCTTTATACGACGTAATCTCCAAGGTGTTGGTTTTTTTAGCAAAGGTATCTGATAACCCTCTCGTATCACTGACAATGGCCATGGGTGTTTTGTAATCGACTGCCAATTCTTGAGAAAATGTTGTAGTCGACCCCCTGGCGCTATGCCGTCTGCTGGGATGCTGTAATTCGTCATTGATTTTATTGGGGGTTGGATGTGTGATTGGATTGGTGGGGTGATTGTTGTTGGGCTGAGTTGTTGTTGTGCGGGGTTCCCCACCGTTGTGAGGTACCCTGTCCAAAAAAAGCACCTCGTGCTCTGTTACTACCTCTTCCATATCCGAAGCTTCTATTTCCTCGTTGATATCCTCTACTTGAGAATCCATTTCCTCGTCCTCCTCCACGATTACTACTGGCTTGTTGAACGAGTTTTCGTTCAAAGTTGGCTTGGTGGTATTTGTTAAGAAATTCGTCACTGTAGGCGTTCTTAGATTTACTATCCTCTTCTGTTGTTTCCAGGTGGCGGATACTAAATGGGATGTTAAGTGCTTTGTCTGAATATTCTTTTGCTTCTCTTTCTTGAGCTTTTGCTGTGGCCAACCCAAAGACTGCCAGTCGTCGACTTTGCTCCCTGCATCTGCTGATGATGTCTTTTGCTTCGTCATGGTCTGCTTCTTCCAAGACGTATTGAAGTTGTTCAAAGATTTCCATAGCAACCTTTGCTTGGAATCTGGTGTTTTCTGTGATTTTATAAATGGAGTTGACAACCAAAGCTGTTTCTGTTGAGTGTTTTTTGAGATAAGGGGCAATTGATTTGTTGATCTTCTCGGGTGTTGTCCATTCTCCCAAAGCGTATCGTTGGGTTTCTCTTCTAAACTTTTTGAAATTTTCAGTAAGTTGATGCGTGGGAGTGTTTTCCAATTCCTCGGAGACCTGTCTTGGGATTTCGACTCCATTGATTCTTTCTTCTTTCTCAATGTCCATTTTTTTGACGACATCTCGGACAATTGCTTCCATTTCGCTTTGGGTGTATGTTCGTTCATTGCTAATAGTTGAATTGATATCACTCATAATTTTTCCACGAATGCGCGGCTTTTGAAGGTATAAAGGGAAAAAGGGGATTCTAGTATATTTTTTATTTTTATTATTATTTTTTTATCTATAAAAGGAAAATAAAGCGCGGCTCTTGGAGCTTGTTACCACATTGGAGTCCGAGTCGCAGTCAACAAGGATTGTTGAAGGAACGACCAACAATATTTTCTTGGCTGGCTGTCCCATTTTGGGAAAAAAAATGCTGTTGCGCTTTAAAAAAAATGAATGCAATCTATTGAAAGTAACTTATTTATATGATGGCCACCTGCTGAAATACTAAAATCTGCTCATATAGACAATACTAGCTTATTAAGACCCTTTTTATGTAATAAATTAGCCTATAGTTGTATTTACTTCTTTCTACTATCACTAACATTCCTAATTCATATATCCGAAATATGCTACCTTAGCAACCTTCTGAACTTTTTTTTAATATATGCTCTTCTTAAGCATCTCTCTCAACTCACAGTCCAAAGATGGCTCTATTGTATCTTACTTAGCCTTCACTTTTGCAATATAGTACATTAGACTACACCCGTACTAGTGCACAAAAAAATGAATTTACACTCATAATAAAATATTTATAACGACGTCAATATTAAGTCATACTGTAGGTATTATTTGGATTGTTATGTTTGACTATTATAAATTATAACAATTTAATTTTATTATATGGAAATTAAAGCATAGTCCCTGATATATATATTGATCCAATAATAGATATTGTGAGAATTATTTTTTTAATTCTTCTTGTTAATCAAGGATATTCAAATATATAGCTTGATCAATTAAATATACAGTTGCTGATAGTTATTGCTCTTGTATATTTTGTCTTGTGAATGTACTTTTGCATTTATTGATGTTAAGTTTCTTGGTATTATTTAATGAAAGCCATATGCATTTATTAGTGTGTTTATGTCTGGATAATAAATCTAGATATGAAAATATGAAAGCTAGATCATATATCGTTGTATTTAAATCTGGAATGACACTCTAAAGAACAAACACACAATCTTATTTTTAAAAGCGCGACAGCATAATTTTTCTAGCGCGTAACAAGTATGTAAGTTTCTAATTAAGTTTTTTTTTATGGTCTTTTATTATTATTATTATTATTATTATTTATGTACGCTGTATGTTTCGAGGGGCTACATCACTATCCTCAATAGTCTTAATAAATATTGTATCTGGAGCATGATCTCGTTCTCCTTCATCATAAACATAACTACTAGCAATAGCTAACTTTTTACCATCAGGTGAAAAAGCTAATTTTGCAATTTCTTCTGGATATCCTGGAAACATCTTGAGTCGTTTTCGATGAACACCATCCCAAATACAAACTACGCAATCTGATCCACCTGATGCAAATGTACCATACCTATAAAAAAAAGAAAAAAAAATCAATTTCATAATTAGAACCATTATCAATTGTTTCAACTTACTTGGGATGAAATGCAAGTGCATTAACTGGATACACAACTTCATTATCATTAATTGTTTGACGATGGGATTTAAATGCATACTTCTTTGATTGTATTTCAGGTGTCATATCAAAATATTCTATGGCGACTCGACCTTCAATAGAAGAGCATGCATATCCTTCACCGTTTGGCATTAAACGAACACATTTTAGCATGTATCGTAATGTTGTCTCTCTTGATTGCCAAACTGAAGACATGTCTAAAATGTTGTAAATAAGTGTTTTACGATCACTCATTGCTATAGCTAATTTGTCGTTTTGCACATCCATACTATAAACTTTGTGCTCTAATTTAAATATTTTTTCTTCTGTTAATTTAGAAGGATCCCATATACGAAGTGTCTTGTCCCAAGAACCAGTATATATTTTATCTACAAATAATATAAGAAATCTAAAATATATATTCTACTTTATATATAATTACTTGTTAATTTTCCCCAGCATACACAACTAACGGCTTCATCATGTGTTCCAATCACTTTTTCCGTATTTGTATTTAAATCAATCCTAAATTATAACTGTTAGTACATGTATAAAAAAAAAAAAAAAAAAAAAAAAAAAAAAAAAAAGGGGGGGGCATACATTTTAACTTTCTTATCTAAACCTCCAAAATAAACCGTATCATTGCTGCCAAAACAGCAGTCCAAAATGACTGAGTCGGTATTGAACACTTTAATCAACTCATTTTGTTCAATGTTATATACTCGTAATGTCTAATAAGCTTCATTATTAACAAATAAAAATTAGAATTCAGTAATAATAAAAAAATACCTTATCCCAAGAGGAAGCCAATAATATATTAGGGTCTTCAGGATGAAAACAAATATTTGTTATGCCATCTCTTGGTGGATCTCTTAATTCTATTTGTGTTGGATCCTTCATTTTTTTTTTTTTTTTTTTTTGTCACCAAAAATAAAAAAAAAAAAATAATTATAAAAAAAAATTAAAAAACACTTAAAGGATTCTATTGTGACTTTATTTTATGCAACTATTAAAAATGCAAAAGGGCATTCACTGTTCTCAATTTTGAAAAATGTTTACGTTTTTTATAGGGATTGGATTCTATTATTATTTTCTCATATTCTATATTAAAATCAGATAACACATCTAATAGTGAAGATAGTCGATATTCTTCTATTCTCAAGTCGTTATCAGATAAAAACCTCTTGATTTGTTTACCTGAATGTATATGATTGGTAGTAGTATTGCTTGAATTTAAGGTGGTTGTTAGATTATTCTCTACGGATGTTTTCGTTATAGAGATTTGTGAAGAAGGTATAATACATTCTTCATCAGGTATAATTGTCATTGCATTAAATCGAGCTTCTACTGTTTTTTGATACTCTTTAGCAGATATTAAATGGATACATTTAGGTATTGTAGACTTAATCGTATTTTCAGAGTGTGAAGCAGCTTCTGTATTTGGTTTTGATAATTCAGGTTCATTCTTCTTTCCAAGTTGTTGTCTTGATGTTCTTTCTGCTTCATTAGAAACGTCTTTTTTATCAGCTACGCTTTGTTGTGAAATGGATGCGTTTATCTCCTTTCTTTTCTTTGGTTTATAATCATAATTTGCAAATATATCATCCATAATTGAACGCTTATTGGTCTTTTGTTTTGGTGCAACTTTTGTTTGCGATCCTTGTTTTTCGTGTAAAGTTACTGATGCATGTTTAACATCCTTTTTTATTAAATTTTCAGTTTGGGTTCTCTTTCTTTCGTCTTTCGTTCTTCTCATTTCGTCTTTTCCCACTGACAATTCTGTTGTCGAATATGGTTGATTGACTGATTGTTTAGTTACTGTCGTAGAATCATTGTTTAAATTTTCGTATAATTTAGATAAAATGAATTCCAACATGGGTTCAATTTGTTTAAAAGTTGGATACTTTTTCCCTAATTCTATAAAATATAATGAGAAAAATGTTACATGTTTTTTTTTTGTTCTTTTACCTCTTGATTTGAAGTAAGTTGACAAAGGTCGATCAAGATGTTGTACACTACGATTCAGATTATCGATCCACTCTTTGATTTCATCATTCTTATACACACATTGTGCATTCCTAAAAGGCCTTTCTACTGCCTTTGGCTCATAATTGAATTCTAATATAATCAAATATGGGTATACTTTATTGTTAACACAACACACACCAATCATGTGTTTACTAATTTCCACAACTTTGTCTTTTAATTCTTTGAAATGTTCTTTATTTAAATCCGGCACACTATTTTTTTTTTTTTTTGGTTAATCATCAAGAAAAAGAAAAAAAATTCCCATTTTACCTAAGCTGTGTTCTTATAGCATCTGGCTCAAAAATGGCAGGTATAGCATAATCGTCATTAATTAACTCTACAACTAATATTTCAATCCAATCTTTTGGAATATTTGCATGGACAACCTTTATCGAAACGATTAGATTAAGTATTTACACAAAGTGATTTAATCAGTACTTGTTTTATTTGGAATTCTGTTGGACTTGATTGAACTTCAAAAAATCGATTATCTTTAATGTCAAGTATCCATTTTAATATATTTGAAGCAGTCATTATTCAAAGATAATAATAATAATGATAAATAGAGGGAAAGAAAAGAAAGAAAGAAAAAAAAGGGAATTTAAAATAAAATTCTTTTCAATTTCATAAGCAGAAAATATGAATAAATGCTTCTTTAACCTTATTCGCACAAATATTAACTCCCAAAAAGAAAAATCTGATAAATGAGATTAGTCTAGGATATAATCACCTCGATTTCATTAAAGTTTAAGAATTTTATTAGATACTATACATCAAATCAAAAAAAAGAAAAAAGCATAAACGAATAAACATAAGTCTTTTGGTAATAGAGACATTTAAAGAATTAATTGTCTCTGTAAAACCTTACAATAAAGTTATTGGACTAATTGATTTAATAAAAAGATGTATGATTTGCAAAGGATAAATTAATAATTAATGAAATTCATGTAGAGCAGAAACTTGTACATACAAAAATGAAGAGGAAAAAAAAATAGCTATGCGTCATAACTTTATACTTGCTGTTTTAATGACGAATAACTCTAATTTTTTTTTTTTTTTTTTTTTTTTTTTTTTTTTTTTTTTGATGGACAAGGATAAAAGAGATCGAAATTGCTCAAATACATTGTTACTTTTTTTTTTTTTTTTTGAAACCAATTTTTAAACACCTCTAAAAGGCGACTCTTAAAAAATTGTCGACGTCATGATGTAGAATTGGGAATGCATCCCCAGGTAAAATACTGTCCTGACATTTTTTTTTTTTAATTTTATTGCTTTTGACTTCAAACAACCCCACTCTAATTCTTAATTTCATTAATCACAAAACATGGGACTTTCTGAATTCTTTTCCAGCTTCATTCCTACTATTTATGCTGATGAGGAGCCTCAAGAAGAAGAGCCCGTAGAGGAAGTTGTCGAGGAAGAGGAAGAGGAAGAAGAAGAACCCGAGGATCCTAAGGAAGCTATCATGGAAGGTAACAAATGAAATAGTTTATAGATAAACCATTTTATATTCATTTTAATCTGTAGAATGTACTGAGAAATGTTCCGCTTTAAAGAAACATCTTGATGAATGTAATGAACGTGTTGAAAACGGTTCAAGTGAAAATTGTAAATTAATATTTATATACATGTATACGAATGTCAGGACTTTTTATATTTATTTATTTTATAGGTGTTGAAGAGTTTTTCCACTTTATGCATTGTGCTGATGCTTGTGTAAGTAGTTATTTCGTATTAAAGTTATGGATATTGACCCCTTTTATTATAGGCTGCTCCAAAAATCATGGCTGCCACTAAATAAACAACCCTTTATTTATGAAGTATTTATTTTGTTTTTTTTTCTAAGAAAAATATGTATACAACACATATATAATATACAAGGCCTAATATAGATGTATACACTGTCAATCATATTGGTTTTTTTTTTTTTGTTTATTTATTGTACTACGATTAAACATTTTTTATTTTTATTATTTTTATAAATTAAAATTTATAAAGTGACTTATGGGCGCATAATATCTTTGTTATATTGGATTGCTCAGGTCAGTTCAAATTATGTGAAAAAAAAAAGTATCTAAAAACCCTCTTACGGGACAAGAGGTAAAAAGGTAAAGGAAAGGAAGAAGAAGAGAAGGTGAGAAAGAAAGGGGGGAAATATTGCTAACAAGTTTAAAGGGACAACCTAGTTAAGTCATTTCTTGCCTGGATCAAAAAGTGGATTTATTGTACTACTTCAAATTCAGATAATGTTAGTATTTTTTTGGGCAAATCAAAATTAGTTTTCAGAAGAATAAGAAATGAAATTGAGACAAAAAAAGGAATTAGTTTTCAGACGAATTGAGATTTATGTTTAGACTTTTTTTTTACCTGTAATGATCTTAATACTTTGAGAAAAGGAAACCATTTTTAATACGGCGATACGAGTTTTTTTTTTTTTTAGGCACAAACGTCTTTCGGATAAATTGGTAGTATTCTTCTTTGGCTTAAAAACGTCTGATCTTCCTTGGCCTGACCAAACTGCCTTCGAGATTGTCTTCATGTTTAAAGCAGCATTGACATCCCGTTGCCATACTTTTCCGCATTCGGGACAACTGAAAACACCACAGTCCTTGAAACCGGGAGTGTTTATGACTTCTTGCTTGTCGAAAAAAAAAACAATGACTACATGTAATGGAGGTTTTAAATGCATTGATCGTTGTGACGATCCGTTGACCTTCAGTCTCTCACTTTTTCAACGTCTTGAACAGCTTGCCTACCACCCCGCAGCGGTTCCCTTTTAGCTTGACAAGATCTTTTCCGAACATACCGTCACCGAGGACGACTAGCTAAACTCTTGTTTTGTCGTTTTTATAAACAAGGGGTCTCCATTTGTTCAATCTTTTCAAAAAAAAAAAAAAAAAAAAAAAAAAAAAAAGTGGGGAAACAGATACTTCGGTCGGTGCTTTAATTTATGAATAATGCTTTTTGAAGAGTAATTCTCTATTAAGTTATAATTTAATAAAAAAAACTACTCTATCGCGAGATGCTATTTCGTCCATGAAATCTGCTTTGTATAAATCAAGGAAATAAAATACCTCTCCAAAAATAAGAAGAAGAAGGAAAAGGTAGAAGAAACGATATGCAATAAAAAAAAGAGAGTGAGAGAGAAAAAGATAGGTAATCTGCATGTTATTTTCTTAGGATTAAGTAAAAATGGAGATACACGTCTTTTATATATATAAAAGTAGTTCCGTATGTATATAAATATGAATTCCATTTTAGAAAGGAAACTGATCTAAAAGAAACAGTCAATGGTAACTTATTTTGCATGAGTAGACAGTACGTTTTTTATTCAAAATTTTGGATAAACTTTTTATATTTAAAATTAAGAGAGAATGCAGTAAGAGTAGTGTGTTTAAAAGATGGTTAACATTGTGTATAAGCTCAATATCATTCTTTTATTTAACAATATCTATCAGTGTTTTGGACAATTCTAAGATTGATTTCATAAGAGTAATTAAGTAAAATGTGAGTTGATATCTTTTTATTTTTTACAATGCATAAAATTTCTGTGAAGCTTTAAAATATAAGTGTATCCATGTTTACTATCGAGGCATTTTTTGATATAACGAGTAAATGTGTTATTTAACCGAGGAATATATACTTGGCGTAATTGGAGAAGTATACATGTAAATATCATCGTCATAAAGATACTGATAATCAAAGCTTAGCATCAGCAAATTCTTCTATCACTTTAACATTTCACTTGACTTTGACTATTTTTAAAGTGAAAATGAGCGAATGAATACATAATTTATTCATTTTTCTAAATATGTATATACATATATCGTCAACTATTTCTTAAGCAAAGACTTATAGAACCACGTGATGATCGCAACTTGAAACTATGTATCACTTGTCTACAACCTTGCCCTACTATTGATCTCATACTTAAACCGCCCAAGTCCTATAATGAACGTAGTAGCCGTGTCATTTAATAGCATCTTGATTGCTGGTGCGTCCCTCCAAAAAAAAAAGAACATGCTGTCTTTATCATCTGTACTCTCATATGAGTCGATCGCATGTTATTGAATATCAACACATACACACTTGTTTATACTTGTCACCACCAACAATTAAGGGCCCTCCCCCCTCTTTCCTTTTAAAATCTTTTTGCTTCAGCATAAGCCTAGGTATCTCCCAAGATATATATTTGCATGGCTTTACCGCAGACCAATTATCTGCACCATTCTTCATAAAATGGATTAGTTAGTATCTTCATCTCATTTTTCACTCTGGCAGAAAGAAACTAATTCCATTGGTTTGTCCAACAGGGCTTGATAGTATAAATTTTCTTTCTATTTCTCCCTTTTCTTTTTTGTTTCTTTTCCTTTCTTTTGTCTCTTAACATGGTTTTATAATATTTTCTTTTCTCATGTATCTTAAACTGACTTGGATAATCCAATATATTATACATACTATGCACTTACTGGCCATCTTAATTTTTTTAATTTTCTTTTTTTTTCTTTTTTCTCAATAAATAAAAATATTTAATACAGTTTTTACATTTCAAAATCAGACAATGTTAGTATTTTTCCGGACGAATCAAAATTAATTTTAAGACATTTAGCTTACCTTTTTTGGAAAAAGTAAAAATGGAAATTAGATGCATGTTTAGACTTTTTTACCTACTAGACATCCAATAATGTTAGAATGCTAATTAATAATTGCCAAATAATAATTTCTAGTCCTGCGCGCCGAGAGACAGTAGATGCAGGTGGCTCTTTGAGACTGAATTTATTTGAAGAAAGCTTGAAAGCTTAGCTTGGAGGGCAAGTAGGTGTGCCTAATTTTATAATCATAAGCCAAATAATCCTTTATAAACATTTTGCTTACAACACAACTAGTGATAGCTTCAAGCGTTTGAACCATAAGCAAAGGTCGAAAAAAAAAATGACAACCTCCGCTCGGCGAGATCCCACACCACACCCACCACCAGTAATAAGATAAATGTTGTCCGTATAATCACCTTTTTTCTTAAAAAAAAAAATCTTAGATAAACTGGTTTTCTTTCACTTTCTTACTTTATTGAACATGTCTAATGAATATCGGTCTGGCATTATTAAAATAAAGAAAGAAACGGTTTTCAACAATCGACTGGTATTTAATGAAGGTCAGAACTTAATAAAAAATGTATATAAAAGTTTTTACTAACTGATATTATAGCAAACGCCAAGTGTACCGACTGTGAAGAAGTAGGACATTTCAATAAAAACTACTACAAGTGCAAGTTTTACAAAGAAGCAGCCGCTGATGATGGTACGGCAATTTAATATTATACTATTTATATATAATAATGATTACGTATAGTTGGAACTTCAAGCAAGAAAAGAAAGCAAAGCAAAAATTTGAAGCAAGCTAAACAAACAGCAAAACGACAAAAGACCACAAATGATAATGTGACCAATCTTCATTGTAAGAAATGCTGTGGTGATAATCATTCTACAACAAGATCTCCCCTATGTCCATACAATATAACACCTAAAGCTAAAGTATTAGAACAGAACCTTGGCACTAATTACAAGGCGTTCACAAGAAAATTACTTTTTGATAGTTGTATCAATCAAGCTCACCGCCATATTAAATCTAACATCATACAGACATGTGCTGCCGTGAGGGATATCACAGTTAGAGCCAAAATTTTTGTGAATTACTATGTCTTGTTGAACCCAAGTGGACAAGTCCACAATGGTATCTTTAAGAAAAACTTTTGGTACAGCATGTGTCAACTGATAAACAGCCAAAGAATCACAAACCAGAAAGACATACCAGCCGAATTAATTAATATTTGGAACGATTTTCATAACAGATACAGACATGCCAGAGTGAATATCACACTTCTTCCAGGTGCCAGTCAGTGTATCTCAGAAGCATGCACTGAAATCGAAACGCTGTATAATAACATGATTGTCGAAACATTCGAGCTTAAGCTTCTGTCTTTTCTTCGCTACAAGGTCCAAATGCTATTACCGGTAAGTGTAACATTTCATTTTTCTTTTTTTATGACAATCACTTACATAACAAATCAATAGAATGTCACAAAACGCTCTGTAATTGATTCAATCTCTCGTGAATACTGCTACCAATTCATTTGCCAAGGGAACTCTATCTGGCCTGAAGATGACTGCATAAATGAAGGAGTAAAAACAGTCATCCGCGATATGTGCATACCTTTCAAGCAGGCACTAAACAGAAAAGTTACCTTGAACGAACTTGCAAAAGATCCAGGTGCATTTGTCTAATTTTTATTATTTCTCAATGCCGGATTGGAGCGCGAAATCGAAGAACATAATCCTTACGATGTGAGGCGACTCCCACTGCCAAAGCTCATTTCGGTGTTACCAAAAGCATCAGCACATTGGAGATCAATCACAATAAGTGTGAACGCTTTATCATGTTTTACAAAAACGTCACTGCCACGGGGATTTCAAAGACAGCTAAGATTGTTTTATGATGTTTTCAATTTTGGGAAACTGCGATACAGAGAGTGAGTATAGATAGAGATTGTATCAAATCAGACTTATGTATTTCTTACTTTTATATTTGTAGCATTGCTGAATTAACACCAGATGGAAACAACCAGATCCTTTTTGGAAACTTGATACGGACTGATGGGTTTGTTGTGGATTTTTTGTTTTACAAAAGATGTCAAGCCAGTTACGGTCCTTCTTTGCAACGCTTTGAGTTGACTCTTCGCGACTTCACTTTACCAGAAGTAGCAAAGGATTATCATCCAATTTTTGTTGACCCTGGGAGAAAGTCTGTATTCACTGCTGTAAGTGGTTTAAACGAGTCTAGGCACCCAATAATCCGCTGCAGTACTAAGGAGTATTATCATCTTACTGGTTCGACTGTTTTTTCTGCCCAGCAGCAATTTTTGAAAAGTCAAAACGGAATAGAGGATATTGAATCAAGAATCCCCACAACCAAGACATCAAACCCGGAGCGTTTTTTAGACTATGTTCAATATCTGTTTGATAACATAAATACTTTATTCAACTTTTACAATTCCAGTACTGCAAAAAAACGCTTCCAACTTTATCAAGGGAGGCAAAAAGTACAAGAAACTATGGTCAATATGCTTATAAATGGCGACACCAAATATAATCGAAGTAGGAGAAACAAGAAGAGGCAGAAAAAGAAGAAACAAAAGAAGAAAAGAAAGAAGAAACCAAATAAGAACGATACTATCAAGTATAAATATTTTCTACTTGAATATATTCAAACAGTTATTAATTCAATTTTTTTTTCTTTAGAGAAAAACTGAACAAATGGAGACCCATCAAATACAAAGAAGACAAGACAAAGGTTCCTCTGATAGTATTTGGAAGTGGAATGTTCAATAAGGACACCAATAAGATCAGGACGCTCAGATGTGGGGTGACGGGTATTTTATGGCGCGCGCTGAAAAGGCGAGAAGCGGCTGGACAACTTATCACAATCACAATTGACGAGTTCCGAACATCCAAAGTATGCAGTAAATGCCAAACTCTAACCTTGATGCCAGCCTCGCCTGTTACTAGATTGAGTGTACTGGTCTGTTCTTCTTGTCATACTCTTTGGCAAAGAGACATTAATGCCTCCCGAAACATGATGACAATCTCTATCAGCATTTGGCAGAGACGAGAAAGACCAACACCTTTTCAACGCACTACCACCACCACCACACCGCCACAGTCATCGCTGTAATAAACACAGCTTACCTAGTGTATTTAGATGACCACATTCACTCAACTTCTGTTGTTTGGATGCTTTACAGGTAAGCGTCTGAAAATTATGTTTACTTTGTTTAAAAACTAATCTCACTTCTTCTTCGTTTGTCTAAAAAAGGTAAACTAAATATTTAAAAATTTATTTTGATTCGTCCAGAAAAAAACTAACTTCGTCCAAATTTAAAGCGTAAAAACTGTAGTAGTCCCACGTGGGAATACTGGTTGCTGTAGTTTTTTTAAAAAGTGCCTTAAAATTAATTATTAAGTGCCTTAAAATTAATTATTAAAGTGCCTTAAAATTAATTATTAAAGTGCCTTAAAATTAATTATTAAATGATATGTATAAATTTCCTTTTCCCCATCAAGATAGGAGGATTCTTAGATACAGCTCAACTAGTACAAAATAATACTAACAAAGCCCTACAAACAATGAACCAAATGGCATCTATTGGGGTTAATCCCAAGGGATTTGATCGGTTACTCGCTACTCGCTTCTACACGCAGATAGTCCGACCACAGCTCGAATATGGTCTAGCTATTAGTCTACTTAGTGCAAAGAATATCCAACAACTGGAATCTTGTCAAAACACATGCATAAGACGGATATTTGGTGGCTCTAGTCGATCGTCAGTAAAGGTGATGCTTCATATGGTAAACCAACCATCAATGAAGGTTAGGGTATCCATTCTGCAGGCCCAATTCGTTTTCCGTGCTATTGACTTACCGGATGATACCTTGCTCGCTAAATTACTTCCCGAACTTCACGCCTCCGCTTTCAACACTCAATGGTATAAACTCATTCAAACATCATGCTGGAGACTCTGTGCCGCCAATTCCATTCCGTTAGACAAACGCTCCTTTCGAAAACATCGTCGAGAATTTCTTGAAGAGAGTTTTCAACAACTACGTGACGAGACACATTCTGTTTTGCTTTCCTCTTGCCGCCCTAATCTGATTATTGACCCGATACTCTGGTTACCCATGACACACAGTGAGCGTAGTCGAACTATTCGATGGCGTCTTGGTTGGTTACCCGGAGGAATACCTAAAGCCTGTCCATATCATCCTCATGTACACTTTAGTCGGTCACACGCCACTGAATGCTTGCACATGCACACTCGTTTATTCTTGCCACGATCAATTGCAGATCCCCTTTCCTTTCTTTTAAATCATCTCCCTCAGCATAAGCACCGAAATTCTCAGGATGTTTCTGCTTGGTTCTATCGCTGGCCAGTTATGTGTACCATTCTACAGGAAATAGATTATTTAATGCACGATAAACTACCCCCTCCACTTCTTGATCCAGGCAGAAAATTACTCAACTGGTTGTCTCTTTAAACTTGTTAGCAATATTCCCCTTTCTTTCTCACTTTCTCTTCTTCCTTTCCTTTACCTTTTTACCTCTTGTCCCATAAGAGGGTTTTTAGATACTTTTTTCACATAATTTGAACTGACCTGGGCAATCCAATATAATAAAGATATTATGTGCCCATAGGTCGCTTTTTAAATTTATAAAAATAATAAAAAAAAAAAATGTTTAATCGTAGTAGTCCACTACACTTATACATATACTTTAACATTTTCCCTTTTATCCCAAAAGGGTTTTTCTTTCCTTTTTTTCCATAGCGATCTGACCAGGGCAAAACAGCATATATAAATGCTATGTGCTCATTGGTCATTTTTAATTTTTTAAATAAAATTCTTCTTAATCGTAGTAGTCCACTAAATCATATGATACTAACTTTTTTTTTTAAAGCACGACACTTTATTTTATTTTAATATTTGTTTGGCACAAGGTGTATAATGTATAAGAAAATAGGGAAATCTGTCGTTTTAACATAAAAGCAAAAGTAGTTTTTTTATTTCTGTCTTGTATTTCTCGTCATATATAAACGAGTCTTTTATTTTACTACTACAATGATAAATTAGGACATTTTTTTTTATGAACAAGTTTGAGTGTGGCGATGGAAGAAGTTGATTCATAGATTTTATTCGCCAAATTGAAAAGCAGGGTTTTTATTTTTTTTTCTTTTGCCAAGAAATAAAATAAAAATGATTAATTACCCTGTTAGCATGCAAGTTCAACGTGTCCTTTAGTCTTGACATTTAGAAAATATAAGTATATACTTGGACGAAATGAAACACTGCTATATCGTAACAGTTAATAATGAAATTTAAGATAAAAAAAAATAGTTAGTTCAGTCGATAAAAGTATGAAAGCTTATCCACATTAGATAATTAAGTCAGGCAGGCAAATGACGACATAAAGCTAGACAAGAAACACCCCCCCTCCTCTTCCTCTCTTCTCCTTTTCCTCCTCTACCCTCCCACGGTAGCTTTACTCCAGCTAGTTAGTTGCTTAAAGGGATGTTGTAATCAATTACAGCAACGAAATCCCGATTGCAGCTAGTAAAGATCACGTCTGGTAAAGAACTTTTATTTTATTTTTATTTTTATTTTTAAAAAAAAAAAAAAAAAAAAAAAAAAAAAAAAAAAAAAAAGACAATATCAATTTATATGAAAAAAAAAGAAAGTTATTGGTATCTATTTTTATCAAAGGACGCTGAACAGGAAAGCAGTAGAAGGAAATAATCACTTGAATTTTTTTTTTGGTATAATAAAGAGAAGAAGGACATAGTTTGAGACGTATAGTAGGCGGAGATCAGCATGAATTAACTTGAATAATTGCGTTTTCCTAATAAATAAATTATATTTTGATGATGCTAACCTGACTTGAAACCAAAGATGAAGCTCCTATTGGTACCCGAGCCATCCAAATTAAAGCTCAATTCATAATTAACAACAATAATGCCTATGTTGTAATCTCTCATGTCTTCCTCTCCCCAGGGGCCTGATGATGATTGAAAAAAATCAGCTTAGGAAACTTTGATTTTTTGTTCAGCTAAAGATAGGAAGAAGAAAAATAAAATAAATAAACGACTAATAGTAATAATATAAAAGGAAGAGCAGGGAGATACACTATCATTTATAAAAAGCGTTATGGACAACAATTTAGAAATGAAATATTTATTACAACGATGACAGGATAACCTATTAAATCATACTTTGGACGAAGTTGAGAAACTCATTACTGGAAGAGAATATATGAATACATATTTATCTTCTGATTCTTCAGAGCTAAACCTAAACAAATTACTTTAGTTCAAAAATGTCAAGAACACCATTATTAAAAGGAAATATATTTCAGCAAATGTAAGCTTATCTAGATAAAAAAAAAAAAGAAAAAAAAAAGAAACATCAAAGACTTGTCATCATGTTAAAGAAAGTAATTATAATGACTTTACAAAGCATTTTATAAATCACTTTATAGACTATCTTGACGAGAATATAAGTTTTTTTTTTTTTTTTTTGGTGAGAAGAGATCAGAAAAAGTGTTTAGATAAGATTTCCTTAAAGAAAAGACATGTTTTCAAAAGATGAGTCCAGAACAATAGAAGAAGGAAAAGACTTTTGCACAATAATAAAATTATCGTATTGATAATACACTACACTACACACTTTCTTTCATGTTTTTAATGACTTTTTTTTTTTCTTTTTTTTAAATTTCCTAGATAGGGATTCAGTACAGAATGGCTTGACAATTTTATTTTATTTTTTTAAAGAAAATGTACCATTTACCCAGCTAGCAAGAATACAATTGGTGATATTTAATGTAAGCAAGTTGAATTCTCATGTTAGCATTAGTAGGAGAACAATAAGATTAAGGTGTAAAAAAAAAAAACGGATGATGATAAAATTATTGTTAAAAGTTGGATCAAAAAAAAAAAAATACGGTTCTAGAGGAGGGCAGCAACTGCATCGTATGATATTATTAATATCAAACTAGAAAAACTTCCCCTTCCCAAGACCTTTCAGCTTATGGAAGTAAAATGCTGTTCTTGGTGGCTTACGAATTAAATTTGCATCGAAAAGAACAATTCGTCAATTATTATTTTTTTTTAAAGAAAAAAGAAAAAACCCCATTAATTCGGATAGAAATGAACAAAATGGATGAAGAAGTCCGTAGATATGACTGCTTACAGCTTATTTGTCTGAGTTAAACTCTATTAAATAGTTTTAGTGTTATTTTATTTTTTTTTTTTGTCAAAAGTAAAAACTTAAATTGATAAGGGAAAATTTTTTAAAGATAAAAATTTACTGAAGCATCAAAATAAGATTATTTTGGATTAAAATATTACTAAATAAAGAAATAGAAAAGTTCGAGATATTTGTTTCTTGTCAAATAGTGTAAAGACGTTTTGGTTAGTAAAATCTCTTCTAACAATGTGTGAGAACATTCCAGCTTTTGGATATTCTTTTCTTTTTTCTATGATATTTCATAAAATTAAGTTGATTGCACAATAGAAGAAGTCAGTATATTATTGGTACTGTAATATGTATACAGTAATACAAAAAGCTATACTAAAGTAAGTAGTAAAAGTTTAATTAAAAGAGAAAAGCCAAAATAAATAAAAAATAAAAATTCGATTTGTAATATTATTTCTTTCTGCTAGATAATTGTACCGATAATAATAATAACCTTACTTGTTTGAAATATACTAAATATAGAAAAAAAAATAAATATATTATCTTACAGTCTTAATTTAATTTAAAAAAAAAAAAAAAAAAGAAAAAAGAAAAAAAAAAAAGAAAAAGAAAAAAAAAGAAAAAAAGAAAAAAAAAAGAAAAAAAAAAGAAAAAAAAAAGAAAAGGAGAGAGACTATAAAATAGATAAAAGCATTATGTAAGAATGAATGCTATGTACTTTTAATAGAGTTTGGAGATTCATCTTCTATTGTTTTAAGTTTAGTAGTATCCGTAATAGAACTACTACTACTACTACTTGATGAACTAAGTCTAGTGGGATTTGTTCGTCTAACTGATTTGCCTTTTGTGTTACTCATTGCTTCAAAATTTTGCCAAATATAATTTTTACATTTATCAGCATCAGGTAAATCTTGAATCATTTTTGCAATCGTATTCTTTCGTAGTCCAAAGAAATCAGGTCCAACTGGGTTATGTCCATAGTCCATATTACGAATTGCGAATGCCCTAGTAGTAATAATAAAGTGAATAAATAGTGTTCATAGTAAAAAATAAAAAAAAAATGGGAGAAAGGAATCAAAGCTCTCTCATACCTCCTCACTGCAATGGTCCAAACTGTAGTAGGAGTTGGACCTCTCCAACATTCATTTGGATTATCATCTGCAGTTAATTGAAAAATGGGTTCATCACCACCGTCTAAAATTTCACAAGTATATTGTGTATCACTATGAGGATCTACCATACTTCTATACCATCTAATAATTTAAATTAATATCTATTTTTTTCTTCTTTTGTATACCATTCATTATTATTATTTACTTTTTAACTCGATATCCTACAGGATATATATATCTTTGATTATGAAATGCTGCTTTATCCCATATAACTTTACCTAAACTTAATACTGTCCAAGAATCAACTTCTGCAGGTAAAATATATTTACCATCAGGTCCCTTTTCAATTTCGACAAAAGGACGAACATCGTTCACATTAGGAGGCTTTGTATCTCTCTTTTTTCTTCTCGATTGATGATAATAGGTATCAAAGGTGGGATTTATATGTGGTGTTGATAATGAGGTTCGCATAAGATTAGGTAAGTTTGGTATCGATTTAGATGAAGTCTGTTGTTGATTTATTAATACTAAATTATGAGTATCCATCTTCTTATTATCTTCATTATCGTCATTATTAGGGGCAATTTTTCTTCTTTTAATCGCTTCATGCTCAAAACTATTTGAATCATATCGACTTCCTGGCCAATTAGGATCTAATGCAGGTGGGAAAACTGAATAATGGCCTTCATTTTTATGTAAATTGAGAGATGGTAAACGATCTGGTACAGGATGGGATGTTCTTGAAGATAAAATAGGTGAAGTTGAAGATGAATCTGTCCAAATGGAGCGCATAGGGGGAAGATAATACTCTGCATAATTTTGCTGTAATGGTGAATGATGTATCTATCATATATGTATATACGTATAAATAATATATGTACATGTGTCATATTATATATGTATATAAAAAGGGGAAGGGTTAGTATGCGTTATATTAAATGCTTGATGTTCCTTACAGGATGAAGTTGAATAAGAACTTCAATGTAACAATGATATCGACTTGATTTATCAGATTCTGTTATTTTGCCTGTTACTTGAGCCTCATTATTATCATCATTCAAAATATTCGATAATACACCATGACCTTCCCAAATTATGTTTGTTTGTGAATCATGAAGAGGTGTCCAATTTTCTGCAGTTAAACTATCTTCAAAGTTTGCACTGTAAATAGCTGCATTGTTATTCATCAACTGATCGGGACTATTTAAATAAATACACGCACACATAGAGAGAGAGAGAGAGAAAGTATGTGTGTGTGCGTGTGTGTGTGTGTGTGTGAGATAGATAGATAAAAAAAAAAGTTATTTTTGTTGAAATTATTATTATTTATATTTACCATGAAGAACAAACAGCTTTCAAACATTGTTTTAGAGGTATACTGATCCATTTTCTATCTTTGTAATTATCAAGCTCAAAATCAAAAGTACATAAACAATGTGTATTAGATCCTTTAAAGGTATAAAATATTTTAACTACAAGAAATTGAATTATTTAGTATTTAATTCGAAACACGTAAAAAGAAAAAAGAAAATAAATAAATAAATAAATAAATAAAAATAAAGAAATAAAAAATAAAAAAAATAAAATAAAAAAAAAGCAGCAAAAGATAAATTTTGTGTACCTTTTCCGAGCATCTTCTTCTCTTCTTCTCTTGTTGTTGGTTGTAATATTTGATTGATTGACATAGATTGATGACCGTTCATAATTACTGATAATGACTACTGCTTAACTATAAATGTATGAATTAAATCAGGATATAGGCGAAGTTCTTAAAAAAGAATAATGAATATTTATTTGCTTAAAGCGAGAAAATAAAGGGGCTATCGAAAATACGTTTTAATATGAAAGAAGAAGAAAAAAATAGAAAAGAGATTTATAGATATAAAAAGAAAAAGAAAAAGGGAAAAAATTGGAATAATGATATTATTTACTACAAAAAAAAAAAAAAAAAAAAAAATAAAATAAAATAAATAAATTTTAGGACCCAATTTTATGTGCTTGAAACCACGACTAAAAAGCGGGATTTATGTTTAAAATGTAGGGCACACATATAACTTGTCTTTGTCTTTGTATTAATAAAATAAAATAAAAAATAAATAAATCTAGAACAATAATAACATTTATTTACTGGAAGTGGCAATGATGTTTAAAGAAACTGTGGAATATGTGTCTTTCTTACAATGATTACAAGTTAATGCTAAGAACGTTATTAGCATTGATTCACATGTCTTTCCATTATTACTCGGTTGATTTATACTGAATTTATCATATTAAAAAAAAAAATTGGATCGGTTCTCTAAATAAAAAATTAAAATTATTAACATATTTATCATAGATCTTTTTAATGTTAATGTATACATGTATGTATGACGTTAATATAATAAATTGATTTCATGCTTGGTAAATAGAAAAAAAGAATTTATTTCTATCTGAGGGGAACAAGTTTTTCCGTTACTTTAAAATAGGAGCACGTCATTTTTTTAATGTTTGACAGGATTACCGGGTTTAGAAAGCCTGTACATGTAATTTACCATTCTTCTATTTACATATTTCGTTTTTTTTTTTTTTTTTTTTTTTTTTTTTTTACTGTTTATTCTTAAATAAATAATAAAACTATCTATTTCATTGAATTTTATGCTTTATAATTTTAGGAAGCAGAAAGAGAACTATACCGTTATTTCCTATTCAATTATATTACATTTTTACATTCTTATTGTCGTACCTTGATCAAAAAAAAAAAGAATTGTTAGTTTAGGAAATTTATTTTATTTTTTTACTAGCAACAATGGATACTATAAAAGGAGATGATATCGGTTCTAACCGACTTATATTTTATTTGATTTTTTTTTTTGTACTTCTTTATTACATAATACATGGTAGTAGTGAATAAATTTCATTTATATACAGTATGTATAATAGTAATAATAATAGTTATAATAATATATAATGTACAATATAATATATTATAATGCATATAAAATATGCTATCATGTATTTATTAATAACTATATTAGTGTAATATTAAATGTTTATTACTTGCATACATCCAATATTTATTATAATAGGTATTATCTTTGTTGTGGTATAAATGGTAAAATGGTAAAATTGTAAAAATTGTAAAATTTAATTTGTTTAATTTAAATAAATTTTTTGTAAAACTTACGTAATTTTGTATTTTACAGAGGGAGCCAATCATCAATGTAGATCACTTTTTCAGGAACAATTGCTTATTTTTGCTGTAGGTCAAATTTATTTGAATTTCCGAACTTGTTTGTGCCACTAATAATTTTAAGTTACATTTTGTTACCTAAATTTTTTTTATAAAAAATATTATTATAACAAGCTGTAGTTTATCTGATAAAAAGTCTTTTTCTCTCTTAATTTGCATTTTTTTTTTGTATAACAAATTGGTCCTACTTTAATCTCTTTCTCTTTTTCTACAAAGTATAATTGTGTTGATTCTCTGAGAAATGTATTAGCATGATTTCAACTAATTCTTGAGTATCTGTCATATCTAATAAAATTTGATAGCTATTTCTTTGATTTAAAGAAACTTTTCTTTCTTCATTAATTTATATTGTAAATAAGAAGACAGATAAATGAAGGAGTATAAAATTGAAATAAACTTTTTTTTTTTGTTTAAGTTATAATGTTTCTTTTTTTTAACATGTATTATTCAATAATAGTATTATACAATTGACATTTATCGATTTGTTTCCACGAAAAGGCGGTCATTAAATATATTGCTACTGCCAAGCCTTTTTTTTTTTCTTTGAAACAATCCAATGTTAGCAATGTGTTTCTCTTTAATTTTATTACAATTGAGAATTTGTCGTTGTTGTTTCTTTTATTTTTATTTTATTTTTATTATTGAAAAAGTGGAACCAGTGTGAGTGCATAGTAGTATGGAATGTATTGCTTAGGCCTCTTTAATAGAATAGATTAAGAAGCCTTTCAAGAGCGAAAAGGAGTGAGCAAACTTAAAATACTAGTAAAAGGGAAATTGTCAATAATTAGTAGAAAAAGAGGGTTTATCAACAATGCTAGCATTAGCAGTCAAGTAAGAGACCTTAAGCATTAAGTTTATTACGATTAAAGAAGAATTTTATTTAAAAAATTAAAAAATGACCAATGAGCACATAGCATTTAAATACTGTTTTGCCCTGGTCAGATCGCTATGGAAAGAAAAACCCTTTTGGGATAAAAGGGAAAATGTTAAAGTATATGTATAAGTGATGATAATTAATTATCAGAAATTCGTTTTTGTATTGAAAGAAGATGATTGACTTTAAGTTTATTACAGTGTTCTTAAGTGAAATTAAGACTAGTTAAAAATTCTGTTAAATGCAATAATATAAACTTGAGAGATAAATTTGGTCAGCATAAAATTAGACACATCTACCTGTACATAACTTGATTGTTTCCACTAAGAAAAAAAACTGTAATCAAGATGACGATATTATTGCTCTTATTAATGATAGAATATAAATGGGCGACCTCAGTTAACTAATATTTCATAAGAAATGAAATGAATACTTTTAGCATTATTATAATTACATTGTAACAGCCTTTTGCAAGCTAAGACACCATGTTAATCTATTACTGTATACACTAGTTTTCTTCCAATGCACATATAGAATACCTACTTAATTTGTATAAAGAAAATGCGTCAAACTGGTATCAACAGAGAAGTAATAATGTTTTGATTTAAAGATTCTGAATTCATGTATAGCAGCTACAAATAATGTATCATATTTTTATCTATTCAACAAAGTTTTCCAGAATAGATAGGCAGTTCCTCTCCACACATTTTAAAATTTGGAAGCATATTTATGATTGACTATTTCATTTCCAAAAGCTATCATTTGATATATTATCATTTAAAAAGAAATCAGCTACACTTTTCCTTTTTTGATTTACATTTTATCTTTTATAAATACTCTTCTATTTTTTCCTTTTTTTTTTTTTTTTTTTTTTTTTTTGTTGGTGACATCTTTAAGAATATTATTAACAATTAAATACTGTAATAAATCGATCAACAATATTACCGGTTGGAACTCATGGTTACTATGATAAAGCTCTTACTCTCTCCTAAACAAATCATCGAAGTTGGTTACTGCTTTTTAAGTCTGTTCGTAAATAGATACTTTGTTTTGAATGTAACACTATCATTACTTTAAATCATAGAGGATATAGAGAACAAGATCCTACTCAACCTCAGTTACACCTGTACACTAATTGTAATAATATCTTTAAAGCACTCTTGAAATACCTTGATAATATCAACCAAAGCTCTCAGTTATCTGCTTTTACTAGTCAATTGATAGCTTCACCAAATTTTGACAAATATAGAATCTTCTGAAGCCTTCCATCAACAACAATAACCTCATCAATCGGTTCTTAGTGTATTAACAATCATTCAAGAATTTTGAAAATATAATTCAACTCCTTACCTCTGAGTTTGTAACAAGTTACATAATAAAGATCTATCTATCAATTTAATCACACAAAATACCAATGTAACATGACCTATTACAACAATAGGTAAGTGTTCTCCTCTTTCTCAAGTATCTTTAACAACATCATCCTTTTCATCATTCTAGCGCAAACCTCTAACTAGTTCTGATACTGTTTTAAAGTGTCAAAAGCACGGTCTCAACTACAGCAAGCATCCGTTGCTGAACAATCCCAGACACCACCCCAAAAGCCGGGGATTCTCCAGCACCTTACTAACTGCTATATGTTTTTACTAAAGCATATGCTCCAATTGGTCAACTTTGTGCAGAAAAAAAATTACATAAAGTTGGATCTTATATTTAGGTATTCCACTATCCGCAACATTGCTGTAATATTAGAAACTCAAGCCAGATTTTAATCTTTAATAAATTTATGTTTCTTTCTATTCAAATTCCTTCTTCATTGACTCATACTTCATTACTTTTTTCCTCCAGCGTAAAATTTGGAAAACCTAGCTTTCTTTAAACAGGAATTAAGCACCTCTAGGAATCAAGATAAAAAAAAATACCTGCACAACTTAAACTTAGCTTTACTTGCCTTAATCGTCTCTCCCATTTTTTTTTCCTAATAAGCAGTCTACAAAGAAGTATATTAAAATCAATTATGTTCCACTTTTTTTACTAAACACTTGATTCATGTAGATGTTCGCTTCTCACCTGTAATAATATCCATAATAGAAACTTTCCAGCAACTGAAATGACGACAACCTTTGAACTCAAGGGATACTATTATCGGTAATGATTAGATTAATCTGACTAGAACCTATATCAATAAACTAAGACTAAAATGCCTCGACTCATGCTGCAATGAAGATGTAACGATTGATAGCAATTCTGTCATATAATAACTGTATAATAATGTATTGAAGCATTTGATAAATCTAGCCTTATCCCAATGTATAAATTAATCAAACTTACCTTTTTAACAATAGAGAATCTGCAACACACCGTAAATAGGATGGTCCATTCATATCCAATCTATGTATTCGGGTCACCTCTTACCTACAAACATCGACAACCCTTGTCCGCCTTCTGATTTACCCTTTTAACTAGATTCTTGTATTACATTACTACAGCTATAAGCATACGGGATGCTATTAAATCATAATATCGATTTGTTAAAAAAAAAGGTATTAAAATTGAAATACTTTTACTATGAATAGATAAAATTAGTTTTATACTTGTATATTTGTTTCAACTCTATTAAGTATGCTGTTCATATACTACTTTATATTGGCGTATTGCTTAGATTATCACTATTCAAATAAGAAAAAAGGTCCATCAATATTTTAAAAATTGTTTGAGAAAATAAGTATATCTACTTTTTTTTTCTTCTAGCAAACAGTTCTCCACTGGATATTTAACAGGGCGTTTTTTTTTTTTTTTTTTTTTTTTTTTTTTTTTTGAAGTTTAAAGTTCTTTTGATCAAGCCCTCCTTTGCTTGGTAGAAATAGATAGCATTCTTAGATATATAGACTAGAAATGAATTTTGCTTTAGTTTTCCTCAACATTAAAACAGTATATGACACTGTGGATCAAAAACACTTGTAGTAAACTCTACAAAACCACCTTTCTATTTTATCTTTATTAAAACCCCCAAAGTTAGAATTTAATAAGCTAATTGTTTCTTGATTTTATGATGCGTAACTTGTTGGATCACAGCCAGAGTATAACTTTGCTATCAACACATTTAACGCCAAAGCTATAAAATTCTTAAAAAAAAAAATAACTGTTAAAATAGTTACTTCCGCTATATATCTAGAGGCCATTCTATATCTTCTTCCACAAAGATGATATTGCACCTCACCCAAGCTATCTACTATACAAGAACGTATAAATTCACTACAAACTCCATTTGTTTTCCTTTTCCATAAGATGCATTACTTGCAAAGTCGGTGCCTTATCTTTAACAATCTGGTGAATCCTTCATATGAATACCAACTATGCAAAATGTTATAGCAATTGGAAGCAAGATATGAAAAAAGAAAGAAAAAGGATTAACAAGTTCCAATTTATTGTTAAAAAGCATTACTATACTGCTTGATATTTTAGGGCAAATTTATAAATATTTAAAACTTCGTCGGGAGATTTTTTTTTTTTTTTTTTTTTTTTTTTTTTTTTTTTTTTTAATATTATTCATGGATTTTTTTTCCCTTCATTTTACTTTAAAAGGTAAATGTCGTTAATCAATAACATTCTTCCAAAATTTCAATTCATACGTGTATTATCAAATGATACACGAACAAAAATAGTATATTTACTAGGAGAAGTTGATGGTCAAGATTGTATCCTATCTTTTGAAAAAACACAATATGAAGACGCCATTCTACCAACATTAGCCAATTCTGTTGATACTTTAACCAATGTTGTTGAAAATAACATTTACGCTTGGTGCACGGCCATGATGTCTAGCACTGCAGATACCCGACTTAAAGTAATTTTCCCTGCCACTGATGTACACATCGCGAAATATGAAGCACAAAAGCGTATTATGCTTTTAGAGACACCCCAACATTATCAAACGATTACTTTACCATACATTAAATCAATTCCACAAAAACGTGTTCAATGGGTTTATAACATCTTGAATGGAACTGCTGAAACAGATCGTATTATCTATCATGATCATGATCCAGAGACAGGGTTTGTCATTTTACCAGATATGAAATGGGACGGTAGCATTGAAACACTTTATTGGGTAGCCATTTCAATGCGCACAGATATCTTATCTTTGCGTTCCTTAACGGGTGATCATGTTTCATTTTTGAAAAATCTTCGACAAAGGTGCTATGAACTCGCAAAAGAAAAAGTCAACTTGTTACCTTCAGAGCTTCGTTTATTTATTCATTATCAACCTTCTTATTATCATTTTCATGTACATATTACAGCTGTTGCCTTTTCAGACGCTCCAGGTGTTGTATCTGGTCAAGCGCATCTATTAGATACTGTAATTAATAATTTAGAGCTGTATCCCGATTATTACCAACGTGTAGATATTCCCTTTGTCATAGGTGAACGTCATACTTTATATACTGATTATAAATGGAATTAATAAATACAACGTAATAATGATAAAGACCTTGTATGTATGTGTAATGTATGAATATAAGAGAAGAAGAAAAAAAAATCAAGTTATATTTAAATTCACAGTAATTAAAAATGATATATACCATTTTATTACATAATCAAGTAAACACAAACTTCCAATTTTACTATTATGTTTTTTTTTTAAAAAAAAATATATCTCTACAACACAAGCAACAATTAGGACAATAAAAGTTAATCAAAGAGTTCTAAATTTCAATATATTAAAAAGACTAATATAAAGAAAAGGAAAGAAGAGAAAAATAAAAGGAATACACTGTTTAGACGAATAAATAGAAAAATACATGTGTTTTTTATCTAAATCTACAAGCTCACTTTTTAAACAAGTCAAGAAAAGATTAGAAAAGGACTTGGTAAATGAGGCTATGAAAAGGAGGGGAGAGAGAGAGAGAGAGGGAAAAAAAAGAGGGGGGGGGAGGGAGAAGAGAGTAGAGGTAGGTAGGTTTGTATTAAAAGATATTGTTTGTGAGAAGGAATGAGGAAGGGCAAATAGACAAAACATAGCAGGCTGTTGTATGCTAAAGAAAGGAAACAATGACCGAAATTTATGCAAATAAAAGCTGATGCGCAAAAACAGTTAAAATTAAAAAAAAAATGTAATACGTAAATCTAACGTGCGAAACTTATAAAAGAGTCTCCTTATTTGAATGTCTCCTTTTTATTATTATTCTTCTTCTTTTCTTCTTTTCTTCTTTTCTTCTTTTCTCCTTTTTTTTTTTTTTTTTTTTTTTTTTTTGGAGAGAAAACAGCAAATGGATAATATCGTTACAACGGGACAATCAACAACTAATAGCACAAACGCCATTAATCTTTCACTGTTCATATTAAATTTAATAGTCATTTTTTGTATCAGTTTTTATCGTTTATGTCTTGAAGGACCTCTATTGATTATCAAGAGATTTTTAAAGCATCCTTTATACGTCTTTATTATTTTAGTTTTTTCATTCCCAATCTATCTCTTTTTTCAATTACTTGTTTGTTTTTTGAAGCTCATCTTGAAGCTTTTCTTCAGTAGACATCCTTATTTATTTTCGGCAATAAAATTCTTATTTTTTAATCATACTAATGTCGCAACTGATTCAACAGAAGAGAATGATAATATAAACCAATATCAAGAAAAATGTTCTATTTGCTTTGATGCAAATTTGGATTTATGTCTTAAATATTGTAGAGATCAATTTTGTTTGGACTGTTTCCAAAGGTATAAATCTATTATATAAATGTATATATGAATATGCACTTCTTTTATTTATAGCTAGTAACTCATTCTCTTCATATATACATATATATATTTATTATTAAAAAAAAAAAGATACATATCCGAAGTAGTTAAATCAAGTTGGGGACTCAATGTTACAAAAATAAGATGTCCAGTTTGTAGTATTCTTATACCTCAATCTGAATGGACACAGTTCGTTTCGGATTCAATTGTAAAGACTTATTTTAAATTCAATAGTCCTTATCGTAGCTTTTCAAGATATTGTCCAGACTGTGAAACAGAAATCATTGCATGTGATTTCCCAAGGAATTATGAAAAGAGGTTTGTTATATAGAGAACATATTATATTATTCCCTTTTTTATTTTATTTTTCTTTTTTTTTTTTTTTTTTTTTTTTTTTTTTTTTTTTGTGAAATAATCATCATTCTATCATAGTCAATCTAAAACAATTGCATCTTTACTTCGAATCTTTTTTGAAACTTATGCTCCAAAGGAATCATATATGCCAGCTATTGAAAAACAGGAGCATTATATCCAACTATTTGAGAAAATGATGTGGAGAAATTCAACTTTAATTGATATCCATTATGAACTAATACAACTATTGCTACTATTGATATCTCAATCTAGTTTACATGATGAAGATCTCGATAAAATTAAACTAATCTCTCAACATATTTTACAATTAGAAGTAAGGCCTGATACTTGGAGAAAATTACAATTTGATTATATCGCATTTTTCCCGTTTATGAATTGGTATTGTTTTATATAAATATATATATATATATGTGTGTGTGTATGTATGTATTGCATATAAATATTTATCACCTCTCTTCTCTCTTTTCTCTCTTTCTCTCTCTCTCTCTCTCTGTGTGTGTATATATATATAATAGTCCGACATGTAATATATCAATCTGTTTACAGTGCGGAAATCACGCTCATCCAAATATGTCGTGTATCGATGATATGAAACAAATGATTATGCAACATTCAAATAGAGAATTTGTTGAAACACTCAAATGGAAAATTGAAAATAGTCGCTCTTGTCCAAGCTGTTCTATCATGATTCATCGTGATGATGGCTGTAATAAGGTCGACTGCACATTATGTGGTTTTAGCTTTTGTTGGGAATGTCATTTTTCGTGGGCAGAGGTATATTAGATAACAGTAAAATAATACGACTTTATGTATGTTTACATGTCTACTTTTTTTTTTCAACAGAGTGGCTGTAGATACTTTTGTTGTGTTAATATAAAGAAGAAGGATTCGTTGGAATCACAATACTACAATAGTAGTAGTAGTAGCTCTAAAGTATGTAAACAATAAACAATGCATGAAAAAAAAAAGAGAGTTAACATAATAGTATATTTTTAGACAGAATTAGGTGTTCCTAATGTAGATAAGATATATTCCAAATTTAAAAAATAAATATTTATTATTATGATTACGATTACTACTCATTAAAAATCAAGTAATAAAGAAAAAGAAAAAAAAAAAAGAAGGGGAGAATTAGCTAATCTTCAATTAAGGAAGCAGACGATTTACAGCAAATATTAGAAGGACAAGGAAATTCCTTTAAAACAGCTTCATGTAATTTACGAATAATTGAACTTAAAAGTACACCATCTCCTTGTTGTTGAGTGAACTGGACAATAACACAATATGGGTCACCTGTAATGAGATCTATTCTACATTTTACTTGCCTACATTTTATGCCTATATAATGTTTATTTATTTTATTTAGAATATGCTTATTTATTTACTTTTTTTTTTTATTTATTTATTTTATTTGTTTGTTTTATACCTTCTTGGGGTTTAGTTTTTATTTCGGCTTTATATCTCGCAGTGTCTGTACGATCATATTTTTCATAAAATCGAGTATCTGTCATCTTATTCATTAAACGATGTAACGTTCTTAAAATATCGGATTTATGAGTGCTATAAACAACAAGTGAACATACTTTAGGTTGCTTGAAAAAGAAGAGTTGATTTAGCCACGAGGCTTTGCTGATTAAAGTATCATGCGATGAAGGATTAGAAAGTGAATTAGTTGTTGTAGGCTGAAGTATATCTGTGTTTATGGGACTCCCCTGTTGACTGACAGATTTAAACGATGCTTCACTACTAGATAAATCGGATGGATTTCTTTTATTTGCCATCATCACCTTAACATGAGACTTCCCTGTGATTGGATAATAGCTACTGTGTGTGCTCGAGCATGTATTGCTACTACTACTACTACTTAATGTACTACCATCAGATAAGGTAGGTGGAGGCAATAGACCGAAATCATGGGGCGTTGTTTTAGACTGCTTTGACTGTTTATGCTCAGTAGATGGAATTATTAGATCGGAATGCTGTTGGAAGATGGATAGATCAAGTTGTTTCCTTTGCTTACGTTGTACAGAACCTAATGTGAGGCCGAATTTTTTAGTATCATTAGATGAAGTAGCGTCATTCCGTAAGGCATTACGAAGAGATAGTCCTTTAGAGACCAATGTGGCAGACTTGCTTGGCTTACATTTTTGACATAACTCTCTTTCTTCTTCTTCCTCTTCTTCTTCTTCTTCTTCTTCAGTAGGATCAATTTTATTGCGTTGCAGTATATGGCTTTTAGGGCGACTTATTGATTTAAATAAAGTAGTAGAGTTGGAAGAATTAGTGAAATCATTTGAATGAATAGGTGCACGATGAAATGGGTTCTTAAGTCGAAATGTTCCTACCAATGTCGTATTATTATTATTATTAGTAGTAGTAGTAGTTGGCTTAGAAGTTAAAGAATCTTTTGGTGTTTTAGTTTGTTTACTGTCTGGTTCACATTTTTCTAAACTAATAACTCTATATCAAAATAGAAAGCAGTGATAAGTGAGTATAGATCATGTAGATATCTTATCAACTATGCAACATACCCAGAATCTTTACTTTGTCTACGTGAAAGAAGAACATTTTTGACAAATCGTGTATAAATTGTATTACTGCTTTTCATCTTGGATTTCTTTTCATCTAAAATGGACATGGGCAATGGAGGACTGGTAGGTAATTCATCTGTGAAGAAGTGAGGTGTTCGAATGGTTGCAGCTGAATGTCGACGTAAGACTTCTTTTTTTATATGTGCTTCAGATGTCACCCAGGGAGTTATAGAGCGTGCTCCAGATGTATAACTCTTTCGCGCCCTAATAGAAGTATGTGCTTCAACTGCAGAAAAGCTTTTTCGTTGTCCAATAGATCTATACCTACGTCGGAGAGTATCTAAAAAAGAAAAAAGAAAAAAAAGTGAGCAAACATCTAGAAAGAAGGTAGATTTGGTTTTACATGTACTATCTATTTCTTCATCAGATTCATCATGATGATCTGTTTGCCAATATCTTTCTGCATGTTGTTGTAATAATACATAAACAACTTTTTGCATGTTGTGTCTATATAATCATTTAATAAATAAAATTTTGTTTATAGTTTATTTTTTGACTTGAACTTACTCTTTTCGAATTAATGCATTAATTACATTTTCCTTGTTAGATTCACCCCATAAGAATTTGATTGTTTCCAAAATGCGATCATCAATTTCAGATGCATCACTTACAGGTTGTCCAATTTCATTTTCTGTGGGAGGAATAGGAAGGCTAGCTATGTTTGCTGGTTCTGTTTCTCGAAACCATGGATGTGACATGATTTGTCGCATCTAAATAAATAAATAAATAAATATGTATAAGAATATAAATATATGTATATGTATTGCTTTAGTTATAGTTCATGTGTTATATAATGTATTTACATTTAATCTTTTGGATGGCTCAACTACAAGGATGCGACGAATAAGGTCTTGTGCTTGAAACGATATATTATCAGGCATAATGTATTTTCCTAATTTTACTTTTTTCAAAAGTTGTCTAATGTTCTCATCATCGAATGGAAGATGTCCTGTCAATAGAGCATATAGAATCACTCCACAAGACCAAATATCGCACGTTGAACCATTATATGGCATACCCTATAAATATACATATAATTAATCATACAAATATAACTGTATTTACTTGATAAACTTACAGCAACAATTTCAGGACTAGCATAATGTGGGGATCTAATTTGATATTTTTAATATTCAAAGAAGGAGAAGCTATATTTATGTCTGTTTTTTTTTTTTTTACCCGCAACTAGTTTCAAGCATTGATCCTAAAGGTTGCAATGATGCCATGCCGAAATCGGCAATTTTGATATTGTTCCTTGAACTCAATAACAAGTTTTCTGGTTTTAAATCACGGTGACTATAGTAAAAAAAAAAAAAAAAAAAAAAAAATAGGAGGGGATGATGAGAAAGTTACTGTTATTCATTGCTTTCAGGAATAAGACTTCATTCAAGTAATTACCAAATTAAATGATGATGACAATAATCTAAACCCAATATAATTTGTTGAAAATGATGTCTTGCCTCTGTTTCTTCAAGTCGACCTTTACTAACAAGATATTCGAATAATTCTCCACCTTCAATGTATTCTAATATAAGATACCTACGTGTACATGTATATAAAAGCTAATTAATAAACATCTTATAAATATGACTTGTAGGGGTTAGTAAAAGGAGGATGGTGTATAGGGGATACAGGTGTTGAAGAAAAAAGAAAAAAAAAGGGGGGGAGGAAATAAATGATATACGTTACAAATCAGAAGAAGCTGGGTCATCGATAACATCTATAAGTGACATAACATTAGGATGATGGATAAGCTTCATAATGGCGATTTCTCTTTTAACAGCTTTTTCAATTGCTGGATTAGCTGCTAAGTGTGCTTTACTAATGATTTTTATTGCAACTTGTTCACCCGTATGTTTATGAACTCCTAATTTAACTCGTCCTAGTATTTTATGTTTGTTACTAATCAATTGATATAAATCACACTGTATAAAATACCTGATGCTCCTTTCCCGAGCGTTTTACCAACAACATAATCTCCAATGCATTTCTTTGGCTTTTGTTGTTGTGAATGTGTCGATAAAGTTCCTGAGCTTCGTCTTCTGTCTTTAGACGAATGATGAACTATGGTTGCGGTTGAAGTTCTTCGTGAACTTGCATTCGACCTTTGTTGATCTGACATATTGGGCAGATAGGAATAAATTGGATCTGGAGCTATAATAGACATTGCACTTTAAAAGAAAAGAGAGAGAGAAGAAAACGAATATGTAAACGAAATGTTAAAAACTATTATGTACAATCAAAAAAAAAAAAAAAAAAAAAAAAAAAAAAAAAAGGAGAAAAACAGCAATTTTATTTTATTTTATTTTTTATGAAATAACAAGTATTATAATGAATACATATAAAAAACAGGAGACATGTACAATAAGAGGAGGACTACTGTATAGCATGATCAGATATATATAATTCATTGAATATAAGAGGATTAGATTACAAAAGGGGAAATTGATGTTAAAGGAGGAGAAGGAGAGAGGAAGAGAGAGGAAGAGAGAGAAAGGAGAAAGGAATTTAGAGCAACGAAAGTAAAGAGTTAATAGTTGACAAAGAATATTATAGTGTGCATAAGCTTACAGTCAACTGCCAGTAATAAGCATAAATTTTACTTTATGGCATATAACAGAATAAAATCTATCTGATAAAAAAAAATTATAATTCTGACGATGATAATTGTTATTACTGTGCCTTTGACCGAACATACAAATTTATTAATTTAGATCACATATAATTAAAAATATATACATATTTATTTATATAACACAACATAACAAATACTGTCAATAATTTGTATATGTAAGATTCGTTAGATTTTGATAAAATGCATATTAATTCGCTTATATTTATCACTATTCTGAGGGGGTAATTGAACTTATAAGTCCTCAAACTAACAGTAATAAAAATCAACATTATTCATAAATAAATTTTTATTTCACTGAATATTATCTTCATTGGCTGGTTTCCGTTTCAAGTAAGGAAAGGGATAATAGCAGTAGTTAAAAAGCCAATATTAGACTGAATACGTCTAGTTTCTATTTTTTTTTAAAAAAAAAAAAAGAAAAAAAAAACATGCACATACACATACACATACACATACACATACACACAGGAAAGATAGAGACAAATAGAGGAGTAGCTAATGTACAAATTCTAGTTTAAAAATATGATAACGAATGGGTTTTCTCTATAGGAGCTCCCTGTTTTCATAGAAATACATTCAGAATTAATATAAAGATAGGTATCCATTTATTATCCTTCCCATCTTTGTTTAGGGTTTTGAAAAGATAATGAAGTCCTTTGTTTTCAAAAGGTACAAGTTTATGATGAATAAACATTTGTTAGTGGTGAAAACAAAAGTTTAAAATTCTTGAAAAGTATTGAGACATATTAGATGGGATATCTTTTCGAATAATTGAGAGCACGGACATAGTACTTATTCTTATTATTTTTTCCGTCAAAAGCATCTTGAACTTGTTCTTTGATTGCACTTGTTGAAGTTTCTTCTATTTGAGCACCTGTCTCTCTTGTCTACATGCAGTATAAAAAAGAGTCTGTTATTTTTCATAATAATAAAATTATCCATTATCATTTCAGTAGATTTACTATAAAAGTAGTAGCAGTAATAGCAGCCTCTCTATATATGCATATACATATACATATACACATAAGAATATAATGTAAAGATTATATATTTTGTATCATAAACGTTACATAATAACAACTAATAAAATCGAATACATAATACATTATGGCTGAAAAACACAAGAAAAGTTCTAAATGATAACAAACATTAAAATACACATTTAATAGACTATGCTTCTCCTTTATATCATACATATCATTTAAAAGTATCAAGAATCAAGGGAAACAATGTGTTGAAGAAAGTATATAAATAAATAAGCAAGCAAGTAAGCGTTTATTATTCTATTATTGTAAGGTATATAACTTCTTTGGAACTCTTAAGAGAAAAACCCATCACCATAAACAACCCATTCTAAGGAGGTAAGATATTCAACCCGCTGATTTATTTTATTTATAAAGCTTTCTATCGCCAGCGTTGGTTGATCTTTATCTTGATTCTGCTTAATCCAATCTATAAGCATAGTCAAATTTTTCTTGCCCGATATATACCACCATCTCGTAGTCTCCTTTTCTGTATCATAGCCTGGTCCAATAAGAATAATACCATAGGCCCAATAAGGTTCACTATTTCTATAATCACTTGCTGTATGATCTAAAATATCACTAAACACCCAATACTCATTGCCAAACTTATCATGTCCAATCGCTTCCATTCGTTTTTGTATCTTAGCATTATGTATGGCTAATTCAAGCTTCTTCTTTTCAAATTCCATCCGATCATCACGAAGCACTGTCTCTAATAAATCAAGCTCACTCTGTGCCATCTTTAAATCTTCTTCTTTTCCTTTGAGCATCCTTAACTGACTGATACGTGTTAATAAACTATTGCGTTGGCTTTTTTTCTTGGATTCTTCTACATGATAATCCTTTGTATATTTTTTGAAATTTAATTCCATATCTTTATTCTCTTTTGTTTTTGGCATGTTCAAAGAGTGTCGTGACAGTGTTTCAAACAAAAGCAATTCCAGTAACATATGAATCATTTTCAATTCGTCCTGAGTGGATAAAAGCGAAGAGCTTCGACTTGATTTTTGAAAACGCCTGATTCTTTTTTGTAACTCTTCAGTATCATCATCTATATCCATGGAATCATCATCATTATTGTTATTCTTATTATGTGGGTTTAATTGATTGATATCACGTGACGTAGGGACAGGAATATCATCCAGATTTGCTAATGCAAGTAATTCAGCTATATCTTGCCATCGTTTGCCTGTCATTCCTTCCAGAAACAAAATATCAAGTAATGCTTGTTGTCTAGATACTACATCCAAATAGAGTCTATAGATTTTCTTTTCCATCATCCAATCATTAAGTATCCTTCGTGCCCGCTGTGGAACACTTTCTTCTTCTACTGAACCAAGTAATTCATAGTGTCCACTTCCATTTAAAATGATTAAAAATTTCCACACAATATATGCTCCTAATCTTTTAATCTTCCAGTCACCTTGTACATTTTGTAAACTGTTGACTAATCGACTGTCAAAATCATATAGACTTCCAAAACGAAAAATAAATTCCCGAATCTGCAAACGAGTCCATATTTCTTCTTCAGAGTATAACAACTGAATGCCATTTAGATCTGGACATGGTGTTGTTTTTCTTTTGTTAAATGATAATCTTGGAAGATTGAGTCTATTTAAAGAATAACGATTAACTTTTGAATTGAGTATTATTATTATTATTTCATTTATTTTCAACAAGTTACTCTTTAGAACATGATCTATACAATATAAACATTAATATATTTTGTTAATTTTTTTTTAAAAAAAAAAGAAAAAAAAAAACCTTACTCGCAATCACATAGACCTCTGCAAATTAGACAAGCCCATTTTAGTCCTGTTAGATCAGATCGATGTTGAATTGTTTTACCATTTTTAGCAATGTAACTGGCTTTATTATTCTTTATCCATTCTAAATTCTCATTCGCTTTTTTCATAATGCAGTTCTCACAAAAACTAATATTGCATGGCTTATCTGAGTCCTCTCTTAAAGCTGTGCATTGTATTCTTGGTATTGATTCCTAAATTGCAAAAAAAAATTAATAATATAGTTATAAGTTCGTCTTCATACACATGCTTACATTGCAATTTTTGCAAGGATCTGAATGTACAGACTCTTTTTTCTTAACACTAATCTCCATGTTTTGTATAGATTTCTCTAAACTATTTGCATAATCATGGCTTATTTTGGTAACAGGCGTTGAAGAAAAACAAAGTCTTTATTGAACAGTTAATCATCCTTATCTATAGTGTAATTTATTGTTTATAGAATACCTCGTTTGATGATATTTTGTCTTTACAACTACCTCTTTTTGATTGACTTTTTTGGCCATTGTTAAAGGTTCATGAACAAAAAAAAAAAAAAAAAAAAAAAAAAAAAAAAAAAAAAAAAACGCCAAAAAGAAAGCGCGTGTCAATGACAACACGAATTTTTTTTAACTCAGTTTATAATTACGATTAAAGAAGAATTTTATTTAAAAATTAAAAATGACCAATGAGCACATTGCATTTATATATGCTGTTTTGCCCTGATCAGATCGCTATGGAAAAAAAAAAGGAAAGAAAAACCTTTTTGGGATAAAAGGGAAAATGTTGAAGTGTATGTATAAATGATGATAATTAATTATCAGAAAATCGTTGTTGTATTGAAAGAAGATGATGGTCAGAGGGTTCAGGGATTTGGGAGTGAAGCAAGATAGTCCATCTCCAAGCAGAATTACACATATGGAAGGCCGACGTATGAGCCAGACATCAATTGATTTTCTCACTTTCTTAGTATGGAATATTGATGGTAATAGGTTCAAGAAATAAGAGAGTGAATCTTCAATAGATCTGGGGCATTTGAAGGCGGTTATGCATATGCAAACAAGAAAAACTATATGAGCGTGTGAAGAGTTCATTTGGGTGGAAGGGGCCAGGCTTGGGGTTTTACCAAAAGGTAACCAACCAAGTCGCCATCGCACGCAACGAAAGCGTTCACCTCTTGTCATTGATATCGTGAGAACAGGGATGACAATCGGATTATCATGGCAATAGGATAGAAGTTTATAATTATTAAATATTTTTACTTTGAATTCAGACGACGTTAATTTTTTTTTTTTTTTTTTTTCAACAGTCTTTACATTTTTAAAGGTATGAATCATTTCTTGTCGGAACTCGTCTAAAACTAACTTTTTTTTTTATCTGAATTTCCTTTTTAATTCGTCTAAAAAAAAACTAACGTCATCTGAATTCAAAGTGTAAAAAGTGTATGTGTATACCCTCCCCTTTCTTTCTCACTTTCTCTTCTTCCTTTCCTTTACCTTTTTACCTCTTGTCCCATAAGAGGGTTTTTAGATACTTTTTTCACATAATTTGAACTGACCTGGGCAATCCAATATAATAAAGATATTATGTGCCCATAGGTCGCTTTTTAAATTTATAAAAATAATAAAAAAAAAAAAAAATGTTTAATCGTATGTGTATACCCTCCTTTCGAAAACATCGTCAAGAATTTCTTGAAGAGAGTTTTCACCAACTACGTGACGAGACACATTCTGTTTTGCTTTCCACTTGCCGCCCTAATCTGATTATTGATCCGATACTCTGGTTACCCATGACACACAGTGAGCGTAGTCGAACTATTCGATGGCGTCTTGGTCCGTTACCCGGAAGAATACCTAAAGCCTGCCCATATCATCCTCATGTATACTTTAGTCGGTCACACGCCACTAAATGCTTGTACATGCACACTCGTTTATTCTTGCCACAATCAATTGCAGATCCCCTTTCCTTTCTTTTAAATCATCTCCCTCAGCATAAGCACAGAAATTCTCAGGATGTTTCTGCTTGGTTCTATCGCTGGCCAGTTATGTGTACCATTCTACAGGAAATGGATTACTTAATGCACGATAAACTACTATCTCCACTTCTTGACCCAGGCAGGAAATGACTCAACTAGGTTGTCCCTTTAAACTTGTTAGCAATATTCCCCCCTTTCTTTCTCACCTTCTCTTCTTCTTCCTTTTCTTTACCTTTTTACCTCTTGTCCCATAAGAGGGTTTTTAGATACTTTTTTCACATAATTTGAACTAACCTGGGCAATCCAATATAACAAAGATATTATGCGCCCATAGGTCGCTTTATAAATTTTAATTTATAAAAATAATAAAAATAAAAAATGTTTAATCGTATGTGTATACCATTCAAGCGAATTGATTTCTGTCAACACAACCAAAATCTATAGCTACTATGAATCAACTATCAGCAACAAGCGTTAATCACACGGGCTTTACCAAATTTCTTTCCTCTCGCTTCTATGTCCAAATGGTCCGCTCCCAACTTGAATACGGTCTAGCCATCAACAAGTTCACCTCATTCTTATACAACAAACTCAAAGATGCTCAAAAACAATGCATTCGAAGACTCTTCGGTGGCTCCACTCACTCCTCTGTCCAACTTATGTTTCACTTAACTCGTCTCCCTTCGATGAAAGAAAGGTATCATATATTACTAGCTAAATTCCTACTACGCTCCCTCTCCTTGCCTGACGATGCTCTTCTTACGAAACTATTACCCCACATCCGAACCTCGTCAAGCAGATCACAATGGTATACGCTATCTAAAACTCCACTGTGGAAGGCCTGTCACCCCCAAACTACACTCCTTAGATCACAAACGATTTAGAAAGTTACAACAGCAATTTTTTACAAGATAACTTAAATACACGTCGTAGTGCTCTAAATAACTCTACACTCCTCTCTCTTTGCAGGCCTACTATATCTATAGATCCTATCCTTTGGTTACCGATGTCCTTTGTTGAACGCAGTCGATGCATACGTCGGCAGCTTGGATGGTTCCCAAACAGTTACTTCACATACTGCCCCACTCATCCCTCTCAACGCCTCACTCGACAACATGCAGTCATATGTCTCCAAATGCACCGTTGGTTACAGTTGCCTGAAACTATAGAAGATCCCCTGTACTTCCTTCTTAATCAACTTCCCACCAAGAAACCTGCCTCATCTCATTCCGTTACCCCTTGGCACATTTGATGGCCCTCTATCTGCTTTATCCTTCATAAACTTGACCAGTTACAACATAATAAGCCGATTCTTCCTACCCCCACCCAATTCTGGTCAACGTCTCTTAGATTGGTTTCCTCCTACTCCTACACTACCTGTATAATTTTTTACATTACACCTATCACACCCTTCCTTTTCTTTATATTTTTCCTCTTGCTCCTAAAGAGGGTTTTTTTTTCGTTCCTTATCCCTTTAAACTGATCCGGCCCGAGCAAATTTGATGTATTTAATAACATCTCGTGCTCAAATGGGGTCATGTATTTTTAAATAAAAATTATTGCTTAATCGTATGTGTATACCGCTAAACCATATATGTAAAGCTGCAAGTATAATTCATAAACTATTGTCATTCCTATGATATAATTCTATAACTGCTGTCATTATTATTATTACATAATTATGCATTAGCATCAAGTAGAAATCATATCTACAAGATAACTTGAATAGTATTAGCTTAAATTTGTGATAAATAAATGAATATACAAAAGACAGTGAGAAGCTATTCTGTACAATAGTATAATTGTAAATGATTGCAAAAGAAAGCTTGTATCATCTATCAGCCTTTGATTAATTATGTGAATAGATGTAATAATTGTGAATGATTTTTTTTTTAAAATAATAATAATAATAATAATAAACTTTATTTATTATATGTCCAAATGGAGAGTGGATATTTTATTTTACCAAATTCGTCTGGATTAGTTCAATATATATAATAAAATATATACAAATCCATAGCCTCCCTTTTAGGTACAAGAGAATATATGAAAGAACAAAGGTAAAGTGAAGGGAGGAGAGTACATATAATATATTTAAAGTATTTGTTGCTATAGAATGAAAGGCACAATGAATAGTTATACAATGTTTATGACTTAATAGCCATATAATCCTTTATCAGATCAATAAATTGTAGCGTTTACCAATAAGTTTTCTAACTTGCTAGTCTAGAGAGCATCATTAGGATATACGAAGATAGTGTCATCAATAATTATAAGAACATGTAAATAAGGATGTCGACTGAGGCAATATATGATAAAGGTTTTAATAAGCTCGTACTGTTGACATGAGCCAGAGTATGGTATCCCACTAGATAGTCATGGTAAGCAAATGATTTTGCATTCTGAAGGAATTTTTCTTTTTTTCATATCGATTTTTTTTTTTACGTATGGCTAGCTTTTCTGAATAAATAATAATATAATTCAACAAAATAAGGGTTTTAGCTTGTTGCTATAGTCTTTCAAGTACGAAGTAAAAAAAAAAAATATCAAAGAATTTGCTACACTTAACTTTGCCCTTGACAGCCGATCAAAGTCAATTTATAAAATTGGATTTAGACAATAAGAATAGAAATTATGTACATAAACACTCTCAAGACCTGAGCTACTTAATAATGCCATTAGGCTTATGAATATGTGCATTACTTATTGTTAAGTCATGGTTTGTTATTATATGTTTGTACTTTTTCATTTCATTTATTGTTGTATTCTGTAATATTATCAGCTTATTTATTTCTCCTCGTAAAGATTTTATTTTTTTATAGGCAGAACATATACCCTTTATACTCTTCTTTCTTATCTAAAAGTTAACAAAATATGAATAAAATCAATGATGATGATTTTTTTTTTAAAAAAAAAGAGGTACCCTAACCTTGTAGTATATCATCTTTACTGAAACATAATATGCATGTTTTACTTATATCATCCATATCAGGAACTTTTTATGCATTTAATAAGACAATTATCCCGAGGAATCCACAGTAATACGAGTTTTTAGTTTAGTATATAAAACATTTATTAATAGTTATCTTTAGTTATTCTAGTGTAGCAAAGCTTGGACATATTTTAATTTAAAAGCAGGATATATACAAGATTTGTTTGTTTGTTATTTTTTTTTATTTTTTTTTTAGATATATAAAAAAAGTAGAATTAGTCTTATCTCTATTATCTTTCTCTATGATAGCAGCGATTTAATTAGAGGACAGTAACCAAAAAAAAAAAAAAAAAAAAAAAAAAAAAAAAAAAGATAATTTTTATACATACCATATATCTTTTTTTTTCTACCTGTTTTACATCAAATAAGTCTATGATATTGTTTTTGATTTTAATGTAGTATAAAGTGTATGAATGTTATTAGAACAAAGATTATAAAGTAAAAAATAAACAATTAAAGTAAAGCGCAAAATTCATCTACTCTATCTTCAAGCCATTCCCATCGTTTCAAACCAACTACCCATTCAGTAGGCAATTGACTATAACCAAAACGTGCACCTAATAAAGCACCTGCAGTAGCAGCATTTGTATCAGCTTCACCTCCTTGCATCACGATATCCATTAACATTCTTTTAAAATATTCCGTTTCAGATTCAGGAGGTACCTCTCGTGTTAAACAATATAAGGCGGCGCTTAGACATTTAAATGTATTCCGATCATTTTCGCTATTATCAAGGTCTAATTCGCTTAAAGAACGAGGTACGCAATAATCTACAAGTTGATAATAATAGTTTTGCATTTGATCTAAATTCGTTTCTGGAGTTATAAATAAAGGATCTGAATGAGGAGAAATAAGCATTGATTTATTAGTCTCTATGACATTTTTAACTAGTGCTTGAAGTCGATCATTCACTGAGAGTGAATCTATAAAACAACCGTTTTGTTTGTCATTGCTGTCAATAAGAAGCTGGTGATTTTTATTCCTCACTGTCGGTGGTTGATTTTTTATTTCTAATTCAAGATCTTGTCCTCTTAATAATCTGTCAATTTTTTAAAATATAAAATAAAATAAAAGAAAAAAATAAAATAAAATAAAATAAAAAAAAAGCTTTTTGAATGAATTATGTATGTATGTATAACTGCTTCATATTACTTGTAAATACCTTGCTATTAAAGTAGAAACTATAACACATGATATCATACAACGTGGATCAGGATGGGTAACACGACAGCATTCTGTCGTATTTTCAATCACAGTAGTACCATCCCAAAATTTAAGGATACCTAATAAAGGAGCCCTAACTAATGCGCCATTAGCACCTCTCAGGTTATTTTTAGTTTTCCAAACTTCAGCAGCAGCTTGTTGCTATTGTCATTATAATTAGAGAATTAGTCATATAATTGTGTGTGTGTGTGTGTGTGTATTTTTTTTTTAAAAAAAAAAAAAAAAAAAAAAAAAAAAAAAAAACGTATATTTACAGGACTCGTTTTAAAAATTGGACTTGCTAAAACAGCTTGATTTGTTGCATTCATACCCATTGGGAGTTTATTCAAATTTTTAATACCATGTAAATGATAATTAAAAAGTCTTAAAGCGAAATCTTTTGATAAAAAGTGACCTCCATTTTCCAATAAAGATTCCATGACTAGTAACACTTGTTCAGCATCATCTCCAAAGTCACTATTATATATATGTATTAGTTAAGACGAAAAAAACCCCTCCTCCAAGTCTGTCATATATAAATATTACTTTTCTTCAAATTTAGATCTATACTCGTCACGATAAAAAGGAATACCACCTTCATCCATACCGAATCGTATAGGACCTTTACCATAAAAATTACTTATTTCTGACCGAGTTAATCCTTCAGTAGCTAACCCAAGACTATCACCCAAGATAGCGCCTGACAAAGAAAAAGAAATGCTTTAGGAAAATGTAGTTATAAAAAGAAAGCTTCAAAGATGAAAACAAACCGAATATTAGTCCTTTCACTTTATCAACAATAGTTGCCGTTTCTAATTTAGAGCATCCTGATGGAATTCGCATAATAAACTTAAACAGACAAGTTTTTTTTTTTTCTGTTGATTTTGTTTTTTCTACTGATTTTGCAGAATTTCTTGCCTTTTCTTAACTAATAAAAATAAAAAAAAATAAAAAAAGGGGGGAAAAAAAATAAAAAGGTAGAAAATAAAAAAAATAAAAAAAGTAAGATCATTTTAAAGATCCTCTCTTTTTTTTTTTTTTTTTTTTTGTGTGTCATCCGCGCATTGTAAAACACTAATTAAAGTTTTTTTTTTCTTTTTTTTTTTTTTATAAACAACCTAATTTATAAAGCCTAGTAGTAATAAATGAGTCATTGGATATAGAAATGTAATGAATGCTTATGCTTTGTAAACTAAAATGTCAAATTAGATAATAATTTACTTACCCCTTATTTCCTCCTTAGTTTTTATTATTATTATTATTAAATTCAACTTCTTTACTACAGTTGTTTTATATGTATAAGATCATCCATTTGATAGTATGATGACTTGTTCTCTCTAAAGCATTATGTACTACGACTCTCTATTCAGATGATAGTTTGTATATGAATTAGTATCATAAATGATGACTTATTATACCATGACAATATATATGAATGATATAATTTACATAAAGTAATAAGAAAAATCATTTCTATCCCTATATGACATACAAAGTCATAATTATTACTTTCTTCTTCTTTCCTTCATATATTGTATGTGTATTCATATTTTATTGATGGCGCCCAGCTAACTGTTAATAGTTTCTCTCTAATACATTAATGAACTTTCTTATAACAATCTTTATTTTGGTATCTATTAATCAGTTTATGTAACTCTTTTATCGATCTATTACACACCCAAAGACATATTTAGATATTTATAGTATTTCATTGACGGTGGATATAGTAGTGGTGGGAGGAGGGGGTTTCTTTTTGTCCGTTTATGAGCATCTATAAGTTGACTCACTAAAGTAAAGAAAAAAAAATAATAGCATGTTTATTGTTGAAAATCTCGTGTGATAATGAAGGGTCTTCCTCTGCCATTCAAAATTTATTCAGTAATAAAGAACATGTGATTCACTGTCAAATATACCTATCCTAACATAGTATATTTATGATAACTTTATAAACGTATTTTATATCCTTCACTTTATAGCGTATAATAGACCTTGTAGATGATAAACTATGAATAAAGGAGACATTGAGCAACAAAAGATAAGAGATATGCAATAGATAGGAATGAATATCTTCTCGTCAGATGATATATGAACAAAGATAATGTGAATATTATTCACTTTTTTTTTAAAAAAAAATATGTAAAGCTTATTTTCAATAACTATTAAGAAGAGCAACAGTTATTACAAGGTGGTAAGTATATTACTAAACAGTAGGAAAAAAAAATAGAATAAAATAAAGCAAAATAAAAAAAAAATGGATAGACTAAGAATACATAGAATAGCAGATAAATTAGTTCCTACCACTAATATCTTGGAAATTAAATAAAGGTAAAGGATTAAAGAGAATATTTATTAGATGTTATTTAGATGTCATATACTATAGCTATCGTCATTATATATAATATCTAGGCTTTACATTTATATGCATGACAAACATAGTCTATTAGACCTGTCATAAATACTATCAAGAACTTATGTCAAGTACTATTCAACTTCTATTAAAAGAACTTTTATGGTATGCTTTTTATAGCAGTAGATCGAAAAGTATGATTAAAATAGTCTTTTCTTGAAAAAGACATTTACATATATGAAAGACTGTTCTGACTTGTGTAGTTGATAATTCATTTACGTCCTTTTATAGTATTTTATTCCTTGTAATTGATTATTTTGTAGTAAACAATTTCAAAAGTTATACAAGGAAGGTAGAACAATAGATGTCATAGATAGGTTCAACTACATTATTCTAAAAATTACATGTGTTTGTAATAGAATAAAAATAGAGTTATTATGAATGCTTATAATAGAATTAAATGTCTATAACCATCATTTAAAGCGTTTAATCTTATATTGGTAAAAAATGCAAGTATAATAAAGATATACTTGCACAGCATAAGATACATTTTCCCGTCAGGTTTTGTGTAATCGTTTTAATTTAATATTGACCTTCTGTACTATGTTGTTGGTCTATTACTTTTCTCTTTTCTTTTTCTTTTCTTTTTTTTTAAAAAAAAAATAAAGATTTACAAGCTTCTTATTCTATACATAAATACGTTAAAGTAGATAATGAGATGGACTCAATAAAAAAAGTAAGATTTGCTATGCATGGAGGATGCAAGTCAGTTCCGAATATGATGAGCTTTTATTAAAAAAAAAAAGTTGTATTACATATTATTGTTATACAATTTTTTTTTTTTTTTTTTTTTTTTTAAAAAAAAGACTTTATAGTTTCAAGTTAATAATAAAGGGTATATAATATATAAATACATATATATTTGATTAAAGCCATGGCCTCCAACTTTTATATTTCTTTGGTTTTTCTTCTACTTCTTCTTGCTTTCTCTTTTGTTCATCTTCATCCCACTTTTGAATATAAGCAGCAGCTGTTAATAAGATATCAATTGATGTTAAAGGAGTACTAGGAGTTGACCAATAATTAACTTTAATTTTCTTTATATTTTCTTCCTGTTGTAAACGATCACGATTTATTTTAGCACGACGATTTTGAAACCATACCTAATTTATATAAATGAATAAAAGCATAATACTATTATGTAAAAAAAAAAAAAAAAAAAATCATATTATACCTGAACTTCTCTATTTGTCATGTTTAAACTTTTAGCTAATTTTTCTCTTAATTCATGATTTGGTGTATCAGTTTGTTTAAATGATTCTGTTAATAAACAAAATTGTTCAGGTGTAATTCTTTTCCTTTTTGGTTTATTAATAATATCCTCTAATAATAAATATGAATTACACTTATTTATTTATTTATTTACTTGACTTACCTTTTATTACTACAAGTGATCTTCTTTTTGATCGTTTACTATTATTATTATTGCTATTATGATTGCGTTCATTTATAACTATGGAAGTAGTATTAAATGTTGTCATATTAAAGAGAAGCAGAGAGAGAAAGGGAAAGAGAAAGAAAAAGGGGAAAAAAAAGTTTTTATTATTATTATTATTATTAAATTTAATATTTTTAAAAACATTTATATTATTACATTTAGGGAAAGTTGGCATCAAAGTTAAAACTCAATATTATTGTGTACATGTACATTAAGCTTCTCATAATAAGTATTTGATTGCCATATATACTGTTCAAGGATAATTTCCTAATAATTCTGCATATAAAAAAGTGGTGAAAGATGATGATTTTAGTATATGCATATACAATTATTTTTATCGTATATATGATAAAAAGTTGTTCAATTTAATACTGACTAGTGGGATCACAAGTAAATAACTGATAAGGTGCTCGTATAGTAACCATGGGGAATAAAATTCGGTTCAAAAGTAGTATAAATAGTACACTTTAATCTGAAGCATTATAATAAAAAGGAAAATCAGTTCTCTAATTAAAGTTATTATGCAAAACGTATAATAACTCCTTCTTTTAATTATATTAATAATGAAATATAAACTATGTACATACTAGTTGAATCCATTATCTATATAATATATTAAAGCTTAAACAGAGAAGTCTTTAATGTTACTCATCTTTAATTTAGAAATATTAATTTTTATATTCCATTGTAATCTACTATCATAGTCTCCACTTTCATTATGGAGGCGGACTCTATCCCATATTCTTCTGACTATATATCAAGTTCTGTCATCCTATATAATAGAATTACTTTGTAATACCTTTGATGTCTTATATTGGCCGAAAAGAAGAGAATAGAATAATTATTTACATTATTTATGGATGTTCTGCTAAGCATAATTTGATAGTAAAATACTTTATCAATATATCCCTGTGTTTAAGATAAGGTAATATAGCGTCAATCAACTCGAATAATAAAACTCCGTAATTAAAAGTATTTTATTATTAAGAAGAATAGCAAATTCTTTTATTTAATTCTATTTGAACTAATTCCAATAAACCAGGATAAAATTTGAAAAACAGCAACCCTGAAATTATAGTTTTCACACTTCAAATTCAGGCGATGTTAGTTTTTTTTTTTGGACGAATCAAAATTAATTTTCAGACGTTTAGCGTACCTTTTTTGGAAAAAGGAAAAATGGAAATCAGATAAAAGGAGAGACAAAATGTTAGACGAACTAAAATGCAACTGTAGGCTAACAGGTCACTTATTTTATTTTTTTTACCTCCTGCATACATGGATACTACTTGAGAACAACCTTAAGAAGGTTTAACTAGCGTATTATATAAAAAAAGATCCATCTTTTGGTATTGATTTAATTGTACAATGGGAAACCAATCTACGACTGCGCTGAGCAAATTTAAGGATTTTTTTTTTCTTCGATTTAGGGGTGGATTCTTAAAAACAGTCAGCTTCTCAAGCATTCGTACCATTATAGCACTACACGATGTAAGAGTGGGGCTCAAAACTCGTTTTTTATTCATAACCTACATCAAACCTTGGGAGCCAAAAAAAAAAAGATCCGAGATCTCTTTGTCTCTTTAAACTGACAAGTTCATATCTGTATTCAGCCAGTCTAAGAAACACACAAATAAGTAGATAGTCTGCGCTTGGACTATATAACTAATAAGCAAGACGTCTTTAGTGATAATCTTGTGATGTGATTTTCAATACATCATATCTTAATCCTATTGTATTGGATCCCAGATCGATAATTATGTACTGCATTTTTGCTATACTATTTCTTCCTCTCTCTTTTGCTGTTTGTCTTTTATTTTTTTTATCTTTCTTTTATTAATGGCACGTACACCCATATATCCTGAAGCCGAAACACTCATTGCAGCAAAAAAAAAGCTGGCAAAACTAGAAAACATTTCGAAGCTTTGGAAAATTTACCGCAAAAGAACAGGCTATTTCTGAACTCTGTATACACAGATGAATACACTTGCAGAGTCTCATTTTGTCGAAAGACAAGTGAACCTTCTGAAAGTGCTTCTCTTCAGTTAGATAATTTCAATCAAGAAGAGATTAATAAATATTTCAGACCGTGCACCGTAGACCCCGGCCGTAAAGAATGTATGTGTATCTTATCATGGAAACAATGATATTCAAAGTCTTTCTAGTGCATAGTATTACAATAGGATGGGAAATATGAATAGACTCAAAAAAAGAACACAAAAGAAAGCAAGAATTAAGTTTAACTAAAATTGAAACTGATATCCCAACACTAAAAACAGCATCATCAGAAGATCACCTTCAACATGTGTTATACATGATGGAGCATATGAGCCACTTATTTGAATTTTATGGGTTTTAACACTGCAAGATATCGATGGAAAAAAAAAACTATGTTGGCTCTCAAATCGCTATAGAATCAAGTGTCCATATTTTGTTAAATAGAGGTAATAAGTACAACAAGAATAAACGAAAGAATACGAAGAGAAACAGAAGAAGAAGAAAAGCCAGAAGGGTTGAAGACAATCAAGAGGAACGAGCAGCTGCCAATTCACAATTGAAAAGGTGTAGGAAGAACAAGAGCTGTTTCGAAGAAGGCGATCGCAAGAAAATGTCTCTTGTAATCTTTGGTGATGGCCTTCAAAACAAGGATCACATCAAATTCAAAGGTCTTTGACGCGGCATTTCAAGCAAGATGTATAGTCAATTAAAGCATAGAGAGAGATTTGGAGAGTTGTTACTTTTAGATATTAATGAGTATAAAACCTCCAAGGTTAGTACAACGATGTCCATATATCACATGTTCTAAACAGTATCCTTATAGATCTGTAACTCTCGCTTGAGTCAAGACCTCAAGAGTCTGAAATGTGGGGAAGGCGACGATATCAAACAAATCCATCAAGTATTGAAGTGCAACACTTGCAATATTTTTTGGAATCGTGATGTGATGGCATCCAAGAATATGTTTCTGATTGCTTCTTCAATTTGGAATGGGAACGATCGCTCTACTGTCTTCATATAACAAAGCGCCACCTCCAATGTAATTGCCACATCTAACTCCGGTGAGGTGCTGGCTTAAAGATTTTACAGGTAAGAAGTCTTTACGAAGCTCATCTAACGTTCTGTCTCCATTTAATTTCTCCTTTGTCCCATTTTTGCGTCTGTATCTGAATTTCCTTTTTTCATTCATCCAAAAAAGGTAAACAAACTATCTGAAAATTGATTTTAATTCGTCCAAAAAAATACTAATAAACATCGTCTAAATTTGAAGTAGAAATATTGTTGTATAAGCAAATTAAAAGGATTTTTCTTTAGCGATCTGACCAGGGCAAAACAGTATATAAATGCTATGTGCTCATTGGTCATTTTTTAATTTTCAAATAAAATTCTTCTTTAATCGTATACTCAAATTCAACAAGATATGTAGCCCGTCCTATTCATTTTACTAAGCAACCATTTTTGAACTCCGTTTTTTTTTTTTTTTTTTTTTTAAATATCTTCACATAAATTATCAGTTGCTAGATTCTTATATCATTATTGTAAATATACTACTGCATATAAAGCTTTCAACTTTTATTCAAAAATCAATAAACGATTAAAGCCTACTAAAAGTAAAGTTGAAAATAAAAAAAAAGAAGTTTAGGTACTCAATTTCAATACTCGATGAATGCAAATTCAGCCAATGTTGTTTATATTTCGAAAACAAATGATGAATCTTAGGCTATATAAAAAAGACAGACACATACATTTATAGCAAAACATTATTAACCCTTTTATTTACTTCAATGTTGATGAAGATTGATTATCTAACGCAATTGTTTATTTTCATTTGTAATGAATGTACATATTAAAACTGTAAAATAAAATAACATAACATATATCACTTATAGAATCGAGATAGTCCCATCTCCATCAATAAGGTTATTATTACCCGCTTACATCATTCCACAAATGTGGGACATTTAGAGGAAGAATTTATATCAAAAGAAGAATACAGAAATGATATTTGTTTAGCTATAACTAGACTTTTCGGGATATACTTTGAGTAGTGTCTATATTTATATATATGCATATATGTATATGTGTATATTTTTAATATGATACAATACAACTAACTAGCCATTTATATTTCAGTAACAAGAAAATAAAAAAAAAAGGAAACTATTTCTTTTATTAGAAATTATATTCATACATGTAAACTCAGAAGGATATTATTTCACTATATCTCTATTATTATCATTTTTTGTATGAAATTAGATACTATTACTTTTAAGCGAATAATTTCAAATGTATCTTAAATGAAATACATTCATGCACAAATAAACAATAAAAACGTCACTATACTTTTTTTCTATTTTCTCCTATTCTATGTTTTCTCCTCTTTGGCACACGCCCCCTTTTTTTTTTTATTTTTTTTATTCTCACACAGAAAAAGTTTAAATGTGTTACTTTTTTTTTTTTTTTTTTTTTTTTTTTTTTTTTTTAAAAAAAAATCTGTATAAATACAAATATATTTTTATTTTTTAATCTTTTTTTATATTTTTATTCTCAATTTTATATATTTATTATATAATTCACATCTACAAGATAATATACACAAAATATAACGAATTTATGTAAATATATACATATACAAATACATATACATTTATATATACATAATAGATATATACACACATACATACAGACATACATATAGACACACATTATTTATTTTATACATTTACATATATAAATTTTTCTTACAAAATATATTATAATATATTTTGTTCAATTTTTTTTTTTCTTTATTTATTTATTTTATTTTATTTTTTTTTTTAAAAAAAAAAAAAAAATTCTATAAAGGTCAGAGCGCTAATGAAACGTTCTTGTGCAGGAGATAATTCACCACTTATAAAAAAGAAAATTCGTGATAATTCAGAAGAATTTTCGTCGTCAATTACTCAATCATCTGCTAAACTTAAATCTAACATGAGCTTACTTTCTTATATTCACGATCTTGTACATAATCTCGAACAAGGTGATATTGATCACTGTTTATCTAATTCTATAGACACTTCGAAACTTGGTGACAAATTATCAAAACAGGACTCTGAAAAATTATCTTCAATAGACCTGATGCTTAAAAAAATTGCACAACGTCAGCTACAGTTAGAGACTGAAAATTTAAGAAGCCGAATTATGATCCAACAACAGCATCAATTATTAACCGCACATGATCACGAGGAAACATCTCATACAAATAATCGTCATTCTTCTAATCATACCATAACTTCGGATGAAGATAATTTAACTACTATTCATGACTCTTCTTTATTAGAAAAATTAGAAAATTCTTATCGTCAATTACAACCGGAAACACCAACTGGTTATTTTGGTAAATTGCAAAGTACATTTTATTTTAATAAACTATATATTTATTGACAAATATATCTTTTCGTCTTTTTATATAAATATATATATGTATATATATATTTATTTATTTATTTTCTAATTGTTAGCTGATAACGTCAATTCATCTTCAACATCATCAACTCCTGCTGCAGTAGCAGGTTCTAACTCTTCTGTTCTTTCTACCCCACCTTTCAATATTTCATCAACAGCTACAGCTTATCCTGTTTATTTTACAAATGCAACAAGTTCAGATAATATTGTTTGTCCTGATTGTGTTATTCAGGCTGTTAAAGTAGCTTCTGGTGTCTTTAACGGAGACCTCGGTCGTCGTATTACTTGCGAACATGAGCGTTGTGTCATACCCGGTTCACAACTTGAACTTAATGCCCCTATCAACACCCTCAAGAACGCTGTTAACGCAATGGCCGATCGTCTTCAACTTGTAACGGATGAAGTTAATTTTGTCGCTCATGAAACAGCTGTAAATGGTAAGTTAGGTGTTCAAGCTCGTTGTGTTAAAGAAATGAAAGGTCTTTGGCATGATTTTGTTGTAAATCTGAATAGTATGACAAGGAATCATCTTGAACAAGTTAGAGATATCGCTGATGTTTCTACTGCTATTGCTCGTGGTGATCTCAGTAAGGCTATGACTGTACCTGTTAAAGGTGAAACTTTGGTTCTTAAAAATACATTTAATACGATGGGTAACAAAAAAAAAAAAGATCTATAATATAATAACAAACATATATCTTATATCTATTTTTGTATATACATATACATATACTTATATAAAGTCAATCAATTGAATTTATTTGCTTCTGAAGTTTCAAGAGTGGCTCACGAAGTAGGTACGGAGGGAAAACTAGGTGCTCAAGCTAAAGTACAAGGTGCTGATGGAATTTGGAAAGAATTAACGGATAATGTCAATACAATGGCTGCTAATTTAACAAATCAAGTCAGAGATATTGCTCAAGTTTCAAAATCAGTGGCTCGTGGTGATTTAACTAAAAAAGTCACTGTAGAGGTAAAAGGTGAAATGCTTGATTTAAAAAATACGATTAATACCATGGTCGATCAATTATCTATCTTCGCTACAGAGGTCACAAGAGTTTCATTAGAGGTAGGTACAGAAGGTATCTTGGGTGGTCAAGCCGTTGTCAAAGATGTGGGTGGTACTTGGAAGGATTTAACAGATAATGTAAACATGATGGCTTTAAAAATTACAAATCAAGTTAGAGATATTGCGGTTGTTGCTAAAGCTGTTGCTCGTGGTGATCTATCTAAAAAAGTGAAAGCAAATGCTCAAGGCGAAGTTTTGGAATTGAAAAATACAATGAACAAAATGGTAAGTCATATATATAAATATGTATATATAAAAATATATAAAGAGCCATCCCCTTGTATATCTTAATTTTTTTTTTTTTGTAGGTGGATCAGTTGATTCTTTTCTCAGCAGAAGTGCGGCGTGTTTCATTAGAAGTAGGTGTAGAAGGAAAACTAGGAGGTCAAGCTGTTGTTAAGGACGTTGGTGGGACATGGAAAGACCTTACAGATAATGTCAATACTATGGCTGCTAATCTTACAACTCAAGTACGTTCAATTGCTGAAGTGACAAAGGCAGTTGCTAAAGGTGATCTATCTAAGAAAATTGAAGTAGAAACTCGTGGTGAAATATTAGATCTTAAGAATACCGTCAATGACATGGTGGATCAGCTAAGGGTATTTGCCTCTGAGGTCACCAGGGTGGCTAGAGAAGTGGGTACAGATGGTAAACTTGGAGGACAAGCGCAAGTTCCCAATGTGGATGGTACCTGGAAGGACTTGACAGATAATGTAAACACGATGGCAACAAACTTGACTACTCAGGTACGTTCCATTGCTGTCGTCACTAAGGCTGTTGCCAACGGTGATCTTTCTAAAAAGATTCAAGTGGATGTAAGTGGTGAAATATCAGATCTAAAGGATACAGTAAATAACATGGTGGATCAATTGCGAGTGTTTGCTTCAGAAGTCACCCGTGTTGCTCGAGAAGTCGGAACAGAGGGCAAATTAGGTGGCGAAGCAATCGTACCAAGTGTGAGTGGTACTTGGAAGGATTTGACGGATAATGTAAATACGATGGCAGCTAATTTAACTACTCAAGTAAGATCGATTGCTGAAGTGACTAAGGCCGTAGCCAAAGGTGATCTCTCCAAGAAAATAGACGTCGAAACACAGGGCGAAATTTTAGATCTTAAAAACACAGTCAATAGCATGGTGGATCAACTAAACGTTTTCGCAGCAGAAGTAACTAGGGTAGCCAAGGAAGTCGGTACAGACGGTAAATTAGGTGGTCAAGCGCAAGTTCCGAATGTGGATGGTACCTGGAAGGACCTGACGGATAACGTCAATCATATGGCTACTAATTTAACAAACCAAGTAAGATCTATTGCAGAAGTGACAAAGGCCGTGGCTCTAGGTGATCTATCTAAAAAGATTGAAGTTGAGTCAGGTGGTGAGATACTAGATCTTAAAAATATAGTGAACAACATGGTGGATCAGTTGCGTGTCTTTGCCTCTGAGGTAACTCGCGTCTCAAAAGAAGTAGGTACAGAGGGTAAATTAGGTGGGCAAGCTGTAGTCCAAGGCGTAGCAGGTACTTGGAAACACTTGACAGATAATGTAAACATTATGGCTGCTAATCTCACCAACCAAGTAAGATCAATAGCAGAAGTCACTAAATCTGTAGCCCTAGGTGATTTATCAAAGAAAATTGAGGTTGAGTCTGGTGGCGAAATCCTCGAACTTAAAAATATTGTCAATAACATGGTGGACCAGTTACGTATATTCGCCTCTGAAGTGACTCGTGTCTCTAAGGAGGTAGGTACGGAAGGTAAACTGGGTGGTCAAGCCATGGTTCCTAATGTCGCTGGTACGTGGTACGAACTCACAAATAATGTCAACATCATGGCCGCCAATTTAACATCTCAGGTACGCTCAATTGCGGAGGTGACAAAGGCCGTAGCTCTAGGCGATCTATCTAAAAAGATTGAAGTTGAGTCAGGGGGTGAAATCCTTGAACTTAAGGATATTGTAAATGGTATGGTGGACCAATTACGTATATTTGCTTCTGAAGTTACACGTGTCTCAAAAGAAGTTGGCACAGACGGTAAGTTGGGTGGTCAAGCTAGTGTACCTAATGTAGCTGGTACTTGGTACGAATTGACCGATAATGTAAATATCATGGCTGCAAACCTTACAACTCAAGTACGTTCAATTGCCGAGGTCACTAAAGCAGTCGCAAGTGGTGATCTATCCAAAAAAATTGAAGTGGAAACTCGTGGTGAAATATTAGATCTTAAAAATACTGTCAATGACATGGTGGATCAGCTAAGAGTATTCGCCTCTGAGGTCACCAGAGTGGCCAGAGAGGTAGGTACAGATGGTAAACTAGGTGGCCAAGCTCGCGTTCCGAATGTGGATGGTACCTGGAAGGACTTGACGGATAATGTAAACACGATGGCTACTAATTTAACAAACCAAGTAAGATCTATTGCAGAGGTAACAAAGGCTGTAGCTCTAGGTGATCTATCTAAAAAGATTGAAGTTGAGTCAGGCGGTGAGATACTGGATCTTAAAAATATTGTCAATTCTATGGTGGATCAACTTCGTGAATTTTCTTCTGAAGTAACAAGAGTAGCTCGTGAAGTCGGTACTGAAGGAAAATTAGGTGGTCAAGCTATTGTTCAAGGAGTAGCAGGCACTTGGATGGATTTGACAGATAACGTCAATACAATGGCTGCTAATCTTACAACTCAAGTACGTTCGATTGCTGAAGTTACTAAAGCAGTCGCGAGTGGTGACCTATCTAAAAAAATAGAAGTGGAAACTCGTGGTGAGATACTAGATCTTAAAAATACGGTCAATGAAATGGTGGATCAGCTGAGAGTATTTGCCTCTGAAGTCACACGAGTCGCCAAAGAAGTCGGTACAGAAGGTAAATTAGGAGGACAGGCTACTGTAGAGGGGGTTGCAGGCACTTGGCTGGACCTAACAGATAATGTCAATACTATGGCTGCTAATCTGACTACACAAGTGCGTTCTATTGCAGAAGTGACTAAAGCAGTAGCTCTTGGTGACTTATCGAAAAAAATTGAAGTTGAATCTGGTGGTGAAATTTTAGATTTAAAGGATACAGTTAATGGCATGGTGGATCAACTTCGTATTTTTGCTGCTGAAGTAACTCGTGTCTCTAAGGAAGTAGGTACAGAAGGCAAACTAGGTGGCCAGGCTATGGTTCCTAATGTCGCTGGTACGTGGTATGAACTAACCGATAATGTCAATATCATGGCTGCCAATTTAACAAACCAAGTAAGATCTATTGCAGAGGTAACAAAGGCCGTAGCTCTAGGTGATCTATCTAAAAAGATTGAAGTCGAGTCAGGTGGTGAGATACTGGATCTTAAAAATATAGTGAATAACATGGTGGACCAATTACGTATATTTGCCTCTGAGGTAACTCGCGTCTCAAAAGAAGTAGGTACAGAGGGTAAGTTGGGTGGCCAGGCTGTAGTCCAAGGCGTAGCAGGAACCTGGAATGAATTAACTGATAATGTAAACATCATGGCTGCAAACCTTACAACTCAAGTACGTTCAATTGCCGAGGTCACTAAAGCAGTCGCAAGTGGTGATCTATCTAAAAAAATTGAAGTGGAAACTCGTGGTGAAATATTAGATCTTAAGAATATTGTAAATTCAATGGTGGATCAACTAAGGGTATTTGCCTCTGAGGTTACCAGAGTGGCTAGAGAAGTAGGTACAGATGGTAAACTTGGAGGACAAGCTCGCGTTCCGAATGTGGATGGTACCTGGAAGGACTTGACGGATAATGTAAACACGATGGCTACTAATTTAACAAACCAAGTACGTTCCATTGCAGAAGTTACTAAAGCAGTAGCTCTAGGTGATCTATCTAAAAAGATCGAAGTTGAGTCAGGCGGTGAGATACTGGATCTTAAAAATATTGTCAATTCTATGGTGGATCAACTTCGTATTTTTGCTTCTGAAGTAACAAGAGTAGCTAAGGAAGTAGGAACAGAAGGTAAATTAGGTGGTCAGGCCATAGTGGAAGGCGTCGCTGGTACTTGGATGGATTTAACGGATAATGTAAATATTATGGCTGCTAATTTAACTACACAAGTACGTTCCATTGCAGAAGTGACTAAAGCAGTAGCTCTTGGTGATTTATCGAAAAAAATTGAAGTTGAGTCTGGAGGCGAAATTCTTGAACTTAAGGATATTGTAAATGACATGGTGGATCAACTTCGCATTTTTGCTTCTGAAGTTACACGTGTCTCGAAAGAAGTCGGTACAGAAGGTAAATTAGGTGGACAAGCTCGTGTTCCTAATGTTGCCGGTACTTGGATGGATCTTACTGATAATGTAAATACAATGGCTGCAAATCTTACAACTCAAGTACGGTCGATTGCTGAAGTTACTAAAGCTGTAGCAAGTGGTGATTTATCAAAGAAGATTCACGTTGAAACTCGGGGCGAGATTTTGGATTTGAAGATTACAGTGAACTCAATGGTAGATCAACTTCGTGAATTTTCATCTGAGGTAACAAGAGTGGCTCGTGAAGTTGGCACAGAGGGAGCCTTAGGTGGTCAAGCTCATGTTCGAGGGGTTGCAGGTACTTGGAAAGATTTAACTGATAATGTGAACACAATGGCTTCAAATCTTACTACCCAAGTACGTTCAATTGCTGTGGTTACAAAGGCTGTAGCGAGTGGTGATTTATCAAAGAAGATTGATGTTGAAACTCGCGGTGAAATTCGAGAATTAAAGTAAAAAAAAAAAAAAAAAAAAAAAAAAAAAAAAAAAAAAAAAAAAAAAAAAAGAGGAATCTATGTATATCTCCTGTTTATTTATTTTTTCTAATCATTATTATTATTATTATTACTATTAGGGAAACTGTAAATGATATGGTGGATCAATTACGTGTGTTCGCTGCAGAGGTTACTCGAGTTGCTCGAGAAGTTGGTACTGAAGGTATACTTGGTGGTCAAGCGACAATTGTTGGTGTTGATGGTACTTGGAAAGATCTAACAGATAATGTAAATCTTATGGCAAGCAACCTGACTGATCAGCTTAGAGCTATTGCTGCAGTTTGTAAAGCTGTAGCACAAGGTGATCTTAGCAAAAAAATTGAAGTTGAAGTCCACGGTGAAATTGCTGAATTGAAAAATACAATTAATACGATGGTAGACCAATTAAGCTCATTTGCCTCTGAAGTCACACGCGTAGCTAAAGAAGTAGGTACTGAAGGTAAATTAGGAGTCCAAGCTCAAGTTAAGGATATTGAAGGCTTATGGCGTGATATTACAAGTAATGTCAATACAATGGCTTCTAATTTAACCACCCAAGTGCGTGCGTTTGCTCAAATTTCTGCTGCTGCTACTGAAAATGACTTTTCTCGTCTCATCACAGTTGAAGCTTCTGGTGAAATGGATTCTTTAAAAACCAAAATTAATCAAATGGTTGGCTCTCTTCGCGATGCTATTCAAAAGAATAGATTGGCTCGAGAAGCTGCTGAATTAGCGAATAGATCCAAGAGCGAATTTCTAGCTAATATGAGTCATGAAATTCGAACCCCTATGAACGGTATTATTGGTATGACATCGCTTACACTTGAAACTGAGTTGAATAGACAACAAAGAGAGAATTTGATGATTGTTTCTAGTTTAGCAAATAGTTTGCTAACGATCATAGATGATATTTTGGATATTTCAAAGATTGAAGCGGGTCGAATGACAATTGAATCCATTCCTTTCTCATTACGCTCCGCTGTCTTTAGTGTTCTGAAGACATTAGCAGTAAAAGCGAATCAGAAAAAGCTTGACCTCATATACCATGTTGATCAGCTTATTCCGGATCAATTAATCGGTGATCCACTTCGTTTACGACAAGTCATTACAAATTTGATTGGCAATGCAGTGAAATTTACTACACAAGGCGAGGTTGTTCTTCGTACACGAGCTGTTCGTATGGAAGATAATACTGTTACATTAGAGTTTTGTGTAAGTGATACTGGTATTGGCATCCAAGAGGATAAATTGAATGTTATATTTGATACTTTTTGTCAAGCAGATGGAAGCACTACGTAAGTTTAGTTAAATACTATATACTTTATATTTATTTATTTATTATTTTAAATATGATATGATATGGTAGTCGAGAATATGGTGGTACTGGATTAGGTTTATCTATCTCTAGACACCTTGTACAGCTAATGGGTGGTGATTTATGGGTTGAGTCAAAATATGGAAAAGGATCTGAATTCTATTTCACAGTCAATCTTCTTAGATATGATCTTCAGCAAAAAGAAGTTTTTGATAAGATACGTCAATTCCGTAATAGAAGAGTTTTGTTTTTAGATACTATGAATGATCAGACAGAGGTCTTGAATAAAGTAACATCGCTTGGATTGAAGCCTTATCGTGTTAGTAATATTGAAGAGGCAGCAAGAGTTGCGAATGCCAATTCTAGCAAGATTAAACATGCACCTTTCTTTGATACAGTTATCATTGATAAAATGACATTAGCAGAAAAAATTAGAGAAATTATCCCACTTCGTTATACACCTATTGTTCTTATTGCTCCAGAAGTTCATCTTTTAAATATGAAACTTTGCATTGATTTGGGCATTACAGGTTATATTAACACACCGGCTAACCTTGCAGACATAGTTGCCGTTCTTCTTCCTGCTTTAGAAAGTCATGCAGCACTTCCTAGTGATGCCTCTAAATCAGTACCTTTAGAAATTTTATTAGCAGAAGATAATGATGTTAACCAAAAACTTGCAGTTCGAATTTTGGAAAAGTTTGGACATCATGTTAAAGTAGTAGCTAATGGTAAATTAGCTGTAGAAGCGTATGAATCGCAAAATTTTGATTTAATCTTGATGGATGTACAAATGCCTGTTATGGGAGGTTTTGAAGCGACACAAAAGATTCGTGAAATTGAAAGGAATTTGAACAATTCGCATATACCTATTATTGCATTAACAGCACATGCTATGATTGGAGATAGAGAAAAATGTCTACAAGCTGGCATGGTAAATAATATAAAGAAGTATATATGTCTATGTACGTACTAACTTTTATATTTATAAAATACCATTCTAGGATGAATATGTTACCAAGCCCTTAAGATTCCCTGAATTGATTGCCGCTATTAAAAAGTTTGCTCCTCAGTCAGCACACATGTTGATAGAGGGTAAACTCAAGTCACTTAAGAAATAACAATAATAAATTATATATAGAAAAGATTTTTTTAAAAAAAAAAAAAAAAAAAAAAAAAAAAAAAAGTTTCTTATAGATATTAATTTGAGTGAAATTAGTATGAACTTTCTTCATTTTGAGTTCATCAGTTATAGAATTTAGCATGTTGGAATGAAATAGTTCATTCCATAATAGCCATAAAATGAAAATGTCAAAAATTCATTTTTTTTTAATTATGTCAGTTGAAATTTATTATGTACATTAAAGATATCTGGTAGCGCAATCACAATTTTGATAACAATAAACTCCCGGACCTAATCATAAAGTTGAGAAGTCAATTTTTTTTAGCTTTAGCTTTTTATCTTTTTTTTTTTCTTTTTTTTTTTTTTATACCATATAAACTAACGCAATCCGAGTCTGTTTGGCTTTTTTTTTTATATATATATATATACATATAAAATAAAACTCTATGTTAGTTTAAAGATTTCTTGTCTTGTTTGATAAAATAGAATGCTTACCATTCACAGTATCTGTTATTGCGACGCTGTCTAGTTAATCCAGCTATTAAGCCAATAATAATAGCAAGAATAATTACACAACAAAAACAGGAAGTTAAACGTCTTGTAATTGCAAGCTTTCGATTATCTTGTGGTGAATAAAATTCAATAACACGACTTCTACTAGCTGGTTGTTCAGATAATTGCTGAATAGGAGGAGGTGGGTATGTTGCAGTCTGAGGTGGTGGTTGATAATATATTTGTCCTGGTAGATTATGCATGTTATTTGATGAAGCTGTATTTTCATAATAGGATGGAGGTGGAGCAGGTGGAGACCTAGATGCTTCATTATTATGTTGTGCTGTAGCATTTGAATGCTGCTGTGGAACTATGATAATAGAACTTCTTTTTGTAAGAAACTTTTTCTTTTTTTTTAAAAAAAAAAAAAAAAAAAAAAAAAAAAAAAAAAAAAAAAAGAAATAACAATAATCAATTATTACCTGCTTGCTGTTGCTGCAAGGAATCGTTCATATTGACTTATTTTTATTTTGTTTTAATCAAGAAAAAATAAAATATATGAATATAAATAAATGTATTTAATAAATAACAAACAAAAGAAATTAGGTAAATAATAAAGAACCCTTTTTTTTTTATTTTAAATACAAAAATAAAATAAAATAAAAAATTTATCTGAAACTTTATCTGACTTGTAATTCATCTCTTATTCAAGCAACTTCATTACAATAATATAATCGCTGTATTCTTTTAAAACAAATCAGCAAGTTACTTGAACTTAATATTATCTTGTATAGATGCTACGCTATATAAAAACTGGAAATATACCATGGGATATCAACAGTTTCAAAGAACTTGTAAATGCTAAAGAAACAATTGAACCAAAGACAATGGGTACAATAGATGCTATTTGAAATATTTATAAAAGAACATACACATTGTAGAAGAAGTTTCTATAAATTCAACTACATCTTATGTTGTCTTCTTCTCTATTATTACTCATAAAAGAAATGATATGATAGTCAGAATTTTAAGGCAAAGATAACTCTAAAAAAAAAAGGAAAGAAAAAAAAACCCGTATGCATTATAGATTTATTTATAAAGATGAATAAAATGTACTTTATTAGTTTACTCTCTTCTTGTAATTGGCCCACAAACTTTCTCGTAATTTGAACTTTTGTACTTTTCCTATATAAAATGGAAACAGTTAGTTAGTTTATTTATGAATGAGTGGCAGTTTTGTTTCCCCCCCCCTCTCCTCAAGAATAAAAAGAAAACCTTACCTGTACTATTATGTACATATATATATGCGTGTATTATATAATAAAAGCTATCAATACACGTAATCTTTGAATGACGATAGTAGGTTACTTACCTTGTTTTGGGAATATCATGAATGAAAATGATTCTGTCTGGACACTACATTTTTTTTTTGTTATTATTAAATAAGATTATAATATTAAATATTTAGTTTTATTTATATACCTTATAACCTGCTAAACACTTTCGACAATGGTTAATAACTGATCGAGCATCTAAAATTCTATTCTTTTTAAGCACAATATAGGCAACTGGTCTTTCACCCCATCTATCATCAGGACCAGCAACAATAGCGCTATCATTATCTTCTTTGTTAATCATTTTAAAACTTTATATACATATATAAAGAGCATTTACCATTCGGATATTTCATCTAGTTCAAGGATTACACTTTCAACTTCTATAGAACTAATATTTTCACCACCAGAAACAATAACATCTTTACTACGATCTACAATTTCAATAGAGCCATCAGGATGTCTAACAGCAAGGTCCCCCGTCCAGTAAACACCATTTCTAAAGGCCTTTTTAGTTTCTTCAGGATTTTTATAATATCCTCTCATCACAAGATTCCCAGTAAAGCAAATCTCACCAATCTCTTTACCATTTGGCTTTACATCTTGAGCAGTATTGACATTCAAAACTCGAACTTCATCTGAAGTAATAATATTAAATCCAGGTCTAGCCAAAAGCTTATATTGTTCTTCTTCTGTGTAATCAGATAAAGTATGATGATCATAAGTAAAGACTGCAGGTCCATAAGTTTCAGTAAGTCCATAGACTTGTGTAGGTATAAGATTCAAGGCTTCCATACGTTTAATTAATACACTCGGTAAAGCCGAACCTATCCGTATAGTTTAGTTTAGTTTTTTTTCACTTGAAAAATAAATAAATATATCTATTCTAACCTCCACTATAAGCATATACAGGATGATTTAATCGAGTAGCATCTTCATGGTTACAAATTTCATTTTGAACGGTAGGAGCACCATTGTAATGTGTAATTCCATGCTTCTTTAATAATTTCCAAATAAGTGTATAATCTATTTTATTCAACATAACTTGAGTTCCTCCTACAGCTACGATTGCCCAAGGAAATCCCCATCCTTAAGCATTAATAGATAGATGAGTTGAGTTAAATTTAGGATAAAAACCTTCTCCCCTTATTATAAATATGAATTTATTGAAGTTTTTTTTTTTTTTTTTTTTTTTTTTTTTTTTTTTTTTTTTTACCGTTACAATGAAACATGGGTAAAGTCCATAAATAGACAGTATCTACTGCGAGTTTTACATGAACAGCCATCCCAAGTGCCATCATATAGGCTCCACGAAAGGATACCATGACGCCCTTTGGTTTACCCGTAGAACCAGATGTATAATTAATTGAAATAAGATCATTTTCATCGCGAGATCTTGGTAAGTCATTCCATGATAAACGTTTATCAGTATTTGATAATAATATTTCGTAAGGATCTGTATTAGGATCATTTGAATCAGCTACCTGAATTAACTTGACAGATGATCTGATCTTTTCCGTGACTCTATTTAGTAACTCCTGCTGTACAATCAGTACCGATACACCTGAATGCTCACTGACATACTCTATTTCCTTTGCAGCAAGCTTTGTATTCATAGGTACTGTTATGGCACCAATAGCAGGTACAGCATATTGTGCTTCTATAAAAGATGGAATATTCTGACAAAGAATACCAACACGATCACCTGGTTTAACGTTAAAAGTATGAATGAGTACATTTGCAAGTGCTCTAACTCTTTCAGAGAATTGTAAATAACTATATGATTGTTCTCGATGAATAATGGCTGTTTTATGAGTATGCACCATAGCACTTCGTAAAAGAAAACTCAAAGGATCTAATTTTGATACATATGGTACCTCGTCTGATTTTCTATTCATGTGTACTATATTATAACGTTACTTTTTTTTTTCTTTCTTTTTCTTTTTGCTAGTTAAAGCATGCTTTTAAGATTTTACATGTTTCAAAGTGAGGCTTATCATTTGGATTAAGATGATGTTTAATTACTTCTAATCTTCTGCTTGGTGTAGTCATCTCTCTTTTATTTTATTTTATTTTGTATGTATGTATTCAAAGAGGAAAAAAAAAAAGAAAATAGACTTATCAAATATTTATAAAATGAGTTTTAAGTTCTGATTTCCCACATTATGTACGACAGCAATCAATGATTTTGCTTATATTACCCCTATAAATCTGCATCTCCCCACATTTTCCTTTCTAGTTTAAGGTTAATATATCATCATGTTAAAGGAAGGTGACCGCTCTTTTCTTGATATCTAATCTATATTATATGAATATTGCATTTAAAGATATACATTATTGCTTCTTGATTTTGACCTTCTTTGTATAGTTGTTGTTATCTGATGCAAAATTTCTACTTTTTAAGTTTATAACGTCGAATAAACCATAGAATTTGCTTAATAGATGAATACTTGATATACTTGGAATGCTTGTTTCTTTGATGAGATAAAAAAAAAAAAAAAAAAAAAAAAAAAAAAAAAAAAAAAAAAAAAAAAAAAGAACGGATAAATGGAAAGAGAATAAAGTCTCAGAATACATTAGGTATATCTTTTATCCAATACTTTTAGGAGATATACCATCAACATTTAGAAAGAATATAAGAATTTTTATTCATTTGTAAAGAGTTTTTAGCTTGTTGCATACTCTTGAAAAAAAAAACCACACAATATAATAATCTGCTCGACTTATGATTTCTTTGACATTTTTGATGGTAAAGTTCTTATTAGTATTATTAGCGTTCTATTTAAGCCTTTATTATTAAAATTTGGCCTCTATTTTAAACTCTTTAATTACTATTAGCAAACTATGGTCGTGTTTCAAATACTATTGTAGCGAAAAAATAAAAATCGTCCAAGATATAACCAGAAATTACATTACAGTAGGGACAGAAGTAAAGGTATATACATATATAGTATAAATACACATAGATCTAATTCAGGACATTAGGATAGGATAGTAGAGTTTAGCTATACCTGTTTAATATATATACAAAAAAAAAGGGTATTATTATATAATAAGGTGATTCCGGTAAACGGTTTTTTATTGGCAACGATATTAAGCATTACAACAACACGCTATTTACTAAAAAATCTAAATCAAAATTTCCAAAAATGTATAAAATTTAATATAAATTATATATTATATCCTGGTATATTCAGCAACGTGTCTCCAAAAAAGAAATAAAAATACCTGCTATATACATGTAAAAAAAAAAAAAAAAATACATACCACCCCCACAAGGTATTTTACAAAGGTAGTCATTTTTATTGTTTGTATTCTCACATATTTCAAAAAAAACAAGTCTTTTACCATAAAATAAAAGGTACAAAAAAAAAAAAATTAGGAGCCTTTTATTTACACGATCGCTCATTATGTCTCAAATGTCATAACACACGATGTTTCTACGCTTTTCTTTTCTTTTCTTTACTTTTTTTTTATTAAAGAAAAAAAAATAATTGATAATGTCTTTTTAGTTAACTTCGTTACTGGTCTATGCTTCTTTATAATTATTTATTTCAATATAAAAGCTTATGGTTTCTTTTATAAGAAAAATAAGTTAAAAAAAAAAAAATTAGTGCACGCGGGTTGCTAGTTTTAAAATAAAGGGAATTATTAAAACCTGTCTGAAAATAAATATTATAAAAATAGAGCTTATTGCTACTACTCTTTAGTTCTTAAAATAAATAAATAAATAAATATATTTCTTTTTTCTTTTTTATTTTTATTCTTTTTTATTTTTATTCTTATTTATTTTTATTTTTTTTATTTTTATTTTTTTTATTTTTTTATTTTTATTTTTTTTATTTTTATTTTTTTATTTTTATTTTTTTTATTTTTATTTTTTTTATTTTTATTTTTTTTATTTTTATTTTTTTATCTTTTTATTTATTTTTACTTCATTTTCAATATATCCAATATCATGTTAGTAGAAAGTGAGCCCTTAAAATCATCATCAGCTTCTTCAAGATCACTTCCAATTATGGGTTTAGAGTCATACCCACCCTTGTTACGCAAAAAAACAAGCGAAAGTGATCGATCTATGATGGCAGTAACAAAAACAGAAAATTATGCCTCAGAAAAGGAACTTGTAGAAACAAACGAAAATGCGAAAAAACCATCATCAACTCATTCTAGATCAAGGTCAATTACTTCATTATTTACACGACAAAGAAGGCCCTCTATTACGAGAACTCATTCTCAACTATCAATTCCTGACATTATGACTTCAAGTAAAGCAAAGTCTAAACCACTAATCAAATTTATCAGTTTTTTCCCTTTAAAATCTAATAACAAATCATCCTCTTCTCTGTCACCAAAATCTACACTTTCTGAGAAATCGTTAGAATTTGAAGCTTTATTAGAACAATATCCATCGCGAACGATTAAAACAAGTCTTACTCCATGCACTGCCGCTTAAATCTAGGGAAGAAATAATAAAAAATTTCTTGTACAGATGTGCATGTAGAATTAAATAAAAAGCTGGAACTTTTTATGATTCATAATAGCAATAAAATACTCTTTACATAATATAATAATAATAAATAATAAACATTTTTGCCCCTTTTTCTTTTAATATGTATACTCTATCTTTTTTTTTTCTTGCTTTTCTGCAAGTATAAAATACAATAAACTATCATCGTCTTTTTCTTTTTTCAATGCACATTTGTTATAGGGCCTCTTACTGCGTTCTAGTTTATCTGACTAACCTGTCGCAAATTGAAAAATAATGATTCAAAATTATTAAAATTGTACATATAAGAAAATATTATAAATTAAATGCATATAATATGCACTTATTATTTGACATCATTTTTCTGAGTATCTTTTTTATATCAGCATCACTCTTTCTCCTAGTAACTTTCATGGTTGAACGTTAAAGAAAAAAAAAGTATAATGACCTGAATCGACTATAAATAGAGCATATTAAACACATCATGTACGTTTCTTCATTATACTAGTTACAGCAATAACAAAGGTAATAGTCGTATGATAGAGGTTTATTCTTCATACCTTCTTAGCAAGATATGCTTAATTGCTTAAGAACGGCAATTTATACAGATGTGTATGCATATTACATTTTTTTTTTTTTTTTTTTTACTCATCATTTTACTATTTATATTTAATGTCTAAAACATATTACTTGACTACTCAATATGATTATAAATTTGCTTTATATGCCAAGAAAATAGAATTACTGTCCTGTCCTGTTATTCCTCCACAGACTTGGCTCTAACTCTATTGTATGTATACAAATAGTTAACTTTATATTTAATAGACTTGGAATAGCTCTGTTTTTGAAAGACACAATCAAAAAAAAAAAAAATTAAAAGCAAGTGACACATTAAAACTCTTTGTGTATGTCAAGAAAATGAATATAGGAAATGCAAGAATATTTGGACAAGAAGATGACCTCTATTATTTAATTGTTTAGAAAAACTAGAATATATGAAACCTCTACTCATGTAATCAATATTACATATTGTCATACTTACCTTTCTGCTTTATAATACACTTGTTTTGTGTCTCGTCTTTTAATAATGCATTGTAAATGTGTATACGAAGTTGAAATAGCTTACAAGTAGGTACGCTGCTAAAATAATAATAACAATAGCAATAAATATTTGCAAATGTTCCATGGACACATAGAATTCCACAAGATAAAAAAAAACAAAAAACAAATAATGACGTTATGCAAAGTACGCTTACAAAATAATGTGATGTAAAAGACATTTGCAAATAAATATTTTTTTTTTGTCTTGATATGACACTCTTTTATGTAAAGCATATATTTTTATGAATGAAAGGGCTCTTTATTATGTTGTATTATAGCTTAAATATTTTCAAACTATAATAATAAAGGACGTAAAACTAGATTTAGAATCATATCCAAAGGCACACATAAAAAAAAAAATATTAATACAATGACATAAAAGACAAAAGAAACATAAATTAAGATTCCGTGGAATGATCGATCAAGGTAATACACATGCATGCCTTCCATGGCATAAGTATAATTTCAAACTTGGTAATAGTATCAGATATTAACTTTTGAAACAAGAAAATAAAAGTGTTAGTTCTTATCATTTAGATAGACATGTGTATAAAAAAAAGCCTTCTTATATAATAATCACAAGCCCATAAACATATAATATTTGTTTTATCATAATTTACTTTCAAAATACCCTATTATATTATGATACTTACCTTCTTAGTCTCTAAAAAAAAAGCTATAAGATATTAATATATAGCGTTCGTGATATGTAAAGTCTAGATATAGATTAATAGCTATTATACAGTGTAATTATATATCTTTAAATCCCCAAATATATTCATAAAACAACAACAACAACAAAAAAAAGAAAAGAAATGAATAAAGAGTCCATAAGAATCAATGTCTTTATCAATCGTTTATTTTTTTTTTTTATTTTCTTACTTTCCTTTGCTTCATATGAAATCATGAATAATGAGACAAACTAGTTTGTTCAAGTGTTTGACTTGATACTCGGAATCAATTTGTTTGTTATTCACACAAACATTGATAACAAAAGGCTATCTAGACTGTATAGCATATTTTTTTTTATTTCAGCTGACCTAAAGAGTATAGAAGACGAAAAAGTAAAAAAAAAAAAAAAAAAAAAAAAAAAAAAAAAAAAAAAAAAAAAAAAAAAAAATATTATTATTATTATTATTACTTAAGGATTATGCATTTGATTATATGATCATGTAGTATAAAATGGTTACTATAATAATCATGTAATACCGTTGAATACTAATATAGCAAAAAATAAGTTTATTTCGAGTTACACATTTTCAAAAATTTGACCCTGAAGTAAGTAGCATTAAAATATGGTAATTGGTCCCTAAAAAAAAGTTACCTTTTTTTTTGGCCCTGAATTCAAAATTCTCATGATAACAACATTCAATTTAATATAAAAAGGAACTTCAAGAACACGATTTCATCTTCTTCTTTTTTTTCATTATACAACAAATATATACATTTATACACATTTCCATTTTAAATTCAAGACAATGAAGCTTAGTACTATCTTAGTCTCAATTACTGCTGCCGCTTTTTGTTTGTTGGATATTTCATCTGCTAAACCTGTCGGTCTTGCTGCTCGGGCTGCTCCTTCTAACAAGGTTTTAGTAGGGTAAGTTATCCTACACAATTAAGAAAAAAAATAAACTTAATTATATACATATATAGTTACTTTCCGAATTGGCTTTATGGACGATATACTCCATCTAAGATTGATTTCTCCAAGTATACTCATGTTTATTATGCTTTTGCTGTTCAAAACACAGATACTACTCCAACCTGGCAAGACAGTGGTGTTTTTGATGGTAAGTAGAAGGGATCCTATAGTAGTCTCTTTTACACAGAAACTAAATGTCTTTTTTTTTCTTTTTTTTTTTATATAAATACAGATTACGTTCAATATGGATTTCCTAAACTCATTTCATTGGCACATGCTGCAGGTACTAAAGTGATGGCTAGTGTTGGTGGTTGGTCTGGTTCGACTCAATTTTCTCCTATGGCAGCATCTGAATCAAAACGTGCAGCTTGGATTAAATGGAACATTGATTTTATCACAAAATACAATACAGATGGTGTTGATATTGATTGGGAATACCCAAATGGGGTGGGTCCTGGTTGTAATGCTGTCAGTAATGACGATGTTGCTAATCTTCAAACGCTTATCAAGGAACTTCGTACGGCTTTGAATTCTAATTTCCCTAATGACTACAAGGAGATAACAATGGCTGTTCATAATACCCCCTTTGGTGGCGCTACACCAGTTACGGATGTCTCGGGTTTTGTCCCTTATGTTGATCGTTTTCATGTCATGACATTTGATGTCAATGGTGCCTGGAACTCGACAAGTGGTCCAAATGCTCCATTACATAATACCCCAGGTTGGGGTTACCCCGCTGGTCTCGTAGAAGGTATTGAAAGTTGGAAAGCCGCTGGTGTCCCTTATAACAAGATGGCTGCAGGTATACCCTTTTATGGTCGTTCTCAAACTTTGCTTGTCTCTGATATACCCACAACTCAATACAATCCTGCAGTCGCTTCTAATCCTCCAAAGGGTGATTCTCTGGATGGCCCTTGGACAAATCCTTACTGTTCAAAGGAATCATCCTCATTTTCTGGTGTCTGGAGATGGACTAACATGCGTTCTGAGGGTATTCTCTCCTCTCCTACTACTGCCGCTTCCCCTTGGATCCGTAATTTTGATAAACATACTCAAACACCTTGGTTATATAACCCTAGTACAAAGGTCTTTATCTCCTATGATGATCCTAGCTCTCTTCAAATCAAGACTCAATATGCACTTAATACAGGTCTAGCTGGTTTTTTCGTTTGGTCTATTGAACAAGATAATGGTGAACTTCTTGCTGCCATTGCTCCTATACTCTCTAATAATCCTAGTCCTACTCCCATCACATCTACCCTTTCTTCTTCTCCCTCTTCCTCCTCCTCTTCTTCTGTTACTACAATAATATCAAGGACTACATCTTCTAATGCTCCTACTTCTACCTCTTCTACCAATTGTAGTTCTAATCCTCCATGGTCTCCTAGTCTTGTCTATACCGGAGGCACTACTGTCTCTTATAATGGTAAGATCTATAAGGCTCAATGGTGGACTCAAAATGAACGTCCTACTGATAATCCATGGGGTGTTTGGAAACTAATTGGTTCCTGCACATAAACATACTCTAATTTTTACTTGTATTTTTTATTTTTTCGATTCACTTTTTTTCTCTTTCTCTTTTTTATTATTATACACATATTTATTTATAAATAAAATCTTATCTATTATCGTCCTTTTTCTTTTTTTTTTTTAAATGGGAATGTATTATAAATAAATTTTTATTTTTGTTTTGTTTTGTTTTTTGTATGTATACAATTTTTTTTTAAACACCTAAAAGAAGTCTTCTAGGATCTTCAACAAGTTCCTTGATTCTAACCAAGAATGTAACAGCTTCACGACCATCAACAAGTCTATGGTCATAAGTAAGGGCAACATACATCATAGGACGGATTTCAACCTAAAAAAAAAAAAAAATAGAATATTAAAAAATTGTTGTCCTTTTACACTTCAAAAAAAATAATAATATCTACCTTTCCATTAATAGCAATAGGTCTTTCTTTAATAGAATGCATACCCAAGATTGCAGTTTGAGGCAAGTTAATAATAGGTGTACCCATTAGTGATCCAAAGACACCACCGTTAGAAATCGTGAATGTGCCACCCGCCATATCTTCAATAGTAATTTTATTATCACGGGCCTTTTTTTTTTTTAACAATATTAAATATTAAATATTTAAATCATATCTCTATCTTCTTTTACTTGTTATTACCTTTTTACCAAGTTCAGCAATTGTCTTTTCAATATCAACAAATCCCATGTCCTCCACATTTCTCAAGACAGGCGTGACAAGACCCTTAGGTGTTGAGACAGCAACACTCATATCAACATAGTCATGGTATACAATTTCATTGCCATCAATAGATGCATTCACAGCAGGAATTTCTTCCAATGCAACAGCGGCAGCTTTAACAAAGGCAGACATGAAACCCAATTTTACGCCATGCTTCTTGATAACTGCGTCCTTATACTCGGATCGTAAATTCATCAAGTTCGTCATATCAATTTCGTTAAAGGTAGTTAATGAAGCAGCGGTATCTTGAGATTGCTTTAAACGTTCTGCAATTCGAAGACGCATACGATTCATTTTGACACGTGTTTCGTTACGATTACCATATATCTTTTCATTTGAGACAGAGGTAGATGAGGAAGAGGCGGCAGGCTTAGGAGTAGCAGGTGCTTCTTGTTTCTTTGGCTCTGCCTTCTTTGGCTCTTCCTTCTTTGGCTCTTCTATCTTGGGTTCTTCCTTCTTGGATTCTTGTTCTATAGGTTTTGATACTCTTTCCTTTTTGGTAGGGGCAGCACCTATATTTTATGCCATATTATTGAATCATTCATATATATATATAAGAACTCTTTCCTCCCCTCCATGAAATATCATTTCTACAAACCTTCTTTAGGTGCTTCACCAATTTCTAATTTAAAGAAATCAGCACCAACAGCAACAGTGTCTTCTTCTTGTGCATATACTTCAACAATGGTTCCTGATGCAGGAGAATTGACAGTAACATCAATTTTATCAGTTTCAATAGTAGCTACTTCTTCATCTTGTTTAACAAAATCACCAACCTCTAAATAAAAAAATTCCATTTAATACTTGCAATTTTTTTTTATATTAATAATTTATTCTCATACTTACGCTTAACCCATTGCTTAAGAGTGCCTTCAGAGATAGACTCCGCCATTTGAGGAACTTTAACGACTTTATCAGCTGGAAAAGAAAAAAAAAAAAAGCCCAAATAAGTTAATAATATTATTCTTTCCCCACATACATTGTCTATACACTAATGAATACCATAAGTTCTAATTTGATTCATGAAAAGACCTTTTTGAAGTATATTGGATTTCCTAATTATTATTATTTTTAAGATCACATTGTCTTTTTCCTCTCTCCCTCTGTTTTTTTTTTCGGTGTGCTTCTATTTTACCTTGAATCAGTATATAAAGCTGCAGGAACCTGAATGTGTAAATTTCTAACTTGAGAAACATGACGCAATGCAGACACATTTGAAAGGCGAGCTAGTTTAAAAGCGAGTGGCGACACACGAGAGTATTGCATTATATATGTATGTATATGTGTGTATATAAATATTTATAAAATTGAAAGAAATAATAGTGGGGGATAGAGAGGGGGAAAAAAATAAATAAATAAATAATGAAAACTGTTTATTTGGAGGGCCAATGCCGGGTTAGAAAATAGCGGAAACCCAAAATCCTAAAATTTTCGGGATATTATTTTAACGCGCTCAACGCCCCCCCCTCCCTCGTTCTCTCTTCCTTCATTATATTAGTAGGTGATGTCAATTTATTCTTTCCCTCCTTTTTTAGAATAATTTTGGAAATATATTAAAAAAAAAATAAAAAAAATAAAAAAAAACTTGTAGCTTTTTCTTCTTCAAGTTGATCAATTCTTACAAGGACACCTAATTTAACTAGAATAAAAAGAAGGTATAAACGGGACCCTTGTTGAATTCTTTACTGCATAGAGCGGAATTTCCTTTTTTTTTTTAATTTTATATTTATATCCGGATGATTCCGTTTAATAGCCTCATCACAAAAAAAAATGTGGGGAAATTTGCTGTTGATACACAATAATAACGACAAAAATCATTCTTTATTTCTCTATTTTCTTTTCAATTTGTACAAAGGGGAGTAAAAAATACTTTCAATTTTCTCTGCTATTATCCTCATCTCTTTCACAAGTTAAATAGTTAATAGTGAATTTGTTAGATTTTCTTTTTACAACCTACAGCATTAAATAGTTCTATATTACGTAAGACTAGCTTAAACTTCCTTCTATTGGTTCCATTTTTTTTTATATATATAACAGACGTCAAAATTAAATAATTTAACCCCCACCCACTATTTAAAAAGAGCATAGCATTTTGCATGTTTTTATGATCTACTAGAAGATCTCTTGGATAAATAAAATAAAATAAAATAAAATAAATAAATGATGTCATAATTTGAATCTTAAGAAAAAAAAAAGTTACTAGTGAAAGTAGGATGGTCGTAGTATTTTATAACACAGATCACTACGATAACATACAATAAATTGATTCTTCAGACAACAAAAAAAAAAAAAGGTGTAATAAAGAGATCAAATAGTCTCAGGAACTAAATGTGACTCTTTTTATTATGGGTGTCAAATATAAAGGTTTAGGGTACAAAATACATAAATATATTATCTTTAGAGTACAGATATATACATATAAACATGAATGGAAAGCTCATATTAACCATAATGCTTGCTTACAATTTGTAAATATTCAACTTCATATTATCAGTAAGGCAAGCACCAGTGGGTTCTTTAAAGTATTTTGTGTCTCCAGCACTTTCAATTTGGCATGTTATAGAATGAACCTATTCAACATGCATCTTCCAACACTGTAATTTACCACATTTGGAAGAAATTGTCATGCAGCAAAAAGACAAAGTCACAATTTTACTCCCAATAAAGTCATGTTCCTGTTATGATCATCTTTCATTTAATACTATCCTTCTTTCTTTTATTCTTACTCATCTTTTCAATTCATATTCTATTTGTTATAACTATTATAAGTTCTTTTTTCATTGTTGTTGTTATAAACCTTTTTTTTTTTTAAAAAAAGGAAAAAACAATGGAGAAAAGCTGGAATGCCTCGCAACAACAAAAATCCTCTCATCTTTCGTTAGATTTCAATCAATTCAATTTTGTGCCTGAACTGGATGTAGATAAGGTATCACCTATAGAGGAACAACAAAGTCATCATGCATCATCCTCTTCCCTTTTATTTTCAACTACTACAGAACATAATGAAATAAAGGATAATAATGAAATAGTAGCAAAAAAGAACAGTCACGACGATTCACATCAAAGGATGAATAACAATGAGACGATGGATATCATAAATAAAGAACCAGTATCGGATTCAATTAATCAATATTCAAAAAATAATCAATCTTTTCTTTCTCTTATTGTGAACAATCATAAGCCATCAAGGGAGGATAGATTCTATTTAAAAGAAACAAAAGCAGATCAGAAAAGTACGTTCATGTCATCGACTTTATTACCGCCTTCAGACTCACCATCTAATAATAAAAATGGTAACTACTTATTTATTTTATTATCCATCTCTGCCTGCGTTCATATACTGATTTGGGATTCCTTTATTATTAGAAAATAATTCCATCTTATTTCGACCGCCCCAATTTACTTTTCATCATCAAACGTTAACCAAGAATTTAAAGAACTTGCAAATAAACTTGGAAGAAGAGGAAGGAGGAGGAGGAGAAAATGAGACTAAATCATCAAGACCTATTAAACAACCGAGAAAGATGAAGCCTCAATTATCAATTTGTGAACTAGCCTCTTATGATATCTTACCAAAGCAACAAACGTTGGTAACAGAAACTAAAATTATTGCAGATATTCCGCCTACTCATGAAGATCCAAAAGTACACGTTCATGACCCAAATATCATTCAAAGGAATTTGTTTGATTCCTTGACTTTTAAACAGACTACTTTATCAGAGGATCCGCATTATTTTGCAAGTGTTATTTATGAGTTGGAACAACATGGTTCAATTACAGAATGGCATCAATTAAAGAAGTTGGATTTAAGTAGACAAAACTTGACCAGTATACAAAAATTAGATCATTGTTTTCCGATACTAGAAGAGCTTAATGTGTAAATATAAACAAGTATATATACACACACACACACATATGTATATATATATATAGAATGCATTTGATTTATGTTTTGTCTATATAGATCTCATAATGAATTAAAGTCAATATCTGGTCTTCCAAAATCACTTATTCATCTTTATGCCTATGATAATAAGTAAATAGAATGAATTCATTACTTCTTTTATTTTTTTACATTCGTTTATTCACTCTTCTTCTTTTCTTCTAGATTAAATGATATAGAAATGTATCATTTGGATAAATTACAACATTTAGATATATCACATAATCATATAAACGCATTTCAAGATATGTCACAGCTTAAATCTTTACGAATATTGGATGCAAGTCATAATATGATTACCTCTTGTAAAGCATTTCAAAAACTACCTCAGTTAATATCATTGTCTTTAAAAGCTAACTGTCTTCGACGTTTGACTCATTTTGAAGAAGTATCAAAGTAAATAAATATTTATATAATTGTATGTATCTATTTATTTATTTATTTATTTATTTTTTTCAATAGAGATAGTCAACTTGAAAGCTTAGATGTGTCATTTAATCGAATTGATATCCTTAGTTCAATTGAAAATTTAACAAATCTTCGAGAATTAAATGCAGGTATACTTTATTCAGTCCCCCTCCCCAAGGAAAAAAAAAAAGAAAATAAATAAATAAAATAATAGGAGAGAAAGAGAAAGATGAGTTAGTAATCCTATTTGTATACAATTAGACCATAATGATATAAAGTATGTTCACTTGAATCAACCTTTGGAAAGATTATGCAAGTTAAGGTTAAGTTTTAATCGTCTAAAATCATTTGACATGTCACCATTCCCTGATATTCGTATTCTTTATCTTGATGATAATCAAATTGAACGTATTATTGGTGCTACTTTTATCTCTCGTCTAGATTCATTTTCACTAAGAGATCAAGGTCGACAAAAAGTGTAAGTCCCTTATCCCTTTCTTTTTATTATTATATTATCGCATTCATACTCTCTCTCTCTCTCTTTTAGTGAATTTAATATACAATATTTACGTGGAGCAAGAAAATTATATTTATCAGGAAGCCCATTTGAAAGACTATGCCAAATGTATGACTTTTACTCTTTAGAATATCTCGAAATATGTGCTGCTAACATTGAAGAATTACCATCCGACTTTAGTAAATTCATGCCTAATCTTTCTACTTTATATCTTAGTGCAAATCGACTCAAAGATATTAGACCTTTAAGGAAATTAAAATATCTTAGACGACTTGTATTAATTGAAAATTGTTTAACAAGTATCAATGAAGTCATTCAAGTTGTTCATCATTTAAAGCAATTGCATTATTTAGATTTAAGGTAATATATATATATATATATACGAATATATGTATATATATAATAGGTTAGGTAAAGGAAAGAAAAAATAGTAGGAGAAGGAAAGGAGAATAAAGAGAGAGAAAAAAAAAAAAAAAAAGAGAGAGAGAGAGAGAAAGTAAGAGAGAGAAAGAAAAGAATAGTAAAGTTAATATAGACTTCAATAGGCAGAATCCAATGTGTATCAATATCTACCCTCCTATTGATTTATCTTTAGTACAAGATATAAATGATCCAGAAAGGGTATCCTCTTATGTTCTAGCAACTTTAGACAATAGTTGGGAGATACAAGACAATGAATTTTTGCTTACTTTATCTGATCATTGGAAAGAAAGAAGACGAGTCTATCGTGCCTTATTAATTCAGAAATGCCTAAAATTGGTTGAATTAGATCATATCAGAGTAGATCCTGGTGATCGTTCTGAGGCAGATCTCATCATTAGGGATTTTAGAAATTATCATACACCCCAATCTTGATATACGAAAATATTTATATATTTACACTTTGTAATAATCATTTAATATGTTATTAAAATAAAATAAAATATGAAAAAGAAAAAATCCGTGTTATTTCATATTTATTTTAAAGTACATAATGTGGAGGGAGGGGAGGGGGCATCATAGTGTAGTGTATATAAGTTGAGAAAGAGTAGTCGTATTATAAATCATCAAGATTTATCTTTCCTTCTTTCAATTCTTTTTCAAGCTCCTTGAAAAGTTCTTCATCTTCATCATAATCCTTTATTATCTTAATTGGTTTGGCTACAGATCGAGTAGATCTTAATTTAGGTCCATTTTCTATAGGTGGTAAGCTTGGCATGGTGGGTACAGCAGCTGCCATTTCTTCATTTATTTCAGCTTTTTGAATTGCTGCTCTTTCTTCAGGAGTAAAGTTTCGTTCAGCTGCTGCACGCAATAACTCTTCAAGTTGATTATTATCAATAGCATAAACTACATCTTCATATTGCTGTATTTTTTTTTTTTTTTTAGTAATCCATTATATACATACATACATACATTATATATGTATATATTTCAAACACTTACACCTCTGTATTCACCACCCACATAAAGTTGAGGAAATTCTTTAATTCTGCCTTCAGATTTACCATTATTATTGCATTTCTTTGCATACTGTCTAGCTGCTTCACTTGCTGCAACATCTACTAAATGAAATTTAATATTATTTGAAGTAAGCAATTGTTGTATATGCTCTTGATTCCTTTTAATCTATACATGTATATATATAAAAAAGATAAATTATCTGTCTTATTATTAAATGCATGCATGTATTTTTTTTTTTTACCACTGGGTTTCCACTAACAGAGGAGTAGTACACTTGTACTTTTTTAGGATTGAGCGGTGTCAAGACGGGCTCGGGTTTTTGATTCGCAGGCATACTTCCTAAAACTCTTAAAAGTGTTTTACTTTTACTTTCAACAAGTGATGGCGTTGAACGTAACTTGTTTAGATTCTCACTTTTGGGTAATGGCCAAGAGACTGCCTCAGTAGGTATATAGCGTGATGACCATTTATCTCGAGTCAAATCCTGAGTACGTTTTAACTTGTTCAATTCAGCTTTTTGATCATTTTGTAAACTGTCCAATTCAGATTGATGGGATTGCTCTAGGTCTTGAATTTGAACAGTATATGTATGTTCAGCCTGCTCAACTTCTTGCAGAAGACGTTCAAGGTGTTCATCAAGATTGACAGATGTATTTGGATTAGATTCAGCTTCCTTTTTGGCTGTCTCTAATTGTTTTTCTATTTCAAGTCGATCTTGTTTATGCTTTTTTTTGAGAGCAATGACACTTTGTGATTGTGCTGTCTTTAATTTACGAAGTTCTTCTTCATGATCGTTTTGAAGTGCTTCTAAGGCTTCCTTTTGTTCCTTTAATAAACCATCTTTTTCTGCTAATGCTTCTTCATGAAGACGAAGGCTTTGTTCATGTGCTATTTTTTGTGCCTATGAAATAAATAGTAGAGTCATTACATTTGATTACTTTCTCTTTCTCTTTCTCTCTTATTACCTCAAGTTGTCTATTTAATTCTTCAATCTTTTCTAGAGCTTCTTTTTTATCTTCCTCTTTTTGTTCTTTAGCAGAATTATTAAAAATAGATGAACGTAATTCTTCAAGTTCTTTTTCTTTTAATGCAAGTTGATTGACAGCTTCCAGATTCTAAAAAAAAAAAAAATAAATAAATAAATAAATAAATATTCATGTATATTATTTTTATTAATAAATTACATCTCATGCCTTTCCCCCCCCTCACTCTCCTTTTTATATAATTCGTCTAACCTGTAATTTTAACACCTCTAATTGTGTAGCTACTTCATCAATTTGCGGTGCTTCAGACTCTAACCGCCTTTTTTGTTCTTCCAATGCTGCTTCCCTTTCCTTCAATTCCTTTTCTTTTTCTGCTAATAGGCTTTCTTCATCAGACTGGATCATGATGCTAGGAGAAGCAGTAGCAAGACGACACTTTTCTTGTTCTTCTAATTTAACTCGAAGTTCTTCTATTTCCTTTTCTCGTTGAGCTAAAAGTTCCTCCTTTGTCTTTAACAACCTGTTTTCTTCTTCTTCTTCTTCACTAGGTGTTTGGGCTTGGGATGCTTGATTGCTTAATTGCTGTTTCAAGCGTTCAAGCTCCGCTTTTTGGTCTGCAATCAATTTTAAGTTTTCTTCATTCTGGGAAAAAAAAACATGAATATATAACATAATAACGAACCACTTGAAGAGCTAAAAAAAAATTGTTTACCTTGGCTTTTAAATCTTTCACTTCTTCTTTCATTTCTGTAATAGGAGATCGTCTAGTATTAGGAAATCTTGAAGAGGAAGGTCTTGTTGAGGAAGCCATTGAATGATTACTCTTGACTGACATTGCACTATTAGGTCTTGTTGAGGAAGCCACTGAATGATGGCTCTTAACCGACATTGCACTATTAGGTCTTGAGTTTGTAACAGGAGACTTTTGAGGGGTGGTTTGAGGACGAACTGAAGTAGGAGTCTGACCAGTGGGTAGGAGTGCATTACGAGAGGAAGGTCTATGTAATGTCGATTTCTTTGTGGAATCAAAAGATGAACGAGGTGATTTCTTTCCATTCATGGAAGAAGGCGGTGGTGGTGCCAACAGATTATGGCTACCATTATTTGGTTTTAATTTCGAATTGGCTGCCTTTTTATTGTTCATACTTCTCGGTGATAAACTATTACTACTCACTTCATCCGAGTTCTTTTTTTCTTTTTTTCTTGGTCCTAAACAGACCATATTTAGAATAAAAAAGATATATGTATTTTTTCTTTTTTTTTTAAAAAAAAAAAAAAAAAAAGAGCAAGAACAAAAAAAAAAAAAAAAAGGCAAATCAAAATAAATATTATCTAAAATGCCATTTTTTTTTTTTTTAATTCAAACTGTGGCCTTGTTTTTACCGAATTTAATACAACAATTCTTTATTGCATATTAAGACTTTCTTTATATATACATTTTATATATCTAGTTTCACTATATGCATTTATATATACCTAGTTTCACCATATACATTTTTATATATAAAGATATGCAAGGATATACAGTAACGCTCGACAAGAGATGTTTAAAATCTTCTTTAAATATGAATGAGCATACAACTTTCTCCCTCCTTTTTTTTTTCTTTTTTTTTGACTTGAATCGATATTTTGACTAAAAAAAAATAAAAAAAAGCTCTCCATAAAAAAAGAATAAAAATATGAAACTTAAACAAAAAAAAAAAAAGGGATATAGTAAGTAAAACTATGGATTGGGATTATTCCATTAATTAAAAAGAGCTGTATATGAGTCAACAATAAAGAGCCTTTTACTTGTATTATAACGAAAAATGTCCAATGAAGAAACTACTATCTACGCAAATCCTTAAAAGGGCCGATGGAATAATAAAGATGATTGGGCTATTATGAGGTTGTTTAATAGGAAATATAGTGTCCTTTTAACTTATTACCAAGCATTTTATTTTACTTTGTAAGGACTGGATTGTACTATATAGTATTTCTACTTCAAATTCAGACGATGTCAGTATTTTTTTTTTTAGACGAATCATAATTTATTTACAGATACTTAGCTTACCTTTTTTGGAAGAAGCGAAAATGGAAATCAAACAAAGGAACTCGAGAAATTAAATTGAGACAAAGTGTTAGACGAACTAAAATGCAACTGTAGGCTAACAGGTCACTTATTTTATTTTTACCTCCTGCATACATGGATGCTACTTGAGAACAACCTTAAGAAGCTTTAACTAGCGTATTATTAATAAAAAAGATCCATCTTTTGGTATTGATTTAATTGTACAATGGGAAACCAATCTACGACTGCGCTGAACAAATTTAAGGATTTTTTTTCTTCGATTTAGGGGTGGATTCTTAAAAACAGTCAGCTTCTCAAGCATTCGTACCATTATAGCACTACACGATGTAAGAGTGGGGCTCAAAACTCGTTTTTTATTCATAACCTACATCAAACCTTGGGAGCCAAAAAAAAAAAGATCCGAGATCTCTTTGTCTCTTTAAACTGACAAGTTCATATCTGTATTCAGCCAGTCTAAGAAACACACAAATAAGTAGATAGTCTGCGCTTGGACTATATAACTAATAAGCAAGACGTCTTTAGTGATAATCTTGTGATGTGATTTTCAATACATCATATCTTAATCCTATTGTATTGGATCCCAGATCGATAATTATGTACTGCATTTTTGCTATACTATTTCTTCCTCTCTCTTTTGCTGTTTGTCTTTTATTTTTTTTATCTTTCTTTTATTAATGGCACGTACACCCATATATCCTGAAGCCGAAACACTCATTGCAGCAAAAAAAAAGCTGGCAAAACTAGAAAACATTTCGAAGCTTTGGAAAATTTACCGCAAAAGAACAGGCTATTTCTGAACTCTGTATACACAGATGAATACACTTGCAGAGTCTCATTTTGTCGAAAGACAAGTGAACCTTCTGAAAGTGCTTCTCTTCAGTTAGATAATTTCAATCAAGAAGAGATTAATAAATATTTCAGACCGTGCACCGTAGACCCCGGCCGTAAAGAATGTATGTGTATCTTATCATGGAAACAATGATATTCAAAGTCTTTCTAGTGCATAGTATTACAATAGGATGGGAAATATGAATAGACTCAAAAAAAGAACACAAAAGAAAGCAAGAATTAAGTTTAACTAAAATTGAAACTGATATCCCAACACTAAAAACAGCATCATCAGAAGATCACCTTCAACATGTGTTATACATGATGGAGCATATGAGCCACTTATTTGAATTTTATGGGTTTTAACACTGCAAGATATCGATGGAAAAAAAAACTATGTTGGCTCTCAAATCGCTATAGAATCAAGCGTCCATATTTTGTTAAATAGAGGTAATAAGTACAACAAGAATAAACGAAAGAATACGAAGAGAAACAGAAGAAGAAGAAAAGCCAGAAGGGTTGAAGACAATCAAGAGGAACGAGCAGCTGCCAATTCACAATTGAAAAGGTGTAGGAAGAACAAGAGCTGTTTCGAAGAAGGCGATCGCAAGAAAATGTCTCTTGTAATCTTTGGTGATGGCCTTCAAAACAAGGATCACATCAAATTCAAAGGTCTTTGACGCGGCATTTCAAGCAAGATGTATAGTCAATTAAAGCATAGAAAGAGATTTGGAGAGTTGTTACTTTTAGATATTAATGAGTATAAAACCTCCAAGGTTAGTACAACGATGTCCATATATCACATGTTCTAAACAGCATCCTTATAGATCTGTAACTCTTGCTTGAATCGAGACCTCAAGAATCTGAAATGTGGGGAAGATGACGATGTCAAACGAATGCATCAAGCATTGAAGTGCAACACACGCAATATTTTTTGGAATCGTGATGTGATGGCATCCAAGAATATGTTTCTGATTGCTTCTTCAATTTGGAATGGGAACGATCGCCCTACTGTCTTCACACGACAAAGCGCCACCTCCAATGTAATTGCCACATCTAACTCCGGTGAGGTGCTGGCTTAAAGATTTTACAGGTAAGAAGTCTTTACGAAGCTCATCTAACGTTCTGTCTCCATTTAATTTCTCCTTTGTCCCATGTTTGCATCTGTATCTGAATTTCCTTTTTTCATTCATCCAAAAAAGGTAAACAAACTATATGAAAATTAATTTTAATTCGTCCAAAAAAAAAATACGAACATTGTCTGAGTTTGAAGTAGAGATACTGTATGTAAATAAAATAAAATAAAAACTCAGTTAATATAACAATAATTCAAAAAAGCAAGGGCATACAAAAACGACATTGTGAAGGGTATTTTTGTTTAATTATTTATAATCTTCTTCAACATGAACAATTCTAGTAAATCCGTAACAGTTGAATCGTGTGATTATAAGCCTTTAAAAGAATGTCTTGAAAAGAATAACAATGATAGATCTAAATGTTTAAAAGAATGGCAAGAATTTCAACAAGCATGTCGAGAAAAAAAGTATACATGGAAATGAATAAAAAAAGAAAAAAAAAAGATATTGAATTTATGCAAATACTTTTTTAATTTCTAATAGGTTAAAATCAAATGATAAAAGTGAATGTGTAACTTGTAAAGATTAAATAAAATGTTTTCAATTATTGAGATTTTCTTTGAAATAAATTTTTCATTTCATGTTTCCCCTCTGGATGATCAGGATGTGCTTTCACAATAATGACTGAACAGGAACAATGGTGACTACAATAATCACTTACGCTACCTAAAAGAGCCCGCTTGACTGTACCCAAACGTCGTGAACCCATAATAAGTATATCAGCCTTGAGTTCCTTTACTTTACGTACAATTTCCACTTTAGGTTCACCAAGAAGTGCAATAGCCCTTACAGCAATCTATATATTTATATATTTATTTATAAGTAAGCAATGATACCCTCTCTCTCTCTCTCTTCTTATCTATTATTTACGTTGGAATCTTTTAATCTATCAGCATATGATTTAAGTAATTGATGACTTTTAATCTTTCTTGTACTATCTAGTTCTTCAATAAATCCAACAGGATTAATAATAGGCGCATCACTAAAAGAGTCTGCTTGTCTACAATTCAAAAACACAACCTTTTTTTTTTTTTGTTTAATTTTGATTTGATTTTTGACTTGAGTTTAGTTGATATGACTTACTAGATCAGTAGCAGGATTAATAACGTTATTAACAGCCCAATGATAAACATAATCAGCTGACCCTTCATCAATACTAATAGCAATGACACGTTTCAAATCTCGATGATAAGTGTCAGGATGAACTGCTTCATCAACAATATGTGAGTTTGGCATATTAACAAAAGTAGGAGTGGGAAAGAAAGAAATAAAGAAATAAAGAAATAAAATAATGATGGCGATAGATTTATATCAACTAAAACAAGTGACGGAGGATGAACAACGACAACAACGACGACGACAACAACAACAACGACGTGTTCTTTCTGATTCATTGTGTTTTATATACAAGCATGATTTTTTTGATTGATTGATTTTTAAAACCCAGAAAATATTCTTATATGGCACGTTTCATAAATTTCTTTATTTGGAAATATTTAGTGAGAAGTGACTCTTTTGAATGAAAACTAAAATAAAACTAAGAAAAGGATATTAAGAATAAGTGCAGAATAAATATTTCTTGTCATAAAATATTATAAATATAAGGAAAAAAGAATTCATTTTTGTACGTGTGTAATCTTAAATGTTAGCATTGAGAACCAATCAATTTAACTCCACTTTAACTTTCCTTATTTTCTCTCTCTATATTTATATATACCCATATATACACCCATATATACACTCACCCTTGTACCTATTTATTATTCATTCACACTTCAATGAAAAAAATAAGACAAGTATAAAAGAGACAAGATGTAGTATATAAACAAATAAATATACATATGCAATACATATATGTGTATATAGATATAATACAATATTATTTCTAATATATTACGTAATTGTACATTATCACATGAAAATATAAGTGTGGCCCTTTTTCTTTTTTGTATTATTATTTGACAGGGGGGTAGAGTAAGATGATTCAATTTGACATTTTTTAATAATAAATTAATATATATTTATAAATGTATATATATGGATTTATATACATATACACACATGTATATATAGATTTATATACATATACATACACACACATGTATATACATATTACACATGTATATATACATATAAGAGCAAAATGTATATATGTATGTATTGTATAATAGAACGAATCTAAATGGCTGTTGGAGATATCTTCATTTGTTCAACAGGAATAGGTTCAAAATGATGAATATCAATACCTCTAGAAAGAAGTTCTTGTTCACAATGTGAAGGAACTAATCTTCTAATTAAATCAGGACGAATAGATAATTCTATAATAATAGATAAATTAAATAAATAAAAAATGATCTTCCCTAATATACACACACACACACACACACACACCTTCTTTCGTGAAATTTAATACAGGTGGTAAAGGTTGACCATCAGGTAATCTTGTGTTTGGATCACGGATAGGATCAAAGAATGGATGAGATAATGCTTCAATAGCAGTAATTCTTTGTTGAGGATGATATTGTAACATACGTGATAATAAATCAATTGCTTCCACAGTAGCATTCGTAAAGATCTAAGTAATAATAATGAATATAAATTAATTTCTCTTTCTTTTTTTTTTCTTTTTCTTTTCCCCTCCCCCTTTTCTCCTCTTCTTTACGTTGGATAATGGGTGTGGCTTAATTAAAGGAAATCTATGTTCAACATAACTTGCATTCATTGCAGCAATTTGTTCTTTTGAAGGTGTGCCCAGAATCTTGATGATTTCTACTAATTGATCTATACCACTCTCACCAGGAAAGAAGGGTTGTCCCAAGATCAACTCAGCCATTACACAACCTGTTGACCAAACATCAATACTGAGAGTATAGTTTGTAGCTCCAAAAATTAATTCAGGTGCACGATAATAACGAGAACAAATATAAGATACATTGGGTTCGCCAGGAACAAGGATTTTTGCACTATTCAATAAATAGAGATATACATTATTCACATTGACTCTATTTATATACCATATATATAAAAAGACTTTACCTGCCAAAATCACACATTTTGCATATACCAGTGGCTGGATCAAGTAATACATTTTGAGGTTTAATATCACGATGACAAATACCAAGTGAATGAATATAAGCTAAAGACCGAATCACTTGATACATATATAATTGAACAAGTATCATAGGCATATGTTGTTTTGCTTTAGCATAATGTCTTGTAGCTCTATATAATGTATCTGGCACATATTCCATAACCAAATTTAAATAGACTTCATCTTCTTTATTTTCAACTTGATTATAAAAATAAGACTTGAGTTGACAAACATTAGGATGATGAACTAGACGCATAATTTGTAGTTCACGATTCTATACATGTACATATAATATAACATGAGTATATATATATATATATATAAAGAATAGCTGTCTTATTTTATATACATATTTATTTATATGAACATGTATATGTGTATACCTTAAACCTTCGGTCCTGTAATACTTTTTTAATGGCAGCATCTTCATTGGTTTCCACAAGTCGCGTTTGATATACAACACCAAAAGAACCATTGCCAGTAATCTTTTTATTAACATAGGCAAGTTTAATTTGTTTACCAGTCTTTGCATCTTTGGCAATTACTTTGATCGTTTTCTCATGATGAGCTATATTTGACATTACATGTAAACAAAATTAACTTGTAAACTACTTTTCTTTTACATAATCAAATTAACCTTGTTTATACAATTACCTGTCATTGGTCGAGATTGACTATATTATGGAGTAATAATAATAGTAAGTAAAAAATAAAGAAAAAAAAAAGAGAGAGAGAAGTTAAATAAAACTAAATAAAATAAAATAAAAAAAGGTTGGTTGAACTGGGAAAATAATAATAATAATAATAATAATACTGTATTTTTTGTCACTTTGAAATAAGATAATATTGAAAGTTCTTTTTGGGACAAACCAAAAATTGAAATCCAGATGTTGTGTTTATCTTTTTTTATTTTCATTTTTTTTTTTTTTTACGAAACAAGAAACCTATTTTAAATCTTTTAGCACTGTGAAATGCATATTAATTATTATCATTTTCTTTTACTAGTTCCTGTGCGTGTATGAGGCGGTTACCACGTTCAGGCTCAATTGATTTGAGTATATACTTTGGCGAGGAGAAAAAAAAATGAAATAAACCCATTTTATATGACAACGGTAAAAAGAAAAAGTAATCAGTTTATTAAAGGCCCTGGTGGTTTAGGTGTGTATGTACGGGTGGGACAAGAGGAATGATTTTACCGTACTGAACGTAGCCAATCTCAGTTCAAATGGGCTATTACAACGCTGCTATAGCATGTAATATAAACGTATACCAACCTTTTTGACAAAGTATTACTTCAATTTACAGCCGAAGCTACTTTATCAAAAAAAAAAAAAAAATGTTTGACTTACTAAAATAAAAATAAAAAAATTATTATCATCCTATAGAACACGAGTTTCTCTTTTTTATTTGGATTTAGATTTTTATAGGTCTTATTTATTATTTAAATAAATAGAATTAACCTTTTTTTTTTCTCCCCCGTTATTTATTGATTGAAGGCATCATCATTACTACTGTTATTTTTAAAAAAAAAATGCATAATAACGGTAGATCAAAAAATTTTATCAAAAACTATGAGAATTATGTCATGATATAGTAATTTAACTTGAAATTGGGAAACGAATAAGAATTCAATTCGAGAAGGAACAAAAGAAAAAATGAGATGAACTACTGTTAGTTTTTGGTCAAGTGCGTATGACAATGTAGACAAATTATTTGTAGACATCTAAATCACTATTACTAGCAAAACCGTTTCCTCTACGGTGATTTCTCTCTGAAAGACAGCAGATCTATCGAAATGTATCTCTTGATCTAAGCTTGGTTTCTCTCTCAAGTATTGCTGTGGCACTTGACATCTGGTTTTTTATTCTAACCGTATCCGAATCCTTCATCCCATTACCAAACGCAACGAGAAGTACATAGAGAGAAGGTCTGAATTTGGTTTTTTCTACATTTTGCTGGTGTAGTTTTACATTTATTATCGTATATAATTTGTGGATTCCTTTTGTCCTCTTGTTTCTTCTTATCTATATCTTTCTTTTCTTTTCTTTACTTTCTATTCTTTCTTATATTCATTCTCTTGGATTTATTGTACTTTTTTCCTCCATCAAGTAAGATGTTGATCATCTCTTTTTTCGACCTTTGTCTGCCTTGATAATCATTGAAACGAAAGGGTGCAGACCTTTCATTGTAGAACCTAAAGATTTAGAGACACATGTTTGAGAGCATATGCTAACTTTTGCAGCAAGACATTAACGTTGCTAAAAAAATGTGATATATAGGCATTGCCATATTAACATAAAAATCAAGATGGCATGTCATTTTTTTCTGAAGAAAGCAAAGACCAACTCTTAAAGCATTTTTTAATTCAACCAGTTTTTTCGTATATTATCTTAGGTATTATTTACAGGTAAAAGATTTGGCTCGTCTGTAAAACCAAGATAATTTGGACACTAGTCATATTTGTCCAATAAGAGATGCAGAAACGTCTAAAGAACAATCCCAGAGTGTTTCTATGACATCTAAAAAAAGAAAAAAAAAAAGGAACACTCCATCTTTATTTTATTTTATTTTATTTTATTTTTTCTTTTTTCTTTTTTTTTTTTTTCTTTTCTTGTTATGGCTTCTTCTATATCTTTACCACTTGTTTTCTGGCATAACTTTTCTAATCCAAATGTAACATGCATCACAACTAGTTTTCCTCATATTTATGCTGGCCAAAAAGATGGCCATATTTGGGTTTATACTTTATCTCAAGATAATTTACTTCAAGTAATGTGTTATTATTATTATTATTTTTCACATTGCATCATCATAACTAATTTATTCAATAGCATAAGCTTTTATTAGTAGGTCATAAATCAGCTATAGTTGCATTATGTGTAATAAAGTCAGAATCAGAGAATTCTTTAAAATCAGAAGATATTTTGATTAGTGCATCCGAAGATGGGTAAAGTCTAAAAGTATATATTTATCAAATATATTAACTTTTGTTTATACTGTATACATATAAGTGAAATTGCACGTTGGAATGCTTCTGATGGACGTTGTCAAGCTGTCAATCCAAATGGTTTTTATGGCATTCCACGCTTATTAAAAGTATTCACTCAGGTAATAAGCTATATATATATGCTTAACAAAAAAAAAATAACTCTCTCATTTATCTTTATTTTTTGCCATAGTTTTCGGATAAACACATATTTTGTTGTGGACAATCAAATGAAATTACTATTTTGCATACAACTACGTTAGAGGTATTTTAAATCTTTAAATCTTTATAATTTCATGTAATTACATGGTATTTAATGGTGCATACAGGTTGTTAGAGTATGGGGCGGTCATTCAAACTGGTTAACATGCATAGATTTCTACGATCCAGGTATAGAATCATGTTAGGTTTAAAATTATAAACAGACACTTATACACATACAATAAAGACATAAAGCGTTCACGATTAGTAACCGTCACAATGGATGGAAAGTTAGACATTTGGGATTTTGATTCAATAAAGCATGTCATTTATAAAGACAAATCTATTACACAAAAGACAATCACGGATACTATTTCTACTATGGATCAATCTGTATTTGATCTAATTGCCAATAAATCCATGCCAGACTTATGTATACTGCTAACAAAGAAAACTGTGACTGTAAGGAATACTAAAATAATGTCGACTTTATAAATGTTAAATTATATTATGTAGATATTAGCTATGATAAAAGATTATGAATTTGTACCTCAATTCTCAATACCCATTGAAGACAAAAGAAATAGTTGGGCTGGTGGATCGTTTTTTGAACAAGATCGATTTGTATTATGGACTTCGGTAAAAATAAATAAATAAATAAATAAAGTTATATAACAAGACTTATCTCTTTATTTTACTTATATTTTTAGAAGGGTCAAATCTATGAATATAGCCTACATATATCTACTGACGAATCGAATAAATCTTCTTATAGTGCAAATCTAATTAAATCATATTCCTTTGAAAATACAAGTATAGATTTTATAGCTTATATAATACATTTATTTTTTTTTTTTTTTTAGCTAACATTTCATATTTATAGATCTATTACATAATGAGAATACTATTACATCTATTTTATACGACACCAACCATCTTTTAGCTATTACTATTCTAAATCATCCCATATCTTCTAGTTATTCAATTATACCTTTAACATTTGATAATCAAAAAGATCATTTGTATTATTCCCCAAGTACATATTATTACTATAAATATAGATTATTTATGTATATTAATATATATATTTATTTGTATTGATAGATACAACATTTAGAGATATTTGGCCCATAGTAGATAAATGTGATGCTAAATATGGAAATATTACTGCTACAGCACCAGTAAATACAAATCATTTAGCTATAGGCTATGATTCAGGAACAATTTGCGTTGTGCCTATTTCAATAGCTTTACTTCATTTAACTGAGCTATCTGATTGCATATCGGATCGAGAGGATGTTCGCGTATTTGAAAATGCTCATTCAGATTCGGTAACATGTATGATTGTGCCTGAGCGTCCAAGTCAGCAATATTTATTATCAGGAGGAAAAGAGGGTTCTGTCAAAATCTGGAATCTCATGTATAGTATATATGTATAAAATATTTTATTCAATTTATTAATTATAACTAGTGACGGTAAATATGTTGCCTCTTGCTCTGTGCACTCAACTTCTGTAGAAATGTTTATTGAACCTTCTGAACAAAAGGATACACGCGTCAGAGGATGTATTGTATCTATTGCTCAGGACAATTCAATTGCTTTGATTTCAGTAGAATCCATGAGTTGGTAAAAAAAAAAAAAAAAAAAAAAAAAAAAAAAAAAGAAGTACATGTTAGACACCATTTTTGTATTTACTTTTATCAAAGTCTTTTTATGTTTCCTGGGAATCCTTATCCTTTAACATCTATTCAATGGAGGACAACAGAGGACTATCTTATTTTTGGTTATGCTGATAAAAGCGCATTTGTTTGGCAGGTAAAATAAGACCAAATAACTAACATACATACATATATATGTATATATATTACATAACTTACCAATTCTATGCAGATGCAAACAGCTCATTTAGATCGCGTATTACATGGTAAAATAGCTTCCGATATTTTAAGCGATAATCGATGGCCTATAAATTATATCACACCTTCAAATGTTCAGAAATTAGGTGGTAATCAACTTTCTACGAAACAAACTGCTACTATTCGTTCTATCCTATCTAAAGATTATGGTATGATTCACTATGATAGGTGCATTAAATAAATAATAACAATACAAGTATAAATAGGATTACAAATAACAAAAAGCGTAGCGCAAGTATTTACCTTTAACATTCGTCGACTTGTACATGATATATATACAAGAGCATCTTTATTGAGTCAAGAAGGACAGCAACAGCATCAACAGCAACTACAAAATAGCAATATTCATCCTGTATTAAAGGCTTCCATGTCTTCTTCATCGTTTGATGCTGTTGTCCCTGATATCCTTACTTTTAGACCTGATAAAGATGATCCTCTTGATACTGCTACACAAACATCTTCTACTATACGACAAAAATAGAAGAAATAAGAGATAAGCGTATAGAATTAGTAACAGCCATTATGTCCATTGTGACCTCTTGGAATATTAGTGAAGCTTTAGAAGATATTTGTGAAAAAACGTTATCATTAGTCAAAACTATACATCCAAATATAAGTTTTGGACTAAAAGGGTAAATAGATGAATTATACTATTATATGTATATGTATATGTGTAATTCTAACTTTTTTTTTTCTTTATCTACAGTGCTAATGGAAATCTCTCTATCCTTGCACCACTCAAAAATGAAAAAGAGGCCTGGACAATTTCTGCTTCAATGACGGCAAATCGATTATTGTCCATTGCACTTTTGGCAAAAGCTATTCTTTTTATCGCTGAAAAAGAAACCCAAAGTTCAGATTTAATTTCAGGTTATGCGATGGCTTTGCCATTAGTGATTGGATCATCCTATTGTTTTCCATCATTATCTTTATTAAGTAAATATTGGCAAGATCCTTCAGGTAAAGTTAAAAAAAAAAAAAAAAAAAAAAGTGGCAATAAATAAGTAAATAAATACCTTTTATTACTATTATTATTATTATTATTATTAGCGAGATCTTTATTTTCAAGTGCAGTTACTGGTTTATCTAAAAGTGATATTGAAGCTCTAGTTGATTATTGGGAAGCCTTTTGTAAGTACATGGAATTATGTATATTGGGATCAATGTAATAATTATTTCCTTTTGTTTAGTACCTATATCTAGTTCACCTGAGAATAGCGGTGCACAGATGATGGCACGTGCTTCTATCGTACTTGGTATAATGGGCTGCGATCAACCCCAAATGCTTTCATCTCGCGTTCGCAAATCTACTGCTCTTAGTCTTACCATCCTTTTATCAGATGCTGAATTAGATGAAGCACGTCATACGAACTCAATGGCACGCACATTATCTTCTATGGAGTTACTTAGTCAGGGATTTTCAATTTGGGAAACTTATATTAATACAGCTGAAGTATTACGAACCCTGTTTTTATATGCTACAGATACACAACCACTCATGGCACTCGTCAGTCGTGGAGCCAAGACAGCTATATTTGAAATATCCACACGTAATATGCCCCTCGTTATCAACACACTCACATTCGATACAATACGTGGCAAGACGCTTGAAGACCGTTTACGTTGCTTAAAAATCATTGGTATCTTTATTCGACGTGAACCAATCTTATTATATCCTCATGTCTATAACGTTTTAGAGGCCGTCTTGGCAACACTTGACCCTAATGTGGCACATATGCGCCAAGTCATGCTCTCTGCTGCAACAACCGTCTTACATGAACTCGTAAAGACATATCCCTCTGTTGACTTTAGCAGTAGTGCACAAAAACTAGCAGTAGGTACATTAGAGGGAGCTGCTGTGATTTATGATGTTAGGACAGCGACTCGATCCCTTGTATTAGAAGGACATGTGGGCCCCGTCTCTGTCCTTTCCTTCTCTCCTGATGCTAAATTAATTGCTACTTGTTCGTTAATGGACCAAACCGTACGTGTTTGGTATACAAATCAAAGTTTAATTGGTATGTTATTGGGTCATCGTCATCAAGAACAACCCACGACAGGATCACAAAGGCCTTATAAAGTCTTTTCTTTTGCTATGCCAGACTATGCATTGAGTCCAACTGAAATTATTAAAGAAGTTCGATTTGAATGGACATCGCATAAATGTGTAAAGTTGCATGTTCAACAGTTAGTTATGAGTTTTAATGTGTAATAAATAAATAAATAAATGAATGAATATGTATATATTATTCTAATAAGGAATTAAAATGAACTACATCTTCCTATTGATATCAATAATTGTGGTTTATTTTCAATGTAAAATATATAAATAAATAAATAATAATAATAGTTCGATTTTTCTTTTTATACTGTTTCAGTATTGTTAGAATCATCTATAGGTGCTTGAATAACAACAAGACTAGCCAAAGTACCAACAGACAATAGTTGATAGGCCATATTTCCTAAAGCAGCTTTAAACCCTCTACTGTAATGTGGTATCTCACCACTACCTCTAGCAGTAGCAGTAGTCATAGTAGTGGCAGGGGTCATTAGGGGTATCTCTCCAACAGTTATCGATCTTCCTAAAACAATTAAATCGTGTCTTCCTAAAGATCTTTCAAGATGATCTAAAAGAGTCGTTGTCGTCATCGTCATCATGGATAATTCATTTTCAAGAACAACAACAGATTTCAAAACCACATTGGATACAGTAGACGTTGAAACAAAGAGGGTCTCGATAAGATCCTGATCTGTCATATAGTGTGAATTACTATCGAGGGTCATATGAATGGAATCAGGTGTAGCATATAAAGTAGAAACTGAAGAATCGGATTTGATTGGCTTTAATACCAAAACCTCTGCTTGACGATAGAGTTGAAGACGAAGAGCAAAGAGAAGGGCAGCACGATCATCAGGACCACCCTGACTAAAAGGTACTATGATTTGAAAGTTTGTTTGGTCTTTAGGATTCCCATCTTGAATATGCCCAAACCCACGATCAATGAAGAGACCTACTGTACAGTGTTTAATTGAATAAGCACTAGAAGCAAAGTCAACATCCGATAATAATAATGGATGATGGGAACTAGAAGCAGACTGTTCAAAGGGATTGATTGTATCTGTCATTGTTGTTGTTGTTGTTGTTGTTGTTGTTGCACCTATCCAAGGTAGAAGAATCAAGTCTGCTGAAACGGATTCACTATATCTTGATACAGCATTTATGAATTCAGTAGATGATCTAAAGTCAAGACGAGTGTGTAACGATTCAATTCCAATTAAACTTGTAAATGTTCTCAACACATTCAATACAGGATCTTGTCGTTGTGTCTCTCGCATATCTTGAATTTTCATGACATCAGATGCACGTTGAGTGAGTTCAAGTAGACGAAGGACATGTATATCTAATCTACTTTTACTAAATTTTTTT